GCCTTTCCTGCACGTCATCTGGTTGGAATCATCCAACATGGCGCTGGCTCAGCTTGGCTTCTTGGGCTTAGAATTTGCTTTTATGGTTCCTCTCTGTCTCTGCATGCCTCATTGTTTTGTTTCAGCTCTGAACAGTCATTCATTGTCTGCTGTACAAAACCACTTGGGGCCAGAGATAGACGTCCCCGGGGTGAGTCGATCAGGGGGAACCTGATGGTCTCCCTCAGAAAGGCTCGGAGTCCTAATGCTCCTCTTGTTTGGCTTCCTTTTTTGAAGTCAAATGAGAATGTGCATCTGAATTTGGTTTTGCTGGCTGATTTATTGTCATGTAGTGGACCCCAGGGGTCCTTTCATAGCTTCTGTTAGCCCTTATTACTTGAAGAGCTTTCAATTCAGCACTGTAGCCTGTGGCATTGTCCTCCCGTTGTTCATCGATTGGCTCGAGCGGGCCCAGTAACGTCTCCATTGTGAGACTTGTTGTGACTGTGTTTGGCATATTGAATACGCCACTGGGAGCTTGCCAGGCTCTGCCGTGCGGGCGAGATACTCTTGGTAGCTTGCCATGCTCTCCGAGAGGGGCAGAGGAATCGAACTCGGGTCGACCGTGTGGGCCGCATGCAAGGCAAACGCCCTACCGCTGTGCTATCGCTCCAGCCCTCTTTCAATACAGAACGAATAAAATTTGTTCGGATTCTGCCATTCTTGGCCTGAGTGTAGCTCAGTGGTAGAACGTTTCCTTCAGAAATAGGAGACCCTAAGTCCAGTGCCCGGCACTTCAGGAAAAAATAATCTTGTCATTCTTTTTTTAAAAAATTTTATTTATTTTTGGCTTTTTAGGTCACACCCAGAGATGCACAGGGGTTACTCCTGGCTCTACACTCAGAAATCACTCCTGGAGATGCTTGGGGGGCCCTATGGGCTGCCGGGGATCGAACCCGGGTTGACTGCATGCAAGGCAAATGCCCTCCCCGCTGTGCTATTGCTCTAGCCCAATCTTGTCATCATCATTATTATTATTATTTTGCTTTTTGGGTCACATCCAGTGATGCACAGAGGCGCTGTCTTGGCTCATGCACTCAGGAATTACTCCTGGCGGTACTCGGAGGACCCTACGGGATGCTGGGAATCGAACCTGGGTCGGCCATGTGTAAGGCAAACGTCCTACCCGCTGTGCTATATCGCTCCAGCCCAATCTTGTCATTCTTAATGGTCACATCTGGCTTATTCTGTTTTATCTAATACCCCAGTTCTCCTAAATTCATGATTCTGGGGTTGTTATTGTTGGTTTTTGTGTTTGTTGGGCCACACTTGGCGATGCTCAGGGGTTACTCCTGACTCTGCACTCAGATATTATTCCACCCTATAGAATGCCGGGGATCGAACCCTGGTTGGCCGCATGCAAGGCCAACGCCCTCCCTGCTATACTGTTCTCTGGCCCCTGGGTCATTTTTGTTACGGGGGTAAAACTAGAACATGAAACGGAAATAAAAACGATGTTAATGAACATAGAATACTAGTAACTACTTAAAGAGAAGACTGAGGTGGCAAACTTACACACATCCTTTTGTCTTTGGGAAATTCCAAAGTGTAAATTTGGTGGGAGCCGGGGCGGCGGGCATACCTGGCTCTGTGCTCAGGGATCACTCCTGGTGGTGCTCAGAGGTTCATAGGCAGGTCCAGGATCAAACTGGGGTCAGCTGTGTGCCAGACCCAGGTCTTAACCCCTGCACTATCTCTCTGGCTCCCAGAGTATAAACTTTTAAGAATCTCGGCGCATCTTTGCTTATTACAGTTTTGTCATTAAAATGGAATCTCGCCTAAATTTATCCTTGACATCGCTGAAATTATTGCCTTTTTCTTATTAACGGAATTTCATAAGCACTTCGGTATTTGGGTGTGGAATTTCTTGCAAATCCAACATATAGATGCCAAGATGTTGGCCATTCTGGTGTATTTTGTTGTCAAGACACCATCTACTGGTGGATGAATGAATGAACGGCCCTCTCAAAGGCTTCATGGACCTCCTTTCTCCATAGTCCAGAAGGCCCGGTAGAACTTTCTGGAATCATGCAGTGTCAGCCTGGGCTGCCCATGTGCTACTTGCTCGCTCTCTGGAGCTGTGGAGGAAGGAGAAATAGCCAATCTGCTCTCGGACCTTGAGATTTGATTTCACTTCGGATCATTTAAATTTGAATTGAAATGTATGTGGCTGGTGAATCCTAGGCCTTGTCATAGACAGATGAAAGGCAGAAATGGGAAAAAAGTAAGTTGTAAGCAACGTAGGGAACTTCCACGTAAATTAAGCTGCCATGAACTAGTAGAACTCGTTTGGGACATTAAAGAATGATTCTCCCAATTCTACCTACCAGGTCCTCCTCATTCCTCTTTATGAAGTATCTCTGTTGGGGTCTGGAGGTAGGACAGTGGGTTGGCCACTAGCCTTGCATGCATTGACCACGGTTCGAACCCCGGCGTCACACAGGGTCCCCCAAGCCTGCCAAGAGTGATCCCTGAGTGCAGAGTCATGAGGAAACCCACCCTGAGCATCGCTGGGTGTGGCCCAAAATAAAACAAGAAGCATCTTGTGGTATTGCTGCATTTAATTTCGTGTTTTCGGGATTTCAGAGCTGATTCTCTGTCTCTTTCCCGAAACGGTTGGTTGGTTTTGGTTGTTTTTGTTGGGTGTTCAGTTTTCATTCTTTGTTCTTTGGAAAGGCTCTCAAACCACGACTGCAAACACGCCGGTAGGCTTGGGAAGACCGAAAAATGTAAAATGTTTACATTTAAATAAAACTCAAATAGGTTTAGGTTTTAAATAGACTTAGGTTTGAAATAAAATCAAACTTTAAAAAAATGGAGAATGTTGTCATTTCTACTCGTGGAAAATATGGAGAAAACTCATTCATTCTGTACCATTCTCAGTAAAATTAGACACTTGGAATATATGCTGGGAATCAAACCCGGGTCGGCCGTGTGCAAGGCAAACGCCCTACCCGCTGTGCTATTGCTCCAGCCCAAGCTATACTCTTAAGATTTTAAAATTTTGTTTTGTTTCTGGCTTTGTGGCCGCATCTGGTGGTGCTCAGGGCTTCCTCCTGGCTCTCAGTTCAGGGATCTCTCCGGGGCAGGATCGGGGGTCCATGTGGGCTGCCGGGGTTCAAACCCAGGTTGGTCGCATGCAAGGCAAACGCCCTAGGGACTGAACTCATGCTCTGGCCCCATTCTTGAGAAGTAGTACCAGGCTCGGGGCTGGAGCGATAGCAGAGCGGGGAGGGCGTTCACCTTGCATGCGGCTGACCCAGGTTCGATCCCCACCATCCCATAAGGTCCCCCGAGCACCGCCAGGAGTGATTTCTGAGTGCAGAGCCAGGAGTGATCCCTGAGCATCACCAGGTGTGACCCAAAAAGCAAATAAAAGCAGGTAGGGCATTTGCTTTGCACGCGGCCAACCTGGCCGACCCAGGTTCGATTCCTCCACCCCTCTTGGAGAGCCCGGCAAGCTACCGAGAGTATCTCGCCCGCACGGCAAAGCCTGGCAAGCTCCCCGTGACGTATTCGAGATGCCAAACACAGTAACAACAAGTCTCACAATGGAGACGTTACTGGGCCCACTCGAGCAAATCGATGAACAACAGGAGGACGGTGACAGTGACAGTGATCAGGCTTGGTAAGGCCTCACACTCAGCCGACCTGGTTTCATCCCAGGTACCACATAGGATTCCCCAAGCCCAGTCAGGAGTGATCCCCAAATACAGAGCCAGGAGGAAGCCCTGAGCACTGTCAGACGTGGCCCCCAAGCAAACAAAAACAAACCGAAAAGAGTGAGTTAGTACCAAGACTTTGCCAAACGGTGACCACCCGAGCCAGGAACGGAAGTGATGTATTTGCGAACAGTGCCAGGACTTGAGGCCGACTGACCCCTGACTAAGCCAGTCGGTGCTTGTCTGTTAGCTTGGGCATCACTTCTTATCACAGTTAGTCATCCGGTAGGCTTTGGAAGTGAACTTTTTTTTACTGGAAATACAGACTCTCAGAAGAGCCAGGAACCTTGTAAAATAGGTTTGACAGGCGGTCCAGTTCAGGAAAAGCTGACCCATTCTCCACGACCCCGGGAGCACTGTTTAACTTGCCACCCTCAGACGATGTCGGGGAATGCGGGACCCACAATGAAGAGTGTTTGGAGGGACAGTTACAAAGTGTTGCCTGGGGCTGGAGCTACAGCACGGCGGGGAGGGCATTGGCCTTGCATGCGGCTGACCCGGGTTCAATTCCCAGTATCCATGGGGTCCCCCTGCACCGCCAGGAGTGATTCCTGAGTGCAGAGCCAGGAGTCAGCCCTGAGCACTGTCAGGGCTGCCAGGTGTGACCACCAAAAGCAAAATACCACACTGCACTGTAGCACTGTCCTCCCACTGCTCATCGATTTGCTCGAGCGGGTCCAGTAACGTCTCCATTGTGATACTTGTTACTGTGTTTGGCATCTTGAAGACGCCACGGGGAGCTTGCCAGGCTCTGCCGTGCGGGCGGGATACTCTCGGGAGCTTGCCGGGCTCTCCGAGAGGGATGTAGGAATCGAACTGGGTCGGCCACATGCAAGGCAAACGCCCTCCCCACTGTGCTATAAATAAAATACAAAGGAAAAGCAGTCAGTGTTTTACTGACCCCTGTCTCCCATGGGTGGCCCACTGCAGTCGTAGGGTTTGCTATTTCCAGGCTACTGACCGAGGGCCATGCCCGGGATGTTTCAGTTCTGTGCCGTGTTTGAGCTCATCCCTGTGGAGCAGTTTCTAGAACTGAGGTCATGCCAGCCCCGACGCGCTCCAGCGCCTGTGGCCTTCGGTATACCAGGTGTCACACAGATGTCCCAGATGCGCGTGGGGCAGAGGCAGACACGTGACCTGGTGCTGGGATTCCTGCATTCCTGGGACTCTATTTCCACTGTGTCCGGCTGCCCCTTGGGGGCCCTGGCTCTCACTCACCCTCTGCCCTTCCTCTTCCAGAGCCGCCCCGAGTCTCCGTGGTACCCAGGAACCAGTCCTTCACAGGGGGCTCCGAGGTGTCCATCATGTGCTCGGCCTCGGGGCACCCCAGGCCCAAGATCGCCTGGACCCTGAACGACATGTTCCTTGTGGGCTCACACAGGTACTGGCTTCACGGCTCCTTCGCCCTTCCACCCCGAGGGCAGGGGCAGGGCAGTGAAGACCCCCAGGCCCCCTGAGATCACCCTTACCCCAGGGTTGGGTTTTCCTTCTTTTATTTTCTCCTTCCTCCTTTTCTTCCTTCTCTCTCTCTCTTTCTTTCTTTCTTTCTTTCTTTCTTTCTTTCTTTCTTCTTCCTTTCCTTTTCTCCCTCCCTCCCTCCCTCCCTCCCTTCCTTCCTTCCTTCCTTCCTTCTTTCCTTCCCTGGTTCCTTCTCCCTTTCTTCTTTCCTCCCTCCCTCTCTCCCTCCATTTCTCCCTCCCTCTCTCCTTCCTTCCTTCCTTCCTTCCTTCCTTCCTTCCTTCCTTCCTTCCCTCCTTCCCTCCCTCCCTCCCTCCCTCCCTCCCTCCCTTCCTTCCTTCCTTCCTTCCTTCCTTCCTTCCTTCCTTCCTCTTTTCTTCCTTTTTCCTTTAGGGTCCCACCCGGCGATGCTCAGGGCTGACTCCCGGCTCTGCACTCAGGGATCACTCCTGGCAGTGCTCGGGGGACCCTATGGGATGCCGGGGATCGAACCCTCGCCGGTCTTGTTCAAGACACACTCCCTCCCTGCTGAACTATCGCTTCAGCTCCATGATTCTTTTCTACATTTCTAAGCCTCCGTACTGTCATTGTGACCCAGAGGGGGTGAGTTCCTCAAGGCACTGCTCCGAGAGTCCCTTGCACACAGGAAGGACAGGCTACACAGGGCCTCACTTTTCTGAGTTGTGTTTCTGCATATGAAATCCTGCAGCTGATTCCGCCATGGAATTCCGGATTCTGTGAAGATCCTTGAGCGCTCTCTCTCTCTCTCTCTCTCTCTCTCTCTCTCTCTCTCTCTCTCTCTCTGCCTTTTGGGTCCCACCCGGCCATGCTCAGGGCTGAGTCCTGGCTCTGCACTCAGGAATCACTCCTGGTAGTGCTCCGAGTGCTCGGGGGACCCTATGGGAGGCCGGGGATCGAACCCGCATGCCAGGCAAATGCCCTCCCCGATTTGCCATCACTCCAGCCCCAGCATCTAGTTTATTTTTAATCATTTTTTTGGTGATGGATTGAGGTACTGTGAGGGACAGTATTGATACTAATGGCTTCCCGGGCACGTGATTCCAACACCATGCCGTGTTTATGCACCCACTTCCCTCCCCAAGAATACCAACCCCCTCCCTCTCAACTGCCCTCCCCAGCTCAGTTGCGGGGATCAGTTTCTCCATTTTGATGCCTTTTGCCACCTTGCTGTGTATACCTTCGGATCCCACATAGAAGTGAGAGTGTTCTTAGCTCTCCCTCCCTTTCTGATACATTCTCTAGTTTGCCCTTATTGTGGCAGAGTGCGTGATTTTGTCCTTTCTTAGGGCTGCATAGTACTCCACTGAGTGTCTATCCCACAGCTTCTCCACCCATTCATCCGTTTAGGGCTGTTTCCATAATCTGCTGCAGTGAACATAGGTGTGCGTAGACCCTTCCGAGGGAACAATTTTGTGTCTGAGGGACAGTTGCCAAGAAGTGGTTTCACTGGGTCAGATGGAAGTTTCAATACTGTCTTGGGGAGGAGATGTCCATACTGTTTCCACAGGGGCTGTCCCAGACGAATTCACTGAAAGTGGACAGAGGGTCCTCTCTCTCACCGCCCACCAGTGCTAGAGGTTTCCAGACTTTGGCTCTGTTCCGTTTTTACTGTTTGTGGTTAGGGATGATGAGTGATACTGAGCACTGTGGCAGGTGCCCATGGTCCAGCCCCATGTCTGCTCGGGCACAGCGTCTGGTTGTCCCTGCTCAGCGTTTGGGGATGGGGCCGTTGGATATTTCCATGGCCGAGTTTTGTGGTGACTCTCTTTCCTTCTTATTTCTGCCTCTAGGTATAGGATGACCTCGGACGGAACCTTAGTTATCAAAAATGCGGTTCCCAAAGATGCAGGCGTCTATGGCTGTGTGGCCAGCAACCCCGCGGGGACAGAGAAGCAGACAGCCCTGCTCTACTACATCGGCAAGTACATACAGTGTCCCAGTACAAGCCGCATCTGAGCACTTTCCTGACGAGTAATACTAGACATGAGTCACCCGAACCAACAACTTCATCTTTTTTTTTTTAATTATATTTTTATTTCATTGAATCCCCGTGAGTTACAGTTACAAGCTTTCATGGTTGAGTTTCAGTCACACAATGATGGAACCCCCATCCCTCCACCAGGGCACATTCCCCACCACCAAGGTCCCCAGTATCCCCCCATCCCACCCACCCCTGCCTCCATGGCAGACAATCTCCCCCAGACTCTCTCTCTACTTTGGGGCATCAAGGTTTGCAATGCAGAGACCGAGAGGCCGTCACGTTGGGTCCTTGATCTACTCTCAGCACACATCTCCCATCCCGAGCGACCCCTCCAACCATCACTGACTCAGTGACCCCTTCTCCATCCCAGCCACCTTCTCCCCCAGCTCATGAGACAGGCTGCCAACCATGGGGCAATCTTCCTGCCCCTTGTCTCTACTGTCGTTGGGTGACAACTGGGTCTTACACAGTTAAAAAAAGGGGGGGGAGAGAAAGTTGGGAAGGAGCTTTTCTTCGTAGAAATCAAGGAAGCTACAGGAGGTGGACATAATCCCAGACTGTCCACTGCCCGTCATGGGTAGGCCATCCGCAAGGTGAGCACCTGACCCCCTGGACACTCTCTCAGCCTCACCCGCTGGAGTCTCACCCTCCCCCATTGGATTCTCAGCCTCCCCCATTGGATCGTCTCAGCCTCCCCCATTGGACTGTCTCAGCCTCCTCCACTGGACTTTCCAGTGGCTGCCGCAACATTTTAGAGAGGCGGATTCAGCCCCAGACGCCCATCCTGCCTGGGGTCAGACATGAGCACCCCCACACTCATCCAGAAAAGCATTCTCAAGAATTCACCACAGTTGGAGGCTACGGCGGTTCCCTTTCATCGAGTTCCCTCCCTCCTCCTTTTTCTCTGCATTTCTTCCTGTCCTCCTACTGTCTCTTCAGTTTGGTTTCTCTGAACCCGCTCTCCTTCCAAAACTTTCTTTTTTTTTTCTCGAAAAACCAGCTCTTGATTTCATTGATCTTTCATTTTTTCTTTCTTTTTTTGGTTTCCATGTCGTTGATTTCTGCTCTAAGTTTTATGATCTCTTTCCTTCGGCCTGGTTTGCGCTCCTTTTGTTGTTGGTCCTTTTCTAAGATCTTGAGCTGTGAAGTCAAGTTGTTTATATCGGTCCTTTCTTCCTTCCTGAGAAATGCTTGCAGAGCTATAAATTTTCTCCTTGACACGGCTTAGCTGCATCCCATAGGTTCTGGTAGCTCGTGTCTCCTTCCAAAACTTTCTTCCCCTCACACCCCTCTCTCATCCCCCCTACCCCCATAATTCCATTGAGCCCCTCAAAAATCACGGGCGATCATCCAAATGACGTTTGCCTTGTGGCCTTGCGCCGTCTCAACCTGTCGCCGCCTCTTTCCTCCCGTGAACTCTGAGGTAGCTGCAGGCCACCAACGTGGGGTGGTGTTTTGTTGGCTCGCGTGAGCCATGGAAGCCAGGGAAACCACGGAAGCCACGGAAACCATGAAAACCACAGAAACCACGAAAGCCATGGAAACCACGGAAGCCACGTGTGTTGGGGCTCCACTCACGCCCTCGTTCTCTGGTTCCGTTTCAGAAGCACCAAAGCTGGTGGTGGTTCAGAGTGAGCTCTTGGTGGCCCTGGGGGACACGACCGTCCTCGAATGCCAGCCCTCGGGGGTGCCACCGCCCCGAGTCCAGTGGTTCAAAGGTACGTGTCTGCGGGTGCCCTCGGTTCTCTTTTCTCTCTCCGTTTGGATTTCTCGGAACTCCGAGAGTGTGACCCGCCAGTGCCATGAAAGGTGTCAGTGAGGTCACCGGGACAGTCATTCCCCTGTTGCTCGCATTCATTCGCCATCTGCTGCAGATTCGTGTGCCAGGAACGGGAGGCAGGACAGACTCGCCTCTGCTCCTGGTTAGCGTGTGTGGGGGGAGGTGGGGGGGCACTTCCTGAGGAGAAGCCGGTCAGGGCCACTCCGGCCGCCACATCTCAGACATGGCCCAAGCCCCACGCGCTCTCCCTGGAGCTGTCCCCGTGGTCCCCGCACTCGCCTCTCCCTTAGGGTGCTGGCAGGAGGCAGATGCAGATTCCAGGACCGTTGACAGGTCACTGAAGGACAGAGGGAATCTGTGGCCAGCCTCCTCCCGCGTGGCCGGGGCTTGGCGGACACCAACGATCTATCTCCGTTGCAACTTCCAGAACTTGCCCCTCCAAAAGTCTCAACCGGGAGCAGCGGGTCCCCACGAGCAAACAAACGCGCGAGGTGGGCCACCCCTGGCCCCAGGCGCTGAGGCGGCTTCTGTTCCCGTCTCAGCCCCGTCCAGCCGCCCAGACAGACGGACTCCCGCCAGGGCCCCCACCGGGAAGGTTGCTAGGATGATGGAGATGCTGTTTGCAAAATACTTGGGTAATCTTCCGACGGGAAAAATGCAAACGAGTACAAAGCACTATTGTTATGGTTGTGTTTGCTGAAGCACACGCGTCCCCGTGGCAACGGGTCGGTGTCCTAATCCCAGAATTATGAATCCACCTCGGTGGGTTCAGGCACTCGGGGGAAGTTGAGGTGAAGGGGGAAAGGCTTCGTGGAGGAAGAACAAGACCTTTGAGATCAGACCCATTGACTGCAGGGGGCCGGGGGGAGGGAGGCCTTCTTGGCTTTCCGCGTAACGGGGAAAACGCTTCTCTTTTCCTCTGAGCCTTGCTGGACGTGGCTTACGCCCACTTAAGTCAACACAAATGAAATATCCTCTTAAAAATACTCTACTGAGTGTTTTCGCCTGGCAAGCTCCCCGTGGCGTCTTCGAGATGCCAAACACAGTCACAACAAGTCTCAAAATGGAGACGTTACTGGGCCCGCTCGAGCAAATCGACGAACAACGGGAGGACAGTGTTTGTTTGTTTGTTTGTTTGTAAAATACTCTATAGGGCTGTAGCAATAGTACAGCGGGGAGGGTGTTGGCCTGGCACACGGCCGACCCGGGTTCGATCTCCGACATCCCATAGGGTCCCCCTTGAGCACCGCCAGGAGTGATACCACAGTGCAGAGCCAGGAGTCAGCCTTGAACCTTTCAGAGGTTTGCCAAAAGCATAAACCAAGGCACTGTTCTCACTGAATTATTAAAAAAAAATTTTTTTCCTTTTGGGGTCCCACCCGGCGATGCTCAGGGCTGACTCCTGGCTCTGCACTCAGGGATCACTCCTGGCGGGGTTCGGGGGACCCTATGGGATGCTGGGAATCAAATGCCCTCCCCGCTGTGCTGTCGCTCCAGGCCCACAAAAGGGGAAATTTTCTGAGCTCAAGCCTCATGGAAACCTGATCAAAACCCAATTTCCCACTGTGCTTTGGGAAGCTCTCTCCAAACCTTTATTATTATTATTATTATTATTATTATTTTAATTTTTGGAGAAAAGAACAAATAAAAAGGTTCTTGTTTCCCTCCTCTGACCCAGAGAATGTTCTGGAATGTAGGGAGAAAGAAAAAAAATCAGGGAGTGATAAATAGCAAAACCCTAAGTGCATTTTAATCCAAACATCTTAATACTGACTTGATGAGCACCGTGCCCACGGCGGCTTCCCGGGGCGGGGGAAAGTCCGTTGAAGCTGCATCTGTTTTCACTTACGGACATTTCCCAGACGCCTGGGCCGTGGCTCTCACTGTTCCTTGGTCCTCGCGTGGTATGTAGTAGCAAGCCGAAAAGGCTAATTAGGGTTTCAAATGCCAGAATGTCCAATGCGCTGTCTTGTTAGCTTGGCCGGCTGCTAAGGCGAGCCCTGTGTCTCTCTATTTTATTTATTTATTTATTTATTTGTTTATTTGTTTATTTATTGCTTTTCGGGTCCCATCCGGTGATGCTCAGGGCTGACTCCTGGCTCTGCATTCAGGAATCACTCCTGGCGGTTTTCGGGGGAACCCTATGGGATACCGGGGATTGAACCCAGGTTGACTGCGTGCCAGGCCAACACCCTCCCTGCTGACCCTGGCGTCTGATCCCTGATGCTTTAGGGCATGTCCGGAGAATCACCAACTCTGGGGTCGCATTGCCTTTTAGGTGGGAACACAGAAGACGGGAAGACAGGGTTCCTCAGAGCCCAGGTTCAACCTAGAGGTGACATTTGGGAGAATCACGCGTGCGTGAGACCCCTCACATCTCAGCCAGTGTGTGACAGCTAAATGATGTACCATTGTCCTGGGGACCAGAGAGAGAGAGAGAGAGAGAGAGCGCACAGTGGTGAGGGCATTTGCCTTGCACTTGGCTGACCTGGGTTCGATTCCCGGCATCCCACAGGGTCCCCCGAGCACCGCCAGGAGCGATTCCTGAGTGCAGAGCCGGGAGTCAGCCCTGAGCATCGCCGGGTGGGACCCAAAACACAGAAATAAAATACTTATTTGCTGGAATCAGAGAGAGAGATAGCACAGCGAAGAGGGCATTGCCTTGCACATGGCCAGCCTGGGTTCGATCCCCGGCATCCTACATGGTAATACCCTGAGCCCCGCCAGGAATCAGCTCTGAGCCCCGCCAGGTGTGGCCCAGAAAACAACCAGAAAGGATGTGTCATTGCTTTCAACAAAAGCAGATTAGAAGCGACCCGTGAGCCATCCGACTTCCTCCCGTTCTTTCTTGCTCACGTCACTCTTAAGAAGGAAGCGTGAGGGGGGCTGGAGCAATAGCACAGCGGGTAGGGTGTTTGCCTTGCACGCGGCCAACCTGGGTTCGATTCCTAGCATCCCATATGGTCCCCTGAGCACCTGAGCACCGCCAGGAGTAACACCTGAGTGCAGAGCCAGGAGTATCCCCTGTGCATCGCCAGGTGTGACCCCCCCCCACAAAAAAGAAGGAAGCGTGAGGTGTCAGGGTTCATGAAGACCCTCAGGATCAGTGGCACGGAGCAGAGGCTCTCAGGGTGCCCGAAGGGGATGTGACTCCCTTTTTCGGGCTCACCCTGCCCCGTCAATGGAGGCTACGCTCACTGTCTAAGCGTGTCCCACTCGTCACCCCCGACACCTCTTCTTCCCAACATCCCCACGGAAGTACACACCGAACCAGATTTCTGCTCCCTCAACCCTCCCTTCTCTCATGGAACAATCAGAAAGTGTCCCCATCCCAGCCACCCTGGGGGGAAGACAACCTGCTGCCCTGGGGGGTGCCGTGATCCCCAATATTCCAGCATCCTGAGGGAAGCACACGTAGTTTCCAGAGTGTTTTCTTCTGATCACTGGAATTGGCGACCCCCCTCCTGCTTCCCCGAAGGCTGGCAGAGTCTCTCTCCACCCAGGGCGTTCCCTCCGCCGAGCGCTGACGTGACCGTTGGCTCCCGGCGGAGTGTAGGACAGTAGAAGGTGCTGCTGGCACCCGGCCCGCTGCCAGAGCTCGTGGAAGGGAGCAGCCCCGTCTGCCCGCCGGGGCCAGCCAGCCCTGTGTGTCTGTCTCCCTGCACAGGCAGGCTGGCGTGGGTCTCGGCTGCCGCACGCTCGTGCGGGCAAAACGGGATGGCCTGTATTCCTGAGCAGCCCCTGAAAGTACCCGGGCGTGGCCCCGGGAGCCCCTGTGTGAGTGCTGAGGGGGTGACGTCGGCCTGAGATCGTGGGTACGTCAGAAAGATTCGCACACAAAGCTCAGATGCTGCAGAAGTCACAGTTCCTTGACAGTGCAAGTGTCCCAATTGCATCTTGTTATCTGTGTTTGCTGTAACCTGTCCTGCCCTTCCATGCCTGGTCCAGGGTATGACACCCTGAGTGATGTCCCCTACTGTCTGCTCACCCCCAGGGCTCCCTAGACAGTGCTCCTAGTCTGAAACTGCAGCAGGACCCTGTCCCTTTGTGTCCCTTTGCTGGGACTTCCTGCTCTGTATTCTGTGGGTCTTTTTAGGAATGTACCCCAGGTGGGGTGGGGGGCTGGAGCAATGGTACACAGCGGGGAGGGCGTTTGCCTGGCACATTGCCGACCCGGATTCGATTCCTCCGCCCCTCTCGGAGAGCCCGGCAAGCTCCCGAGAGGATCCCGCCCTCACGGCAGAGTCTGGCAAGCACCTTGTGGCGTCTTCGAGATGCCAAACACAGTCACAACAAGTCTCACCATGGAGACGTTCCTGGTGCCCACTCGAGCAAATCGATGAACAACAGGAGGACAGTGCTACAGTCCTACCCCAGAGGGTCCCTGTCCCCTTGGCGTCCCTTAACCTCCAGCCATGCCGCAGGCACCTGGGTGAGCGTCCTGCCGTCTGTCTGGGCCAGGGAGCATGGGGCTGGCCTGGCTGGGGGTCCCTTTCCCTCCCGCTCTCTTCCACCTCCAGGCACCACTTGTCTATTCTCACCGGAGCCCTGGCCAGTGCGAGCCACTCCAAGTGGCCAGGCCAGTGACTCGTTCCCTGGGAGCTCTGCACTCCCGCTCCCCCGTACCAAGGGTCCCCCTGTCTCTCTCTCCTCCTGCGCAGGCGACCTCCAGCTGAGACCGTCCACCTACCTCCTCATCGACCCCCTGCTGGGACGGCTGCAGATCCGGGAGACGCAGGACCTGGACGCAGGCGATTACACCTGCGTGGCCACCAACGAGGCCGGCAGAGCCACGGGCCGGATCACGCTGGACGTGGGCTGTAAGTGTGGGCGCCGGCAAGCTCCGTGCTCGGGAACTGACTCTGCTGCCAGGAGCTCGGAATCACAGAGCTAGGATTCCCCTTTGTGGTTGTTCGTGAGGGGTGGCAGTCCCATGTCGTTCTGGTGGGCTTTCTGCGTATTTGCTGTGTACTGCTTGCATATGTCCTGTGTACTTCTTGGATACATCCTATGTAATTCTTGAGTATTTCCTGTGTGCTTCTTGCATACTTCCTGTGTACTTTTACGTACTTCTTGTGTACTGCCTGTGTACCTTTTTTTGCGTACTTCACGTGTGCTTCTCGTGTACTTCCTGTGTGCTTTTGCTTACTGCATGTGTACTTCTTGTGTATTTCTTGTGTACTTCCTGTGTACTTCTTGCATACTTCCTGTGTACAGCCGGTGTAATTCTGGTGTACTTCCTGTATACTTTCTGTGTACAGCTGGTATAATTCTAGTGCACTTGCTGTGTACTTCCTGGGTACATCTAGTGTAATTCTGATGTACTTCCCGTGTACTTCCTGGGTACAGCTGGTGTAATTCTGGTGCACTTCCCGTGTATTTTTGGGCACAGCTGGCGTACTTCTGGTGTACCTCTGTGTATTTACATGCTTCATGCGTACTTCCCATGTACTTCTCTGTACCTCTTGCATACTTCCTGTGTGTTTCTCACATACTTCCTGTACACTTCCTGTGAGTTTCTTCAGTACTTCCAGGTCCTTGTACCTCCTGTGAACTTAGTCTCTGATTGCGTTGCACCCTGATAGCAACCATAAAGACCAATGCTTCTGCAGTTTCAAGGGAACTGGGGGGACAGGCATCAGCACCTGGCCCAGGGTCACCGAGCAGTGCTGGCCCAGGCCTGGGCCTGGGAGCCCGCTTGTGTGACTGTGACCTCACTGGGGTACCCGGGACGGCCATCACTGTCCTCTCAGGAGTCTTCAGAGGTGACAGACTACCAAGCCTTCACATCTGGGGACGAAAGAATCAGACTCCGGGTCTGGACTTTAAGCAGCAGGTGTTGTCTGGGATGCTTTGGCCCATTTTGTGGAATTCCCTGGTGTCCAGGCTCCAGGATTAAGGCGCGTGGTGCACATGGTGAACGAGAAGGACACATGTGGCTCACAAAGTCTGGTCCTCACTCTTCCTCTACCCATCTTAGGTTTCCCAAAGGGAAAAAAATGGGTTGAAAACCCACAAGCAGACCTCTGCGGTGTGTTAGAGCCGGACAGGAAGGAGCTTCTGTTGTGTGTGGGGGGAGGCCGCTGCCTCTGAACAGACCATTCAGGCGTCTGCCATCCTTCACTTGGGTGAAGCCTGGCTCTCCGTGAAATTGTATTTTTATTTCTATATCCTGTGGTTTATGCCAAAGCTTTTTAGTTTATTCATTTATTTGCTCATTTTTAGTTTGGGGTTCACACCAAAGAGACCGTTTGCCACATATGTTGGGGATGTGATCCTCTGAAATGGTGCTGCGTGCACGGCCCCTTCAGCAATAATATGAAAGAACGCTTTTGCCGTGGGGCCATCCGGTCAACCCCAAGCTCCGGGCTCTCTAAGGCCCAGAGTTTCAGTGTGACGTGGAAAGTGGCCTTTCCATAGGCGAGTTACTGTTTCAGTGCAATCTTTTTTGAAGGACTTAAGACAAGTCCAGGTGGGGCTGGAGAGACAGCACAGCGGGTAGAGCGTTTGCCTTGCACGCGGCCGGCCCGGGTTTGATTCCCAGCATCCCATATGGTCCCCTGAGCACCTCCAGGAGTAACTCCTGAGTGCAGAGCCAGGAGGAACCCCTGTGCATCGCCAGGTGTGACCCAAAAAGCAAAAATAAAATAAAATAATAAAATAAAATGAAAAAGACAAGTCCAGGGGCTGGAGTGATAGCACAGTGGGGAGGGCATTTGCCTGGCATGGAGCTGACCCGGGTTTGATCCCCGGTGTCCCATATGGTCCCCTGAGCACCACCGGGAGTAATTCCTGAGTGCAGAGCCAGAAGTAACCCCTGAGCATCGCCGGGTGGGTGTGACCCAAAAAGAAAAAATAAAAAAAGAGGCCCAAGTCTGCTTTCTGTTGTGCATTGAGAGGTTCGCGCGTGTTTCAAGACGACTGGGCATCCGTCTGAGTGAGCCGGTCACTTTAAAAGGAAAGCATTCCCTTTTCCCCCCTCATGGAGCACTGGGGGGGGGGGGGGGCTTCCAGATCATTCTGCGGGCTCTTTACTGCTCCATCAGCAGTCCTAGCTCCAGGCCAAGTAGAATTTAAAAGTTTTACAAGGCCTGTGGATAGGATTCTCGACGTTCAGTTACCCAGAAGTCGCCTCCTTGGCCTCCTTCTCACGGCTTTAAGTCATGGGCACCCTTCACGGGACCTTAGCAGGGAAGGAAACGGGCGCTTTCCTGTTCGTTCAGGAGAGGGACTGTCTCGTGAGGTTGGTTGGAAGAGAAGGCAAGTTGGCTCCAGGAAAGCGAAACCTTGGGCCAGTGATGGTTTTCTGGGCAGCGTTCCGACCCTCACGGGGGCTGAGCCCAAGACTGTGGGTTTTGTGGTTTATGGCTCGGTTTCCCCCTCAAACAGCGTGCTCAGCTACTTCAGCACAGAACATCTCTTGGACTGCAGTCTCTGCCAGAGCCGCCGTAGGGGCAGGTAGAGACCCAGTGATGAGGGAAAGGTTCGGGAGTTATTTTTTGAGGAGAGTCCAGGGCAGCGGGAGAAGCTGTTGACTTTTCTGTGTTGGAAGGAGTGTTTGTACCCCGCCCTGGCTGGAGGCGACCCCCCCAAACGAACCCAGGCAGATGCTCTGTGTGGTTCTGGGTGTCCGCCCGCACGTCGTCGGTGGTGCTGAGTCCGCGGCGAATGATGAATAAAGACCATCTCGGTCTCTGACACAGGCTTGAAGCTCAGGGGGGCGTGGAGGAACCAGGAAAGCAGAACAAACTGGCCCCATGGACAGATTGGTGGTCCCCGCTAGTGCTCATTCTCTCCCTTCAGCCCCTGGTGGTCTTCACTTTGCTCCTTCCTTGTGCAGGCAGCGTTGGCCAAAGTTAGAGGCAGGATGGACGCCAGGGGCTTCTTGGCCTGCCCCGGCCCAGAGCTGCCTCCTGAGTGTGGTTTGCTCTTGGCCGAACCCAGGTCTGTTTCTCTCATCTGTCTGGTGTGGGGGGCCGGGGGCGGGGGGCTCTTGTGGGCCCCATGTTTGGCTCGTGCTATTCCTGAAGTGCCTTTCCCATGAGACTGGGTTTTAGGGGTGCGCCCGGGACTCTGACCTTCTTGCCCAGACCCCCCTGGCCTCTCACTGCTTTGTTCTGCCGGTTCCTTGCGTCTCTCTTGCCTCCCCTGGGCTTGGGGTTCTTCACTCCCCTCCTCCCCCCGTGTGTCCTCGGCCCTGGGGCAGCCTTGGCCCCTCCGGAATTTACTCTCCGTCTCATTTCCACGTTCCCTTGGACTGTCCTGCGTCTGTCCTTCCCAACTCTATAGGGTGAGCATCTGGCCCTTTGCCACGGTTCTTTAGCCGATCTTTTCTGGCAGAGTCGAGCTCCCGTACATCTCAGAGCTGCCCTCAGGAACCTCCTCCTGGGCGGAAGGGGCCTGACCTTCTCATCAGCGGTTCATCCTTCCTGGGCACCTCTTCTTCCGGGCTTCCCCCGTGATTGACATACCCTGTTGGCGTCTCCTGAGCAGGCCCAGGCTGGGCGCTGATGCTCCCGAAACTTATTTCTTCCTCTTGGGTTTTGTGCTGATTTGAATGGTATGAACAACTCTAGGGATCCCTTCCTTCCGCTCCCTTCCCCCTCCTTCCCTTCTCTCTCCCTTCCTTCCTTCCTTCCTTCCTTCCTTCCTTCCTTCCTTCCTTCCTTCCCTTCTTCCTTCCTTCCCTTCTTCCTTCCTTCCTTCCCTCCTTCCTTCCTTCCTTCCTTCCTTCCCTCCTTCCTTCCTTCCCTTCTTCCTTCCTTCCTTCCTTCCCTTCTTCCTTCCTTCCTTCTATTCTTCCTTCCTTCCTTCCCTTCTTCCTTCCTTCCCTTCTTCCTTCCTTCCTTCCCTCCTTCCTTCCTTCCTTCCTTCCTTCCCTCCTTCCTTCCTTCCCTTCTTCCTTCCTTCCTTCCCTCCTTCCTTCCTTCCTTCCTTCCTCCCTTCCTTCCCTCCTTCCTTCCTTCCCTTCTTCCTTCCTTCCTTCCTTCCCTCCTTCCTTCCTTCCTTCCTTCCCTTCTTCCTTCCTTCCTTCTATTCTTCCTTCCTTCCTTCCCTCCTTCCTTCCTTCCTTCCTTCCCTCCTTCCTTCCTTCCCTCCTTCCTTCCTTCCCGCCTTCCTTCCTTCCTTCCTTCCCTCCTTCCTTCCTTCCTTCCCTTCTTCCTTCCTTCCCTTCTTCCTTCCTTCCCTCCTTCCTTCCTTCCTTCCTTCCTTCCTTTCTTCCCTTCTTCCTTCCTTCCTTCCTTCCTTCCTTCCTTCCTTCCCTCCTTTCTTCCTTCCTTCCTTCCTTCCTTCCCTTCTTCCTTTCTTCCCTCCTTCCTTCCTCCCTCCCTCCCTCCCTCCCTCCCTCCCTCCCTCCCTTCCTTCCTTCCTTCCTTCCTTCCTTCTTTGCTTCCTTCTTTGCTTCCTTCCTCCCTCTCTCCCTTCTTCCTTCCTTTTCCTTCTTTCCTTTCTTCTTCATTCCCTCCTTCCCTCCCTTCCTCCCTTCCTTCGTCCCTCTCTACTTCCTCCCTTTCTCCCTCCCAGTTTCCGCCATGACCATTGACAATGCTGTGCTCTGACTGGACTGAGGGTGAATTTCTATAGTCAGCCCCCACCCCCCACCAAGTCTCCAAGGGATCAGGCTGCGTGTTGCTCTTTCCTTCCCTGCCCGCCTTCACTCAGGGACAGGAGGTATCGCTGTGAGTCGCATGAAGTGTGATGAGTAGGGTGTCTCCGGCAGGGAGGGGAGCCCACATCCAGTCCCTAAAGGCCCTGCATGTCAGTTGGGAGCTAGACCTCACCTGGGCGGCTGGAGGAGTCAGCAGGTCTAGGAAATACAGGGACGGGCCTGCTGAACTCTGTGATTTCAGGATAATCTTGATGTACAGTTCATCCTCTTTGTCATTTATCGACCATGCAGGGGGAGTGTTGCACTTTCTTGTAGGTCCCTAACTATCCCGCAGGACAGAAGAAGCAGCTGCTCTTTCAGTAGCCCACGGAAATACTTGGAGGGGGAATTCACGCGACTCTGCAGGCAGTGATTCGGTTCAAAGGCAACTCACCAACACGTTAGGAAGTGCCTCGGGGGGTGTGCCCGGAAGCGGTACTGATGGTCTCTACAATGTCTCCTCCGGTCTTTCAGCACCTCCAGTCTTCATACAGGAACCTACGGATGTGTCCATGGAAATCGGCTCAAACGTGACGCTGCCCTGCTATGTCCAGGGCTACCCAGAGGCCCGGGTCCAGTGGCGTCGATTAGACCAGATGCCCATCTTCTCCAGGACTTTCCCCGAGAGGTCCGTCAACCAGCTGCCCACGGGAGCGCTCTTCATATCAAGTAAGTGAAAGCAACGCATTGAACGCGACGTCTGCATCCTTCTGACCTGAGCCTTCCATGGAGGTGCTAAGGCAGCTCAGTCCCTGTTGGTGGCATTTTGACACCCGGAAATTCTCATAAAGGGTATCCCGTTATTCAAGTGTCGGTTGTCCATCCGCTGTCAAGGCTTACGAAGGAATGGGACCACACTGGACTGTCCCATTCCTCATTGCAATCAAGACTTTTTTTTCCAACTGAATCACCGTGAGCTACAGTTACAAGCTTTCATGCTTGAGTTTCAGTCACACAATGATGGAACCCCTACCCCTCCACCAGTGCACATTCCCCACCACCAATGTCCCCAGTATCCCCCCATCCTACCCTCCCCCTGCCTCCATGGCAGACAATCTCCCCCAGACTCTCTCTCTACTTTGGGGCATCATGGTTTGCAATGCAGATACTGAGAGGCCGTCACGTTGGGTCCTTGATCTACTCTCAGCACACGTCTCCCGTCCCTAGTGATCCCTCCAACCATTACTGACTCAGTGACCCCTTCTCCATCGCAGCTGCCTTCTCACCCAGCTCATGAGGCGGCTTCCAATCATGGGACAATCTTCCTGGCCCTTGTGTCTACTGTCCTTGGGTGTCAGTCTCATATTCTGACATTTTATATTCCACAAATGAGTGCCATCCTTCTGTACCTGTCCCTCTCTTTCTGACTCATTTCACTCAGCATGATACTCTCCATATCTATCCACTTATATGCAAATTTCATGACTCCATCTCTCCTAACAGCTGCATACTATTCCATTGTGTAAATGGACCAAAGTCTCTTTAACCAGGCTTCTGTTCTTGGGCACTTGGGTTGTTTCCAGATTCTGGCTATTGTGAACAGTGCTGCAATGTTTATACAAGTGCACAGTCATTTCTGCTGTGCTTTTTTGCATCCCTGGGATAAATTCCCAAAAGTAGTGCACTTGGGACTCTTGAGACAAGCTTATTCCAAATTAGTTAAGTTAGATGTTCTGATTACGTTAGCTAACCCACCACACATGATGAGTGCATGCATCAGACCTCAGACCCTTCGAAAACTCCTCGACTGAAGATGTTCTCGGGAACAAACGTTAGGAAGATCAAATGTCCTGTTATCCATTAAGTTACCTACCAACCATCATGCATACAGACATCTGTAAGCACGTTTTCAAAGTGTGTGATGGGATTTGAATGGTGCTTTCAGAGGAATAAAATGCTCAAATGTGCGCTGGAGTGATAGGACAGCAGATAGAGCATTTGCCTTGCATGCAGTCAACCCAGATTCGATCCCCAGAATCCCATAGGATCCTCTGAGCACCACCAGGAGTAACCCCTGATAATCGCTGGGTGTGGCCCCCAAAAGCCAAAAATAAATTGATTAATGAATAAAACATCTTTGTTTGTTGGGGATGGCTCCCCTAGATTTTGGGGGTCTGGGAGCCCATCCTGGTGTCACTTCATCCAGCTGTGGAGGTTGATGGTTCGGTGTTGGGAGCCAGTGATGTGGGTATCACTCGGGCCGCATGTCACAGTGTTTGGGGGCCTGTGCCCGCTAGCCCTTTAAACTAGCCCCTTGGCTCCCAGATGTGACTTTTTAAAGCTCTTGCAGCTTGGCAGGACCCAGATAGTGGCTCGGAGGCAGCGTGGATGCCATCCTGACATCCTGTTTGCCTCCCCCGAACAAGGGAACTGCATTTTGGAGGATTTTGCAGAAAGCCTGGGATAAAATGGTGCCTCTGTTTGTTAACAACATTGGAAATGCATTACTGAGTTAGCTTCCAAATGTAAATTAAGCGGTCCAGTCAGACATACCGAAGTGCCCTCCTCGAGGTCGCACCGCAGTTTATAAGTCCCTGAGTGAAATGGCCCCTCCAGGGAAGTGCCTGTTAGAGCCTCCTTGGCTGATGTGTCAGCTGGCAAGGCCCCAGGGCGGGACAGGGGGGAAACAGTGTTCCCAGGTAGATGACAGGAAAAGGTGCCAAGAGGCTTAGTAAGAAAAGCTCCTCCTTCTCCCGGTAGAGGAGAGGGAGTTAGAGCAACTCCGGGGGCCGGGGACACAGAGATATGGAAAGTCACCCCCGAAGAGGTGGAAGGAAGCTCAGAGGGCCAAGCAGGGCCCGCAGGTGTCGCTCGCCCAAAGGGCTCAGCTGTCTGCACTCAGGAATTACTCCTGGTGGGTGCTTGGGGGACCCTATGTGGTGCTAGGGATGGAGCCCAGGTTGGGTGCACGCAAAGCAAACATCCTCCCCCACTGTCCTGTTGCTCCAGTTCACCTTTGTCTGATTCTGACCCGCCCCAGTAAGCCTTGGTGAGCTGGGACGGTCACCGATGGCAGGCCGCAGCTCCATGGCCGAGTGCCAGCCACTGTGTATAAAGTTGCATCTCTATCCAATCATTTGTCGATGAGCTCTTAGGTGAATTCCAGCTCTTGGCCATTTCTTGGTTTTGTTTGGGGGCCACACCCAGCAGTGCTCAGGAATCACTCCTGGCGGGGCTCAGGGGACCCTATGGGGTGCCGCGGTTCGAACCCAGGTTCACCGCATGCAAGGCCAGTGGCCTCCCCACTGTACGGTCCCTCTGGCCATTTTCAGTAACTGTTCAGGATTGCAGGACTGTCAACAAATTCGCCGCGATGGTTCCTTCAGGCTCTCGTCTGCCTGTTGATGGAGACATTCTCTGCAAACCCACCTCTTCCTCCGCTCGGTGCTACCACACATCTGTCCTCCCGTTGTTCATCGATTTGCTCGAGCGGGCCCAGTAACATCTCCATTGTGAGACTTGTTGTTACTGTGTTTGGCATATCGAATACGTCATGGGGAGCTTGCCAGGCTCTGCCGTGCGGGCGAGATCCTCTCGGTAGCTTGCAGGGCTCTCTGAGAGGGGCAGAGGAATCGAACCTGGCTCGGCCAGGCTGACTGTGTGCAAGGCAAACGCCTACCGCTGTGCTATCGCTCCAGCCACACGCATCATTCCTGGAAACTCCTCAGCGGTCTCACTGCATTTCCACCGAGGGCAGCGGGGGCCTATCCTGTCATGGGAGGTCTCACTGTAGTTCCACCGTGGGCATTGGGGAACTCTTCTGTCACGGGTCTCACTGCAGTTCCACTGAGGTCAGTGAGGGCCTGTCCTGTCATGGGAGGTCTCCCTGCAGTTCCACTGGGGGCAGTGGGGCCTTTCCTGTCAGGGGTGCATGTGTTGTTGTGTCCACTGAGGTTGGTCTGGGCTTGGCCTGCAGGGAAAGCCTTCACCAATGCCGTGGAATGAATTACCCTCCTCTTTCTTCTAGACTTATGGGCAAGTGATAAAGGAACATACGTTTGCGAAGCTGAGAACCAGTTTGGAAAGATCCAGGCCCAGGCAACGGTCACAGTGACCGGGCTAGGTAAGATCCGTTAAGCAGAGAGACACTGACTATCATCTCGGAAATCGTGATTCTAGGGCACCATCTTTGGCTCCTCCCATGGTAAGAAAAAAACGGTGAATATCTGCTAACCTGACACAGAAAAAAAATCAAAGGGGCTTAGAGAGGGAGATCCTATGCCCTAAGTAAGAACATACACACTTGAGTTAGACAATTTTCCACTCTATTTTTTGTTTCTGTTGTTGTTTGGAGTAACACCCGACAATGCTCAGGGGTTACTCCCGGCTCTGCACTCAGGACTCACTCCTGGCAGTGCTCAGAGGACCCTATGGGATGCCAGGGATCGAACTCAGGTTGACCAAGTCGAAGGCAAACACCCTCCCCACTGTACTATAGCTCCAACCCCTGCAATTTTTTGTGTTTTTTGGGGGGGGGGGTTTAGGGAGGTTACCACTGGACCACACCCAGTGGTTCTCAAGGGTTACTCCTCACTCTGCATTCAGGGGTCACTCCTGCTGGAGCTCAGGGAATCATATGGGGTGCCGGGGACCAAATCTGGGTCGGCCACCTGCAAGGCAAACACCACAGCCCCTTGTGCTGTCTCTCCAGACCCTGCCATTCTTTCTTGATCGCCTTTTCCACACTGATCATTTTAATCCAAGCCGCATGTTGGGGTTTCTGTCATCAAGGAAGAATCCGAGATGGTGACCCAGTGGGAAAACATTTGCCTCAGTATCTTCCATCGACGAGTCTCCTGCCACCCACCCACGTGCTCATTTGCTCACGTGCCGACTTCATTTTCCGAGCCTTTCCTGGGCGCTCTGGTTGGGCGGCAGTACCGCCTTGTTTCAACGATGGCAGCTCTTCAGCCTGCCATTCAGAGATCCCTCCTGATCTCCTCCACAGAGAGTTTCCTTCCCGCCCTTCCCAGATGGCCTTGTCAGGTCAGCTCTCTAGGGGATCTTGCTTTGGCTTCCACTCACTGGGGGCTGGTTTCTACAAATGACCTTCTTTTATTATTATTTTTTTAATGAATTATTTTTAATGAATTTTTAAAGTGAGGTACAGTTACAGACTTACAAACTTTCATGCTTATGTTTCAGTCATACAGTGATCCGAGTACCCATCCCTCCACCAGTGCCCATTCTCCACCACCAATGTTTCCAGTATCCCTCCCACCCGACCCCCCATTCCCCCCTCCCCCTGCCTCTGTGGCAGACACATTTCCTTTTACTCTCTCCCTCCCTCCCTCCCTCCCTCCCTCCCTCCCTCTCTCTCGCTCTCTGTCTCTCTCTCCCCTCCTCTCTCCCTCCCTCTTTCTCTCTCCTTTTGGGTGTTATAGTTTGCAACACAGGTATTAAGTGGCCATCATGTTTGCTCTGTAGTCTACTTTCAGCACGCATCTCCCATCCCGAGTGGACCCTCCAAGCATCCTTTACTTGGCGGTCCCTTCTCTATCCCAGCTGCCTTACAGATGACCTTCTTGCCATCTCGGCACCCCACGTCTGTGTCTGTCTGAGCTGCTCGGTCCCATCTCTTTTTACTGCTTCTCTTCCAAGTTTTCTTCCTTCATGCCTCACGTTCTTCAGACGAATATTTCCAGAAAACTGCGCCCAGGGGCCTCCTTTGCTGTTGATGCCTGAGCTGCATTCCCTCTGTCCACGTCACACAGGCTTGTGTGGGCAGGACCGAACTCCGGCAGACTCGGCTTCACTTGCTCCCCTTTGCAGACGACCCGTTTCCTTGCCTCTCCCTCTGCAGTGGCAGTCAGCTCCGCTCTGCTGATATTTTCAAACGCGCTCCCCTCTCACCCCTCATACTGCTGTTCTCCCGACACAGTTCCGCCTCTGATTGGAATCAGCCCTTCGCAGGCCAGTGTTGTCGAGGGGCAGCAGCTGACCCTGCCCTGTGCCTTGCTTGCCGGGAACCCTCTCCCCACGCGTCGGTGGACTAAGAACTCAGCCACGGTGAGGACAGCCTCCAGCCCCGCTCTCTGTGCCTCCTCTGGAGGGAAATGCAGTGTCCTGGTCACTGTAATAGTTGTCTTCCAACATCAGCATGATAAATAGATGAAAAAAAAGTCTTGGAAGTCTCTCTCCAGTAGTTCTGGGCTTTTTGTCGTTCTGTTATGTTGGAGGCAGTGAGCCGGAGTTGTGGCCAGTGCCGTCATTTTCATTCTTTTCAACTCAGTTCAATGAATAAACTCTTGTCAGGAAATGAAGAAAACATTAGCAGACATTCTGTTATTTTCATAACGTCCAAATCTTTCTATATTCCTTGCGGGGCAACATGAAATGTTCAGGATTTCAAAGTCTTCCATTTTGCCCATCACCTTTATTAAATCCAAACACTCTTTTATCATGAACTATTTAAAGATATGGTTCGTTTTTGTCATGGTGATTCAGTATATAACTTTTTTTTGGCACTGCTCAGGAGTCACTCCCGGTGGTGCCTGTGGGACCATGTGGTTTTCAGGGAGAAAACCAGGGTTCCCACACGTGGTTGATGCACTCTAGCCCTTGGTGCCATTTCTCCGGGCCCCACGTCTAACTCTTGCTTTATGAAAGGGGACGAAAAATTTTTACAGTTCTACAAGATTTCTTTTTCCCTATAAACTTGCTTTGGCCAATACATTTCCGTCTGCTCAGAAAACTTTTCCTCGCATTTTCCAGAATCATTAGAGTCCCTCCCTTGTGGAAGTAACCGGTTAGAAGTGAATTCAGTGGTATGGAATAATAGGGACGAATATTCCAGTTTGCACAAAAGCCTGAGGAACTCTGGTCGCAGGCATAAGTGTCTTTAAAACAGCATTCCATTTGAGTACTTGGAGGCCCCTGGGGACCTGGTGTCCTCTCGGTGACTTTTGGCCACTGGGCTTGCTTTTCAATGCGAGAGCTTGAGAAGGGGGGGCTTGCTTGGGCCCCGAAGTGCTGGACAACACAGGGCCACCCCAGGCGTTGGCAGAAATAAGCTGCCTTCAAGGCCAGCACCAGAGCCCACATCCCTCTCCCCTGGCTGCACTGTCCCCACTTCCCTGACACCTGTCCCGTGGCCTCCCTCGGCCTCCGTTACTTGCATCAGTCACCGAGAGGTGTGGGGATTAACATGGTGACTTTCTCAGCTTGAACGGGTACCTCGGTGCTGGGACAAATGCACTGAAGTTTTCGCCAGGGAGAACAGAGCTTGACAAAGAACAAAGCATGCCCCGAGAGAGAAAGCCTGGGCAAATGTGGGTCTTGAACCCAAACAAACCAGAGACGTGTGAAATCTCTGTTCCAGAGTCTCTCCTCCAGAATGCATTGGGACGCTGAGGCGGCTCTGTGGGCGTGGGGAGGCTGGTAGGAGAGTATCCAGTCAGTACTTCTCAGAGTAATATTGATTGCTCCTTTTTGTTGATTTATTTTTGATTCTGGGGCCACGCCCAGCGATGCTCAGGCCTGATCCTTGGCTCTGTGTTCAGGGATCACTCTTGGCAGTGCTGGGGGACCATATGGGGTACCCGGGTTGGCGCATGCCAGGCAAGTGCCTTCCCTGATGTGCTGTCTCTCTGGCCCTGTTATTATTATTATTATTTTTTGCTTAAGGATGTTATAATATCTTATTGCTTTATAGGATATTGAATCTCTTAGTTGGGGGAGAATAGTCGCCAAGTCATTTGGCGACCCAGGTGGGGACACCGTTATGTCAACTCACGATGATCTCGTTTCTCGCAGTTGGTCCAGAATCCATACATCAGCATCCGCAGTGATGGGAGTCTGCATATAGAGCGAGCCCGCCTCCAGGACGGTGGCACTTACACCTGTGTGGCCAGTAACGTGGTGGGCACCAGTAACCGGACCACCAGGGTGGACGTGCATGGTGAGAGACTCGGCCTTGCCTTCCGTGTAGATGGGGGCGCCACACGGGTTCAGATCTCCCCCTTCGGGGCTCTGCCCTCTGCGCAGGAGAAGGGCTGCTGCTCTGAGTTGCCCTTCTTTACCAGGCTTGTTTGTGGGATATGATGGACCCTCTGGTACTTACTGGACATTGTGCAGACCATTTCCCTGTGTCCACGACAAGGTGCCCTCAGGACCCAAAGTGTTGACTGGGGCCTCTTCATGCATAAGAGAACTCAGTTCTCAGAGTATTTGTTTAAAGATACGTTTGTTTCAGTTGGATTAAGAATTTTTATTTGTATTATTTTATGTGATAGGCGGGGATACTCACCACTATACTAACGGGCTGGAGTGATAGCACAGCGGTAGGGCATTTGCCTTGCATGCAGCCAACATGGACGACCCGAGTTCGATTCCTCCGCCCCCTCAGAGAGCCCAGCAAGCTACCGAGAGTATCTCGCCCGCACGGCAGAGCCTGGCAAGCTCCCCGTGACGTACTCGATATGCCAAACACAGTAACAAGTCTCACGATGGAGACGTTACTGGGCCCGCTCGAGCAAATCGATGAACAACGGGAGGACTGTGACAGTGATTATTTAATGTATTTATTGGGGGGGGGGCATGCCTGGCTGTGTTCAGGGCTTACTCTTGGATCTGTCTTTAAGGATTATTCTTGGTGGGCTTGAGGACCATCTGGGATGCCAAAGATTGAACTTGGATCAACTACATGCAAGGAAAGTGCCCTTGCGGTACTATCTCTGTGGCCCTGGGTTAGGAATTTTAAAAGAATAATTTGATTCTAGTTTAGGTCACTAGTTTTCAATAGTGTTCATGTTTGTGGCATGTTGCTGTACAAAGTGACCGCACCCCATGCCCCTATAGTACCCAAGACCCCACACCTCTGACCCTGTCTGCTTGGGCACCATCTCTTTTCTCTCCAGCACCCATGCCCCAGGAATTGCCACCATCCAGTACGGTCCGCCCCTTGCTTTGTGTCTCTAGACTACGGATGGATGAGCTCATCGTGTATTTATTTGTCCTTGTCCTTCGGACTTATCTTGCTTAACATGAGACTACCCAGTTCCATCCACATGGTGGCTAAAGGCACGATTTCATTCAAGACACATTTTCCTGCTGCAGGCTGAGTGGGTCCTCCTGTCTGATTCGTCTTTCCTTTCTGGCTTGTGCGGGAAGCCAAGAGAATGGGCCATTTGTGTGTTCACTAGAAGCATCTGGACATCTCCAGAGGCCGCCTCCGGCGCTCCCCCACGGCTCCTTTGCACATTCAGTGACTTAAAGGTCACAAAGAAGAAAACCCAGAAGCCACTTCTTTTTCCATTCGTGACTAACAGTTACCACACTTCAGAGTTCTCAGTAAATCAGGGACAGCTTGGGAGTTTCAGATATTTGTCTTAACGGCTTTTGTTTGTTTCTTTTGAAAAGTTTGTGCGTGGTTTTTACTTTTTAAGTGTATTTAAAGAGAAAATTGCTCTTTTTACAGAGATCCTACGGAAGAAGAAAGTAGTCCAGAACATTTATTTTTAGTCCTTAATTCAGGACTTCTTTTCAATTTTCAGGCCATAAATTAGAGAATCCAGTAGCTTCCAAATTTTCCTTGCTTTGTTGAAAATTCTCATGGATGCAGGCCATGTTTTGAAATGTCTGGTTTTCTCTGTAAATAACCTTTTCCATCTTCTTTCAGTATTTTTTTTCAGTGAGAGTGGCCTTCCCACCAGGATAGTTGGATTCTTCACCAACATCACATGAGATTTCTTGAATGTTACAAGAATCTTAAGAGATATTAAAGTCACATCCGTGGGTTCATAGTCTGAGAACAAAGTGTGTTATGCCGGATTGGACATAGTGGGGCTTCAGTCAGTAATGCATTGGACTATGCAGGGAATTGAACGCTGTTGAGTTGGATTGTTTTACTTGATAAGAAGACCAGTCCAGATTTTTCCTGAAGATATGTATGAACGGGTCGAAGAGGAAAATAAGCGATCGTATAGCAGGTAGAGCTGTACTTGCCTTGCATATGGTCGTCCTTGGTTCTGACCCCGGCACTCTATATGGTCTCCCGAGCCTGCCAGGAGTGATCCCTGAGCACCACCAGATGTGGTCCTTCCCACAAAAAAAAAAATTAACAAAGAGTTGAAGGTAGAAATGCCTCTGAAGTATTTCCCCTTGACTTCTAGACTATTGTGTCGAGAATATTGTGTTGAGGATGATTCTGTCACAAATTCTCACTTGCGTGCACAAAACTCAACCACGTCTGCCACCCTATTCTTTCTTTCCCCAGAATAGGGGGATTTCTCAGAAACAAAGACAAAAGAGAGTTTGGGAAATGCAGAATCCTGGGGAATAGACCTTTTCTTCTCTGGCACAAAGATGCCAACTCTCAGTTTCTTTGTTTTTTGTTTTGTTTTGCGTTTTGGGTCACCCCCGGCATTGCACAGGGATTACTCCTGGCTCGTGCACTCAGGAATTACTCCTGGAGGTGCTTGGGGGACCATATGGGATGCTGGGAATTGAATCCGGGTTGGCCGCGTGCAGGGCAAACGCCCTACCACTGTGCTATCACTCCAGTCCCTCAGCTTCTTCCCTGGAGAGTTTGCCTTGGCTAGACTGTCAGAGACATCTGGTCTCCCAGTTGGATCCTGTAGTGTGCTTGCGCTTAACTTACTCTTCCTGTCTGCAGACCTCAGGCTTGCGGGTGGCTTTTCACAGTGGAAAATGATCAGGAGATGTCCTGAGTTGTCTGTCAGCTCAGAGCCAGGAAAGCCAAGTCTGTCATGGTGGACTTGATCCAATGCAAAACTGGTCCTCTCGGAAAGCCAAATGGTTGGTACACTGCCTGTCACCCTTCTTTGTCCGATCTGCCCATTTAGTCAGTGAGGTGGTCAAACAAGTTCCCGGAGTTGTTTGCTGTGATGTCAACAAGCAACCTCTGCTTGGATGGGGCACCACAGACTCGTGTGTGTTTATCAGGACACCGTCTTCATGCATAGGAATCTTCAAAAAAAATTTCAAGCTCTTCATCAAATGAATGCAAGCACAAGGTAGATGAAAAGGATGCCCCACTCCATAAGGCCTGGCTCCCCCGCTCCAAACCCCATCTCTGTACCCATCCGTGCATCTGCTCGCAGGGCTGTTCCCTGCCTTTGCCTTTTTGCTGTGAAGCTGTCAGACTCAATATGTGTTTTGCGGAACGGCTTAAGTTCCAGGTTGCCACAAAATGACATCAGGGTTGAACGCTGCCTCGTTCACGATGATTCTGGAAATTGAATTTCTCACTTGCGTGAGCGGCTGGACATCCTTGCCCAGTGCAGGGTCCTGGCTGCCAGTGCTTTAAGAAGAAATGATCTAAAGATTAAGTTCAGCTCAAGGAAAATATAAGTGTGGGGCAGACCTCATCTCGGCCCACCAAAGAGGTTTTCTGTTTTCACTCTGAGTATCTGGTGGGTGTCTTCTGGTGAACTCATACTTCAGGGAGCTGTGAGGTTCCTAGAGACTTTACATGGTCACACTAGAGTCCCAGGGGGAGGGGCCCTTGCCTGGTCTGTTGTTCAGTTTCATTGTACTCACCACGCTGTTCAGCACTTCCACGGGGCCAGTGAGTGTCAACTTTGTCATCTTTGAGGACATTGAGTGTGGTTTCTGGTGTCCTTGTGAGGGTTCAGTGAGATGGGCCCAGTGCAGAGGAGAAATATCCTTCCTTTCCTTTTGGCACTTGCCCTCACAATGCTGATTCTTTCGTGGCTTTCTAAAGTCCAGAGGTCTGTTATTTTTCACAAGGAATAGTGAAATAGTGGGAAATTTGTGTTATCCCTGTGTCACTCATTCCAAGCTATGCTGCCAGCATCCTCGTGAGAAGAAATCCTCATTTCTAATTAAGGTTGAAGTCTCGTTCAGTGGTTCTGGGGTGTAGAGACTAGGTGGTTCATAGTTTGTTTTTGTTTGTTTGGTCACACCCAGCGATGCACAGGAATCCTGGCTCTGCACTCAGGAATTACTCCTGGGGGTGCTCGGGGGACCCTATGGGATGCTGGGAATTGAACCCGGCATGCAAGGCGAACACCCTACCCGCTGTGCTATCGCTCCAGCCCTGTGGTTCATTGTTGCACTGCCCATTTCCGTGGCTGTGGGCAGCCTGATGGAGAATGTGCAATGAGAGAGAGTGGGAGTGGTGCGCCAGTTAGGATTTCATTCTATCTTGATTTTCTTCAACCCCCTTTTATTTTTAATTTAAATGTAGGAGTGCTGCGATTTATTCAGCCATTGATTAAGCTGATTGAATTGGGCATGAACTCCACATTACTTTTTTTTTTTTTTAACAAAACACCGTGAGATACAGTTATGAAGCTTTCATGGTCGAGATTCAGCCGTACAATGATCAAACACCCATCCCTTCACCAGTGCACACTTTCTGCCACCAGTGTCCCCAGTATATCCGCCCCCCCATCCCAGTTCTCACCCTGCCCCCATGGCAAGCAATTTCCCCAATTCTCTCTCTCTCTCTCCTTTTGGGTATTGTGTTTTGCTTGAATTTTCCCACCACCATTCAAGTCGGCCTGCCGGGGGGGGGGGGGTGCTAGATCATTTATTGTACCTTGCTCATTTTGAGTATCAGTCACACACAATCACAACCATCCTGTTATTCGTCGATTGCCTCGAGCAGGCCCCAGTAACGTCTCCTTCGTCTTAGCCCTGAGATTTTTTTAAAAAGTGCCATATTCAAGGTTCTTTCAGAGTTAGGAGAATGAGACCCATCACTGTTACTGGTATTTGGCATATTGGGGACGCCACGGGGAGTTTGCCAGACTCTGCCGTGTGGGCAGGTGACATTCGGTAGCCTGCCAGGTTGTCCAAAGTAGGAATGAGATGATAAGATGTCGCGTGGCCGCATGCTGGGTTTTATAGTCTCAGGGTCTTGGCCGTTGATGGGATTACACGGTGCCAGGGGGCCAGTTGGTGGGTGTGACCCCCGCCTACTGGAATTTGGAGGATCTGGGTGGAGGATGCTCAGCCCCGATTCGAGTAGGCTTGGAGATCTCAGCCCCAGGTATCACGAGTATCATTGTAGATGGTTGGGTCCCAGAGTTATTTCTGTAGGGCACCAATCCATTTTGGGATTCAATTGCACGTCTCTGGGGCAGGGCTGTTGGTGCCCTAAGATGGCACGCAGAGGCTCAGTTGTGGGTGTGACAGGCTGACGAGCAGGTGATTAATTCCTGGAGCCCATACACCTCTGCCTTGCTTGTGGAAGCTCTTAGTTGTTTGAATGACAAATGGAGTAGGCGAAGAGACTGCACCTGCTCCATCTGGGGTGCCCCAATTGAAACTGGCTCGGTCTAGGGCCTGGGGAGATCTTTGGCTTGGTGGTATCTTCTGGGACTCGGTGCTGTGTCTCTAGAGGAGGGCTCTTGGTGCGCTAAGATGGTGCCCAGAGGCACACTGTGGGTGTGAGAGCCAGGAAGATGGGTGGGCGGGGCGCCGAAGAGGGACGACCCATTGCCTGTGCCGCCATGCGGCATGGAGATTTGGTCCTGGACCCTGCATACCTGGGCCTTGCTTATGGAAGCTCTAGGTCGCTGGGATTCCACCTGGAGTAGGCTCAGCGTCCTCTTATTTTTAGTCGCAAAGTTATTGGGCACAATTAGCTTCCGGTGTCACCTGCTAGTCACCGGACGGTTCACTGCGGAGCTTCCTTTGTTTGGAACGATCCTTCCAAGCACACTTCCCAGTGCACTATGGACCAGGGCAGGTTTGACCTTCAGCAGACACTGAAGTGTGGACATCACAGGCCCACAGGTGTGGGGCTGAACGGCCGGTTCTGAGTCTTGCTTTGGCTTTTGCAGTGGTTCCCACCATCCAGCACGGACAGCAGGTCCTGAGCACCATCGAAGGTGTCCCGGTCACCCTGCACTGCAAAGCCAGTGGGATCCCCCAACCATCCATCACCTGGTCCAAGGTCGGTGTGGCCGCCAGGGTGGGGCCGACTCCCGGGCCTTAGAACTGTAAGATAAGCAGGGGCAAGGGCGAGAGCACAGTCGGGAAGGCGGTTCCCTTGCATGTGGCCAGCCTGGGTTCGGCATCCCCTAGGGTCCCCCAAGCACCGCCAGGAATGATCCCTGAGTGCAGAGCCGGGAGTCAGCCCTGAGCATCGCTGGGTGGGACCCAAAAAGCAAAACAATAGCTCCCCCCCCCCAAAAAATATAACCAGGATTGCATAAGGAGAGGCTGGGGGCAGCACGGGGTGGGCACTCAGGCTGACTCGGTCCGGCCTGGCTTTGGCGGGCTCAGCCCTGGAGGCTTCGGGCCCAGCGGGGTGCGGCGCCGTCTCCCGTGGGCCCCTGCCTGTCCATCTGTCCATTTGTCTGTCCATCGGGGCAACCCGGGGTGGCCTCCTTCACCTCCTGGGGCTCCCGGGCAGAACCTCCCGCTGGGCCCAGGTTGCTGGGGGCTGCGTGGGGTCAGCCTGGCTGCGACCTCTGTCCCCAGCGCTGTCCGTGTCCTCAGGGGGGGCAGTCCGTGCCCGGCGACGGCCACTTCCTGGTGGGCACAGACGGCGGCCTGCACGTGGCGGAGCCCCGCGGCGAGGACGGCGGCGAGTACACGTGCACGGCCAGCAACGCGGCCGGCCAGGCGCGGCGCAAGGTGCAGCTCACCGTGTACGGTGCGTGCCGCGACCCACGACCCGCGACCCCCGACCCCTGACACGGAAGAGAACGCGCGAGGGCGCGTGCGGGGCTCCACCTCGCCCCTCTAACCCGGAAGGGAACTCGCTCCGTTGGGGGGGGGTGTCTCTACCCTCTGCTCTACCCAGTTAACCTTTCCCCTCTGACCCGGAAGGGGAATCTCTTCGGCTCCGCCAACCTTTCCCCCGGAAGTGAAACTCTCCCTAGCTACGTTCCCTTTCCCTGCCGATCGTGAAGGGGCGCTTCCTGCGCAGCTGTGCTGACCTCTCCCCTCTGACATGGTCGACCTTTCTCCTCTGACCCGGAAGGGGAACTTTTGGCCCCGCTGAGATTTCCTCTCCTCTTCGAGCCGGAAGGGAACTTTCTCGACCGCTGAACCTACTCTGCGCCACTAGTCAACCTTTCCCGCTGACCCGGAAGGGAACGTGCTTCGCTGGGCGGCCTTCACCTCTAACCCGGAAGGGAACTCCCTCGCCTAGGCAACCTTTTCCCCCCGCAGCCCAGAGGGGAACTTGGTTCTACTCAAGTCAAGCTTTCTCCTCCTCTGACCCGGAAGGGGAACTCTTCTCTACTAGGCAATCTTTGCTCTCTGACCCGGAAGGGGAACTTGCTCCACCAGCCCCCCCTCTGACCCGGAAGGGAACTTTCTGTACCACTAAACCTACTCTGTTCCACTAGTTACCTCCCGACCTCTGACCCGGAAGGGGAACTCTCTGCACCTATGTGCCTGCCTCTGCCCTCTGACCCGAAGAGGAACTCTTCACTAGGCAATCTTTGCCCTCTGACCCGGAAGGGGAACTTGCTCCACTAAACCCCCCCTTTGACCCAGAAGGGAGCTTCCTGTACCACTGAACCTACTCTGTTCCACTAGTTTCCCCCCCTCTGACCCGGAAGGGGAACTTGCTCCACTAGCCTGACTCCTCTGACCCGTAAGGGAACTTTTTATACCACTGAACCTCCTCAGTTTCACTAGTCGCCCTCTCCCGTCTGACCTGGAAGGGGACGCTCCTCCCGCCCCCCTCTCAGGGGACGCTCCTCAGGGGACTCCTCTGAGGGGGTTCTCCTGAGGGGGCTTCCCCTGAGGGGGCTCTCCCGAGGGGCCTCCCCTGAGGGGGTTCTCACGAGGGGGCCTTTCCTGAGGGGGCTCCCCTGAGGGGATTTTCCCGAGGGGGTTCTCCCGAGGGGCCTCCCCTGAGGGGGCTCTCCTGACGGGCCTTTCCTGAGGGGGCTCCCCTGAGGGGGTTCTCCTGAGGGGGTTCTCCCGAGGGGCCTCTCCTGAGGGGGTTCTCCCGAGGGGCCTCCCCTGAGGGGGTTCTCCTGAGGGGCCTCTCCTGAGGGGGTTCTCCTGAGGGGGTTCTCCCGAGGGGCCTCCCCTGAGGGGCTTCCCCCGAGGGGCCTCCCCTAAGGGGGCTCTCCTGAGAGGGCCTCTCCTGAGGGGCCTTTTCTGAGGGGGCTCCCCTGAGGACTCCCCTGAAGGGGTTCTCCCAAGGGGCCTCCCCTGAGGGGGTTCTCCCAAGGGGCCTCCCCTGAGAGGCCTCCCCTGAGGGGGCTCTCCTGAGGGGCCTCTCCTGAGGCAGCTCCCCTGAGGCGGCCCCGTCACGCGCGTGTCCCTGCAGTGCGGCCCCGGATCGCGTCGCCGGCGCCCCCGGAGCTGTCGGTGTTGGCCGGCGCAGAGGTGACGCTGCCGTGCGAGGCGACGAGCCTGCCCCCACCCGTGGTCTCCTGGGCGCGCGACCGCCGCCTCATCTCGCCCTTCTCGCCCAGGTGGGTGCGGCTCGTGTCCCCTGGGGGGGGGCTCTCGGGGGGGGGGGGGCTGAGGCGCCTGAGGCGGCCACGGAGGGACGGACGCGCCGGAGTGGGTGGGCGCTGGTCAGGGGCTGAGACTGACCACAGAGTGTGGGGCGGAGGGTGGGTCAGAGAGAGAGAAGGGGACCGGGGTGACAATGGTCGCTGGGAAGGGTCACGGGGACAAGAGCTGAGGGGTCAGGTATGTTCTTGATAACCTTCTAGTATCAATATTGGAAACGACAATACCCAAAAGGAGAGAGACAGAGAGAGAGACAGAGAGACAGAGAGACAGAGAGACAGAGAGAGACAGAGAGACAGGAGAGACAGAGGGAAAGAGACAGAGAGGGAGGGAAAGACAGATAGAGGGAGAGGGAGAAGGAGCGAGAGGGAGAAAGAGAGGGAGAGATAGAGGGAGACAGGGAGAGATAGAGGGAGAGACAGGGAGAGACAGAGGGAAAGGAGACAGAAGGAGGGAGAGAGACGGACAGAGATGGAGAGGGAGAAGGAGAGAGAGGGAGAGGGGAGAGGGAGAGAGAGAGACAGAGGAAGAGAGGAAAAAGAGACAGAGAGAAGGAGGGAGAGAGAGAGAGGGACAGAGATAGAGGGAGAGGGAGTGGGAGGAGAAGCGCCTGCCATGGAGGCTGATGGGAGGTGACTGAGGACCCTAGTGCTGGGGAATCTGCCCTGGTGGAGGGACGGGTGCTGGACACTGTAGGTCTGACACCCGACCATGGACAGCTCTGTCAGGGTCTACCTCATGGTGATTCAATAAAAAGTTTAAAAAACCAAATCCAGAAAAAAAAAAACCCAAAACCAAGGCGTTGTGAATCACAGTGGGAAAAATATTGGGGGTGACCCCATCATTTCTGGATGTGAACTCATGTATATACTAGACGTGTACATGCCCAATCAGCTAAACTGGTTTTTTTTTAATTAGTGAAACACCATGAGGTACGGTTATAGACTTACAAATTTTTGTGCTTGGGTTCCAGTCATACAATGATCAAGTACCCATCCCTCCACCAGCGCCCATCCTCCACCACCACGGGTCCCAGCATCCCTCCCACCCCCCAACCCCCCCCATCCTACCCTGCCTCTGTGGCAGGGCATTCCCCCTTGTTCTCTCTCTCTTCTTTTGGGTCCTGTGTTTTGCGAGAGAGGCATTGAGTGGCCATCATGTTCGGTCTAGAGTCTACTTTCAGCATGCATCTCTCATCCTGGGAAGATCCTCCCAACACCCTTTACTTGGTGCTCCCTTCTCTGTCTGAGCTCCCTTTTCCCCTAGCATGTGTGGCTGACCTCCAAGCCATGGAGCAAAATTCCTGGTACTAATCTCGGCTATTCTTGGGTATCAATCTCCTATTTTGTTACTTTATGTCCCCCAGATGAATGCAATCTTTCTATGTCTCTCCCTCTCTTTCGGACTCATTTCGCTTAGCATACTTTCCATGTAGTACCACTTGTATGTAAATTTCATGACTTTGTCTTTTCTAACAGCTACATAGTACTCCATCGTGTAAATGTACCAGAGTTTCTTTAACCAGTCATCTGTTCTCAGCCACTCAGGTTTTTTCCAGATTCTAAAGCTGAACTTTGTTTTTGGAAATAAAGTTTTGTAGAGGAGTAAATTTTCACCATTTCCAGGTGTGGCCCCCAAGCTCTCACCCCCAAACAAGAAGCAAACAAATCAGCCATGCAGGGTTTGAGATACATATGCATAGTTGGAAATGCATAGTGACTGTTTTTAGCTGCAGTTTGGGGGTGCAGAGATGCAACAGGCCATAACAATAAAAGTGAGTCCATGGGCGGGAATGATGGCATAGCGGGGAGGGCGTTGGCCTTGCACACGGCCGACCCGGGTTCGATCCCCGGCATCCCATAGGGTCCCCCGAGCACCGCCAGGAGTGATCCCCGAGTGCAAAACCAGGGATCAGCCCTGAGCATCGCCAAGTGGGACCCCCAAAAGCAAAGAAAAAAGTGATACGTGTTTGTAATCCCCTCACCCAGTGGAAATTCCCATATCCAGGTGTGAAGGGGAGACAGGAGGGGCTTTCTGAGCGGCCACACCAGCCTCTGTGGGGCAGTCCCAGCCCGTCGTGTTCCCTCTCCTGGGGTCACTCTGGTGTTCTTCCAGACACACCTTCCTGCCGTCTGGATCCCTGAAGCTCACTGACGCCCGGGTCTCCGACGCTGGCCTGTATGTCTGTGTGGCCACAAATATCGCTGGAAACGTGACCCAGTCTGTGAAATTAAGTGTCCATGGTGAGTTTTTTTATTTTTGGTGGGTTTAGGGGGGTGGTAAAGCCTGAGGACCCACAGCCTGTTCAAGCAGTCTTGGGGGGGGGTCAGTGGTGGATGGAGTGTGTGGGACCGAGGCGGCAGCTCTGCCCAGTTCCTCCCTGTGATGAGGTGACCCCAGGACCTTGAGGACCACATCTGCGGTGACCCCAGGACTATGACCCACTTTGAGGGGTTGCAGTGCCTGGTTCGAACTCGGATCCTAACACATACGATGCGTGACCCCTATGAGCCCTAACCACTGAGCTCTCCGCTCCCCTCCTCCCTCCCTGCCCACTCGAGGTGAGTTTTGAATGAAGATGATGGTCGCTTCCAGACCAGCCACATCCCCTGCCACATTCCCTGCCACCTCCCGCATCGAGGGTCATTGCAGACCAGTTTTATTTTCTTCCCCACCGTGTTTACTCTGCACGGTTTTCTCCGGCATTTCTGAACCATCTTGTCCCCTCCCACTCACGTGTGCAGTGATGCATTTTGGAAGCTCAGTTTGACTGTAGTGTGTGTGTGTGTGTGTGTGTGTGTGTGTGTGTGTGTATGTGTGGCGGGGGCGGGCGGGGAGTTGTCAGTAGAACAGCAGGAAATAACGTGGTTCAGCCGCTGATTCTTCCATGGTCGTGACTGTGGGGTTCCCGGCAAGTCCAGGCCAGTCCGTGGAACCGAATATTCCGTTTTTACTTCCAAAGCTCAGTAACTGCAAACCGGATTTCTGGGGCTTTGGGATCGTCTCTTTAGCAAGTGTCCAGCTTCCCTCAGTTTACAGGATGTGGGTCTAATTATCCCTCTGTCTGTCCTTACTGGGACTCTGTAAGCCTGACACTGCGGGTCAGAGTCTCGACACCAGAGAGCCGGTACTTGGCGTCACACGCAGGTCACCTTCTAGTTGTGCCTTCGTGCCGAAGAACATTCCCTAGCACTGGGTGGGGCTCTGAACCTCTCATCTGACTTCTCGAGGCTTGCTCCTCTGATCACGATCACTCTTGGGGGTCGTTATCTCCAAAATTCTCCACTTAGAAAAAAATAGAGGAATTGGGCTTTTTTTAGGAGGTGAGATTCATGCATTCTGTTGATGCCCTTGGATTCATGGTGGTTCTGGTGTTTGCTGTGTCCCCAGTCATACGGGCCCAAGTTTGGATAAATGAGCTTGCGTAGATTTTGAAAGGAAGTCAGGCCAAAGGAAGTTAGTCTCTGTGTTAATTTTTGCTTAATCTCTGATACTCGCAAAGGGTTCTAGGAGAAGCTTTACTTTTTCTTTTTCTTTATTTTTGGGTCACACCCGGCGATGCTCAGGGGTTCCTCCTGGTTCATGCACTCAGGAATCACTCCTGGCGGTGCTTGGGGGACCCTATGGAATGCTGGGGATCGAACCCTGGTCGGCCATGTGCTAGGCAAACTCCCTCCCCGCTGTGCTATTATTGCTCCAGCCCCAGGAGAAGCTTTTCTTAACCATTTGGCTAAACCTTCCTCAACAAAAACTCTTGAGTAAGAGTCTTTGGAGACAAATGTCTTCTGTTGTACTCTTTAATATCCCGAAGATTAAAAAAAAATACTAGAAATGATCTAGGTTGTCTGTCCAGAGAGCTTACAACCTTAACATTATCAACCAAATTAAACCTAACGTTTGCACAGCGGTAGGGTGTTTGCCTTGCACGCAGCCAACATTGCCGACCCGAGTTCGATTCCTCCGCCCCTCTTGGAGAGCCTGGCAAGCTACCGAGAGTATCTCGCCTGCACAGCAGAGCCTGGCAAGCTACCCATGTTGTATTCGAGATGCAAACACAGTCACAACAAAGTCTCCAATGGAGACGTTACTGGGCCCGCTCGAGAAAATCAATGAACAACGGGAGGACAGTGACAGTGACAGTTTATAAGTGCCAGTATGAGAAGTTGGAAGCTTCATTACTCCTCCTGGTCCCGTCAAGGCTCTGATCGGAGAGTTATTTTTCCGATTATCAGGGATAACAACAAGTCTCATGATGGAGATGTTACTGGGCCCCCTCGGGGAAATGGCCCTCCTGAAACTTGCCAAGCCAGTGACACATTGGTGGTCCAAGCCCAGAGCCGAATCCTGGGAGCCTCCCACTTTCCCCTGGCTGCCAGGAGGGCGTGTCTGCAGACGGCCCACTGACCCTGGGCCCTGTGTTTCCTTTCAGTCCCTCCGAAGATTCAGCCTGGCCCCAAGCACCTCAAGGTGCCCGTGGGTCAGAGCGTGGAGCTCCCGTGCCAGGCCCAGGGCTCGCCCCGACCCGAGCTCACCTGGCAGAAGGATGGCCGCGCCCTGCAGGAGTCCGGACCGCGGGGGGTCCTCACCCCCGAAGGCTCCCTGCGCATTCCCCAGACCCTTCTCTCCGACACGGGCGTCTACACCTGCGTGGCCACGAACGTGGCGGGCAGAGAGGAAGCGGAAATCACACTCCATATCCAAGGTGACGGAGGGCCACGGGGCATGGAGAGGGCGGTGGGGGGGGACGGGGTCTGGGGCCCACTCGGTGAACTGAACAAGGAGAACGTTCCAGAAAGAGCAGAGGCGCAGCTCACCCCCGCCTTCGTGTTTGCTATTGGAAAGGGTACGAGAGTCGGGCTGGCAGCGTGTCTGCAGGAATGCCCACCCCCGCCTCACCTTTCTGACGGGGGAGAAGTCGGGGCTGGATAGAGCCGGAGCAGGGAGCCCCCTCATGCTGCCAATTACGCTCGGGTCCAGCCCTCCCTGTTCTGCCTCAATAGTGTTTCTGCTCTGGGGTTCAAAGATCAGTATGTATTTCTGCAAGAATATTGGTACTTATCGATGTCCTCAATATCAAGAATATCCGTACTTCTTGATCAACTTCCTGCCAACTCTTGACAGCAGGTGCAGAGACAGAGACTGTTTGAATGTGAGACTCGGGTCATCAGTGTGAGAAATGCCCCCTGGGAAAGTGACCAGCAGCGAGCAGTGACCGGGGGGCCCCTCACAGTCACCCCTGGTGATGCCTTATGGTGCGGGAGATCAATTTCAGGACCTAGCTCTGCCTGAGTCTTGAGCTAGCTCGTGACCCCCGGAACTCTGAGACACAAGACCGGACCCTGCTGGGGAGCTGGTCTAGCCTCCCGGTCAGACTTGACCAAGGGCTTGTGTTCGGGGTTGCGTCTGTCAAGGGGGCCCACCCTTACAGCGGGTCGTGGTCAAATAATCGAAATAGTCGAAGCTGCGAGTTCTTTTCCTGGAAGGGCAGTTGGAGACGCTTCCCTAGGTGGAAGACACTGTCTCAGAGGTGAAGGAGGAGGAGGAGGAAGAGGAGGAGAATATCGGTCTTTGTGAGGTGGGGTGTGCGAGGGAGAGCTTTCTAGAAGGATAGGTCCAGAGGATGAATCAGTGAATGGCCACAGGCTACGTCAGTTGCATTGCTGATAGAGGGCGAGTCGGCGCGTGCTGGAGCTGAACACACGATCAGGGGCCAGATTATCTAAGACCTAAACATGTAGATGAAGGAGGGTAGAACTAAGTGCAAGGAAACGACTTAACCGTGCTGATGGGATGCCTCAAAACTGAGGAGTCCTTCCTTTTGGGCGGGGGAGGGCCACACTTAGTGGTGCTCAGGGCTTACTCCTGGCTTTGTGCTCTGGAGTCACTCCTGGCAGGGCTCCGGGGTAGAGGCAAGAATCGAACCCAGGCTGGCCACATGCTGGGCAGATGGACCGTCCCCACTGTCCTGTCTCTCTGGCCAAGCCTGGAGAGAATCTTAAAGATCCCCAGACTGGGGTTTTAACGGATCTTTCTGCCGTGAAAAGCTGGGGTACGAGTGACGTTTGTGGTCATGCAGTGAAAGATGATGGCGAGGAGGAGGAGGGTGGTGCCTTGGAGTCCAGAGCGGAGACTGTGACTGGGTGTGGGGAGGGGAAGTGGAGGGAGCTGGGACCCCCAGTTTCTTTTTTCCTTACTTGGCTTTTGGGCTACATCCAGCAGTGTTTGGGTCTTAACTATATATTTTTTTTTCTTTTTGGGCCGCACCTGGCGATGCTCAGGGCTGACTCCTGGCTCTGCACTCAGGAATCACTCCTGGCAGTGCTCGGGAGTTGGGCTGGCAGTGCGATACTTATCGATGTCACCCTATGGGATGCTGGGAATCGAACCCGGGTCAGCCACGTGCAAGGCAAGCGCCTTTCTCGCTGTGCTCTCTCTCTGGCCCCAGACTTTCGAATTTTTTTCCTGAAATGATTGGATTGAGAGGCTCCTGGGAGCGCGATGGGAGGGTCTGAGAACAGGCGAGAATCGGGTCCACGGGGAGTGCGTGTGAAGGTCCCAAGCAGGAAGCCACTTCGGGCCATGCCTGTGTTCTCTGATGTTCTGAGGAGATTTGGATTTGGAGGAGTCACCTCTAGACTCACAGAACATTCCGAGGGGTCTACAAACGAGGACTCCAAAGGGAAACGTGTTTCAGGAGAAGACCCCAATATGAAGTCCCATGAAACCCCTCGGGTGAGAGCGAGTGAGGGTTGAATTAGTAACAGTGGCCATTGGACTGAGGAACTACAGAGGTGAGGCCAGGTGGGGTGATGGGGGGGAGGAGGAGAGAGATGCAGAATCCCTGAGGCACAGCCTGGAAGACACGGCAGGGAAGAGTGAATTCTCTGGGCCCGAGTGACAGTATAGCAGGGAGGGCATTTGCCTGGCATGCAGTCAACCTAGTGCAGAGCCAGGAGTCAGCCCTGAGCATCGCTGGGTGTGACCCCCCCCCAAAAAAAAGAATGAATTCGCTGGGCCAGAGCAATAGCACGGCGGGGAGGGCGCTTGCCTTGCACGTGGCCGACCCGGGTTCAATCCCGGGCATCCCATCCCTTAAGCACTGCCAGGAGTGAGTCCTGAGTACAGAGGCAGGGATAAGCCCTGAGCACCAACCGAGTGTGCTCCCCTCCCCCGAAAAAAGAACTTGCAGGGGAACTTGGGGGTCCAGATTCTTGGGCCACCTCGAGGTGGGAACGCCTGCAGGTAGGGGTAGGAGGAGACTCCGGAGACGGAGCTGGTGATCCGGGTGGGTGCCGCGGCTGCCCCAGGAACGCCTTTGTCTCCCCACAGAACCCCCGACGCTGGGAGAATTGGACCCTCCCTACAACACCCCGTTCCAGGAGAGAGTGGCCAACCAGCGCATAGCGTTCCCGTGTCCTGTGACAGGTGCGTGGTTGGGGGCGCGCCCAGGTGGGCCCCCTTGAATGTGACTCCAGCAGCGGCCTGGTGCCCACAGCTGGGCAGGTGTGGCCCATGGGGGGACCTCGTGCCTTTGCATTTCAGCCGTTTTGGTCTCTCTGTGAGACCAGCAGGCTCTGTCTCGGCTCCATTTCTGTTCTTGCCATCGGATCCTTGGTTTCTTTATCTGCTGCTTGTCCCTTTGGCAAGTTTCTCCTTTCGAACCCCACCCGGACGCTCCTTGGATCCGTCCACGTGCGTCTCGCTCCGCAGGGAACTCGGTCCCTTTGTCATCCGTCTCTGGAAAGGACTTAGCTGACACCCTCCTCCCCACATTGGTGCTCCACCCACTCGAAGGCCAGGGTGTTGTAACTTGGAGCCTGGAGGAGTCTCAGGCTTTGTCCCTTTGTCCCTGAGTTTCTGGATTTTTCTCCCGCCTGCTTCTGGCAGGGGATGCTCTGAGGGGCCGGGGGATGTTGTGCCTTTCCATTCCTTTTTACCCATAGGTACCTAGGATCAATCAATCAGTGACACGGATTCAACTAGGGTGGCACAGTATTTCTTTTTAAATTATTTTATATTTATTTTTGCTTTTTGGGTCCCACCCGGCGATGCTCAGGGCTGACTCCTGGCTCTGCACTCAGGGGTCACTCCTGGCGGTGCTCGGGGGAACCTATGGGATGCCGGGGATCGAACCCGGGTTGGTCGTATACGCAAGGCAAACACTCTATACTCACTGCACCATTGCTCTGGCCCCTAATTTATTTTTTAATCGGATCACAGTGAGACACACAGTTACAAAGATGTTCATGATCGGGTCTCGGTCACACAATGTTCCAACACCCGTCCCTTCACCAGTGCTCATTTCCCAGCACCAATGTTCCCAGTTTCCCTCCCACCATCTTGCCTCGATGGCAGGCCTGGAGTCCCCTAGGGCCTGCACCTGTGGCCAGCTTGTCTTCTGGGCAAGAGGGCTAAGTCTCTTGATGTTTTGCAGCAGCATGAAGAGGAAAATCCGTTGAATGCACCTTTTGGGTCGGAATGTGTCACCGCTGCTTCTGAGGCAGGCACATTTGTCGCTCCTTCCTTTCCTGCTGTGGTTCTCCCTCTCGTGTGAGAGTCTCAAGGCCCTGAGCTGTTCATTTAGCCACTTTTGTGGACTCTGCCCTGGTCTCTGGGGGCCTGAGAAGCATCTGACAGTGACTTGCGTGTCGCTACAGACATGAATGAGGGGCTGGAGCGATAGCACAGCGGGTAGGGCGTTTGCCTTGCACGCAGCCAATATGGCCGACCTGGGTTCGATTCCCAGCATCCCATAGGGTCCCCCGAGCACCGCCAGGAGTGATTCCTGAGTGCAGAGCCAGGAGTCAGCCCTGAGCATTGCTGGGTGGGACCCAAAAGCAAGCCCCTCCCCCGCAAAAAAAGAATAAAGAGTGCGGGGCCTGGAGTAATAGCACAGCAGGTAGGGCATTTGCCTTGCACGTTGCCGACCTGGGTTCGATTCCCAGCATTCCATATGGTCCCCCGAGCACCGCCAGGAGTAATTCCTGAGTGCATAAGCCGGGAGTAGCCCCTGAACACCGCCGGGTGTGACCCAAAAAGCAAAAAAAGGACTGATGAGGAATTCAGAGGTCCGGTACTACCTTCTCAGGATTTCCTGGTGGGAGGCGGATCTTGAAAGTCGCCTTGACCTCAGGATGCATGTTAGAGCCCAAACAGAAATTTCCTTTCCTCCTCTCCATCATGACTCCCTCAGTTTGTGGTAAAGAGACCCCCGCCCCCGCAACACCTTCATTTCTGATTTAGGGACCCCGAAACCGACCATCAAATGGTTACGAAATGGCCGTGAGCTGACGGGCCGAGAGCCGGGTGTTTCCGTGCTGGACGATGGCGCCTTGTTGGTCATTGCTGCTGTTAGTCTCTACGACAACGGGGAGTACATCTGTGTGGCGGTGAACGAAGCCGGGACCACGGAAAGGAAATACACCCTCAAGGTCCACGGTAAGTGTGACCGGTAGGCCAGCATCCTCCTCTAGGGGGGCCATCTTTCCTTCTGAGGTGGAGAAGGACTCAGCTCGGGGGCTGAGTGAGTTCCCAGGCTCTCGCGCAGAAAGCCAGTGATTCGCCGAGGGCCTGGTTTCAGATGTGTATGGAGTTGGCGTTGTTCAGACTCCAAGCGGGACGAAGAGACGTGGTTACGTGTTTCCTGGCGTGGCCTTGGAGGCGAGGAAGGGGATTCGTAGTGTGTTTGTGTGTGTGTATGTGTCTTTCCAGGGCCATTTCGTACTCCCCCAAATATGTGTCAAGGGCCACCCACTCGGTGGAGCGTTGCGTCCCTTGCTCTGTTTGGCCAAGCTTGTAACTATCTCACGGTATAATTCAATAAAATGAAAAAATAATAAAATAAAATTCAGTGATAGTGACCTAGAAATGCATCAGCTTATCTCAGCCGTGTGCCCCCCTCTTACTGACATAGCTCGCTCAGGGGTCCCTGAACCTGCTTTTAGTAAAGGCGGAGCATTTCGCTTGTATGAGGTTGTCTGTTACCATGAGTAACGGCTCAGTAGAAGTTTGGGGCACAGGCTGGTTTTTTGTTGTTGTTTTTTTTTTTTAATTTTTTAACCATGGTGTCTGAAAGTGAAATTTTCAGGGGGCCGGAGCAATAGGGCATTTGCCTTGCATGTGGCCAGTCTAGGTTCGATTCCCAGCATCCCATAGGGTCCTCCGAGCACCACCAGGATGCAGAGCCAGGAGTCAGCCCTGTGCATGGCCGGGTGTGACCCAAAAAGCAAAAAATAAATAAATAAATAAAATTTTCAAAGAATTCAAGTCTAAAAAGAGGGGCTGGAGCGATAGTACAGCGGGGAGGGCATTTGCCTAGCATGTGGCCGACCCGAGTTCTATTCCCAGCATCCCATAGGGTCCCGTGAGTGCTGCCAGGAGTAACTCCTGAGTGCAGAGCCAGGAGGAACCTCTGTGCATCTCTGGGTGTGGCCCAAAAAGCACTGTAGTAGCACTGTCCTGTCCTCCCGTTGTTCATCAATTTGCTCAAGAGGGCCCAGTAACGTCTCCATTGGAGACTTTGTTGTTACTGTGTCTGGCATATCGAATACGTCACGGGGAGCTTGCCAGGCTCTGCCGTGCGGGCGAGATACTCTCGGTAGCTGGCCGGGCTCTCCGAGAGGGGCGGAGGAATCGAACCCGGGTTGGTGGGGTCGGCCGCGTGCAGGGCAAACGCTGCACCACTGTGCTATTGCTCCAGCCCAAAAAGCAAAAAAAAAAAGTAAAATTTTCAAAAAATTCAAGTCTAAAAACGGGCTGGAGCGAGAGCACAGCGGGGAGGGCATTTGCCTGGCACACGGCCCGACCCAGGTTGGATCCCCGGCATCCCAGAGGGTCCCCCTTGCACCGCCAGGAGTGATTCCTGAGTGCAGAGCCAGGGGCAACCCCTGTGCATCGCCGAGTGTGACTCCTTCCCCCACCAAAAACCCAAGTCTTAACGAACTCTCTCCCCCAACACGCTGTCTTTGACCTCCCTGCAGTTCCGCCGGCTATTAAAGATACAGAACAAGCCACGAACGTGTCGGTGCTGGTAAACCACCTGACCAGTCTCTTCTGTGAGGTGGAAGGCACGCCGGCTCCCATCGTCACGTGGTACAAAGACGACGTCCAGGTAAGGGAGAAGGACGAGACGGGCAGCGTTTCCACTGCTTGAAGCGGACGGGTCAGCCGTTGCCTGCACACAGGTGCTTCTTACGGGACTTTGCGTGACGCACTTGGATTCGTTGGGGCAAGATGTGTCCCTCACGCATGTCCCCTCCAGGTGGCCCCGAGCAGCACTGTTCACATCGTCAACGGCGGGAAGACCCTGAAGCTCTTCCGGGCGGCAGCCGAGGACGCGGGAAGATACTCCTGCAGAGCCATCAATATCGCGGGCACGTCGCAGAAGTACTTCAACATCGACGTGCTAGGTAACCAGGCCTTCCGAAGCTGCCTGTGAGGCGTTTCTCGCGTGGGGTGGAGCTTTAAAAGACAAGGAGGAAAGTGGGGTGGGTGGTTCCAAGAGAGAGTCTAGGCGCTGGCCCTGCGTGGTCTGTTCTGCTTTCAACCCTGGTGCCACGTAAGGTCCCCTAAGCCCCCTCCAGGGGTGATCCCTGAGCGCAGAGCCAGGAATAAGCTCTGAGCACTGCTGGGCAAGTGATTCCAACTCCCTTTCCCACCCCCAGTTGGTAGGAAAGATGCTCATTTCGCTTTATCATTTTTTTTGATTTTTAATATGTTTAGTGGGTTGGAGCGATAGCACAGCGAGTAGGGCGTTTGCCTTGCACGTGGCTGACCCGAGTTCGATTCCTCCACCCGCCTCGGAGAGCCCGACAAGCTCCCGAGAGTGTCCCGCCCACATGGCAGAGCCTGGCAAGCTCCCCGTGGAATATTCGAGAGGCCAAAAACAGTCACAACAAGTCTCACAGTGGAGACGTGACTGGTGCCCGCTCGAGCAAATCGATGAATCACGGGAGGACAGTGCTAATACACTCCGTCAAATCGTAGGATGGGGTTAGAGAGACCATATGGGCTTTGGATGCTGCCAACTTTGATTCACTTCCTGGTGACACAGGGTCCCCCAAAGAGTCAGGTGAAGTCCTGTAGGCCCCTCAGGCCCAGCAGGACATTACCATATCCTCACACCCGCACTCTGACCTGCCAACTTGGCGGGCTAAGAATAGCCGGGAGGGTCCTGAGCATCCCTGAGGGGCCCCCCTCATAAAAAGAAAAAAATTGGGGGGGGGCTGGAGCTATAGCATAGCGGGTAGAGCATTTATTTGCCTTGCACACAGCCAACCCGGGTTCGATTTCCAGCATCCCATAGGGTCCCCCAAGCACCGCCAGGAGTAATTCCTGAGTGTAGAGCCAGGAGGATCCCCTGAGCATCACTGGATTGACAGAGAAAGAGAGGAGAGAGGAGAGAGAGAGGGGAGAGAGAGAGAGAGAGAGAGAGAGAGAGAGAGAGAGAGAGAGAGAGAGAGAGAGAGAGACCCCCACACAAGGAGAAACGCAGGCAGGAGGTGTTTGCCTTGCATATGACCAACCCAGGTTCAATCCCCAGCATCCCATAGGGTCCTCCAAGCACCGCCAGGAGTCATTTCTGAGTGCAGAGCCAGGAGGAACCCCTGAGCATCACTGGGTGTGACCCTAAAAGCAATAATAATAATAATAATAACAACAGCAACTTTCAGGGTCCTATTTGTCACACCAAGGTGACTTTGTGTGTCAGACTTGTGTTTACAGTGATTAACTCCTGTGGAGGCGGGCGGGCACTTTGACAAAGCAGTGACACTCCACGGAAAGTCGCTCCTTCTGCCCACATCCCCCGAAGCTGCCGGGTCATCCCTGAATGCGGGCGGGGGGGCCAGGCCACTGTCGCCGCCCTCACTCATCCCAGTAGCTGTGCCCCGGTTACTCACGTGGTCCCTCGGAACATGGGCTCAGCCTGCCGGGTGAGCTTCAGGGATGGCGCGATCCAGCCTCACGCCCGAGCCCTGCCTTAAGCTCCCTGCCCTTGCCGCCTGGGCTTCCACCAACGCCCCCACTCTCACGGGCCTCCTCGGTCACCCGTCTTCCCTGTGAGCACTGTTCTCAGAGTCTTGGCACGTTTTGTTCCCCTTGGGAAGCGGCGGACGCACCACCCACGCGTGCCCAGGAAACTCCTTCCTGCCGCCTCTCTCTTCCACGTCCAGCTTCCACGGGCGGGTGCCGCTATTGCTCCCCTAAAACTTGGGTTCGTACCTGGGATGAGGAAAAGGGGGTATGGTCGGAGGGTTTGTTGGTTTCAGAAATACTGTGGTGACATCGTGGCTAGTTAGGGGGGCCCGTCCCCCCTTGTCTCGCCATGTCACTGTTTCCATGATGGGTTGTCTCTCTTGCAGTTCCACCCAGCGTGACGGGGGCCAGCTCACCCGGTGAGGTCTCGGCTGTGCTGGGCCAGGACGCGACCCTGGAATGCCGGGTCACGGGAAACCCCTTCCCCTCCGTTCACTGGGTCAAGGACAGCAAGTAGGTGCCCTGCCTGTCCCTCCACGGGGACCACTGATGGCAAACACCAAGTGCATGTGGGATTTTTATTCGTTTGAGATCATTAAATCTGGGGCTGGAGTGATAGCACAGCGGGAAAGGCGTTTGGCTTGCACGCGGCCAACCCGGGTTCGATTCCCAGCATCCCATAGGGTCCCCCAAGCACTACCAGTAGTGATTCCTGAGTGCATGAGCCAGGAGGAAGCCCTGAGGATCCCTAGGTGTGACCCAAAAAGAAAAAAAATAAAAATAACCCTAAAACGGACAAAATAAATGGTCACCGCAGGCAGGTGGAGGAATGGGAGAAGAAGAAGGAGAAGATCATGAGGCCACAGTATGCGGGAAAAAAAATCATCTGAATTTTGAAAGATATTCTCCATGTTATTCCGTAATGCGTTCCAGTCTCAGCAGTGTTTCTTAATGGCTTTGTGTCATAGTTTTTAATTCTGTGTGGCTCTGCTTTATTTCATGGCGATTCATGAACGAGGGGGCTTAGGAGAGTCACGTAGACCCAGGTGACACAATTTCATGCTTCTCCCCAGGCCTCTATTTTTGGGAGACCCCAACATTGAGCTTCTGGACAGAGGACAAGTGCTGCGTTTGCGGGCACTCCGGAGAGGGGACAAGGGACGCTACCAGTGTGTGGTGACCAACGCTGCCGGCAAGCACACCAAAGACGTCAAGCTCACCGTCCACAGTAAGTTCCACCTTCTTGGGCTTCTCGGCGGGAACAGAAAAGTAGTTGACTGGTCACAGTTACTCTCCACCTTTCTTTTACTGTCTCCATCCGGTGGAGTATTACACACTCCAGAACAAAGAACCTACCCTCTTCAGGCTAGACTGAACATAGGCTTCATTTATACGCCAGATAGTCCTGAGCACAGTGGACAACTAGGGCCGACACTCACAGTCACTGATTAACAACTTTTGTGCCTTGTATGGAAGAGAGCAGGATTGGAAACCGACACCCAACGTCCAAATAATCCAACAACGGCAGATGCTGTCTTCCGATTTGGTTGCGTGTGAATTGTTACGTCAGAATTTTTTTTACTCTTTATTTTTTCTTTTTGGGTCATACCCGGCGATGCTCAGGGCTGACTCCCAGCTCTGCACTCAGGAATCACTCCTGGCTGGTGTTCAGGGGACCATATGGGATGCTGGGGATCGAACCTGGGTTGGCCGTGTGCAAGGCAAATGCCCTCCCCGCTGTGCTGTCGCTCCAGCCCCCTTTTTAAATCTTTTTTCTTTATTTGTTTTGACTTTTTGGGTCACACCCGGCAGTGCCCAGGAGTTATTCCTGGCTCTGCACTCAGGGGTCACTCCACATCAAACTTCACAGGATCGAGTGACTTTCATGAGCTCTCCTTTGATGAACTCAGGTGTTTCCCAATTGGTTCGTTTGGGCAGAGATCAAAAGTCCGTATTCCCCCCCCCAAAAAAAAAGTCCGTACCCCTGGAGGAGTTTTCACATGCATGAGAGAGGATGAGGCCGATGGTCGCCTTCCCCTGTTTCCTCCTCATTCCTCCTTTCCTTTATGCGGACCTCGTGGGGGTCAGGTTAATACTTAGCACCCATTCTGCTGCTCAACCCGCAGTATCATGGTCCCCAGAAGTATGTAGCATGTGTTTGATGAAAATCCTGCATCCCTGCTTTCAGTCAAGATTGTGGCTATTGGGGCTGGAGCGATAGCACAGCGGGTAGGGCGTTTGCCTTGCACGTGGCCAACCCAGGTTCGATTCCCAGCATCCCATAGGGTCCCCCGAGCACCGCCAGGAGTAATTCCTGAGCGCAAAACCAGGAGTAACCCCTGTGCATGGCTGGGTGTGACCCAAAAAGAAAAAAAAAAGATTGGGGCTGCCAATCAAAATTTTAGAGATTCTCTGCTTCCATGCCTGATACTCTGAAGCGTCAGACGGGGGCGTGTGATGGTCCTCCAGAGCCTGTGCTTCCCAGGGCCCTGGATCACTCTTGAGCACTTGGAATGTGTCTGGTCCAAATTGAGCGGAGCTGACCGTATAAAGTCCATTCCTGGCCTCTGAGCTTCACAGGGAGACATCGGCCATCCTCTTGATGCATTTGCACTGACTGTCTCTGAGGTGGTCCTCTCATGGCTATGCCGGGCTCAGGGGTCAAGCGTATTCCTACACTGCATACCCCTTGTTTGTTTTTTATTTTATTTATTTATTTATTTATTTATGTTGGCTTTTTGGGTTCTACCCGGCGATGCTCAGGGGTTCCTCCTGGCTCTGCACTCAGGAACTACTCTTGGTGGTGCTCAGGGAACCCTATGGATGCTGGGAATTGAACTCGGGTCGGCCACGTGCAAGGCAAACGCACTATCCACCGTGCTATCGCTCCAGCCCCAAACCCTTGTTTATTTTTATATGTCGGAAGGGGGCCGCAGGAAGTTTGGAGTGACAGGTGGTCTGCACCCTGTTTCTGTGGCAAAGAAGTGGTCTACTTGTTCGTAAGAACCGGGCCTTCTTGGGGCCAGAGCAATAGCATAGCAGGGAGGGCGTTGGCCTTGCACGCGGCTGACCCGGGTTCGATCCCCGGCATCCCATGGGGTCCCCCAAGCACTGCCAGGAGTAATTCCTGAGTGCAGAGCCAGGAGCAACCCAGAGCATCTCCGGGTGTGAACCCCCCCCCAAAAAAAAAATAGAACTGGGCCTTCTGGGCTTGGAGTTCAGACCTGGCGCTTCTGCTCTGTGACGCTGGACAAACTGCCTCGCCCGTATGAGTTTCTGTTTGTTCATCTGTAAAAGGGTGATGTCCGCACCGTGGAATAACACACGAGGCCCAAGGGCCTGATTCTCTGCATGTGCTACTTGACTTTTCTAGTAAGTTTCAGAAAAGTCACCATTATCCTCTCAGTGATTGTCTTGTCTTAGAGCTTGGAAATACAGAGAATCTAATTAGATGTCTGTATAGCATCGCGGAATTCCAAATATCCTTTAAAAAAAATGTTAGCTGTGGGATTTTTTTTGGGGGGAGGGGAGGTTTATTGGGGTGACACCCAGATATGCTCGGGGCTGACTACTTCCTTTAACTCGGGGATCACTCCTAGTAGTGCTCGGGACAAGTGCCAGAGTAATGCAGAGTGTGGCCCCTGAACCCCCGCCCCCAGGGAAAATTTAAAAAAGAGGGCTGGAGCGATAGCACAGTGGGGAGAGCATTTGCCTTACACTTGGCCAACCGGGTTCGATCCCCGGCATCCCACAGGGTCCCCCGAGCACCGTCAGGAGTGATTCCTGAGTGCAGAGCCGGGAGGAACCCCTGAGCATCACCGGGTAGGACCCAAGAGGCCAAAATAATAATACTAATGATAATAATAATAATATTCATGGAACTGGAGATAGTCCAGCAGGGAGGGCGTTTGCCTTGCATCAGCCAACCTGGGTTCAATCCCCAGCATCCCCTAGTGTCCCCCGAGCACCGCCAGGTGTGATCCCTGAGTGCAGAGCCGGGAGTCAGCCCTGAGCATCGCCAGGTGGGACCCAAAAAGCAAAAAAATGAAACAGAAAGGAATCCCAGCAGATGTTTTGTCGCGCCGGCATCTGGGGAACAGGCCGCCAGCTGCTCTTTGAGCCTTGGGATCAAAGCCGGGTCCTGGGATGGCTGCTGGGACAAACACGTGGTTGATCTTGCAACAGCATCTCTGGGTCGGGCAGGCGGGCAGCTGGCTAAGGGCGGGCAGGAACTTGCTGACGGTTGCAAGGGTCAAGTGGGGTGAAGGAATTCTCCGGCAGCTGGGCAGAAGCAGAGCTTGAGGGGAGAGCATCTCCAGCTGTGGCCAACTCAGGAGCTCACGGGTGTCCTGTTGGAGGCAGTGGCCCCCGCGGGGGTCTCCGAGGGTGTTGTGGCCTGACTTCGTATCCTGCCCCCAGCACTGAGCTCTCCACCCTTTCATGGTCTCCAGCACACACTGATGGCTCAGTGGCAGCTTGGCGCGGGGGCAGGTGGGCTTACTTGGCTCTGTGCCCAGGGGTCACCCCCGGTGGTGCCTGGGGCATCCCTTGGGGGTCTCGGGCTGCTTGGAGGCGGGCCCTCGTGCCCACTCTGGTCCTATTGTATCAGCAGTCAGCGGCCTTTTCTTTTGCTTTCTTTGTTCAATGTCACTTTCTTAAGTAACTATAAGACAATCTAGCAGACCTCAAAGATCCCCCGACACTAATGTGAAGCCTTTGTTTCTCCGGAAATCTGAAACCCCAAGGAGGGTGGGGGGTGGTAGTAAACTTGGACAACAAGAAGACAAGCAGTCAGTATAAATAGCATATCACAGATGGTGTAAATAACAAGACAGCAGACAGTCAGTATAAATGACAAGACGGCAGACCGTCTGTCTGTCTATCTGTCTGTCTGTCCTCCCGTTCATTGATTTGGCATATCGAATACATCATGGGGAGCTTGCCAGGCTTTTGGTATAAATAACACCAGCAGACAGTCGGTATGAATAGCACTGTAGCACTGTCCTCCCGTTGTTCATGGATTTGCTCGAGTGGGCCCAGTAAGTCTCCATTGGAGACTTTGTTGTTACTGTGCTTGGCATCTCGAATGCGTCACGGGGAGCTTGCCAGGCTCTGCCGTGCGGGCGAGATCCTCTCGGTAGCTTGCCAGGCTCTCCGAGAGGGGCGGAGGAATCGTTTGCATGCCAGGCGAACGCCCTACCTGCTGTGCTCCTGCTGCAGCCCTCACTGTAAATAACGAGACCACAGACGATCGCTGTAAATGACAAGATGGCAGACAGTCAGCGTCAATAAGGACAGCAGACAATTGGTGTAAATAGCAAAACAGCAATGGATATAAATACCAAGATGACACACAGTCAGTCTAGGTAACAAGACGACAGTCAGTGTGATAACAAGACGCTGAACATCGGTACCAGTCACACTTGCCAGCTGCTGCTGTTCCCTTGCCGTAACTTGAAACGCGTGAGCGGCCGGCAGCCTCTGAGCTGTGCTGGGGCTCCAGGCTCACCAGGCCAATCGTGTCTGTTCTGACCCTCAGTCCCCCCGAGCATCAAGGGCGGGAACGGGACCCTGGAGGTGTCGGCGCTGGTCCACAGCAGGATCAAGCTGGAGTGTGAGCCGCGGGGACTGCCCCTGCCCACGGTCACGTGGTCCAAGGATGGCCAGCCAGTCCTCCCGGGCTCCCAGGTCCTCTATGTCGAGAAGGGACAGTTTCTCCACATCCCGAGAGTGCAGGCCTCTGATGCGGCCACCTACACGTGCCATGCCACCAATGTCGCCGGAACAGCTGAAAAATCCTTCCGTGTCGATGTCTATGGTAAGAAACGGGACCTCAGGGGCCGGAGTGATAGTACAGCGTGAAGGGCGTTGGTGTTGCACGTAGCCGACCCGGGTTCAATCCCCGGCATCCCATAGGGTCCCCCGAGCACCACCAGGAGTGATTCCTGAGTGCAGAGCCAGGAGGAACCCCTGAGCATCGCTGGGTAGGACCCAAAAAGAAAAAGAAAAAAGAAGGAAAAAAACAAGGGAGAGATAGGGAGAGAGGGAGGGAGGGAGGGAGGGAGGAAGGAAGGAAGGAAGGAAGGAAGGAAGGAAGGGAGGGAGGGAGGAAGGAAGGAAGAAGAACGGAGGCTGGAGCGATAGCACAGTGGGTAGGGCATTTGCCTGGCACACATCTGACCCGGGTTCGATCCCCGGCATCCCATAGGGTTCCCCAAGCACAGCCAGGAGAGATTCCTGAGTGCAGAGCCAGGAGTCAGCCCTGAGCATCACCAGGTGGGACCCAAAAAGGAAAACAAAAACAAAAACAAAAAAAAGTAATATTATGAGTGTGTTATTAATATATTGTAGTAATAAAATATTGTGTTTATATATCTCAATATATTATCAGTATAATAGGATTACATTATGTCCCTTGAAAATATTACTTTTTTTTAATGACTTTGGGGTCCAGAGAGATAGCACAGCGGGGAGGGCGCTTGCCTTGCATGCGGCCAACCCGGGTTCGATCCCCGGCATCCCCTAGGGTCCCCCGAGCACCGCCAGGAGTGACTCCTGAGTGCAGAGCCAGGAGTCAGCCCTGAGCATCACCGGGTGGGACCCAAAAAAGCAAAAAAGTGAATAAACGATGGGACCTCAAGTTCCTTACAGCCCCGAGTTGCCTCATGCCAGCAGCCCGCTCGTTCCTCCGACCCTCCTCCTGTTTGCGGTTGGCAGAGTGCGCCCCCGGATTGGGGGAAGGGTGTCTCCCCAAGCGAAGGTTAACCAGAAGGTGGCCCAGTGATTCAGCCCTGCGTCCACCCAAAGCACTAGTGACAACAGACCGTTGAGTTTCTAGGGAAAACACAAAGTGTGGTCTTCCCATAGCACCCACATAAGATTTGTTCTGGGCCCCCCTAGAAACTAAGTTTATATTAAACCTTTTATGTAAAATGGGCTGGAGCGACAGCACGGTGGGGAGGGCGTTTGCCTTGCACACAGCCAACATGGCCGACCCGAGTTCGATTCTTCCGCCCCTCTCGGAGAGCCCGGCAAGCTACCGAGAGTATCTCGCCCGCACGGCAGAGCCTGGTAAGCTCCCTGTGATGTATTCGATATGCCAAACACAGTAACAACAAGGTCTCCAATGGAGACGTTACTGGGCCCGCTCGAGCAAATCGATGAACAACGGGAGGACAGTGACAGTGATCTAAAATGGCATAGGAGGCCCGGGAGACCTGTGAGGAGCTGGCCTTGCTTGCAGCCTACCAGGGCTCTGTCCCTTGTACCCCTGTGGTCCCCTGAACCCACCGGGAGTGACTCCGGAGCTCAGGGTCAGGAATGAGCCCTGAGCATCGCCAGGCGTGGCCCAAATCACTCTCCATCCCCCTTCCACCCTCCAAAAAAATAAGCTGGGGCCTGGGAGATGGCCCAGTGGGCTGAACACGTGCATCTGAAAGCCCTGGGTTGGATCCCAGCGACCCACCGGGTCCCCCAAGCAGGAGAGAGCCACGAGTAAACCCTGAACACTGCTGGGTGTGACCCCAAACCAACAAACCAAAACCAGGCATTCAGCCGAACCTCACTCGACTCTCGAGGACCCCTGGCCCTAATGCCGGGCTGGTGCTCGGTCCACGGTCACCCGCTGCGTCATGGAGGGACCCAGAGAGAGGGAGACTTGGCCTTTCCCAGAGACATGCTGGTCAGAGGCCCGGTTTCACGTGCAGGCCTGCCCTGCAGACGCTGGGGAGAGGCCCCCTCTGTCTCTCCGCCACTGTCGGGACGGAGTCCTTCCCCTGTGTACCTGCAACCCTTCCCATGCCTCAGGCCTGAGAGGACAGGCTCATGCCCCTTCCCTAAGAGAGCAGAAATACTTAAGGACCCCCAACGCCCTTTTCCTGGGAGAGTAGATGGAGCTCAGGGACCCCCAGACACCCCTCCCTAACAGCCCAGATGGCATCCACGTGATGCCCGCCTGCCTCCCGCCTCCCCTCCGTCCCCAAGACGGGTCCGAGTCGGCCTGTGTTTTGCCTCCCCAGTGCCTCCCACCATCGAGGGGGACGCGGCCGGGTTCCGGACGAAGCAGGTGGTCCTGGCCCACCCCCTGACCCTGGAGTGCAACGCGGCCGGCCACCCGCCGCCCACCCTCACCTGGCTGAAAGACGGGGTCCCCGTGCGGGCCGGCGACCACGTCCGCCTGGGCGCGGGCGGGAAGAAGCTCGAGCTCCTGAGCGTCCTGGAGGCCGACCAGGGCCAGTACGTGTGCGTGGCCAGCAGCGTGGCCGGAGAGAAGGAGATCAGATACGAGGTGGAGGTGCTGGGTGAGTCGGGGGCCCGCCCGGCCCTGCTCCCGGGGAGACGTGCCCAGTCCGGTGGGAACTGAGTTCTCGGCTCTTGTCAGCTTTGTTGGGCCACACCCAGCAGGGCTCGGGGGTCACTCCTGGTGGGGACCCCGGGTGGTGTCGGGACCACACCCCTCTGCCGTCTCTTCGTCCCGATCACTTGGGCTTTGACCTGGGGAGGAAGGAGGAATCTCGGTCGAGGTGGAGGCGTGTCCTTGCCCCTGGCCTGGCTGTTACTGGCGGATTTTCCTCCAGAACCCCGGTCCGGGCAGCTCCTCGTTTGTCGAAGGGTGGATGTTTGCGTCTCAGACTCGCGGATGGCACTGGGGGTCCGTGGGGACCCCCCCCCCCGGCTGCATTGTGCCAGGCGGCTGATCACGGGATTACTAGGAAGTCGGCCCACCCCCACCCCCAGCCTCTGTCTGGTACCAACCGAAGACTTTGGAAGAGACGATCCACTTTTTTTTTTTTTTTTTTGGTTTTTGGGTCCCACCCTCAGGGCTTCCTCCTGGCTCTGCGCTCAGGGATCACTCCTGGTGGTGCTCGGGGGATCCTAGGGGATACCGGCGATCGAACCCGGGTCGGCCTCGTGCCAGGCCAATGCCCTCCCTGCTGTGCTATTGCTCCAGCCCCGAGAAGTTCTACTTTTGAGGTTCTCTTCTCGCGACAATCAACAGCATAAGAAGGGAACCCACTTTATCCTCACCCGGCCTCAGGGGCACCTTGTCGCTCGGTGGCATAAGTCCATCCTGCCAGAGCTGTTGGGGCAGAGATGGTACCAAGGGGAAGGTTCCCGCCTTCCACGCGGTTAACCTGACTTCAGAGAGTTCCCCAAGCCCTGCCAGGAGTCAGCCCCGAGCACAGAGCCGGGAGTGAGCCCTGAGCACAGAGCCTGGAGTCATCCCCGAGCACAGACCAAGGAGTCACAGAGCCAGGAGTCAGTCCCGAGCACAGAGCCGGGAGTGAGCCCTGAGCACAGAGCACAGAGCCGGATGTTACGCTGTGAGCACAACTGGATGTGCCTCCCGCCACAGACAGAACTGTGTGTGTTTGCCCTGCTCACTGCTCCTTGCACACTTTCCCTCCCAGTCCCTCCCACGTGCCCTACAGTCACCGAGTGACTGTGGCACGAAATCGACCCTCTGAACCCGGGGTTCCCTTTTCAGGAAACAGACAGACTCCGCGACCCCTGAGAGTTGACCTTAACGAGGCCACCAGAGAGCCCCGAGGCTCCTGCTGCCCCCTGGGTCGCCCCCGGCCCCCGGGGGTCACGCCCTCTGGGAGGTGGGCCGCCCCGTGGACCCTGTGGGCTCACCCTGCCCTTCCTTGCTGCTGTGTCTCCCCAGTGCCCCCAGCGCTGGACGGGGGGGACGACGTCTCCTACTCCATCGTGATGGCCAGCAACCTGCTGGAGCTGGACTGCCCCGTCTCGGGCTTGCCGCCGCCCACCATCACGTAAGGCCGCGCGTGACCCTGCGCCCCACTTGCTCTTTGGTCCGAGCACTGCGGAGGGTCCCAGGAAGCGTGTCCGGGCCCCTCCTATGTAGGGCCAGAGCGACAGCCAATGGGGAGGGCACTGGCCTGGCACGCGGCTGGCTGGCCGACCCGGGTTCGATCCCCTTAGGGTCCCCCGAGCACCGCCAGGAGTGATCCCTGAGTGCAGAGCCAGGAGTCAGCCCTGAGCATCGCCGGGTGGGAGCCAAGAAGCAATAATAATATCTGGTCCATCACCCAGTTCAGCACCTTGATCAGTATCTGATCCATCCATAGGGGCTGGAGCAATAGCACAGCAGGGAGGGCGTTGGTCTGGCACGCGGCCGACACGAGTTCGATCCCCGGCATCCCCGAGGGTCCCCCGAGCACCACCAGGAGGGAGTCCTGAGTGCAGAGCCGGGAGTCAGCCCTGAGCATCGCCGGGTGTGACCCCCAAACTAAACACAAACAGAAGTGAAAGAAGTGTGCCCGCCCTGCCCTGCCCTGCCCTGCGGGTGTGTCTCAGCTGCGTCCACAGCTTAGAGCAAATCAGGCTCCTCCAGAGTCGAGATTCTGGTCCCTCAATCTAGGACTGTCTGTTGTTTGGGTGCGTGTGTACGTGTAAGCCTAGCAGAGAGAGAGAGAGAGAGAGAGAGAGAGAGAGAGAGAGAGAGAGAGAGAGATCCGTCTAGAATCTTCTAGAGGTTTCGTGACAAGAGAGATTCTTCTAGAATCTTCTAGAGATTTCGTGACGAGAGAGATTCTTCTAGAATCTTCTAGAGATTTCGTGACGAGAGAGAGAAATGAGAGATTCTTCTAGAATCTTGTAGAGATTATAGAGATTCCGTGACAAGAGAGGGGGATAGAGATTCTTTCGGAATCTTCTAGAGATTCCATGACAAGGGGGGGAGAGATTCTTCTAGAATCTTCTAGAGATTTTGTGACAGAAAAATGAGAGATTCTTCTAGAATCTTCTAGAGATTCCGTGACAAGAGATTCTTCTAGAATCTTCTAGAGATTCTGTGACGAGAGAGAGATGATTCTTCTAGAATCTTGTAGAGATTATAGAGATTCCGTGACAAGAGAGGGGGATAGAGATTCTTTTGGAATCTTTTAGAGATTCCATGAAAAAGATTCTTCTAGAATCTTATAGAGATTTTGTGACAGAGAGAAAAATGAGATTCTTCTAGAATCTTCTAGAGATTCCATGACAAGGGGGGAGATTCTTCTAGAATCTTCTAGAGATTCCGTGACAGATATTCTTCTAGAATCTTCTAGAGATTCCGTCATGAGAGAGAGAAATGAGAGCAATTCTTATAGAATCTTCTAGAGATTCTGTGACAAGGGAGGGAGAGGGAGAGATTCTTCTTGAATATTTTAGAGATTTTGTGAGGAGAGAGCAAGCGAGAGAGAGAGAGAGTGCTTCTTCTACAATCTTCTAGAGAAATGAGAGAGATTCTTCTAGAATCTTATAGAGATTATAGAGATTCCGTGACAAGAGAGGGGGATACAGATTCTTTCAGAATCTTCTAGAGATTCCATGACAAGGAGGGGAGAGATTCTTCTAGAATCTTCTAGAGATTCCGTGACAAGGGAGGGGGAGAGAGAGCTTCTAGAATCTTCTAGAGATTCTGTGACGAGAGAGAAATGAGATTCTTCTAGAATCTTCTAGAGATTCCGTGACAAGGGAGGGGGAGAGATTCTTTTGGAATCTTCTAGAGATTCTGTGACAAGAGAGATTCTTCTAGATTCTTCTAGAGATACTGTGACGAGAGAGAAATGAGAGCAATTCTAGAATCTTCTACAGATTCCATGACAAGGGAAGGGAAGAGAGAGAGCTTCTTCTGGAATCTTCTAGAGATTCCATGGAGAGAGAGAGAGCAAGCAAGAGAGAGAGAGAGAGAGAGAGAGAGACAGCTTCTTCTAGAATCTTCTAGAGATTCCATGCCGTAGCCCTCCCTCGTGGCCCCGCTCCTGCAGGTGGCAGAAGGATGGACAGGTCATCGACGAAAGGGACGGCGTCAAGGTCCTGCTGAATGGGCGCAAGCTGGTCATCGCCCAGGCCCAGGTGCGGGACACGGGCATCTATCACTGTGTGGCCACCAACGCGGCCGGCAAGCACGAGAAGGAGTTCGAAGTGTCCGTCCATGGTAGGCGCCTGCGCCCTCAGCCTCCTCACCCCGGGCCTTAACCAGCGGGGCCCCCGGGTTCCACGCCCACCGGGACCCTGAGCAGCACCCGGGGCCGCCCCAACCCCCAAGAAAAACTTACTTCACTGTGACTGGAGTGAGAACATAGCGGGGAGGGCATTGGCCTGGCACGTGGCTGACCCGGGTACAATCCCCGGCATCCCATGGGGTCCCCTGAGCACTGCCAGGAGTAATTCCTGAGTGCAGAGCCAGGAGTCAGCCCTGAGCATCGCCGGCTGGAACCCCAAAAGGCCAAAATAATATAATAACGATAATAAGAGTCACGGGACTAGACACATAGCCCAGCGGGGAGGGCGTTGGCCTGGCACATGGCTGACCCGGGTTCGATCCCCGGCATCCCATAGGGTCCCTGGAGCACTGCCCAGAGTGATTCCTGAGCGCAGAGCCGGGAGTCAGCCCTGAGCATTGCCGGGTGGGACAAAAAAAAGCAAAAAATAAGAAAAGAACTTGTCTCACTGTGTCCGAGTTCTGGGCTCTGCCTTCTGCGGCCCGTCAGTCCTGCTCCCTGCCTTGGGGGTCCCGAGTGTCAGGGCTGCTGCCCATGGGGTCCCCCCGTCTCTCCCCTCCAGTGCCGCCCTCCATCAAGCCCTCCGGCCCGTCCGAGAGAGCGGTGGTCACCCGTCAGCCCGTCAGCCTGCAGTGTGTCGCCCATGGCATCCCCAGCCCGGCCCTCACGTGGCTGAAGGACAGCCAGCCCGTGGACACGGCCCGCGGGGGCCTGCGGGTAAGTCACCCCGTGCCAGCCCGAGGGAGGAGGCTGAGGCCGGCGTCCCCGTCCAGGACACAGACACGCAGCCCGCGGGAGAAAGTTCACTTAGGGGCCGGGGGCCCCGGCCGGCGGCATCTTCCTTCTTTCCCCTTCACTCGTTGGAACTGTCGGGGTGATGCTGAGCGTTGGTCGCCAGTGCTCTGCCTCAGTGCTCCCTGGCTCTCCTCCGGAGGACGGGAAGGCAGAGCGCGCTGGGTCCGAGGGCAAGAGGGTGGCAGAAACACAACAAGCTAGTTTAGAATCTTCCGGAGAGCAGAGTCGGTCTCTCAGGGACTTCACTGCCCTGTTTGCAACCCTGAGTTGAGTCCTGGCGTGTAACTGGGTCTCGGTGCAGCACTGGGAGGCAGAAAGGAGGGAGGGAGGAGAGGAGGGGGGGAGGGAAGGAATAAAGGGATGGAGGAAGGAAGGGGAAGGAAAGGAGGGAGGTAGGGAGGGAGGAAGGATGGAAGGAAGGAAGGGAGGGAGGGAAGGAAAGGAGGAGGGAGGGAGGGAGGGAAGGAAAGTAGGGAGGAAGAAAGGAAGGAAGGAAGGAAGGAAGGGAGGAAGGGAGGAAGGACAAAGGAAGGAAGGAGGGAGAGAGGGAGGAAGGAAGGAAGGAAAAAGAGAAGGAAGGAAGAAAGGAAGGGAGGGAGGGAAGGAAGGAAGGAGGGAGGAAGGAAAGGACGAAGGAAGGAGGGAGAGAGGGAGGGAGGGAGGGAGTGAAGGAAGGAAGGAAGGAGGGAGGAAGGAAAGTAGGGAGGAAGAAAGGAAGGAGGGAAGGAAGGGACAAAGGAAGGAAGGAGGGAGAGAGGGAGGAAGGAAGGAAGAAGAGAAGGAAGGAAGGAAGGAAGGGAGGGATGGAGGGAGGAAGGAAGAAAGGGAGGAAGAAAGGAATGAAGGATGAAGGAAGGAAGGAGGGAAGGAAGGATGGAAGGAAAGAAGGAAGGGAGGGGGAGGGAAGAAAGGGAAGAATAAAAAAAGGAAGGAATGGAGGTAGGGAGGGAGGGAGGAAGGAAGGAAAGAAGGGAGGGAGGGAGGGAGGGAGGGAGGGAAGAAAGGGAGGAAGAAGAGAAGGAAGGAATGAAGGGAAAGGAAGGCAGAGCAAGGGAAAAGGAACAGAAACAGGAGCCCAGCCCTCGTTCAGGGACCACAGCATTACAGGAGCTCGGGCAAGAGTCTGGAGTGAATCTGAATTCACTTCTGGGCTGGCCACTCCTGTGTCCCGTCCAGTCTGGAAAAGGGGGCCTGCAAGGCGGCCCGTCTGGCGTGTGGAGCAAGGGCCACGTGGGGTGAGCGCGTGTGAGCCTGCAGGCTCTGCTCACGTGGGCTCTTCCTTCCGGGTCACGTGGGGAGCCACGAACGTTCCACGGCCCGTGGAAATCACCGGTAAGAGGGTCAGCTTTGGCATTCTCGACCAATCCTGGCGATGGCCTGCGAGATCAGTTTGGGGATTTCTGGACTGTCTGTCGAGATGCGAGTCGAGTTCCCCCGGGGCAGAACCCGGGCGGCCAAGAAACAGCTCAAGGTGGAAGAACGGGACGCGAAGCCCCAGGTGGCGGGGAGAGTCTGGGGTCACGGGAGAGACTGCGGACCTTTCGACCAGGGGTTCTGCCGTCTAAGGGAGCGGAAAAACCCCTTCCTGCTTGGGAGACGGGCAGTGTCGTCTCCCCGAGACCCAGCCTGAGAGGGACAGGGAGGTGAGCTCGCTCTGTCCAAGGCCCCACGTGGGAAGAGATTCCTGCTGGCAGGGCCGGAAGTGGAGGCAGATCCCATCCAGCCAGCTTCTGAGAAAGCCAGAGAGTGAGTTCCAGGACGATGAGTCCAGGAATCCGCCCTTGCAGGGAAGGAGAGAGACGTTGCCATGGACCCCTTGTGGGGAGCTTCCAGGGAAGCTCAAATGAATCCGCACCAGAGAGGGACTGCGAAAACAGGATCATTGGGCTGGAGCAATAGCACAGCAGGGAGGGCATTTGCCTTGCACGCAGCCGACCCGGGTTCGATTCCCAGCATCCCATAGGGTCCCCCGAGCCCCGCCAGGAGTGATTCTGGAGTACAGAGTCAGGAGTCAGCCCTGAGCATTGCTGGGTGTGACACCACCCTCCCCAATACAAACAAACAAAACAGGATCATTTTTTTTCCTGGGACCTTAAATTTTACATTTGTTTGAAATCTTAAAAATCTTTCAAAGTGGTTTGAAAACACCAATTCCAAAACAGCGAGGGCCACCTGCTGAGAGTAAAGAAGTAAAGTAAAGGCCCTCCCGTTGTCCATCGATTTGCTCGAGCGGGCCCAGTAACGTCTCCATTGGAGACTTTGTTGTTACTGTGTCTGGCATATCCAATACTCTCGGTAGCTTGCCGGGCTCTCCGAGAGGGCCGGAGGAATCGAACTCAGGTCGGCCATGTTGGCTGCGTGCAAGGCAGACGCCCTGAAGGGGGAAATAAATAGAAAAATGTGCATTTTCCCATTCCTCATATTCTCTTGGGTTTAATTGTCCTTCCTCCAGCACCTGTGGCCATTGAATCCCCAAAGATTGTTATAAAAGCCCTTTATGAGGTGTTTATGTAAATAGGTCCCAGGTACCTTCTGACAGCTCTGATTTCCACCACTCTGCTCAAATAACTCTTTGCTGGGAAGGGATTTTACGGCCCTACCAGCAGGCGTGTCCAGGGGCTGTTTTAGTTGGTGTCTCCCCAGGGCTCAGAAACGCTTTGCATGCCACGAGTCTCTCTCTTTGTGCGGGATGAGGAACTCTGGGTCTTGTCTGGCTGTCGAGAGATAATTAAGATGTTCACATCCACGCCTGGTGGCAGAGGACCCGGCTGTCCCTCCCCAGGTGCCCACCCACCCAGAAGACTGGCTGTCACAATTTGCCCCTGAGCACCATTTTAGTGCATCAGCAGCCCTAGCCCAGAGACAGAGCAGCAAGTCCTGGAAGACACCACAGCGCCAGAGATCTCTCCGGGTCCCATATTGGGCCAGTATCACTGGGGCCTTCAGGGTCAGGGGAATGAGACCCATTGTAATTGTAATGGGCTCCTGAAGGTCCATTCGCTTTCAACGGAACTACCATCTCCGAATGCAACGGTTATGTGTACCTAGGTTGAGAAGTCAACATGACAAATGACCTGGCACCCGAGCTGTGCAGGAAGAAGAGAGCGGTTTGGAACGCCTTCAAGAGCATCGAAGAAATAGCTAAGAGGACGAAGAACCTCTGGCTCCGGGTGCATGTCTTCGATTCCACTGTTCTTCCTGCATTAACATACGTCTGAGAGACCTGGGCCCTACGCAAACAAGATTCCTCCCAAAGAGGAATCGAAAGAGCTATGCTTGGAGTATCACATTTCACTCAAATAAGAGAAAGAATCCGGAGTTCCGACATCCGTGACGATCAAGAATCAGGGACCCTGTCTCTTTTGCCAAGGCGTCAAAAATCAGATGGGCTGGTCATGTAATGAGATTTAGAGACGACCGCTGGACTAGAGCTGTTACCGACTGGATTCCACAGGATGTCAAAAGACCACGTGGCCGCCCACCTACCAGATGGTCGGGCTTCTTCATCAAGATCACGAACAATCGGTGTGAGGCTCTTCGTGTTCCTAAAACAAACAGACGCCATTGGGCTACACTAGCACGCGAAGGGACAAATGGAGATGTTACTGGTGCCCACTCGAGCAAATCAACGATTGACGGGAAGTCAAGTGATCAAGTGATCAAGTGATCACTGGGGCATCCCAGATGGAGCAGGTGCAGTCTCCCTGCCTACTCCAGACAGAATCCGGTGACCAAGAGCTTCCACAGGGAAGCCCTTCTCTCCCAGTATGTGGGTTCCAGGACTAAATCTCTGGCGCCATCTGAACGCACAAACAGCCCTGGGCCAGAGGCTCCCGGTTGAATCCCAAAATGGATCAGTGCCCTACAGAGATGCCTCTGGAACCCAACCATCTACAGTCTAGAAACTTACATTCACAGTCGTGGCCATGCGAGCTCTCGTGATGTTCGTTCAAAATGAGCAGTGGGAAATAAATGATCGAGCGTCAGCCCGTTCAGGCAGGCTTGGATAGTGGTGGGAGAATTCGAGCAAAACATAGTGCCCCAAACTAGAGGGAGAGTGTTGGGGAGATTGTCTGGCACAGAGGCAGGGTGAGGACTGGGATGTGGGTGCTGGGGAATGTGCACTGGTGGAGGGATGGGTGTTCCGTCATTGCAGGGCTGAATCTCAGACATGAAAGCTCTGTAACTCCATCTCACGGTGATACAGTTCACTGTAACACTGTATCACTGTCATCCCGTTGTTCATCAGTTTGCTCGAGCTGGCACCAGTCACGTCTCCCTTCACCCCAGCCCTGAGATCTTAGCAGCCTCCGTACTCGTCCTTCCCAACGCTGCCGTATTGGAGGCTCTTTCAGGGTCAGGGGAACGAGGCCGTTATGGTTACTGTTTTTGGCACATTGAATACAGTTAAAAAAAGGTTATGTGGGAGCTGGAGTGATAGCGCAACAGGTAGGGCGTTTGCCTTGCACATGACCAACCCGAGTTCGGTCCCAGCATCCCGTAGGGTCCCCTGAGCACTGCCAGGAGTTATTTCTGAGTGCAGAGCCAGGAGTCACCCCTGAGCATCGCCAGGTGTGACCAAAATGCAAAAAAGGTAATGTGGAGTTCGTGCCCAGTTCAGTCAGCGTAGTACATTGTAGCACTGTCCTCCCGTTGTTCATCAGTTTGCTCGAGCGGGCACCAGTAGCATCTCAACAAATTGTGAGATTTGTTGTTACTGTGTTTGGCATCTCGAATTCGTCACGGGGTGCTTGCCAGGCTCTGCCATGCGGGCGGGATATTCTCGGTAGCTTGCCTGGCTCGCTCTCTCTCTCGAGACTCCTACATTTTTTTTTAATTTAAATGTTGGCATCCAGCCTACTCTTGACTTTGCTGCCGTTCTTCCTGCCCCTCCCAGATCCAGTCTTCGGGCCGAGTCCTGCAGATCGCCAGTGCCCAGCTAGAGGACGCCGGCCGGTACACGTGCGTGGCCACCAACGCGGCCGGAGAAGCTCAGCGTCACGTCCAGCTCCATGTCCACGGTACTGCCGCTTCCCCCCAGTCACGGGGCCCCTGGCACTGTGGGGTGCTGTGCCCGAGTTTCAGATCCCCAGTCGCAGAGAGACTGAGTCCACACACAATAGTGCCAAAAGCAAAGGAACTTCATTGCTAGCCGAAGCCAAACCTAGCCCGAGCTAGGGTCCGAGTGTCGTCCAACGCAGTGGAGTCTTGACAAGGACCCCAACTCCAGTTCATAAGCAGTTTTGAACGATAGCACAGCAGGGAGGGCATTTGCCTTGCACACGGTCAACCCGGGTTCGAGTCCCAGCATCCCATAGGGTCCCCCGAGCACTGCCAGGAGGAGTGATCCCTGAGTGCAGAGCCAGGAGTCAGCCCTGAGCATCGCCGGGTGGGACCCAAAAAGCAAAAAAAAAAAAAAAAAAAGGAAAAAAGGAAAAAACAGAAGCGGTTTATATAGGGCTCAGAGTTAAGAGGCAATTTATAAACTGGTCTGTGTTTAGCAGGGGCCCTATTACAGTGGTGGTCAGCAGTTAGACAGGGGTTAGCAACAGTTTCTTAAGGAAGGGACAGCGGCCCGGCCAGACCCAACTGCCCCATTCCTTGTCTGAACGAATCACTCAACTGGGAGTTTAGCGGAAACTGCAGGTCCTGCCCAGGGGAAACAAACTCAGGCCTGGCTGAGACTCAGTGTCGGGTGCAGCCTGTCGTGGCCTCAGTTTCGCCCTCACAGGTCTTGCAGTAGCGTGGGTTCCGCTTCCTTGACCTTGTGCGGACAGAAAAGCAACAAGTCTGGCTCTGAAAACCAAACAAACCCCAGCTCCGTTTCCTCCATTACCCTAACGACGATTGCTCGGGGGAAGGTGCTCCCTTCCCAGGGGCGAGAGTGCTAGCACAGTCCTTGCACTTTCTGTCCGTTCCCGGGATGCTGTTAGTGGGCTCTTTTGAACTCATCCTGCACGTTAAGACAAACGTTGTGGGGGCTGGAGCGATAGCACAGCGGGGAGGGCGTTTGCCTTGCACGCTGCCGACCCGGGTAGGATCCCCGGCATCCCATAGGGTCCCCCAAGCACCGCCAAGAGTGATTCCTGAGTGATTCCTTCCGGCGATGCCCAAAGGTTAACTCCAAGCTTTGCACTCAGGAATTACTCCTGGCAGTGCTCGGGGGACCGTATGGGATGCTGGGAATTGAACCCGGGTCAGCTGCATGCAAGGCAAACGCCCTCCCCGCTGTGCTATCACTCCACCCCCAAAAGTTATTTGTTTCTTAATTGAATCACAGTGCAAAGTTGTTCATGGTTGGGTTTCAGTCATACAATGTTCCAACACCCGTCCCTTCACCAGGGTACATTTCCCAGCACCAGTGTCCTCAGTTTTTGTCCCACACTCTTTGGCAGACACTTTTCTTCTCTTTCTGTCTCTGTCTCTGTCTCTGTCTGTCTCCCTCTGTCTGTCTGTCTCTGTCTCTCTGTCTCTGTCTGTCTCTCTCTGTCTCTCTGTCTCTCTGTCTCTGTCTCTGTCTCTCTCTCTGTCTCTCTCTCTCTCTCCCCTTTTGGGTGCTGTGTTTTGCAATGCAGATACGGAAAGGTTATCCAGTATCCCCAACGTTTTGCATTCAATTTTCCGTTAAGAGGGACATTGCGAAACTCTTGGAAAGCCACGGTCGTCCGTTCACTTGCCGGCTTCTTGTCTCTCTACCTACCTGGTCAGTTCGCCTTAGTCAGCTCTTTTTTGATGAGCCTGGCCCTCCCTCCGCTTCTTATCCCAACGCCTCCAATCCCAAGAAAAGGCGACTTTCCATGGCTTCATAGTTTCCTTTCACATAAAAGAGAACTTTGATGCTTCCATTTTTTCTCAAACATGGAAAAACACGTTTCCAGCAGATGAAGTCAGAGTGTCTGATCTGGTGGGGCTGACCTCCGGCTCGTCCTGAGAAGACGGTCATTCTTGTAATTCTCGGGGGGTCCCCCACCCCGGCACGGGGGAGGGGAGCTCTGTCTATTTTTGGAGGCAGAAGGTCCTCAGTGGGTGGTCCTTTTTGATCATCAAAAGCGTCCTAATTCTGGGACATCCTGTTCTCCCAGACCAAACTCAGAAATTAGAGCTCAACCGCCCATCGCTTCCAAATGAGACTGATGTTTCCACAAACAAACGATTCTCTGGGCTCGAAGGGGTCAAGCATTCCTTTCAGCTGCGCTAAATTAGTTCCCAAAACCACGCAGCGAAGGTGGGCCTGCCTCTGACGTCGGCCTGCTCGGAGCTCAGATTCTGTGAAACTGGAAGAATCGTGCTCGGGTCGGGCCTGGGGTCTTGTGGTGAGGGTTTGTTCATCCAAAGCTCAGCCATAACCACCCATCAGTTCAGTGGCTGAAGTGCTTTGGCCAAATTCACATTTGACTTATGGCCTTTCTCATTGTCTGGAGTGACAGCACAGCGGGTAGGAGCGTTTGCCTTGCACATGGCCGACATGGCCGACCTGGGTTCGATTTCTCCGCCCCTCTCAGAGGGCCTGGCAAGCTACTGAGAGTATCTCGCCCACACGGCAAAGCCTGGCAAGCTCCTCGTGACGTATTTGATATGCCAAAAACAGTAAAAAGAAGTCTCACCTGGTGCCCGCTCGAGAAAATAGATGAACAACGGGAGGACAGTGCTACAACGCTACAGTGCTCATTGCACCAATATTGTTAGCAAATACATCTGCCGGTGCGGAGTGTCTTTGCTGCTGGTTAAGAATCACCCTGAGGGCCTGGAGAGAGAGCACAGCGGGGAGGGCGTTTGCCTTGCACGCGGCCAACCCACGTTCGGTTCCCAGCATCCCATAGGGTCCCCTGAGCACCGCCAGGAGTAACTCCTGAGTGCAGAGCTAGGAGTAACCCCTGTGCATCGCCAGGTGTGACCCAAAAAGAAAAAAAAAGAATCACCCTGGGTTTGCATGAATCGTCTGATGGGAATGTTTATAAAGCACCCCTTAATCTAATTTTTTAAAAGTTGCTTGACTCGCATCTGCTAACTCCCACTTGGAAAAAAAATTTTTTTTTTGCTTCTCTGTCTTGGTTAAGAATTTTCTTGCCGTCTAAGGACACTTGGAGATAGGACAGGGAAATATCTGGCTGTCTTCTTGGATCACTTGAGCTCAGGACTCTGCTATTTTCTCAATATAGAAGAATCTGTTACTCACTGGATGGTAATGTGGGGGTCATGCTAGGTCGTGACGGGTACGGGGCATTCGCTCATCCAAATCACTGTTCGCTCAATTCCACATTAATTCTGATTTCACCGGGTTGTTAAAAAAAATCAGTTCATGTTACAAAAGATTCGAGGAAGCGACATTATTGTGGTTTAGGGGTGGGCGCGTATATTTGGTTTTTGGGAGGGCTATCTGCAGAAAATCCTACCATGTAATGGGGTTTGCCTCTTGCTTGAAGCCCAGGGAACTCATTGTTACCGTAGATACTGTTATTTGGAATTCTTCGGTCTGAGTTCAGAATGGCAAGCCCTTCCAAGTGCTGGAAGGAACGACAGAATTTATACGAACGGTGACCTTTTTCCCTAAGTATGTCCCAACACTTATTTCTCAGAAGGCTCCAGGTTTTCCTCCTGGTGCTAAAAATCACTTGACACTCTGTGAAAGACATTTGCCTGCTGATCCTGTCGCCCAGAATTACGTCTGAACCTCATCTGTTTGTTCATCAGCTCAGAAGAATTCCGTTTATATGGCTGACCTGGTTTGATCCCCCAGCACATTCCGGAAGCCATGGCGTCTGCGCCGCGTAGAGATAGTTGAACTTCTTTTCCTGTTGGGATGGCCTTTGTTTCCCTTCCCTGGCTGACCTGAGCAACCGCCCGAGCGAGGGAGGGAGGGGGGAGAGAGAGAGAGAGAGAGAGAGAGAGAGAGAGAGAGAGAGCGAGAGCGAGAGCGAGCTTGTTCCCAAGATTGGGGGAAAACTTTAAGATTCCTACTCTTCTCTGTGTGATCTTTGGAATTTTCATTTAGGTTGAATTTCTGATTCCAAATATGAATCTAAATATGAATGGAGGGGATGTACCGGATGGAGGAAGTTCTCTTCTAGTTCTGTTTCACGTGGTTCTTATCATGAAATGGGTTGGGTTTTGTCAAATTCCTTGACATATACTGAGATACCTTTTCTTTTTCTGCTTCTCCTCCTCTTCCTCCTCTTCCTCTTCTTCCTCTTCCTTATCCTCCTCCTCTTCCTCCTCTTCTTCCACTTCCTTCTCATCCTCTCCTTACTCCTCTGCCTCCCCTCCACTCCCCTCCCTCTCCTCTTCCTTCTTTCCTCTGTCTTTCTCCTCCCCTTCTCTTCTTCCTCCTCCTCCTCCTCCTCCTCCCCCCCCCCTTCTTCTTCTTCTTCTTCTTCTTCTTCTTCTTCTTCTTCTTCTTTTTCCACTACCCTCCTCCTCTCCCCCGCCTGTGTTCGGCACTTAATCCTAGCACTGTGCTCAGGGATCAGTCCTGGCCATGCTCAGGAGACCATCTTCGGTGCTGGCCACATGCAAAGCCCGCCCTCCCTCCCTCCCCCTCCATCCCTCCTCTCATTTTTCCTTGTTCTGCTTGGAGGGAGGGGGTGTCCTTAGCATCTGACTGTTCCTCCTGGTTCCTGGCTCAGTCGCTGATCCTGGCCGGGTTTGGGGGTTGTGCTGGGGTCGGAATCTGAGTCTGGCCCGTGGTAGGCCCACCCACGCCCTCCCTGCTGCAGTGTCTGTCCAGCCCGCAGAGCTTCTTCTCTCCTGGCCTTAATTTCCCCCGGACTGCCTTACTCACTTTCCGTGGAGCCAGCCTGCTCTCCTGGCGACTTGTTCACCTCCATGGCGTAGAACCCGATACACGTGTGCGGGTTCAGTTTACCGCATCTTGTGGACCATTTTCACACCTGCTTTCCAAAGGGGCATGGGCTTGAAATCTCTCTGGGCTCTTAGAGCAGTGCTCCGGGGACCAAAGATAGCCCAGTGGTTGGCAGTCACGTGCTTTTGCCCGGGGACAGAGGTCTAAGGTACCACTTGGCCCACACTGTGGGGCTCTGGTCACTAGCCAGGACCACCATGTTGTGTGGTCCCCTATTTTGTTGGGGTTTTTTTGGGGGGTCCCACCTGGCGATGCTCAGGACTGGCTCCAGGCTCTGCTCTCAGGAATCACTCCTGACGGTGCTCGGGGGACCCTTTGGGGTGCCGGGGATCGAACCTAAGTCGGCCACATGCCAGGCCAACGCCCTCCCCTCTGTGCTATTATTCCGGCTTATCTCTGGGTTTTTGTGTTATTTTATCCACTTAATTTTTTTTTAAGTTGAAAAAACTAAGCGTGGGTTGCCCTGGAGTCCTGCCTTCTTCAGTTTGACACCACAGTGACCTTCACGTTCCTTCCCGGTACCTCAGCTGCGGAAAATGCCGTCCGCACAGAGCCGCAACACCCAGGTACGTCGGCCCCCATGTGAGCTCGGCGTCTGTCTGTCTGTCTGTCCCCAGTGCCGCCTCACCTGGAGGATGCTGGGAAAATGCTGAACGAGACCGTGGTGGAGAACAGCCCCATCCAACTGGAGTGCAGAGCCGCTGGGAACCCCCCTCCCGGTAGGTGCCTCATGCCCGGAACGCGCTGCTTAGGGGCCGGGAGAGCATCTGGTGAGAAGGGCAGGATTCGAGGCCAGACCAGGCGTGAGTGAGTGCGTGATGCCCTTTGAATTTTTGTGGCCTTGAATTTTCCCATTTAAACAACGCAGAATTTGTGGTACTTAGTTATTATTTCGCTGGCCCCACTGTGGCCATAGTTTCACTGTGATATTTTACATACGGATTGGAGCGATAGCACTGCAGTAGGGTGTTTGCCTTGCAAGCGGTTGACCCGGTTGACCCGGGTTCGATTCCTCCGCCCCTCTCGGAGAGCCTAGCAAGCTACCGAGAGTATCTCACCCACATGGCAAAGCCTGGCCAGCTCCCCGTGACGTCTTCGAGATGCCAAACACAGAAACAACAAGTCTCATAATGGAGATGTTACTGGGCCCGCTTGCTCAAGCAAATCGATGAACAACGGGAGGACAGTGCTACAGTGCTATGTTACGTAGCTTGAGACACTGAAACCGATATTTAACCACTTCCGTTGCTTACATCAAAACGGTCGCGTTTGTTGGGTACAAATTGATTGTTGTTATAAATCAGTCACTATGGGTAAGTCTGTAATTTTGTCACTTTTGTCTCATCACTGTAAGTTGTTACTGTGACTCAGTCATCTGTATTTTTGTGGCTAAAATTCTGTATGACATTTGGTCTTGATTAGGTGTTTGATAGAGAGATATATGCAACAAAAATGAGAGATAGTGCAGGGGTAAAAGGCATTTGCCTTGCATAGCACTGACCCTGGTTCACATTCCTGATGGTCACCCAAGCCTGCCAGGACTGATCCCTGAGCACCGAGCCAGGAGTCAGCCCTGAGCACCTGTGGGTGTGGCCCAATGCTCCCACTAAATAAATTAATTAAAAAAAATAGAATCGATTTCAAGTTTGCCATCCAACAATATTGGTGCATTTGAAGTCATGTTAGACTGTATTTTTTCCTAAATTTTTTTTCGGCAGTCACACCTGGCCATAGATCTCCGTGCTCTCTTTTTTCCTTAGGGTTTCGACCTCCTAAAATCAATTCTAAAGTCATACTTCAACTTGAATGATAAGCAGAGCCAGAGAGATCGTAGGGTGCTTGATTTTCACGCAGCTAACCCAGCTCATTCCCAGCCTGCCAGGGGTGAGCCCTGAGCACAGAGCCAAGAGTGAGCCCTGAGCACAGAGCTGGGAGTCAGCCCCGAGCACAGAGCCGGGAGTCAGCCCTGAGCACAGAGCCTGGAGTCAGCCCGAGCACAGAGCCTGGAGTCAGCCCTGAGCACAGAGCCGGGAGTCAGCCCTGAACACTGAGCCAGGAATGAGCCCTGAGCACAGAGCCAGGAGTGAGTCCTGAGCACAGAGCTGAGAGTCAGTCCTGAGCACAGAGCCGGGCGTCAGCCCTGAGCAGCACCAGGCGTGACTCCCGGCCGAACAAAGCAAGTCTCCTTGAGTGACGAGCACAGACTGCCCCTGTGCATGGGGCTTTGCGGAGACCATTCTTACTAAAGGGCCCCCTTCTCTCCCCGGCAGCCATCACGTGGTACAAAGACAATCGTCTCCTCTCGGGGGCCCCCGGGGTCACCTACCTGAACAGGGGCCAGGTCCTGGACATCGAGAGGGCGCAGGTCTCGGACGCCGGCGTCTACAAGTGTGTGGCCATGAACTCGGCGGGGGCCACTGAGCTGCTGTACAGCCTGCAGGTCCAAGGTGAGCTCCCCCGCGGTCACCCGGAGAAAGGGCCGCTCCCGGCAGGATGTACCCCCACTGCTTCCGGACGAGCCCTCTCGCCGCGTGGATCTCACGAGCTCTGTGCTTTGCGGCCTGCGATGTGCTTGACTGCCTGCATTCCTGCCGAACTCGGCTCTGATCGCACCTGCCGTTGAATTCCATTTGCTGTAGACGCTGGGAAATTGTCACGGCAGGTGGCGGCAGCCCTGCCTGGGATTCATTCAGAATCGTCATTATCTAAGTGGCTCTCAGCGACTCAATATGAAAATTCATTTGTTTAAAAAAACTAAACTATGGGGCTGGAGCGACAGCACGGTGGGGAGGGCGTTTGCCTTGCATGCGGCTAACCCGGGTTTGATTCCCAGCATCCCATAGGGTCCCCTGAGCATTGCCAGGAGTGATTCCTGAGCACAGAGCCAGGAGTATACCTCAGTGCAATGCCAGGTGTGACCCAAAAAGAAAAAAAAAAACAACTAAGTGTCCTTTCACAAATGAGGCTAGTTATGTGGTAAATGATTCAAATACTAATTTCCACTGCATAGATATTTTTTAAAAAAATTTTTTAATGACCACAGCACCCAAAAGGAGAGAGAGAACAAGGGGTAATGCCCTGCCCAGAGGCAGGGGGAATGGGGGGGACGGGGGTGGGTGGAAGGGATACTGGGATCCATGGGGGTGGAAAATGGGCACTGGTGGCGGGATGGGCACTCGATCATTGTATAACTGAAACCCAAGCACAAAAATCTACAACTGTACCTGATGGTGTTTCACTAATAATAATAAAAAAAATTAATGAATCACTGTGAGATACAGTCACAGACTTACAGACTTTCGTGATCACGTTTCAGACATACAATGCCCGAGCACCCATCCCTCCACCGGTGCCCATTCTCCACCACCAATGTCCCCAGCATCCCGCCTGCCACCGCCCCGCCCCCAATTTCTAACATATTTTTAGAAAACACTGATGGTCAGTGGTTCAGACGTCACTGATTTGAACAATGAATGAATCCCTAAAGAGATGTCCATGTTCAGCATCCCCAGAACCAGTCAATATGTTCCTTTCAATGATAAAAGGGACTTTGATTAAAAAAAAAAAACCATCAGTATTAGTTAAAGAAATGTGGTGCTGGATCCATAGGATAGCGGGAGGGTGTTGCCTTTCCAACCTGGGCTCTATTCCCAGCACCCAGTGTGGTCCCCCAAGCCCACCAGGAGTGATTCCTGAGAGCAGAGCCAGGAGTCAGCCCTGAGCACCGCCCGGTGTGCCCCCAAAATCGAAAAAAAAAAGTTTCCAAGTTGTTGTCTCTGATCAGTGCTTTTTTTTTTTTCCTTTTTGGGTCACACCTGGTGATTCTCAGTGGTTACTCCTGGCTCATGCACTCAGGAATCACCCCTGGCAGTGCTCAGGGGACCACATGGGATGCTGGGAATCGAACCTTGGTCGGCCACGTGCAAGGCAAACACCCTACCCGCTGTGCTATCGCTCCAGCCCCTGATCACTGCTTTTTAAGAAGGGTCATGATAGTGGGGGCACACATGCACGCACACACACACACACACACACATAAGCACACACACACACATACACATACAGACACATGCACACATGCACACATACATGCACACAGACACACGCAGACACGCACACATACACAGAAATACATACACGCACGCACACACACACAGATACACACATACACGCAGACACGTACACATACACGCACACACACATACACACACATGCAGACACAGAGACACGCAGACACACACATACATACACACATAGACACACGCATGCACACACGCACACACATACACACATGCACACAGTCAGCATCAAAAGCCCGCCCTGACTGTCCCAGCTGACCTCCCTGAGCCAGGCGGCAACCCCTCCCTCTCCTCTCCTGAGGAATGGCGACTCTGGCCTCCCTTGGGGTGGGGCTCCCCGTGACGGCCCCCGCCTGACTTCTCTCCCCCCGTCGGATTTCCAGTGCCCCCGAGCATCTCTGGCAGTGGCCACGTGGTGACCGTGGTGGTGAGCAACCCGGTGAAGCTGGAGTGTGAGGCCAGGGGCATCCCCGCCCCGAGTCTGACCTGGCTGAAGGACGGCAGCCCTGTCTCCGGGTTCGCCAGCGGCATCCAGGTACTCGCACTGTCCTCCCTTTTCTATTTCTTGGGGTATTAGTTTGTTGTTGTTGTCGGGGCGAGGCGGGGTTGCACACCCAGCAGTGCTCAGGAGTCTTTCCGGGATGCCAGAAATTGAACCCCAGCATGGCCAAGCACCCTCCCCACTCCAGCCCATTAATGAGATTCACGATCACGATCATCCTGTTGTTCGTCGATTGCCTTGAGCAGGCCCCAGTAACGTCTCCTTCGTCCTAGCCCTGAGATTTAAAAAAAAAATGCCACATTCGAGGCTCTTTCAGGGTCAGGAGAATGAGACCCATCATTGTTATTGGTATTTGGCCTATTGGGTACGCCACAGGGAGTTTGCCAGACTCTGCCGTGCGGGCAGGATACTTTCGGTAGCCTACCAGGTTCTCCAAAGGAAAAATGAAATAATAAGATGTCGTGCGGCCGCAAATGTGGCCATGCGCGCTTCCGGGAGCTGGGTTTTATAGTCTCTGGGTCTTGGCCATTGATGGGACCACCCAGCGCCAGCAGCAGCTGGTGGGTGTGACGCCTGCATATACTGGAAGATGGGGGATCTGGATGGAGAAGGCCCAGTCCCGATCTGAGGAAGCTTGGAGATCTCAGCCCCGGGACCTGCATGCCTGGGTTCCTCTGCCAGTTCCTTCATGCATAAGGCTTGTCTGGACGTGTGGAGAGTGGTCTCAGCATGGCTGTGGCTGGTTCTGGAGGTCTTAGATTGCCGGGGCTCTGCTCGGGGCGGGGAGGGAAACTCAACCCACCCCCCTCCAAGGGCCCCAGTGAGGACAGCCAGGCACGGGAGCAGGAGACTCTGCCTTTAAAGAGATTAGAGAACAAGAATCAGCAAAAGTGGGGCTGGAGTGATAGCACAGTGGGGAGGGCATTTGCCTTGCACGCGGCCGATCCCCGGCATCCCCTAGGGTCCCCCGAGCACTGCCAGGAGTGATCCCTGAGTACAGAGTCAGGAGTCAGCCCTGAGCATCGTCAGGTGTGGCCCAAAAAGAAAAGGAAAAAAAAAAAAAGGAATCAGCGAAGGTTGTTTGCACCCAGATTCAGATTCCTCCATCCGTGGGCACGGAATTGGGATTCCTAGCTCGTTTGCTCTGAGCTCCGTCTCTCTAAGGACTCTTTGGCTCGTCCATAGTTGCTGTGTTTTAGCCAATTACCTCCCAGACTTTCTGCCATCTCCTCGGCCACTCCCGGCCGTTGGCTACAGAGGACACTGTGAGGTATAGTTAGGGCTTAAGGCACCGCTGACATTGCACGCGCCCAGTCCCACCTGGTCCCTGAGCATCACCGAGTGGCTCAAGAGCCAGAATCCAAAGCAAAACCAGAATATCAGATAGCAAATAAAAGTGTCCAGGCAACACGATGGGGAATGAGTTTACAGGAAGAAAAAGTGTGTGTGTGTGTGTGTGTGTGTGTGTGTGTGTGTGTGTGCCTTCTTTCAGTAAAAGTGCTGAAGCCAAAATATCTCATTTCAAGTGTCCTAGTTTAGCGTGATTTTCCCCAGCAATTGAACATGCTTCTCCCGCCTTTTTTTTTTTTTTTTTGCTTTTTGAGCTTTCTTGAAAACCCAGCACTTGAAGAAACGTGCGTCATAGAAGATGCAAAGCTAGTGTCCGTATTTCAGAAGTACTGTACACTAGCTGAATAAATGGCATTGTTTGTGTGTGTGTGTGAGCTGCACAATTTTTTTTAATGAAACTTGCTTCGAAAGAAATAAGAGGAGAAGAAAGAGGGGAAGTACGTGTTCTAGAGAGAACACGGGCTTCTCCAGAGTGGAAAGACGGAAGTAAAGAAACCTTGTTAGGAGCAAACCAGAAGTGTGTTCAAGGGGGAACATGGGCTTGAAGAGCGAGCCTTGTGTAGCTAATTCTTTTTTCCTTTTCCTTTTTCTTTTTTTTTTTTTTTTTTTTTTTTTTTTTTTTCTTTTTGGGTCCCACCCGGCGATGCTCAGGGCTGACTCCTGGCTCTGCACTCAGGAATCACTCCTGGTGGGGCTCAGGGGACCCTAGGGGATGCCGGAGATCGAACCCACGTCAGCCACGTGCCAGGCAAATGCCCTACCCAGTGTACTATCGCTCCAGCCCATCCTTTTTATTTTTAAATTGGTTTTTGGGTACACCTGGCTGTGCTCAGGGCTGACTCCTGGCACTGCACTCAGGAATCACTCCTGGCGGGGCTCGGGGGACCCTAGGGGATGCCGGGGATCGAACCCGGGTCTGCTGCATACCAGGCCAACGCCCTCCCTGCTGTGCTATCGCTCCAGCCCCAGAAATCATGCCTTGAGGTTCTCCGCAGGGCGTTTCTCTCGGGGGCTTCTCTCGTTGGCGGTTGCTGGTTTGTCTTCTTAGCCCTCCTGGTTCCCTTTCTAGGTCCTGTCTGGGGGCCGCGTGCTCGCCCTGACCAGCGCCCAGATCAGCGACACGGGCAGGTACACCTGTGTGGCCGTGAACCCGGCCGGTGAGCAACAGAGGGACGTCGACCTCAAAGTCTACGGTGAGATGTTTCAGCCTGTCCTGATGGGGCTACGCCCAGGCCCTCAGCTCATCGGGGGGAGCTGGTGAACCAGCAGGAGGAGAAAGACTTGAAATGACCCTGATTATGTCTGGGTCGTTGCGTTAGGCGGGTACAGGGTTCCAAGGGCCTCACTGCAGAGATTCTGACATCACAAGGTATCCGGGTAACCGCCTTGGCGAATTCTGCTCCAAGTCTCTGGGGGGCACTGCATTTTAAAGGAACCAGCAGCGTGAGAGTCACACGTCTGTGACTTGACGGCTGCCTGAGAAGGGGATGTAATTGAGCTTAAAGCCATTGGCAGGGAACGAGCGAGTTCTCTTTCACCCACGGTGCAGGAGAGGAGGCTGATTTCACCGGAAGGAAGTCGGGTCCTGGCGCCTGTTCATGCCATCATCCTTCTTGCTCAGTTCCCTTCCTTGCAGGCTCCAGCTTTCTCCCGTGACCTCTGCCCATGTCTGTTTCCGGCAAAGTCTCACCTCACCCTCCAGGTCACTCTGCCCTCTTCAAAACCTCTTCCTTGGGGCAGGAACGACAGCACAGCGGGGAGGGCGTTGGCCTGGCACGCGGCCGACCCGGGTTCGATCCCCGGCATCCCATAGGGTCCCCTGAGCACCGCCGGGAGTGATTCCTGAGTGCAGAGCCAGGAGTCAGCCCTGAGCATCATTGGGTGGGACCCCAAAGGCTTAAAAAAAAAAGAAAAGAAAAAAAGCACCGTGATTGGCCCACTGACTCATAATGCAGTTGTTTCGGCCATATAATATTCCAGCCCCAAACCCGCCCCTGGTGGGACCTTCCCTCCCCCAGTATCCCAGATCTCCTCTTAGCAGGCTCATAGCATATTTATGCAAAATGAAAAGGACTCACACATGAAATTGTCAGAAAATCAAGAAGCCATTTGTGACAGCTGATTGCTCTGCGATTCTAACCTGTGTCAGTAGATCAGCCACTTGCTACACTGCGAGGGGAAGACAATGCATTTGTCTTGGGCGCTTTCGACTGGCATATTGTATTGACTTCTTTCCTCTTTTTCTTTCTTGGGACCCACCCGGCGATGCTCAGGGCTGACTCCTGGTCTCTGAACTCAGGAATCACTCCTGGCATTGTTGCTCAGGGGACCCTATGGGATGCTGGGATGCTGGGAATCGAACCCAGGTCGGCCGCGTGCCAGGCTAATGCCCTCCCCGCTGTGCTATTGCTCCGGCCCCTGGACTTTTTCTTTAAGCAGTTCCGAGAACCTCTGTGGGCATCTGCACATTCTCCAGTGTCTCTGCAGATCTCCCCCCCCCTCCCCCCGCCAGAAATTCTGATTTTCGTAATTAACTTTAATGAGCTTGAGGCGGAGGATGAGAAACAGGCCCAGAACCAGAGGCACCAGCGCACAGGAAGTGCAGGGCTAGAGGGAGAAGCGCGTCCCTGCTCAGACTAAACAAAAAGTTGGAAATGAAGACAGGACGGGGAACACACACACACACACACACACACACACACACACACACACACAAATAGACATGTTTCGGGACTATAGGCCCTCGCGGTAATTAGATTTATTTTATGTTCCCAGAGAAACAAATGCTCCATTGTTTTTTCTTGTCTTCCCCCCCCACCCCCAAACCCCACCCCTCTCAATTTTAAAATTCTGGTCTCCTTCTGAAGTCGAGTCAACTCATTTAGCTTTTAAAGAGGAGTAATGGAAGGAAAATATTTGGGAGAAAAGGAGCGCTCTGCACGCTCGAATTGTTTGCAGCGTCTCCTACCAGCGTGCAGAGAGCAGGACAGTCCTTTTGTAAATGCAGATGGTGGAGGAGGGGCGCTCTTGAACCCACTTACGGGGCGTGCTGATGCCCTGAACGCCAGCTACCTGCGCTCATTTCCACGCTGTGAGATCAGCTCTGCCATGGAGGACTGTCTGTGCTAAAACTGGAGTGAAGACAGCTAGGAAGTCGGGGCTGGAGCGAAAGCCCAGCGGGGAGGACATTGGCCTGGCACGCGGCCAACCCGGGTTCAATTCCCAGCATCCCATAGGATCCCCTGAGCATCGCAGGGAGTGAGTCCTGAGTAGAGCCAAGAGTCAGTCCTGAGCATCGCCGGGTGAGACCCAAAAAGAAAAAAAAAAAAACAAAAACTACTCTGGCCCAGAGGAATAGGAAGCTCAGCGCAGGGGGGAGGGCGTTGGCCTGGCACGTGGCCGACCCGGGTTCGATCCCCAGCATCCCCTAGGGTCCCCTGAGCACCGCCAGGAGTGACTCCTGAGTGCAGAGCCAGGAGAAACCCCTGAACACTGCTGGGTGGGACCCAAAAGGCCAAAATAATAATAATAATAATAATAATAATAATAATAATAATAAAGAGTGATGAACCAGGGACCTGGGCAATAGCACAGCAGGTAGGGTGTTGGCCTGGCACGCGACCAACCCAGGTTCGATCCCCGGCATCCCCTAGGGTCCCCCGAGCACCGCCAGGAGTGACTCCTGAGTGCAGAGCCAGGAGTCAGCCCTGAGCATCACCAGGTGGGACCCAAAAAGCAAAAAAAAAAAATTAAAAAAAAAAAACCACAAAAAACAGATAGGATCCCAGAGCTAGGAGTCAGCCCTGAGCATCACCGGTTGGGACCCTAAAAGAAAAAAGAAAAAGAAAAAAAAACAGGATGCCCCCAGTCCTAAATGGACCATAGAGCCAGGAGCACAGAGCCAGGAGTAGGCCCCAAGCAAGTACTGCCAGGTGGGCCCCAACCCCCTCCACCACCACCCACCACCCCTGCCAACCTCCCAAATACAAAAACCAGAGAATAGCAGTTGTAGCGAGTGATATGTGTTTCTGGCCGTGCATATGGCCGACCCGGGTTCGATCCCCAGTGTTCCGTGTACCCAGAGCACCGCCAGGAGTGATCCCTGAGTGCAGAGCCAGGACTCAGCCCTGAGCATCACCGGGTGGGACCCAAAAAGAAAAAAAAAAAAACCCACGGCCTGAGAGCAGGGGGAGGGCCTGTCATCGCCTCGGACCCTGGGCCAAACTGCCTCATTCCCAGAGGCGAAGGCTCCTGGGGCGAGCGTCCTGTAGTCCTTGTGTCTCTGCCTGCAAGGGTGGAGAGTGACAATGTCTGGCCAGCAACAACAACAAAAAAACTCCTTCCCACCAGCCTCCTGGCACGACTCGAACCCTGGGGGACCACCGCCCCCTACCCTGGGATCTTTCCGGGACAGCTCTTGTCCGCTCTCCTCCTCCAGGGTGGGAGTCGTCAACCTGGACCCGAGTGCAGGGCTGCAGTGCCCAGCCTGACCCCACCCAGTCCAGAGAAAGGCCTGTTTGCTCCGGGCTCCTTCCCCCCTCCCCAAGGGGAGTTACCCCCTAAGCCGCTCCAGACGCACATTCAGCATCTGCTCAGGCCGCAGTGAGCCAGGGAGTTCTCATCTGCATCCTGCTGAAATCCCGGCTCCCTGCTGGGATTTCAGGGACTTGGGGGTCAGCCTTGTAGCTGGCCGGTCCGTAGTTGACCCTTCGGGGAAGCAGGGGCAGGGGGGCGTTGAGGCCAGGTAAGAGAGCGCAGAGGTTAACAGGCTCAAACGTAGCTCGTGGCTGGTCCGGGTTTGTTCGTGGGCATCTGTGGGTGTCGCCCTGATATTCAGGGCCTGGCGCGGGAGACGGTCCCATTGGCTGAGAGCCACTCGCCTTCCGGGTGGCCGAGCCAGGTTTGATCCCCAGCACGGCCCTGTATTCCCTGAGCACTTGTGCGAGTAACTCCAGGGCACTGTGACAGGAGTGATCGCTGAGCACTTCTGGGTGTGGCTCCATCCCCATCCCTCAGGCAAAAAGAGAAGGAGGGGTCTAGAGAGACGGGACAGTGGGGAGGACTCTTGTCTTATGTGTGTGGCCGACCCGGGTTCTATCCCTGGCATCCCCTAGGGTCCCCCGAGCACCGCCAGGAGTGATTCCTGAGTGCAGAGCCAGGAGTCAGCCCTGAGCATCGCCGGGTGGGACCCGAAAAAGCAACAAAAGAAAAACGTGGGTTGGATTCAGCAGGGGTTGAAGGGCACACGGCGGCTGGTGTGTGCGGCCTGGCCCTGAGGGAAACCCGCCTCTCCGTCTCCCCGTCTCTCCCTCAGTCCCCCCCAGCATCCTGGGAGAAGAGCAGACCGTGTCCGTGCGGGCCGGCCAGCCCCTGCGCCTGGTCTGCGAGAGCGACGCCCTGCCCCCGCCCGCCCTGGCCTGGCTCCGGGACGGCCGCCCGCTGCTGAGGAGGCCGGGCCTCAGCCTGTCTGCAGACGGGAGCCAGCTGCAGGTGGGCCCGTCCGCATCCTCCGCGCCCTCCCGCGCCCGTCTCGGCTCCTCCCTCGGGGGGGTCGGGAGAGAGGGGGTGTCCCCAGCTTGACTCCCTGTTGTTGTCTGCGGCTCTGAGAGTCTGGGGGTGTTGGTCATCGTTTTACATGGGGGGGCAGAGACGGTATAAGGCCTGGCACCCCACTGGCCCTGTTCAACCCCAACATTGCACCGCACACACACACATACACACACACACTCACAATACATACACACATACAAACATACACACACATACACTCACACATACAAACATACACGTATACACACATATCACACACACATACACATGCGTACACATAAACATACGTAACACACATACATACACACATGCATACACACATATACCATACACACACACATACAAACACACACATACTCAACATGCATTCACATATACACACTCACACACATACACATACACACACGTAGGCACACACATACACACATGCATACACACATATACACACACATACAAACACACACATACTCAACATACACTCACATATACACACACATACACATACACACATGTAGGCACACACATACACACATACATACACACATGTGTGCACACATACACCATACACACATACACACACATACAAACACACACATACTCAACATACTCACATATACACACACATACACATACACACATAGGCACACACATACACACATACACACATGCACACACACATACAAACACACATATACTCAACATACACACATACACATACACACATGTAGACACATACATACATACACACATGCATACACACATATACACATACGCACATGCTCAACATACACTCACATATACACACATACACACGTAAACACACATACACACACATACAAACACACACATATACTCAACATACACTCACATACACACATACACACACATAGACACATACACACATACATACGCACATGCATACACACATATACACATACACACATGCTCAACATACACTCACATATACACACACATACACACACGTAGACACACATACACACATACATACACACATGCATACACACACACCATACACACATACAAACACACACATACTCAACATACACTCACATATACACATTCACACTCACATACACATACACACATAGGAACACACACATACACATGCACACATACATACACAGACATATGCACATGCATACACACATACACACACACACGTGCTTACATACATGGCCCGCTGAGCACTGCCAGGGGTTGCATCTTTGTTTCCACCTTGTTGTTATTCAACTCTGTGTGTTATTATTATTTATACTCTATAATTATATATTACACGGTCCTCCCGTTGTTCATCGATTTGCTCGAGCGGGCCCAGTCACGTCTCCATCGTGAGATTTGTTGTTACTGCGTTTGGCATCTCGAATCCGTCACGGGGAGCTTGCCAGGCTCTGCCGTGCGGGCAAGATCCTCTCGGTGGCTGGCCGGGCTCTCCGAGAGGGGCGGAGGAAATGAACCCGGCTCGGCCGGGCCAGCTGCGTGCAAGGCAGACGCCCTCCCCGCTGTGCTATCGCTCCAGCCCATAGATTACACACAGTGCATGTTAACACGTCACTACACGGACGAGGCTGTGAACCAGGCGGGCACCATTCAGCTTGCGTTCCTCCTGCGGCGCCAAGTCCAGATTCTCAGTGACCCCCGGCCGGTCCCTGAGTGAGTCACGAGTGATGTGGTGCGTATGCACACGTGAGAACGCCTTACTGACGCTCAGTCAGGCACCAGACGGGGTGCTTGCTCGGTGACGCTTGATGCACCCTGATCCCAAGCTTTGGCTTGAAGAAGCTTCTGACCCCGTCTGTTGAGAAGGCAGAGGGGGTCCTGGGAACAGTCCTGGGCACAGACTGTCCCTGGCAAAGTCCTACACGACGTACTCGGAAACTCATTGCACAGCGCTTCTACTTTACAAACTTTTTTTTTCTTTTGTTTTTTGGGTCCCACCCGACGATGCACAGGGGTTCCTCCTGGCTCTGCACTCAGGAATTACTCCTGGCGGTGCTCAGGGGACCCTATGGGATGCTGGGAATCGAACCCGGGTCAGCTGCGTGCAAGGCCAACACTCTACCCGCTGTGCTATCTCTCCAGCCCCAACAAACATTTATTTTTAAGTCACCGTGACTTAGAACACCACTCATGGTTCCACGTACACAGTGTTCCCGCAACACCCCCCGCCCAGGCTAATCCCCCCACCATAGCCTCGGCCCCAGCCCTCACCCCGTCCCCCGTTCTGGGGCCAGGCCGCCCGTTCCCTTAACTCTGACCGTTCATTGCTGGGCTGGTTCCATCCCGCACGTGAGAGAGACCTCTCTGTCCTCCCCCTCCCAGCTGTCCCCGCTCAGGTCGGTTCTTCTGCTCTGTCGGAACCATATTTCAGGTCCCCCCTTTCCACACTCTCAGAACGGCCCACGCTGTTCTCAGAAGCCGGACGGTGGGTGGGCAGCCGTGGTGGGGGTTGGCAGGTGTTGGATATGGGTGACAGGCGGGTGACCGTCCACCTCCTCACTTGCCTCCCGGTCAAGAGCGCAGGGCCGCCCCTGCGGGTGACCGTGCCAGGGAGAGCCCGGCTGCTCGTGCAGGGCACCCGGTCTCACCGGCGGTTCTGCTTTCCAGATCGAAGAGGCCCATGTGCGTGACGCCGGCCGCTATACCTGTGAGGCATCCAACGTCGCTGGGAAGACCGAGAAAAATTATAATGTCGACATCTGGGGTAGGCGAGCCCGGCTCCCTGGGCCAGGGACGTGGTCTTTACTCCTTGGTGCCACCCACGGGAGAAAAATCTGACGCTTCTCCCAGATGAGCTTCGTAGCCGGGGCCTGAGCCGCAGGGAGCTGGGCCAGCGCTGGGCCTCCTGCATGAGTCTGGGACCATCTTCCCTTGCTGGATTTCGACGTGCCCCCTTAATCTTTGAAATTTATGGTTTGGGGCTGGAACAGTAGCACAGCAGGGAGGGCTTTTGCCTTGCACGCAGCAGACCCGGGTTCAATTCCCAGCATCCCATATGGTGCCCTGAGTACTGCTAGGGGTAATTCCTGAGTGCAGAGCCAGGAGGAACCCCTGTGCATTTCTGGGTGTGACCCAAAAAGCAAAAAAAAAAAAAGAAGAAGAAGAAGAAGAAGAAAGAAATTTATGGTTTGGCGGTACTCAGGACTGACTCCTGGCTCTGCACTCAGGGATCACTCCTGGCGGGCCTCAGGGAACCATCTGGGGTCCTGGAAATGGATCCCAGGTCAGCCGTGTGCCAGGCAAATGCCCTCCCCACTGGACCATCTCTCTGGCCCCTGGAGCACAGATTGTTCTAAGGAAATGTTCTCTAGCTCCGTCAACCCAAGTTAAATGACGCACCTTGTCTGTGAACCAATAGCTGGTGGGGGGGGGGGGGAGTCAAATCAGGGCTGGAGTGAGAGCACAGCGGGGAGGGCCTTGGCCTGGCACGCGGCCGACCCGAGTTCGATCCCCGGCATCCCCTAGGGTCCCCCGAGCACCGCCAGGAGGGATTCCTGAGCGCAGAGCCAGGAGTCAGCCCTGAGCATTGCCGGGTGGGACCCAAAAAGCCAAAAAAGAAAAAAAGGAAGGAAGGAAGGAAGGAAGAAAGGAAGGAAGGAAGGAAGGAAGGAAAGAAGGCGGGCTGGAGCCATAGATTGGCCTGAGGGGTGTCTGCCTTGCACGTGACCGACCCGGGTTCGACCCCTGGCATCCCAGAGGGTCCCCCGAGCACCACCAGGTGTGATCCCTGAGTGCAGAGCCGGGAGTCAGCCCTGAGCGTCGCCGGGTGTGACTTCAAAATAATCTGAGGCTCGTCCTCCTTCCTGCCGTTTCCCGCAGTGCCCCCGAAGATCGCGGGCTCCGGAGAGCCCGCCCAGCCGCTCACAGTGGTGGAGGGCGGCCTGGTCAGTCTCCTGTGCGAGTCCAGCGGCGCCCCGCCCCCCACCCTGCTGTGGAAGAAGAAAGGTTCGTGAGAACCCTGGGCTGGGTGGGGGCAGGCGTGGCCACTGATGCTCAGACGTCTGGTTGCGGGGGGGGGGGGGCAGGGGGCCTCGTACCCGGGCAACCTGAGAGTCTGCAGCATCGAGGGGCTGGGGACTTGGGTGGAAGATGGTTTCTCTCCGAGAAAAGATTAGGACGTGTTTCCTCCCTGAATTGCTTGCGCTCTCTCTCTCTCTCTCTCTCTCTGCTTCTGTTCCTCTCCCTGGGGGGGAAAAGCGGGGGGAGAGCATGCATTGGAGACAGTGGTCTCCCTAAATTGCTTCCTTTTTTGTTTGGTTTGGGATCACACTCCAGCCACGCCCAGGGCTGACTCCTGGCTCGGTGCTCAGGAATCCCTCCTTGCAGGATGCCGGGATCAAGCCCGGGTCAGCGGCCTGTAAGACCAGCGCCCTGCCAGCTGTATTATCCCGCCGGCCCCTCCTTTTCTTCTTTAAATGTAAACTTCGTGATTTCCCCAGTTGCTCATAGGCTAGTTGTCTTGGGCATTCCAAGTCCCTGGGTTGCTTTTAGAATCAAGTGAGTTCATAGGATTATTGTTGCCTGACTCAAGGAACGACCATTTGATTAATTACTTTTTCTTTCTTGTGCGTTTTGGGTCCCACCCGGCAACGCTCAGGGCTGACCCCTGGCTCTGCAACTCAGGAATCACTCCTGGCGGAGCTCGGGGGACCCTATGGGATGCCGGGGGTCGAACCCGGGTCAGCTGCCGGCGAGGCCAACACCTCCCCGCTGTGCTATCACTCCAGCTCTGAATTACCTTTTCTTCTTTAGGAGAGAGTTAAAAACAGTTTCCCAGGGCATATATTCTTGCTGTCTTGATGACAGTTTGATGGCCAATCTCCAGATTGCTCTCTGCCGTCCAATAGCTACTTCGTGTACTCATCCAACATCTGTCTGCCTGCGTTGAGTATCACGCAAGAACATCTGTATCCATATCTGATTTTCAGCGCGTTTGTTGTCTTCTCTTTTCGGGTTCTATTTTATCTTTCTCAGTGTGCTTGCTTTGAAGCGCAGTTTCGACCGAAAGAAAAATGGGCAGAAGATAGTCATGGGGGAATTTCTCTCCTCCGTCTGTTTTCGGGTGCTTATATTTCCAATGCCCTACCCTGGACCCAGGCTGGAGCGATAGCACAGCGGTAGGGCGTTTGCCTTGCACGCAGCCAACATGACCGACCCAAGTTCCATTCCTCCGCCCCTCTCGGAGAGCCCGGCAAGCTACTGAGAGTTTCTTGCCTGCACAGCAAAGCCTGGCAAGCTCCCTGTGACGTATTCGATATGCCAGACACAGTAACAACAAAGTCTCCAATGGAGACGTTACTGGGCCCACTCGAGCAAATCGATGAACAACAGGAGGACTGTGACCGTGAAGTACAACCTGTACCCTTTCATGGACTTGGATAGGAGATGAATTAACAAACATGTTGGTTCTGGAGCAACAGCACAGCAGGGAGGGCATTTACTTTGCACGTGGCCGACCCGGGTTCGACCCCCGGCATCTCACAGGGTCCTCTAAGCATCACCAGGAGTGATTCCTGAGTGCAGAGCCAGGAGGAAACCCTGGGCACAGAGCAAGACATCGTGGCTGGAGCAATAGCACAGCAGGGAGAGCATTTGCCTTGCACACAGCCAACCCGGGTTCGATCCCCGGCATCCCATAGGGTCCCCTGAGCACTGCTAGGACTGATTCCTGAGTGCAGAGCTGGGAGTCAGCCCTGAGCATTGCCGGGTGGGACCCAAAAAGCAAAAAAAGAAAAATAAACAAGCCTGTCATACTTCATATGCCCACCTGTCATGGTCCTGCCGCTTGGTCCTTCACGGGTCCGGTGGTTTCCCGCAGGCTCCCCGGTGCTGCTGGACACTGCAGGGCGCGTCCGAACTCTCTCGGGAGGGCGACATTTGCAGATCTCGATGGCTGAGGAGTCGGACGCGGGGCCCTACACCTGCGTGGCTTCCAACGTCGCGGGAACGGCCGAGAAGAATTACAGCCTGCAAGTGTACGGTGAGTCCCGGCGTGCCGGCCGGCGCTGGCCCTGTTCCCTTCCCTGTGGCCCCTCGGCCCGTGCTCCCTGCAGCTGAGTCTGACTTGTCTCATGATGGCGTGGCTTTGCTGGCCTGGGCGGAGCTCGGGACTCCTCTCTTCACATGGTCAGAAGCTGGACTGTCGCCAAAGGGAGGCCTTTGCCTCTCAGGGTGTGTTTGTAAAACATGCAGAGACGTCGTGGGAGGGTTTTCTTTTGGTTTTGGGGGTCCCACCCGGCGATGCTCAGGGCTGACTCCCGGCTCTGCACTCAGGAATCACTCCTGGCGGTGCTCAGGGGACCCTAGGGGATGCTGGGAATCGAACCCGGGTCGGCCACGTGCAAGGCAGACGCCCTCCCTGTTGTGCTATCACTCTGGCCCCAGGAGAAGTTGTTTTATTTACCAAAACAGGATCCTACACAGTACTGCAACTTTATTTTATTGTTTGGTTTGGGGGCCACACCCGGCAATGCTGAGGGCTGACTCCTGGCTCTGCACTCAGGAATCACTCCTGGCGGTGCTTGGGGGACCCCCGATGGGATGCCAGGGATCGAACCCGGGTCGGCCGCGTGCAAGACAAATGTCCTCTGCACTGTGCTGTTGCTCTGGCCCAATGCTTTTTGCGTGTGGGAATCCCAGGTTATATCCATGGTACCACATGGTCCCAGAGCACCACCAGCTATGACTTCCCCGGCCTAAAACGATCTCATTTGGCCGGGGGCAGGGCGTGGCTGGAGCAATCGCACAGCGGAGAGGGTGCTTACCTTGCACGCAGCCAACCAAGGTTCAATCTTCATCACCCCATAAGGTCCCCCAAGCACCACCAAGAATGATCCCTGAGTGCGGAGCCAGGAGTCAGCCCTGAGCATCGCCGGGTGTGGCCCCCCAAAGAAAACAAAACCTCATTTTACTTTTTTTCTTTGCTTGTTGGGTCCCACCCGGCGATGCTCAGGGCTGACTCCTGGCTCTGCGCTCAGGAATCACTCCTGGCGGTGCTCGGGGGACCCTGGGGGATGCCGGGGATCGAACCCGGGTCGGCCGCGTGCAAGGCAAACACCCTCCCCGCTGTGCTGTCCAAAACCTCATTCTAAAGAACTCTAAAATCAGATGGCTTTTCCGAGTGCTTGGGAGTTTCCACAAGCTCCTTTCCTCTCTTCCTGAGCCGTTTTGAACCAGCACTGTGTCTTGGGGGCTGGAGCGATAGCTCAGTGGGGAGGACGTCTGCCTGGCATGCAGTCAACCCGGGCTGGATCCCTGGCATCCCATAGTGATCCCCGAGCACCGCCAGGAGTGATTCCTGAGTGCAGAGCCAGGAGTCAGCCCTGAGCATCGCCGGGTGTGGCCCCAAAACAAAGCTGCCTTTGTTGTGCCCATGTGTACCGAGCCCAGAGCACTGGTCGGGGCCCGCTGGTGACAGGTCGTCTGTCAGTGGGACCAGCCCGAGCATCAGGTTATAGCCACTGAGCCGTCCGTCATCTTCCCCCCGGTCAGTATCAACATTGGTCTTGCTTTGGTGGGAACCGCAGTGACGGGTTGAAAGCGGCGGTGACGTGAGGGACCTCGGGGAAAGCTGCACCCGGACTGTTCTGAGTGTGCAACCCTGTCCCCCAAACACGGGGGTGGCACCACGCGACCCCGGCCCTCGGGAGGGACCTCCTGTGTGCCTCAGATTCTGGGAGTCAATACCAAGAGACATGCAGACACTGTGTCATGTCCCAGAGGCGGCCCAACAGCCGGCCCCGTGTCTTCCTGTGCTATGGGAACCGCCTCATCTCCGGGATGAGGCCAACCTGGAAACTGCAGCAGAGTTTAGCACTTAGTTTGGGCGATGAGCGCTTCACCCTTCAGCGGGGGGTTTCCTCGCCGCTCCCGGGGACCCCCGAGTATAAGACTGTTGTGCCCGAGGTTCGGATCCTCCATTGCAGACAGACCAAGTCCACACACGATAGTGCAAAAGCAGAGGAGCTTTATTCCTGGCCCGAGCTAGGGTCCGAGTCTCATTTAACACAGTGGCGTCTCAGCAAGGAACCCGGCCCCAAATCACAAGCGGTTTTTTAAATTAATTTAGGATTAATTAATTAATTTAAAATTAAATTTTTCCTCCCATGAGGGAGGGGAGATGCATGTCGAAAGTGGACTATGGACTGAACATGTTTGCCACTCAATGCCTCTTTTGCAGACCACAACACCCAAAAGGAGAGAGAGAACACAGGGGATTGCCCTGCCACAGAGGCAGGGGGGGATAGGGGGATGGGGGTGGGGGGGATATTATCCATGGTGGTGGAAAATGGGCACTGGTGGAGGGATGGGTATCTGATCATTGTATAATCAAACCCAAGCACAAAAAATTGTAAATCTACAACTGTACCTCATGGTGTTTCACTAATAAAAAAAAAAAAGGAAAAAAAAATAAAAGGCATCCTGATACTAAAAAAAAAATAAATTAATTAATTAATTTTTTAAAATTCAGGATTAAGAGGCAATTTATATCCTGGTCTGTTTTTAGCGTTGGCCCTATTACAACGGTGGTCATCCATCAGGCGATGGTTAGCAACAGTTTCTAAGGAGGGGACAGTGACCCCACGTGACCGGCCAGACCCAACTGCCCAGTTCCTTATCTCGGCAAATGACTCGACTGGGAGTTTACTAAAAAACGGCGAGTCCTGCTCTGGGGAACCGGAAACTGAGGCCTGACTGAGACTCGCTGTCGGCTGCAGCCTGTCATGGCCTCAGTTCCCCCCTCACGGGACGAAGCCCACAGCCCGCCTCTCCTCTCCTGCCCTCTCCCCAGTGCGACCCACCATCGCCCACAGCGACGGCCGCCCGGCCGAAGTCACCGTGACCCGCGGGGAGAGTGTCTCTCTGGAGTGTGAGGTGCAGGGCACGCCCGCCCCGGCGGTCACCTGGATGAGGGACGGCCGGCCCCTGGTCACGGGAAGGGCCGTGGACATCCTGGAGGACGGCCGCGTCCTCCAGCTGAAGAGCGTCCACGTGTCGGACAGTGGCCGCTACGTGTGCGTGGCCACGAACGTGGCGGGCATGAGCGACCGGAAGTACGACCTGAGCGTGCACGGTGAGTGGAAGGGAGCAGGGTCCGAGTGGGAGTGTCCCACTCATTATTCTGGTCGACGTCCCACGTCTCCCTGTGTCCTTCCCCCTCCTGCCCCTCAGGGCCTGTCCTGCAGTTACTGACTTGCTGAGTTGAGAGTGGGGGGGGGGAGGGGGGCTGAAGCGATCGCCCAGCGGGAAGGGCATTGGCCTGGCATGCGGCCGACCCAGGTTCGATCCCGGCATCCCCTAGGGTCCCCCAAGCACTGCCAGGAGTGATCCCTGAGTGCAGAGCCAGGACTCAGCCCTGAGCATGGCCTAAAAAGCAAAAAAACAAACAAAAAACTATTGACGTCGTTGCCAATGGAGTAAAATACTGTTATTAACAATATTGTAAGTTAACGGTAGGCGTTCGCCTTACAAGCGGCCAACATGGCCGACCCGAGTTCGATTCCTCCGCCCCTCTCGGAGAGCCCAGCAAGCTACCGAGAGTATCCGATATGCCAGACACAGTAACAGCAAAGTCTCCAATGGAGACGTTACTGGGCCCGCTCGAGCAAATCGACGATCAACGGGGGAAAAAAAAAAAAACGGTATTGTAAGTTGTTAGTTAACCATAACAGTTATTAAATATTTTAATAGTGGCAATATTATCGATCAGGCTCCCTGAAATTAAAAAACAAGCACAAGACAACTTTAAAAGACTTAAATTTATCATAGAAAGAGAAGGGCAGAATGGACTGAATCATAAAAACACACGCTCCAACGCAAAAAGGTATGGCATCGTCTTTGGGGGAAAACATGGAGTGAAACTGATCTCAGTCTTCTTGCAGTCCTTTTTGTTCCAATTTCCTTATGTCTGTGTTTCAGCGCAGTGGGATAACGTGGGTTTCCAGCGGTGTCAATGTTTGTCTTAGGGAGTGCTCACTGGCCCTCCCCGGCCTCTCCCTCGGTGCTGTGGTCGGAGAATTAGGGTTTGTTTTCACTGGCCGCTCTCTGCTGTGTTTCTGTCCCTTGTGTGAACGAGACCGGCGTCCGTCTTTCTCTTCCAAAGAAAATTCCTCGATCTCTTCCTGTTCCAAATGAGCTGTCTTGACTGGTGTGGACCTCAAATAACGCGGCCCGCAGGACATGAGCTGTGGCGAGGAAGTCAGCCGTAATCTTCTAGTTAATGAGCCATGGAGGAATGTCCATCGGGATGGCCTCAGCACCCGTGCACTGGGGGCCACTCTCCGTGCACAGAACTTGAATTGTGTTGTGTCAGAAACAAGGGTAACTTGGGCTGGAGCAATAGCACAGAGGGTAGGCCGCAATTGCACGCGGCCGACCCGGGTTCGATTCCCAGCCTCCTATATGGTCTCCTGAGCACCACCAGGGGTAATTCCTGAGTGCAGAGCCAGGAGGAACCCCTGTGCATCGCTGGGTGTGACCTAAAAATGGCAAAAAAAAAAAAGAAACAAGGGTAACTTGCATGAACACAGCCCTCTCGTTTGAGTCCAGTTAGAACTCAGTGTTAGTACTGGGTACCGTGCAGCCAGGGAGCAAAGGCTGAAAGAATCTGCCTTGAAAGAGAAAAGGAATCACTCTTGATGATCTCCTGCTTACGTGACTCTAATTTTTCTTTTTTAATTGACAGGGCATCGGTTTCCCAGACTTTCAACCCCAGTGCTCCATGCCTGGTTATGCCGGCGTGACCTACCCCTGAAGTCCTAGTATATTCCTCACTGTCAAATCTGCCCGTGCCTTTCACACAGTATTCCCCTTGGTAGCCGCCCTGTTGTCCTCCGTCCGTGCCTGAGTCGTTTGAGTTGTGGCTTCGATTGCATTGCCTTTGTAGGTGGTGTTAAGCCCAGGATTCTGGGTTCCCAAGCGGCGAGATGGACCAGAGACACAATAATGCAAAAGCAGTAGGAGTTTTATTCCAGTCTGCTGGGGTCAACTCTCTCACCCACAGAGGGGTCTCTGATAGTGACCGCGACTTCAGGCAGCAAGCGGTTTATGTCGGGCTTGACTACATAAGCCGTACATGCTGCATTGTTCCAGAAAAAAAACAAAAAACAAAAAAACGACCTTCCTAGTTCCCAAACCAAGGTGTTTTGGCAAGTGTCTAGGGTGACAGTGGTCAGGCAACGATCAAACAATAATTTCCAGTATCAGAACCAATTTTTGTGATCCCATAGACTTCTCGTTCTTTTAGGGCTCACAAAAAGCGGCTTCTGGGGCATCGTGAGAATCGATTGATTCATTGAGCCCACTTGCTGGGCCCAGTGACTTTCGCAGGGGGTGCAGGTTGGCTAGCGATGCCTCATTTCGTTGCTGGGAAACCGAGACCGTTGTAGTTCCCTTAACAGACCCCGAGGCCCAGCTGGTTTGGCTGATTTCTGCCCCCTCTCATGGTTGCACTGTGGCTTGTTTGAGTCTCACAGTGTCTCCTGCACCTCTGAGGGGAAGTATCTGGTATTGGTCTGTCTGGTATTGTCTGTCTGTTGCTCAGCCCAGTCCCCTCCGTGTTTGCTATGAAGGGCAAGACCCCGAGTGTCAGAATTGCTGAGTAGTATTCCACTGAGGGTGGGACACGTTTTCTGCATTTGCTCACCTGCCGAGAGTCGCTTAAATTGTTCCCACGTCTTAGCCGTTGCCAACAGTGCTGCTCTGAACACAGGGACGCCGTTTTTTGAGTGAGTGTCTTCCTCGAAATAGCTAGGAACGAACTCGCCGGGTCACATTTTAGCTCTGGGCTGGAGCGATAGCACAGCGGTAGGGCGTTTGCCTTGCGCACAGCCAGCCCGGCTGAGCCGGGTTCGATTCCTCCGCCCCTCTCGGAGAGCCCGGCAAGCTATCGAGAGTATCTCGCCCGCACGGCAAAACCTGGCAAGCTGCCCATGACGTATTCAATATGCCAAACACAGTAAAAACAAGTCTCAGAATGGAGACGTTACTGGGCCCGCTCGAGCAAATCGATGAACCAGGAGAGGACAGTGTTTGTTTGTTTTAATTCTTGGAGAAACTTCTATTTTTTTTCCATAGAGTTTGCATCTGTTTGGTTGTCCCCGACATGGTACAATTACCACCCAGCCTTTAGGATCACAGTTAGGAGTCGGGAAGCCCTGCCTCTAGGAGGGGTCGTGGATATACCTTAGAAGTTCACCAAAGAGGCTGGAGTGATAACATGACAGGAAAGGCATTGGCTTTGCACAAGGCCGACCTGGGTTCGATCCCCGGCATCCCATAGGGTCCCCTGAGCACTGCCAGGAGTGATTCCTGAGTGCAGAGCCAGGAGTCAGCCCTGAGCATCGCCGGGTGTGACTCAAAAACAGCAAAAAAAAAAAAATGTAGTTCTCCAGATGAGTGACATGTGGAAACCATCTCAAGGTGTTTGGATAGCAACATGAAAGGGGTTTGCCACCATTGGCCCTAGCGGCGGAGAATGGGCAGTCCCACTCCCAGGAATGCTGGAAGATCACGGCTGCGAGTCGTAAACCCGCCATCTGCGGCTGACACGAGAGGCTGTCCCGTTCCCGTGAGCCCCCGCGAGCCTGGTCCTAGCCGGCTGCCAGCTCCCTCCCACCCCGTGTCTCATCCGCTGGGCCTTGTCTTACAGCTCCCCCGAACATCCTGGGCGACCACAACGCCCCCGAGAACGTCAGCGTGGTGGAGAAGAGCTCCGTGTCCCTGACCTGCGAGGCCTCGGGGGTCCCGATCCCCTCGGTGACCTGGCTTAAGGACGGCTGGCCCGTCAACCTCGGCGGCTCCGTGAGGATGCTCTCAGGTAGGGTGTTCGTAGCCCGGGTTCCCAGACCCGCCTTTCTCGTGTTTGCTTTCTTGACCTGGCTGTCGGGCTCAACTACCTAATGATAATGCTAAAAATAGGAAACAAACACCCAAGAATAGCTGAGATATGGGGGTGGGAGGGATAGTGGGATCGGTGGGGGTGGAGAATGGGCACTGGTGGAGGGATGGGCACTCGATCATTGATAACTGAAACCCAAGCACAACAACTTGTAAGTCTACAACTGTACCTCATGGTGTTTCACTAATAAAACAAAAAAAAATAAATATAAAAAATAAAGAATAGCCGAGATAAGACCAAGAGTTTCACTCCATGGCTTGGAGGCCAGGCGCACATGCTAGGGGAAAAGGCAGCTCAGATAGAGAAGGGAGCACCAAGTAAAGGGTGTTGGGAGGATCCTCCTAGGGTGGGAGAAGCATGCTGAAAGTAGACTAGAGACCGAACATGATTGTCACCCATTGCCTCTTTTGCAAACCACAACACCCAATAGGAGAGAGAGAACAAAAGGGAATGCCTTGCCACAGAGGCGGGGTGGGATGGGGGGATGGGGGGTGGGAGGGATACTGGGACCCGTGGTGGTGGGAAATGGGCACTGGTGGAGGGATGGGTGTTTGATCATTGTATAATTGAAACCCAAGCACAAAAATTTGTAAGTCTACAACTGTACCTCATGGTGTTTCACTACCAAAATTTAAAAAATGTATGTAGAGTGAGAACAGGGGATCTGTGAGAACAGGGAAAACTCCTGATCCTCCGAGTAAGGAAGGGAAGCGGTCTTGGGACTCCCTGATTCACCTGGAGCATGGGGATAGAGCGTCATTTAAGCGGGCAAGTGAAGCCTCCCTGCCGCAGTGAGCGACATCCCGCTGAGGGGACAGGGAATCAGGAGACCATCCCCCATGCTAGGTCCACCCCTCCCCCACCCCCAGGGTGGGTCCACTCCTCCATTTCCTCCATGCGGGCTCCCCTACCTCCAAGCCCACATCCTCCCACTCAGGCTTGGCACAGCCTCTTGAGTTTCTATTCCCAGGATGAAATCAGTTCCTCCGCACTAAGCCCCGACAGACTATTCCAGAATCCGCGGGTTCTCCTGGAGGAGACCCATCCTCCTCTCTCGGTCTCTGATTTTCCCCCCTGCAGGAGGCAGGACTCTGCGGCTGCTGCAGGCCTGGCCCGAGCACGCCGGCCAGTACACCTGCGTGGTGAGGAACGCAGCCGGCGAGGAGAGGAAGGCCTTCAGCCTCTCAGTACTAGGTACGGCACCCGCGGCCGTAACGGCTGCAGAATCACGGCGCGGGCCCCTTCCCTGGAAGCGGTCTGAGGTTTCGGTTTGAGTCTGACGACACGTTGATGTGTGTGTGCTTGGACTCTGGCTCTGTCATTCTTGGCAAAGAATACGGGAATGATTTCCAGGTAGTTCACTAGGATCACAGAACTCTCTGGCCATCTGTTGTTCTTTGGTAAGAGAGGCCAGAGCTGTCGTAACGTGCGAAGGAGTGCTCGCTGGGGTCACACGGGGGAGGGCAGAGGTCTCCTGCCCACTTACACACTCATGTGCCACAGGACGCTTGTCTCTGGACTTGACCGTTTCCATCACACTGAGATGGACATAATGGAATTCATGTCATCTTGGTTCATTTTTTTTTTTTTTGCTGTTTGGGTCACACCCGGCGATGCACAGGGGTTACTCCTGGCTCTGCACTCAGGAGTTACTCCTGGCGGTGCTCAGGGGACCCTGTGGGATGCTGGGAATCGAACCCGGGTCGGCCGCGTGCAAGGCAAAAGCCCTACCCGCTGTGCTCACTCCAGCCCCCATGATGTATTTTCAAATGAGGATTGATTAAAAGAGCACAAAACAGTTATCGTCAAATACAAATGAGAATTTTTTTTTTTTTGCTTTTTTGGGTCACACCCAGCAATGCACAGGGCTGAGTCCTGGCTCATGCACTCAGGAATTACCCCTGGTGGTGCTCGGGGGGACCCTATGGGATGCCGGGGATCGAACCCGGGGTGGCCACGTGCCAGGCCAACGCCCTCCCCGCTATGCTCTCACTCCAGCCCCAATTCTTTTCATTTTTAAGGCTAAATTTTCATTTGTAAGTTAGTATTATTCTTATGTGTAATAAAACTATAAAACCAGGCTTATTTTTAAAATATACATGTATTTTCAACATATAAGCATACGTGCCCATATAGTAGCGCTGTAACATTGTGACGCCTTTATTTTTTTTAGTGCCACCTCGGATCGTGGGGGAAAACACCCTTGAAGAGGTGAAGGTGAAGGAGACCCAGAGCGTGACGCTCACCTGCGAAGTGTCAGGTGAGCCTGTGCACAGCGCCGCCCCCTCACCAGAGGGTCTTTGTTCGTCCAGCCCCTGGGGAGGCAAAAGTCAGGCTGCCCCTGTGGTGCGGCCAAGCGTCGGAAATGGAAGGCGGTCAGTGGGTCCAGGAGAGAACCCCGTATCCTGGAGACGGAAGGAAAAGAGTTGTTTCAGGAAGGAAGAAGGAGGAGGAAGGAAGGGAGGGAGGGGGAAGAGAGGGAAGGAAGGGAGGGAGGAAGGAAGGGAGGAAGGGAGGGAGGGAGGGAGGGAGGGAGGGGGGAGGGAGGGAGGGAGGGAGGGAGGAAGGAAGGAGAGGAATGAGGGAGGGAGGGAGGGAAGGACCATCTGTTTCTCCCTGCCGCTTCCTCCCTCCACCCTTTCCATTCCGTGACATTCCTTTATCTGTGCAGTCACACTGAATTTGAATTATTTCTGTGTGCTCAATCTTTCCCCAATTTTATCAAGCTCCGATCGGTGACCCAGAACCGATCAAAGGTGGACCGCATTACGGGGGTAGGTCGACGAAAGGTTTCAGGGCACGGCCTCAGGTCGAAGTAGCGGGGGAGAGAAGTGTCGAGGTTAAGGCCCGGAGAGAGCGGCCAGTACGTCCGTTAACACTTCCCACCTACTCGCACGTTCCGTTCTCCTGACAAACAGCTCTTGGAGATCTCTTCTGCCAGCTTCCAGTATCTACACGGCCATCGCGCTGGCTTGGGTCCCGGAAGCGGGGCTACGCTTGTTTAGAGCCTGATGACACATTGATGGGTGTTTGTTCCCCGGGGTCTGTGGATCTTGGCGACGAGTCTTCGGGTTGTTTCCAGGTCATTCGCTTGAGTCGCCTGACAGACAGACAGACAGACAGACCGACCCTGCCTTGTTCGTTTGTAATTGGTCCTGGTACTCGGAAAAGTGCGTCCACCTGATTGCTGGGGTTACAGACGGGAACGTGGCGGGGAACTGGGTGTTAATTCTAGGCCCCGGGCTGTCTGCCCTTATCCCCGGCAGGACGGGCCATTCGTGCCTGTGTCTGCTTCACCTGCCCACCTCCCTGCCGCCTCAGGGTCCTGCTTGTCCCCCTTGGCAGCATGGCATGGTCTGTCCGGACCCTGTTGTCCTCCGTGTCTGCTGGACTTGGCTGTCCTGCGTGAGCTGCGGTGAACGGGGGATCGAGCCAGCTCCTGGCGACAGGGCGCTGGGTGCAGGGAGCGCTCTTTTTGTCTTCAACATCTGGAAGTCTCCACTGTGTTTTCCATTCAGAAAGTTTTAATGAGCCCCAGGTACATGCGGGGTGAAGCCCAAGCCCAGAATAAATTCAGGTTTGCCAGCGTGAGCCGTGTCTCCATGGCAGATTAGAAAGGGCAGCATTGTCCGTGGGGAGTTCGGAGATAGTCAGAAAGACTGCATTCATCTGTGGAATATAAAATAACATGATAGGAGTCGAACACCCAAGCACAGTAGAAATTAGGGCCAGGAGGATCAATCCATGGCTTGGAAGCGGCCTCACGAGCTGGGGAAAAAGGCAGGTGGGATGGAGAAGGGACCATCCAAGCCAAGGACGCTTGGAGGGCTCGCTCAGGATGGGAGATGCGTGCTGGAAGTAGACTCTGGACCAAACATGATGGTGGGGGGCCCGCCAAACCACTCTCCGGCCCGCAGAGGTGGCCCTGGGGACTGATCCGCTGGTGCAAGGAGAGACCAATCGAATGAACACAAGACACAAGAGACAGAATGCAATTTAGAAACAGAGAGAAAAGGGGACAGAACTTTATTGAGGGCTACAGGCTGTTTATATAGGGTCGGGGCAGCCCAGTCAGAGCAGAAGCAATAGAACCATACGTGGTAAGGTCAGCAACAAGAGCTTTACCTAGCATTCAAGATAAACATTTGTACATCAAAGGGTCTTAGGGCAGTAGATGCATCCTGGAGGTCACAATAGATAAGGCCAGATGTGATAACTGTCAGCCTGATGTATGTGGCTATAGATCAGGCATCCGCTGAGGTCAGGAAGCCCTGGGAGACTGTCACCAATGTCTGTCCCAAGCAGTTCCTAACATAGGAACCATGGCCAGGGTCTGTGAGAGGGCTCTTGGCTTCCCACACATGATGGCCGCTTAGTACCCGTATTGCAAACCTTAACACTCAAAGGGAGAGAGAGAGAAAGAGGGAAGGTGCCTGCCACAGAGGCAGGGGGGCTGGGGGCTGGGGTGGGGGTGGTGGGTGGGACACTGGGGACATTGGTGGTGGACAGTGGGCACTGGTGGAGGGATGGGTACTCGATCACTGCATGACTGAAACATAATCGTGACAGTTTCCATGTGTTGGGCTCCTGTAACCAGGAGGTCGAGTGAGGCTTAAGGTCGAAACACCCAGTGCTGGCTGACGCCTGTTCTGGCCAACTTTGCCCAGATACTCCCTTTCTTTTTTTTTCTTTCTTTCTTTCTGGGTGGGCTGGAGCAATAGCACAGCGGAAGGGCGTTTGTCTGCGTGTGGCCGGCCCGGCCGAGCTGGGTTTGATTCCTCCGCCCCTCTCGGAGAGCCCGGCAAGCTACCGAGAGGATCTTTCCTGCACGGCAGAGCCTGGCAAGCTCCCCGTGACATCTTCGAGATGCCAAACACAATCACAACAAAGTCTCTGATGGAGACGTTACTGGGCCTGCTCGAGCAAATCGATGAACAACGGGAGGACAGTGACTGTGCTTTTTGGGTCACACCCAGCAATGCTCAGGGCTGACTCCAGGCTCTGCACCCAGGAATCACTCCTGGTGGGGCTCAGGGAACCCTCTGGGATGCCGGGGATTGAACCCGGGTCGGCCGCGTGCCAGGCCAACGCCCTCCCTGCTGTGCTATCGCTCCAGCCCCCTTCCCTCTTTATTATTATTGTTGTTGTTGTTATTATTATTATCATTTGGCTTTTCGGGTCCCACCCGGTAATGCTCAGGGCTCACTCCTGGCTCTGCACTCAGAAATCACTCCTGGCAGTGCTTGGGGGACCCTATGGGATGATGCTGGGAGTCGAACCCGGGTCGGCCGCGTGCCAGGCCAACGCCCTCCCCGCTGTGCTATCGCTCCAGCCCCAGATCTTCCCTCTTGCTGGGCTTTGCTTCTGGGCTGCTTTGCAAGGCCGGTTCTTATCTGCTCCAATGTCTGTCACCCTGCTCCACAAAGGGGTGGCACCCAGCAGTGCTCAGGGCTTACTCCTGCCTCTGTGCCCATGCGTCACCTGGCAGGCCCAGGGGACCGAATGGGATACTGGGGGAGTCGGCCCTGGGCCGGCCACGAGTGAGGCAAATGCCCTGCCTCCCCATGGCACTTGCTCTCGGCCTGGCCCCTCGTCTTCCTTCCGAGCTGCCAGGCCAGTGCCCCTCGTGCTGCCAGGCCAGTGCCCCTCGTCTTCCTTCCGAGCGGGGTTCAGAGGCAGCCGTGGGGGCCACTCCTCACTTGCACCCCTTCCCCCGGCAGGGAACCCGACGCCGGACGTCACCTGGCGCCGAGACGGGCAGCCCCTCCCGGAGGACGACACCCTCCGCGTGCTCTCCGCGGGCCGTTTCCTCCAGATCAGCAGCGCCCACGTCTCCCACGCCGGGAGATACTCGTGCTTGGCCTCCAACGCCGCCGGGGACCGCAGCAAGGCCTTCAGTCTCAACGTGTTGGGTGCGTACACACCGGGGGTGGGGGTCTCGGCTCTCTCCCTGCCGTGCTCCTTCCTGGGGGGCCTCCCCCTCCATCCGTGAGTGACGTGGAGCCCAGACCTCCCGGTTGGACGCCCAGCGTCACTTCCGTGAGCTCTCGGCCGGGAATTGTGAGGCGGAGTGTGATGATCTCCAGGGCGAGCCTGGAGACTTGGAACAATGAGAAGTTTCTGGAAGAAAAAAATGAAGTCATGAAATGTGCTTATAAATGGACAGACACGGAGAGTCTCATTCTGAGCGAAATGAGCCATAAAGACAGGGACAGGCATAGGCGGACTGCACTCATTTGTGGGATATTAAAAAGAAATAATCACTTGATCACTTGATACCCCGTTACTCAACGATTTACTCTAGCGGGTGCCAGTAACGTCTCCACTCATCCCTGTTGCGTGCTAGCGTAGCCCAGTGGCATCTGCTCGTTCTAGAAATATGCGGAGCCTCAAACCGATCATTCAGGGTCTTGACGAAGAAGTCTGACCATCTCGTAGGTGGGCGTCCACGCGATCTTTTGACGTCCCGTGGAATCCAGTCAGTAATGGCTCTAGTCCAGCGGTTGTCTGTAAACCTCATTACGTGTCCAGCCCATCTGACTTTTGATGCCTTGGCAAATGAGACAGCGTCCCTGATTCTTGATCGTTGACGGAGATCGGAACTCTGGATTCTATCTATAATAAATAAAATAATAAAAAATAACAAAAATAAAATAAATAAATAATAAAAATTTTAAAAAGGCCCTCCCGTTGATCGTCGATTTGCTCGAGCGGGCCCAGTAACGTCTCCATTGGAGACTTTGTTGTTACTGTGTTTGGCATATCGAATAAAAATTTTAAAAAATAATAAATCATAGTGTGAGACTATGAGGAACAAACGGGCTAGGAGCTCGGGCCCACGGTTGGGAGCTTGTCACAATTATGTGGGGGCAGAGGGCAGTTAGATTAGGAGGGACCACCAGGACAGTGAGAGTCGGAAGTGGTCACTCTGGGCAACAAACAACTGAGTGCTGAAAGGAGGGAGTAAAGGGATGTGAATGAAAATCTTTCAGTACCTGTTCTGAAAACCATAATGTCCAGAAGGCGTGGTGTGGGGAGAGAGAGAGAGAGAGAGAGAGAGAGAGAGAGAGAGAGAGAGAGAGAGAGAGGAGGGACAGAGAGAGGAGAGACAGAGAAAGAGAAGTGTGAAAAGCCCTGTCATAGAGGCAGGCAGGGGTGGGGGTGATGGGAGGGACCCTGGTGCTGGGAAATGTGCCCTGGTGGAGGGACAGAGGTTGGAGCCTTGTAGGACTGAAACCCAACCACGAACAACTTTAAAACTCTTGTCTCTCACAGTGATTCAATGAAAAGATGAATAGTTTTTCTTTTTCTTTTTTTTTTTTTTTAAAGAACAGGCAGTTTCTAACACTTGTCTACACTGCACTTGGCCAGAAGTCACCCTCAGGAACGTCCCCCGCCCTTGAGAATCTGAAAGCCTTTCTATTTTAATATACTTATACTTATTTTTTTGTAATGCTAAATGTTGCTCACAGAGAATTGAATTGTGTTAAGGCATATCGGGTGCTTGTGTGTATTTGTTGGGTGTTTGGCTGTTTTGTGTGTTTTTGTTTTTTTTAATCACTGTGAAGCAGAGTTCACACAGTTATTCATGGTTGAGTTTCAGGCATACGGTGTAATATATATATTACAGTCCTCAGGCCAGGTGAGTCTTCCTAGCCCCAGCAGGGTCCTAGTCTCATCGTTACTTACTTTTGGATCATGACAGCATTTGTCCATGATCATGCCCTCAACTTATAGTTGAGTATCGTGGCTCTTTGGCCTGGCCCATTTCGATGCCAGGGTAGCTCACAGCTTGCCCTGGGTCCATTCAGTCCCTCGTTGGGACCCTGCTTTTGGGGGTGCTAGGAACTAAGGGCAACTGAGTCAAGCAAGCAGATGCCCAGGAGTAAATATTATTCGGAGTCAATCAGCTCCCAAGTTACAAAGCGTAATATTAACTGTCTTCCTGTGTCCACACAGAGAGGACGTTGCTTTAAGGTAAACTATGCAAAGGACATAACTTCCAAGTTCAGTGTCCTTAGGAAGATCTGATATTACAAGCTAACAGAATCTGATTAGGGAGAAAAGGTGACTAACTGGCTGGGGAGGAGAGCACAGGGAAGAGTTTACAGATAAACAGAGGAATGGGAATGACTCGGGAGCACTGTGATGGGTGTAACCCGATAAACCTGAGCTCCCTGTGGCAATGTTATTCTCCAAGCACCCATCCCACCATTGGTATCCTCAGTTTCCCTCCTGCCCCCCAAGGATGCCTCTCTGTGCACTTGCTATTTTATATATATATATATATATTTAATTTATTGATTCGTTCCTAGAGTATTTATTACATTTAGAATAACTGCCTTGTTCCTGGAACCGTTTCTGTGTTAGGGGATGGATGTCGAATGAGCAGTAGTAAAAAAAAAAAAAAAAAGTCCGCCCTTCACGCTTGTGTCAAGGAAAACCGAGAAAGCGTGAAAGTTTCCACCAGAGATCTCTCACCCTTTCTTTGTGGGCCTCTGCCCATTGCTGGGAATTGTTCACGTTATATTTATGAGCCCGGAAAGATTAAATAACATTATACTTTTGGAAGCGGTGGAGATATCCAGGAAGCAGCTTGGGGCCCTTCTCTGAGCAGCCTTGGTGAATGAGTGTCTCAAACATTTTCCTGAAGGCCTTGAAGACATTTGGGCTCAGGCAGTGTTTGAAATAACATAGATTTCATAGTGCTCGGATTTTTCCGCAGTCTTGTCTTGGAAGACATCTGAAGCTTATTATGGTCTTGGAAGTGTTGGACAACTTAGAAGTCCGCCTTGTTACTAACTTTAAAAAATTTTTTTTTCTACTTATTTCCTGAATTGTCAAATTTTATGCTTATATCTCCAAAAAAGTAGTATAATAGAGATGTTATTTTTTTTCTCATTTTGAGATTTAAAATGCACCGCTTAAATGTGATGTTTGATTTAAAAAAAAAAATTTTTTAATAGCTTTTACTATAGGGCTGCTGTGATAGCACAGTGGGAAGGGCGTTTGCCTTGCACGTGGCTGACCCAGGTTTGATCCCCGGCATATCATAGGGTCCCCCGAACACCGCCAGGAGTGATTCCTGAATGCAGAGCCTGGAGTCAGCCCTGAGCATCGCTGGGTGTGGCCCAAAAATGAACACAGAGCAAATAAAGACATTTCAAAAATAGAAGTCTTGATTGTTTAAAAGTGAAATGATCTCGATTTGAGTGCGAAACGGTTTGCAGTGTTTACTTTGTTGTTAGAATCGTTGATAGGTACTGTGGAATGTGTTGTTCAACCCATAAAGAATCACCCCAGGTGAAACACCACCTCGTTGAGTTCAGGGTACGCATCTACAAAAAAAGTTCAGTTACAATTAATATTTTTTATGGCCTTTTGGGCCACACCTGGCGATGCTCAGGGGTTACTTCTAGCTCTGCACTCAGAAATCACTCCTGACGGTGCTCGGGGGACCCCATGGGATTCTGGGAATCAAACCTGGGTCAGCCACGTGCAAGACAAACGCCTTCCCCGCTGTCCAGTCCCATGACATCATTATTATTATTATTATTATTATTATTATTATTATTATTATTGCTTTTTGGGTCCCACCAGGCGATGCTCAGGGCTGACTCCTGGCTCTGCATTCAGGGATCATTCCTGGCAGTGCTCGGGAAACCTTAGGGGATGTTGGGGATCGAACACGGGTCAGCTGCGTGCCAGGCCAACACCCTCCCCGCTGTGCTGTCACTCTGGTTCTATGGCCCCCAATATCTTCTCTCTGTCCCTCGTTGCGGTGAGCTAGGGGAGGCCCCCACTGTGCCGGTGTAGACACATACCCAGGGGCCGTTGGCCTCGCGTCGCTCGGGCGTGGACCCCCGAAGCAGGGATGGCGGGCGGGGAGGATGGGGAGGAAGGCTCCCAGCCCGGCATCCCGCTCCTCACCCGTCTCTGCTCCTTCGCAGTCTCGCCCACCATCGCCGGCGCAGACGGGGACGGCAGCCCCGAGGACGTCACCGTTATCCTCAACAACCCCACCTCGCTGGTCTGCGAAGCCCACTCGCACCCGCCGGCCACCATCTCCTGGTTCAAGGACGGAACCGCCCTGGAGTCCAGCCGGAACCTCCGCATCCTGCCAGGTCCTCCACGCGGCGCTGGGCACATGCCCTCCCGCTCTCTCTGTCTCTGTCTTTCTGTCTCTGTCTCTGTCTTTCTGTCTCTGTCTGTTTCTATGTCTCTTTCTCTCTGCCTCTGTCTCTCTCTGTCTCTGTCTCTCTGTGTCTCTCTGTGTGTCTGTCTCTCTGTCTCTCTCTCCCTTACTCCCTCTCTCTTCCTCTCTTTCCCTCTTTCTCTCCTTCTCTCTCTCTCTGCCTCTCCATCCCCCCCCCCACACACACCTTTTGGGCATTAAGGTTTGCAATGCCAATGCTGAAAGGTTCTCCTGTCTATCCATGTCCCTCCTTTCAACACTCAGTTCCCGTCCAGAACGACGCTTTCCAACTCTCACTGTCAGACTGGTCCCTTCTGTACACCCCAACTGCCCTCCACAACCCCCACACTCTTGTGGCAAGCTTCCAGTTTTTTTTTTTCATTGAATCACCATGAGTTACAGTTACAAGCTTTCATGGTTGAGTTTCAGTCACACAATGATGGAACCCCCATCCCTCCACCAGGGCACATTCCACACCACCAATGCCCCCAGCATCCCCCCATCCCACCCTCCCCTGCTTCCATGGCAGACAATCTCCCCCAGACTCTCTCTCTACTTTGGGGCATCCTGGTTTGCAATACAGACACTGAGAGGCCGTCACGTTGGGTCCTTGATCTACTCTCCGCACACATCTCCCATCCCGAGCGACCCCTCCAACCCTCACTGACTCAGTGACCCCTTCTCCATCCCAGCTGCCTTCTCCCCCAGCTCATGGGGCGGGCTGCTGACAGTGAGCTCCCTCCCAATCCTTGACCAGACTTCCTGGCCCCTGTTTTTCCTAGCATGGATAAGTCATTTTTTTTAATAAAAGCACCCATCTCTCGGTTTGCTTTATATCATACGATGTTTCAATATGAGGAAGTGGGTGTGAGGGCTCAGAGCTTACCTCTGACTCTGGCCATACTCAGGGAACTCTCCGCATTGCCAAGGATCCTTCCCGGGTCGGCCGTGGGCAGGAGAGGTGCTCCACCCCCGAGCTCGCTCTCTCCCTGATGTTTTAATAGTTTATATTACTCCTAAGTATATTCCATTTTGGGACGCCAGAGCCATAGCACAGCTGGGAGGGTGTTTGACTTGCAAACAGCCGACCCGAGTTCGATCCCCGGCATCCCATAGGGTCCCCCGAGCACCGCCAGGAGTGATTCCTGAGTGCAGAGCCAGGAGCCAGCCCTGAGCATCGCCAGGTGGGGCCCGAGAGGACAAACTTTTAAAAAGTAAATTCTCTTTTCTCGTTTAGGAGGGTGGCCCGCCCAGCAGTGCTCAGAGCTTATGTCAGCCTGTGCTCAGGGATCCTTCCTGGCTGGGCTCAGGCAACCAGACGAGTGTTGGGGCTCGAACCTGGGGCCCTGCCTGCAAGCCTGTGCCCCAGCCCATGGCACCATCTCCCCAGCCGGCCTCCAGCCCTGTCTGGGGGGCGCTGAGTGACCGCCTTTAGCAGACCCGATATCCTGGGCCCCTGGACTTGGTAGCCCTGGGGCCGGGCGCTGGCAGAAGGCGCCAGTGTCCATCCGGGCATCTGTCCACCCTCCGCTCCTGACGCCCCCGCCTCCCCCGCCCTGCAGGCGGCCGGACCCTGCAGATCCTGAACACGCAGGAGGATGACGCCGGCCGCTACTCGTGCGTGGCCACCAACGAGGCAGGCGAGACCATCAAGCAGTACGAGGTGAAAGTGTACAGTAAGTGTCGCCGCCCGCGGGCAGCCTTGTGCCGGGACCCGATGGTCTCAGCGGCTGGTGGAGTCCCAGGAGTGACCTGCGCCATGCAGCAGGGTCGCGGCCAGGAAAGGGGCTCGTGCCCCCGGGGTGGGCCTGAGGGTCTGCCCTGTCCGGCGCCGGGGGGTCTCAGGGGCAGAGCGGGGCGGATGTCTTGGGCGCATCGCAGTGTTTCCCTTGGGTGCCGTAGAAAGGAGGTTCCCTGTCTTCCTCCTGGTCCTGCGTGCAGCCACTTGGTTCCTTGAATGATCAGAGGTATGTGAGTGTGTTTGTGTGTCTGTGTGCATACGTGTGTCCTCATTGTGTCTGTGCATGTGTGTGTGCGCACAGGGGGAGTTTGTATTGGGGATTGTGTGTGTGTGCATGTGTGGGGTGTGGGGGGAGTGTGGGGGGTTGTGTGTGTGCGTGTGCATGTGTGTGGTGTCAAGGGGAGTTTGGGGGAGTTGTGTATGTGCATGTGTGTACGTGTGGAGAGGGTTGTGTGCTTGTGTGCAGTGTGGGGGGAGTTTGTGTGTGAGGGGTTGTGTGTGCATGTGTGTACGTGTGTGGTGTAGGGGGGAGTTTGTGTGGGGAAGGTTGTGTGTATGCGTGTGTGTGTGAGGGGGAATTTCTGTGTGCCTGTGGGGGGGAGAGAGCTTGTGTGTTTGTATGTGTGTGGCGGGGGGAGTTTGTGCGTGTGCGTGTGTATGTGTGTGTGCATGCGTTTGTGTATGCATGTGGGGGGGGGGGAGTTTGCGTGTGTGTGTGTGTGCCGGGGGGAGTTTGTATGTGGTGTGGGGGGGAGTTTCTGTGCAGTGGGTGGTTGTGTGTGTATGCGTGTGGGGAGGGTTGTATGTGTGTGCATGTGTGCATGGTGGGAGAGAGTTTGTGTGGGGGGTTGTGTGTGTGTGCATGTGCCTGTGGGGAGGTTTGTGTGTGTGTGTGCATGTGTGGCAGAGAGAGCTTGTGTGTTTGTATGTGTGTGGGGGGGAGTTTGTGTGTGTGTGTTTGCGCGGGGGGAGTCCGTGTGCGTGTGTGGTGTGGGGGGGGGGGAGTTTGTACGGGGGGGTTGTGTGTGTGCGTGTGTGTGGTATGGGGAAAGTTTGTGTGTGAGGGGTCGTGTGTGTGCGTGTGTGTGAGGGTGTGTGAGGGGGAGTTTCTGTGTGTGCACATGTGGGGAAGGGAGCTTGTGTGTTTGTATGTGCATGGGGGGAGTTTGTGCGTGTGTGTGCATGTGTTTGTGTATCCCTGTGGGGGGGAGTTTGTGTGTGTGTGTGTGTGTGTGTGTGTGTGTGTGTGCTGCATTCGGGTGTGTGGGGGTGGGCCTTGCTCAGCTAGGGGGTGTGCCCAGCTCCTGTATGGACAGTGGCCGTGGAGTGTGGGGCTCCCTAGGGGGAGGGACCCCGGGGCCCACCCTCGGGGGGCCTGAGCATTAGGGTCTCACCACCTGGGCTGGCTGGGGGGCGTGGCCTGGCTCCCAGCATCTTCCTCCTCCTGAGCCCCCTCCCCCCAGGCAGGAAGTTAACCCCTTCCTCCCCCTCCCGCCCCCAGTTCCCCCCATCATCAACAAAGGGGACCTGCTGGGGCCCGGGCTGTCCCCGAAGGAGGTGAAGATCCGTGTGAACAACACGCTGACCCTGGAGTGCGAGGCCTATGCCGTCCCCTCGGCCGCCGTCAGCTGGTACAGAGATGGACAGGCCAGTCGCCCTTTCGTTTTACTCCCCGGGGGTTCCTGCGGCCCCCCCCCCGCCAGGTTCTTCGGCTGAAAAAACGCCACGGAAAGTGTCCCGAGGGTCCCAGGGAATTCGTGGCCTTAAGCCGCCCGTCTCCGCCCTTTATCCGAGAGGGCCGTGACCCACGGCAAAGGTGCCAGGTCTGGCTGCCTCCTGGGCGGTGGTGGCCATTAGCGGCCAACCCAGGTTCAATTCCCGGCATCCCCGAGCATCGCCAGGAGTGATTCCTCAGCGCCGAGCTGGGAGTCAACCCTGAGCATCGCCAGGTGGGACCCAAAAAGCAAAAAAAAAAAAAAAAAAAAAAAAAAAAAAAGCAATGGACCCAGGGCATACATGGGCATACGCAGAGGAACCCCGTAACTGTCGCTCTGACCCGGAACCGGGCCCCTCGAGCCCGAGTGTCAGCGTCGCGTCCTGACCCCGCAGGCCCTGAAGTCGGACGACCACGTCACCATCGCGGCCAACGGGCACCGGCTGCAGATCAAGGAGGCCCAGATCTCGGACACGGGCCGGTACACGTGTGTGGCCTCCAATGTCGCGGGCGAGGATGAGCTGGACTTCGACGTGAACATACAAGGTGACGCAGATGTGCTTGTTCTGCATCCACAGAAAAAGGTCATGTGTAGTATGTTCATTACGTGTGTTTTGCTTGGGGTCACCATGGGCGGTGCTCAGGGCTGACTCCTGGCTCTGTGCTCAGGGATCACTCCTCGGGGGGAACCCTATGGGATGCCGGGGATAGAACCCGGGTCGGCCACGTGCCAGGCCAACACCCTCCCCACTGTGCTCTCGCTCCCGCCCCGCGCCCGAATATTCTTAAAGACTTCTTCATCCTCATAGCACGACTGTGTCAGCCTTGGCCAGACCACGCATTGGGAAATGCGAGTCGTGGGGTCAGCACTTGTGCACATGGCGGAGAACAGGCCTTGAACCCGGAGCTTCCTGGAAGCAGAGCCGGCCTCTGGGCTGCCGGGTTTTTGGCAGGGAGAGAGGCGATGGGGTGGACAGGCCCCAGGCCCCACCTTGAGCCGGGGCTGACTCCCCTCTCCGTCCCCTCTCCTGCCTGTGATTCAGCCGGATGCAGCGGGTGTGGACACACCTGAGTGTTTTCCGACAGCTCACGGGAAAACCGTCAGCTCAGGGGAGAACCGTCAGCTCATGGGGAAAACCGTGAGCTTAGGGGAGAACCTTCAGCTCCCAGGAAAACCGCTGTCATGTGCCCTGTCCTGCCCTTCCCTGAGCTTCCAACTCCGTCTCCTCCTCCCACAGTGCCCCCAAGCTTCCAGAAGCTCTGGGAGATCGGGAACATGCTGGACACGGGCAGGACCGGCGAGGCCAAGGACGTGATCGTCAACAACCCGCTGACCCTGCACTGTGAGACCAGCGCCGCCCCACCCCCGACGCTCACCTGGTTCAAGGACGGCCGGCCCCTGACCTCCAGCGACAGGGTGCTGGTCCTGCCGGGTACGAGGGTCAGGGCGCCCACAGGGCATGGGGGGAGGGGTACCACTTCCGTGTCACAAGTCGGGCTGACTCGGCTCCTGGCCACGGGGTTTCCATGCGTCAGACCAATAGGATGAGTTGTTTTTCTGGCCATTTGATTTTGGCGTGTTTTGCGTTAGACCCAGGGGGTGGATCTATGTTCCAGCCCCGCATTTTTATGTGTTGGACCCACGAAGGGGTCAGTTTTCCAGCATGGTCACTTGAGTGTCTGTCCAGTGTGCCTGGAACAGGCCGATTCAGACCCTCCCCAGGGAAAGAACGGCTTTGATCCCGTAGCTCGACTTCAAGATGCTTCCATCTGGGGCTGGAGCGATAGCACAGCGGGGAGGGCCGACCCGGGTTTGATCCCCGGCATCCCGTCGGGTCCCCTGAGCACCGTCAGGAGTGATTCCTGAGTGCAGAGCCAGGAGGAAGCCTTGAGTATTGCCGGGCGTGGCCCCAAAACAAAACAAAACAAAAAACAGAGGGACGTAACCAGCCGACCAGCAGGACACTCAGCTCTGTCAGTGCACATTTGCTGATGCTGCCAGTTTCAGTCTCAGAACGGTCCACAGGGTTGGGTGCATCTCCATGTGACCGCTGACCCTGGCTTCCGGAACCTTCTGTTCACACATCACTCCTTGCGTTAGCCCAGATGGGAGCTCGAAGCCAGAAAGGGGGGGTGGTGGTGTGGCGTGAGCTGCACCCCCAAACCACCTTGGTTTTATTAGTGGGGGCTGGGGTCAGACCCGCACCCTGGGTGCTCAGGAGCCGTCCCGGGTGGGCCCCGCCCTGCCCTAGAGGCCGGCCGAACTGTGGGCTTTCGCAGGGGGCCGAGGGCTGCAGATCCCCCGGGCCAAGGCTGAGGACGCCGGCAGGTACACGTGTGTGGCCGTGAACGAGGCAGGGGAGGACTCGCTGCTCTACGACGTCCGCGTGCTCCGTGAGTGCCCCCGGGGCCCAGGGCTCTCTGCGGTGGGGGCGCTCGGGACCTCGGACCTCCGGCTTCCCCAGAGACCCCACGGGAAAGGAGAGAAGAGAGGGAGAGCCGTGGGTTCGTGAGGCTGATCGGAGTCGGAGAGAAGAGGAAGGGGCCGAAAAGGGAGGAGAGAGTTTCTGATGGACACGTCATCACCTGCGTGTCCCAGATCCCCTCCCCCCGACCCCCCCATCCCAGTTGCTTAGAAGCTTCCAGAAAATGCAAGTTTTTGTCTTGTCTCCCTTCCCAGTCCCGCCGGCCATCAAGGGCGCCAGGGGCTCCGTCCCCGAGGAGGTGGTGGTGCTGGTGAACAGGAGTGCCCGGCTGGAGTGTGTCCCCAGTGGCAACCCAGCCCCGAGGGTCACCTGGCAGAAGGACGGGGCCCCCCTGGCCGGGAGCGCCCACCACGAGCTGCTCTCCGGTGGGAGGATCCTGCAGGTAACGCGGCGGCGGCCACCGGGTGGGCGTCTGCTGACTGCTGTGTCTGCCAGAGCTCGGGCGGGGCGAGGGGTGTGGCCGTCACTCTAAGGGGGACACAAGCTCAGACCGTCCCCCTCGTTTTCGTCCTACCAGCCGAGGCAGCCGCTGTTCAGGGTCCAGTGAAGGTTCTCCCAAATTCTCCCCCACGGACAGTGGAGCTCTCCACAGCCTGACGCCTTCTGGGTCAATGCTGCATTCTAGGCAGATGGTGGCCGTTTCCGTTACATGTTCCTGCGTAAAGTGCTGGGTGGCCTCAAGCTGCCTGCAGGGCCAAAATCTGAGAGAGAGAGAGAGAGAGAGAGAGAGAGAGAACAGCGGAGTGGGCACTTGCTGACATGCAGCTGACCCGGCACCCCATGGGGTCCCCCAAGCACCTCCAGGAGAGATCACTGAGTACACAGTTGGGCTAGAGCGATAGCACAGCGGGTGGGGTGTTGGCATGGCTCGTGGCCAACCCGGATTTGATCCTTGGCATCCCATAGGGTCCCCCGAGCACCGCCAGGAGGAGTTCCTGAGTATAGAGCCAGGAGTCAGCCCGAGCATTGCTGGGTCTCTCTCTCTCTCTCTCTCTCTCTCTCTCTCTCTCTCTCTCTCTCTCTCTCTCTCTCACACACACACACACACACACACACACACACACACACAAACACAGCCAGGAGTCAGCCCCAAGCACCACTGAGCGTGGTCCAGAAACCAAAACGATCATGGTCACGATCATCCTGTTGTTCTAGGCACCAGTAACGTCTCCTTCATCCTAGCCCCGAGAAATGCTCTTTCAGGGTTAGGAGAACGAGACCCTTCATTGCTACTGGTATTTGGCATATTAGGTACGCCACGGGGAGTTTGCCAGACTCTGCCGGGTGAGCAGGTTAAATTCGGTAGCCTGCTGGGTTGTCCAAAGTAAGAACGAGATAGTAAGATAGTAACAAATGCATAAAATACGGTAAAATAAAATGCTTTGAAGTCCTGGGTCCAGAGTAATCGTACAGTGGGTGAGGTGCATGGCCAACTCAGGCTCAATCCCTGGCACCCCAGACTATCCCCCGTGTCCCACAGGAGTGACCCCTGAGTGCAGAGTCAGGAATGAGCCCCAAGCACTGCTGGGTGTGACCCAAATATCCCACCTCCAAAACAAACAACAAAATTTATCCTTTGTTGACAAAGGATTGACTATAATAAGTGATAATTCACATTTCTTAAATATTTAAAATTGTGGGGCTGGAGCGATAGCACAGCGGGGAGGGCATTTACCTTGGACACCGCTGACCTGGGTCCGATCCCCGGCATCCCATAGGGTCCCCCGAGCACCGCCAGGAGTGATTCCTGAGCGCAGAGCCGGGAGTCGGCCCTGAGCACTGCCGGTGTGGCCCCAAAGCCAAACTAACGATCCTGAGATAGAAATAAGTTTACGATTGAAAATAACGCGTCTCCAGCTACCCACCTGGACCTGGTCCCTCTCTGGGAGATCAGGCCGCGTCCCCCGAAGCCGTTTCTGTCTGTGGTTCCGTCTGAAAAAAGACCCTCCTTGCTGTCTAGTGAGAGAGACTCATCGTTGGTGATAACTGCATATAGCAAGAGACTTGGGCTGCATCTCTGCTGGTCTCGGCTGGGCCGGGCTGGGCCCTCGGGTCCACACTGAGCTGGTTCCCTCATGGGACCCAGACTCCCGCAGCCGTCCTGGCTTCTCTCAGGGAGGCCGTCAAGTCCAGGGACAGGGCGACACGTGCACCCATCCCCCCCTTCACAGACCGAGGTCTGTCTGCATCGAGCCACAGCACTGGGGCTAACACATCAAACCCCAGGTTGACGCTGACGCTTGTTCCACCAACGTCACATTGACTGGGGAGAAATATTTTCATCGACACAACACAAATACCAATGAAATTGCCTTTTTTTGGGGGGGCTTTTTGGGTCCCACCCGGCGATGCTCAGGGGTTCCTCCTGGCTCTGAACTCAGGAATCAGTCGCGGTGGTGCTCGGGGGACCCTATGGGATGCTGGGGGTCGAATCTGGGTCAGCCCCGTGCAAGGCCAACAACGCCCTCCCTGCTGGGCTGTCACTCCAAACCCAGCCCCTCTGCTCCTGACCAGCTTGCTTGAAGTTCTAGCATCTGTCTCGCCTCTCTCTTCTCTGCTTGGCTGAGACCGGCTCTAAATTCCCACCCTCTTCCGCCTTGGGGGGTCCCACCAATCCCAAACCCAACCAGCTGAGGGTCTTTTGTTTCTGTTCTGTTTTTGTTTTATCTTTTGACTTTTGGGCCACACCCTGCGGTGCTCAGGGCTGACTCCTGGCTCCGCACTCAGGAATTGTTCCTGGTGGTTGCTCGGGGGACCCTATGGGATGCCGGGGATCAAACCCGGGTCAGCTGCGTGCAAGGCAAACGCCCTTCCCGCTTGGCTATCGCTCCAGCCCCTGGCCTGAGGATTTGTGAGTTTGTGTTAGTGGGTGTCTTTTTTGGCCACATTGGGCGGTGCTTAGGGCTGACTCCCGGCTCTGCACTTAGGAATCACTCCTGATGGTTGCTCGGGGGACCCTAGGGGATGCCGGGGATCGAACCCGGGTCGGCCGCGTGCAAGGCCAGCACCCTCCCCGCTGTGCTATCGCTCCAGCCCCTGAAACTGCCTTTTCTCTTCATAAACCCTTTCCATGAAGAAACGCTTGGCCGACGTCCTCGCCACCAGCGGGGGCTCCATGCTGCACCGTATTTTTTCTCCTTCCATTTCTCTGGTACTGACGAGGGGGACTTTGGGCCATTCACGGTGGCCGGGAGGACAAGGTGACCGCGTCCATCGGGGTGTCTCCGTCTTCCCCCTAGATCCTCAACACCCAGATGGCGGATATCGGCCGGTATGTGTGCATCGCCGAGAACACAGCTGGGAGTGCCAAGAAGTACTTCAACCTCAACGTTCACGGTGAGAGCCCAGTTCCAGAAACTTCCGTGGTGGGCAGGTTGGGGCGTAGGGAGCTGCTTGTCAAGGCAGGAGACTGTGCTTTGGGGCATGCGGGTTCAAAATCAGAATCTTCCTTCGGTAGCTGGAGGGGCACTCCGGCCATGTTCAAGAGCCACTTTGGTGGTACTTTGGGGGCCTGAGCCCTCCTTCCAGACCCAGCAAGAACGTTCTAGAGTTTTCCAGAACATACTTGCTGGGTTTCCCCCTTTCTACTCCTGCACCATGGCCCGTGGGATCTTCTCGATGCTCGTGACATTTTGTATTCGAGGCTGTGAATCGGGGTTAAGAACAAAGACCCCAGAGCCTGGGTGGGGGAGTCGCCCAGGGGACTTTTCGCAGGAGCCCCGGCTCCGCCCCTCCCTAGCCCCACTCAGTCCCCACCAGCCCTGCATGTGCCCCCAGCCCCAAAGCATGGCTGGGAAGCCTCAGGCAAGCTGCTCCCCTCTGCTGTGGCCTGGCCGTGGCGCTGGGGCGCCCACAGTGACGTCCTGGGACGCTGCAGTGTTCGAGGCAGTGCTGGGCTCTGCAGAACTGCCCCAGGACGTGGGCCGGTGTTTCTAGCATGGAGCCCCTTGTGGCCACCAGATGGATCACCCAACGTGGTGACGGCAGCTGCATGATTTTAATAGGAGGCATTTGATAAATACCCGCTAAAGAACATTCAGATGAGTCTGCAGTAGGGCTGGAGCAACAGCACAGCAGGGAGGGCGTTGGCCTGGCACGTGGCCGACCCGGGTTCGATCCCCGGCCTCCCATAGCGTCCCCCGAGCACCACCAGGAGTGATTCCTGAGTGCAGAGCCGGGAGTCAGCCCTGAGCATCCCTGGGTGTGACCCCCAAAATGAACCAGCTATCTTCAGATATACTTAATAAAAATAAAAATGTGCAGTTAGGTCTTTCATTCATTGTACATTGATGACATTTTCTTAAGAGTTACCAACTAAGGGGCCGGAGTGATAGCACAGCAGGGAGGGCGTTGGCCTGGCACGTGGCCAACCCGGGTTCGATTCCCAGCATCCCATAGGGTCCCTTCGAGCACTGCCAGGAGTGATTCCTGAGGGTCAGCCCTGACAACCTGCTGAGTGGGGCCCAAAATAAGACAGTTACCACCCGGGACCTGCAGACAGGCTGGCAGCGAGGGTGGGTGCTGAATTTGGACTCCATCCCCAGCTCTGTAGGCCGGGATACCCCCTATTCTTGGTTCTTCCATTTAACCACCTCGCCAGTTGGCCACTAACTTCCAGGAGGGACCCTGAGGTTGTGTATACACACACACACACACACACACACACACACACACACACACACACACACACACACACACACACACACACACACACACACACCAGCTACATTTTACAAGCTAAATAGAGATTCGATCCGTGAGAACTTGGTGACTACCCGCACGGGGACAGACGGACGTGAGTGTGTGAGGTTGCCGGCGGCTGGACCTCTGGGGGAAGGCCGGTTTCCTGGTCGACTCAGGCTCTCTCTGGCGGCTGCGCCATCCCCTCACGGCCGCGCGCTCTCTCTCTCTCTCCCTGCAGTTCCTCCCCGCATCATCGGCCCCAACCCCGAGAACCTCACGGTCGTGGTGAACAATTTCATCTCCTTGAGCTGCGAGGTGTCTGGGTTCCCGGCCCCGGACGTGAGCTGGCTCCAGGACGGACAGCCGGTCAAGCTGGGTCCCAATGCCCTGGTGATCCCTGGTGAGGAGGGGCGCTGCCCCGAGGGAACTGGGCCCCGCTCTGCCCCGCTGTTCTCCACTGGCAAACATATTCCCCATTTTCCAGATCGGCTCTAAACGGGTTTCTTGGGGCCGGAGCGACAGCACAGTGGGGAGGGCATTTGCCTGGCACCCGGCCGACCCGGGTTCGATCCCCGGCATCCCACAGGGTCCCCTGAGCACTGCCAGGAGTGATTCCTGAGTGTCAGAGCCGGGAGTCAGCCCTGAGCATCGCCGGGTGGGACCCAAAAGGCCAAAATAATAATAATAATAATAATAATAATAATGAGTCATGGGACTGGACAGCACAGCAGGGAGGGAATTTGCCTTGCATGCAGCCAACCCAGGTTCGATCCCCGGCATCCCATAGGGTCCCCCCGAGCACCGCCAGGAGTGATCCCTGAGTACAGAGCCAGAAGTTAGCCCTGAGCATTGCTGGGTGGGACCCAAAAAGAAAAAAAAACTAAAATTAACAAAACCCCCCAAAAATGGGTTTCTCAGCCCAGTTTATTTTCATGCCTCTGTTGGTGTAATCAGACTCGTGATGTTCCCGTGGGAACCTGCAGTCACTGAGTCTGATTCCAGAATCCATCCAGGTGCAGGCAAAGTTGTATAGCAGTTCCCCAAGGGTGAGAGTTTGTGCGTTCCACTAGGTGCAGAGATAGGGTGCTTTTAATCTGGCTCAATAAAGGGGCTTTTGATGGGGCTGGAGTGATGGGACCGCAGGGAGGACGCTTGCCGTGCAGGTGGCTGACCCGGGTTCGATCCCCGGCCCCCGGCATCATCCCCTAGGGTCCCCCGAGCACTGCCAGGAGTGATCCTTGAGTGCAGAGCCAGGAGTCAGCCCTAAGCATCGCCAAGTGGGACCCAAAAAGAAAAAAAAAGAGAGAGAAGAAAGAAAAGAAGGGAGGAAAGATAAAGAAGGAAGAAAGGAAGGAGCGAGGGAGGGAGAAAGAGAGGAAATAAGAGAGAAAAAGGAAAGAAAGGGGAGAAAGAGAAAGAAAAAAGAAGAGAAAAAATAGGAAGGACAGAGGGAAGGAGAAAGAAAGAATGATAGAAAGGAAGGAAGAAAGAAAAAGGAAGGAAGGAAGAAGGAGGGAGGGAGAGAGAAAAGAGAAAGAAAAAAGAGAGGCTGAAGCAATAGCATAGCAGGGAGGGCGTTTGCCTTGCATGCGGCCGACCCGGGTTCGATCCCCGGCATCCCATAGGGTCCCCCGAGCACCGCCAGGAGTGATTCCTGAGTGCAGAGCCGGGAGTCAGCCCTTGGCATCGCCGGGTGTGGCCCAGAAACAAAAATAAACGAGAAAAGCCCTTTGAGGGTCAAGAAAAGGTCCGGTGTTCTGCCTTTGCGGTGGAGAAAAGGCAAACGCAGCAAACGCGGCGGATTTCTCCCCCCGTCCCTGCTGCCAGGACCTGTGGCCACCACAGTCCCAGCCCCGTTTGGTTCTGGGAGAGGAAGCGGTGGGGAACGCTCTCCTTCACTGCGGGGTCTCGGTCAGCCTCCCCCGGAGGGAAGGGGCTCCCGGGGCTGTAACATAAGGAGAAATAAGCTGGCCCCCGGGCGTCCGTCTCCCCTCTGTGCCCGGCAGGTGGCCGCACGCTGCAGCTCATCCGTGCCCAGGTCTCGGACGGGGGCGAGTACACCTGCCTGGCCGTCAACCAGGCCGGAGAGAGCAAGAAGAGGGTCTCCCTGACGGTGCACGGTGGGTGCCGGCCCCTCCCGCCCCTGCCGCCCTCCGGCCCCTCCCCCCCTACGGGGCCGCACGTGAAGCTCCCCCCACCTCCCCCCCGCTCACAGTGCCCCCCAGCATCAAGGACCAGGGCGGCGAGTCTCTGTCCGTCCTCAACGTCCGCGAAGGCAGCTCCGTGTCGCTGGAGTGCGAGTCCAACGCCGTCCCCGCCCCCAGCATCAGCTGGTACAGGAACGGGCGCCTGATCGTGGGGTCGCCCCAGCTGGACGTGCTCGCCGACGGCCAGGTGCTGCACATCCGGGAGGCCCAGGTGCGTCTGCGCTCCCAGGAGGGGACGGGATGGGGACGGGGAGGGGGCGGCCCGTGAGCTGATGGGACGTTGAGGCAGCCCCCCACCCCACCCCACGCGGGCGGGAAAGGGATTCCCGTTGAAAGTCAGTCACAGCTCAGGGGCGAGGGTCTCGCTTTGCATGTGGCCGAGCCCTGGGACTCTGGGCAGTCCCCTGAGCACTGCCGGGAGCGAACCCTGAGCACGGAGCCAGACAGGAGCCCTGAGGGGAGCCCGAGGTGGCCCAAAGTCCATCACACGCACACACACACATGCGCACACACACACATATGCATGCACACACATACACACACATACACATGCACGCACATGCATACACACATGCACACACATGTACATACACACATGCACACACAAATGCATGCAAACACACATGCATACACACATGTACACGCATACACACATTCATGTGCACACACGCACACAGACATGCATACAGACGCACACGCACCACCAAGAAATAGAAAAATCAATATCCTAAAGGCCGTTGACCTTCCTTTTTTTAAAAAAAAATTTTATTAGTGAGACACCAATAGGTACAGTTGTAGACTTACAAATTTTTATGCTTGGATTTCAGTTATACAATGATCGAGTACCCATCCCTCCACCAGTGCCCATTCTCCACTCCCACCAATCCCAGTATCCCTCCCAACCCCCCATCCCCCAACCCACCCTACCTCTGTAGGAGGACACTCCCTTTCCTTCTCTCTTTCCTTTTGGGTGCTGTGGTTTGCAAGAGAGGCATTGAGTGGCCATCGTGTTTGGTCTATAGTCTACTTTCAGCATGCTTCTCCCATCCTGGGAGGATCCTCCCAACACCCTTTACTTGGTGCTCCCTTCTCTATCTGAGCTGCCTTTTCCCCTAGCGTGTGTGGCTGGCCTCCAAGTCAATGGAGCAAAGTTCCTGGTACTAATCTCGGCCACTCCTGGGTGTTAGTCTCTCATTTTGTTGCTTTATGTTCCCCAGATGAACGCAATCTTTCTGTGTCTATCCCTCTCTTTCTGACTCATTTCGCTTGGCATGATACTTTCCATGTAGTACCACTTGTATGTAAATTTCATGACTTCATTTTTTCTAACAGCTGCATAGTACTCCATTGTGTAGATGTACCAAAGTTTCTTTAACCAGTCATCTGTTCTCGGGCACTCAGGTTTTTTCCAGATTTCGGCTATTGTAAAGAGTGCTGCAATGAACAAACAAGTGCAGATGTCACTTCGACTATACATTTTTGCCTCTCTGGGATATATTCCCAGGAGTGGTATCGCTGGGTCAAATGGGAGCTCAATTTCTAATTTTTGGAGAATCGTCCATACTGTTTTCCAGAAGGGCTGAACCAGTCGGAATTCCCACCAACAGTGAAGGAGTGTCCCTTTCTCGCCACATCCGCGCCAGCATCGGTTGCTTTTGTTCTTTTGGATGTGGGCCAGTCTCTGAGGTGTGAGATGGTATCTCATTGTGGTTTTGATCTGCATCTCCCTGATGATTAATGATGTGGAGCGTTTTCTCATGTGCCTTTTAGCCATTCGAATTTCATCTTTGATGAAGTTTCTGTTCATTTCATCGCCCCATTTTTTGATGGGGGACCTTCTTTTTCTTTTTCTTTTTTTTTTTTTTTTTTGGTTTTGCTTTGGTTTCACACCTGGCAGTGCTCGGCGGCTACTCCTAGCTCAGGGCTCAGAGCTCTCTCCTGGTGGTGCGCGGGGGAGGAGGCCAGGCCTCTGCCACACAGGCCGTGCCTCCCGCCAGGGGCATGAGCCTGGTCTCTGCCTTGCAGGTGTCCGACACGGGCCAGTACGTGTGCCGGGCCGTGAACGTGGCCGGGCGGGACGACAAGAACTTCCACCTCAACGTGTTTGGTGAGCGCCTGCCCACGCCCCGGCGAGCACTGGGCTAAGTCTCGGGGACCAGGCGGCCACAGCAACTCCTTCTCTCCACAGTGCCCCCGACCATCGAAGGGCCCGAGCGCGAGGCCGTCGTGGAGACCGCGGGCAACCCCGTGACCCTCGCCTGCGACGCTGCCGGCATTCCCCCGCCCACCCTAACGTGGCTGAAGAACCACAAGCCCATCGGTGAGTTGGGGGCGTCTCCCGAACCCGGGTCCTGGGTGCTTGCATCAGTGGGGTCAGCCAGCACACATCACGGTGACCATCACCACCAGCCTCAGCATCGTTGTTATTATTATTATTATTATTATTATTATTATTATTATTATTATTTCACTTGGAGGCTACAGCCAGCAGTGCTCAGGGCTGACTCCTGGTTCTGTGCTCAGGGCTCACTCCAGACTCTGTGCTCAGGGCTGACTCCTGGGTCTGTACTCAGGGATCACTCCTGGTTCTGTGCTCAGGGCTGACTCCCGGCTCTGTGCTCAGGGCTGACTCCTGGCTCTGCGATTGGGGGACCCTGCCCCTTGTGGTGGATTGAACTGGAGTCAGCACATGCAAAACAAGGACCTTAACCCCATTTTATCCCTCCCCCTTGTTTTTAAAGTTAATTTTGAGGGGACCAGAGGCCGTTCCTGGTTCGGCTCAGCCGACTGGGTGGGCTGGTCCAACACTGGTTCCTGGTGGTCCTTGGGGGTCTGAGGTGCAGGAGATGGACCCAGCGCCCCCCACGTGCCAGCCTGCACCCTGATCTCTGAGCCCTCTCCTGGGCGCCACCCGTGGTGCCTTGTTCCCCCAGTTCCCTGGAAGACGGTTCAAGGGCTCAGGCACAGACTTAGCCTGCGGGGACTCTAGGCTCGATCCTGGGTCCACCTTAAAGGGAAAAGAGGGGGAAAAAAGTTTAAAAAAAAACCTCCTAAAATGACTTGTTGTATAAGGCAGTTTTTCCCCGTTTCAAAAAAGAACTCATTTCGAACAGTGTCTCGTGTCCGCTAAAGGAAGCGCTTCCAAGGAACGCACGCAACTTATCGTGCCGAGACAGCTTTATGGCGAGTGATGGAGACGTTGAACAGAGACGTTTTCCCATCCCGGGGGGACCACGAGGCACTCTGCAAAGAGCCTCCAGATGGACCCTGTGTTTCTCCCCTGGGTGTCTGCCCCCGGAACGCTAAAACATTCGCCTAGGGGGCGGGAGCCGTAGAACAGGGGTTGGGGGCCGGCCGATCAGGTGATCCCTGGCAGTTCCATGTGGGGCCCCAACCCTGGCCAGGAGGGATCCCCGAGCACAGAGCCAGCCGTGAGCACCGCTGGATGTGGGCTCCCAAACAGACTCATGGAAAAATTGCATCATTTGCACGTGGAGGGTATCATGGCTGAGTGAAATGAGTCAAAAGGAGAGGGACAGGGACACAGTGACTGCACTCATTTGTGGGGTATTAGCGGTAGAGCGTTTGCCTTGCGTGTGGCCAGCTCGGCCGAGCTGGGTTCGATTCCTCCGCCCCTCTCGGAGAGCCCGGCAAGCTCCTGAGAGTATCTCGCCCACACAGCAAAGCCTGGCAAGCTCCCCGTGAGGTCTTTGAGATGCCAAACACAGTAACAACAAGTCTCATGATGGAGACGTTACTGGGCCCGCTCGAGCAAATCAATGAATAACGGGAGGACAGTGACAGTGACAGTGAAAAATCTGTGTGTGTGTGTGTGTGTGTGTGTGTGTGTGTGTGTGTATTAGAAGACTAATATCCACGGCCAGGGAGAACAGGGGCCGGGAGGACTGGTCAGTGGTTGGAACTGAGCACAAGTGTGTGTGGGGCTGAGGGTGGGTGAGAGAGAGAGAAGGGACCAGGGTGACAATAACAGCTGGGAAGGGTCACGCTGGACAAGAGCTGAGGGTTAAAGGAGGTAAGGAATGTTCTGGATAACCTTTCAGGATCAATATTGCAACCACAATGCCCAAAAGGAGAGAGAGAGACAGAGACAGAGAGAGGGAGTGAGAGACAGAGACAGAGAGACAGAAACAGAGATAGAGAAAGAGACAGAGAGGGATAGAGAAAGGCAATGAGAGACAGAGAGACAGAGGGAGAGAGACAGAGATAGAGAAAGAGACAGAGAGGGACAGAGAAAGGCAATCAGAGACAGAGACAGAGAGGGATAGAGAGAGGCAATGAGAGACAGAGACAGACAGAGAGAATGAGAGACAGAGACAGAGAGGGACAGAGAGAGAATGAGAGAGACAGAGAGAGAGAGACAGAGAAAAAGACAGAGAGGGACACAGAGAAAGAGACAGAGAGGGACACAGAGAGAGAGACAGAGAGGGACACAGAGAGAGAGAGAGACAATGAGAGAGACAGAGACAGAGAGGCACAGAGAGAGAGAATGAGAGAGACAGAGACAGAGAGACAGAGAGAGGGAGAGAGAGACAGAGAGGGATAGAGAGACAGAGACAGAGAGACAGAGATAGAGAAAGAGACAGAGAGGGACACACAGAGAGACAATGAGAGAGACAGAGACAGACAGAGATAGAGAGACAGAGACAGAGAGAGACAGAGACAGAGAGGGACAGAGACAGAGAGAAAGCGAGAGAGACAGAGAGAGGGAGAGACAGAGACAGAGAGGGACACAGAGAGAGACAATGAGAGAGACAGAGACAGAGATAGAGACAAAACAAGAGAGAAAAGCCCCTGCCCTAGAGGCAGGCGGGGTGGGGGGTGATGGGAGGGACCCTGGGGACCCTGGTGCTGGGAAACGTGCCCTGGTGGAGGGACGGGGGTTGGGACCCCGAAGGACTGAAACCCGATTATGAATGTAGCACTGTCGCACTGTCCTCCCAGTGTTCGTCGATTTGCTTGAGCGGGCACCAGGAATGTCTCACAACAGATTGTGAGACTTGGTTGTGACTGTGTTTGGCATCTCGAATACGCCACGGGGAGCTTGCCAGGCTTTGCAGGATACCCTCGGTAGCTTGCTAGGCTCTATGAGAGGGGCAGAGGAATTGAACCCAGGTCGGCTGTGTGCAAGGCAAATGCCCTCCCTGCTGTGCTATCTCTCCGTAATGCTCTAAAAAATGATAATAATAATCAAATCATAAAAAGGGGGGAAAATAAAAATATCATCATCTAAATGGACAAGCCGAGCCCCCCGGGGCTCATTGCGGCACTCTTTCCAGTAGCCAGATCTGGGCACAGCCGGAATGTCCGGCGAGGGAGGGATAAAGGGGTCTTGGCGTCTGGACTCAGTGGGGGGCGCTCAACTGCGGGGAAAGGGGAAATTCTGCCATTGGCCGCAGCACGCTTGAACTGGAGGGGTCCTGCTCAGTGATTGATGTCAGCCAGAGAGTGAGAAAGAGTCTAAGAAGAAGAAGAAGAAGGAGCGAACGCGGGTCTTACCCCGTCTTGCCTTTGTCCCCCCTCTAGAAAGCTCGGACTCCCTGGAAGTTCACATCATGTCTGGGGGCAGCAGACTCAAGATCGCCCGCACGCAGCGCTCGGACGGCGGCAACTACACCTGCATCGCGTCCAACCTGGAAGGCAAAGCACAGAAGCTCTACAGCCTCTCCGTCCACGGTCAGGCCCGCCGCGCTCTGGGCTTCGGGTGTGGGTCTTTGGGGGACACACGTGGCAGTGCTCGGCGGACTCCCGGCTCTGTGCTCGGGGCTGAGTCCCGGCTCTGTGCTCAGGGCTGAGTCCCAGCTCTGTGCTCAGGGCTGGCTCCTGACTCCATGCTCAGGGCTCCTTCCCGGCTCTGTGCTCAGGGCTCACTCCCAGCTCTGTGCTCAAGTCTGACTCTTGGCTCTGTGCTCAGGGCTGACTCCCGGCTCTGTGCTCAGGTCTGACTCCTGGCTCTGTGCTCAGGGCTGACTCCCGGCTCTGTGCTCAGGGCTCACTCCCAGCTCTGTGCTCAGGGCTCACTCCCAGCTCTGTGCTTGGGGCTCACTCCTGGCTCTGTCCTCAGGGCTCACTCCTTCTTCCGTGCTCAAGGATCACTCCGGGCTCTGCACTCAGGGCTCACTCCCAGCGGGACTCAGGGACCATGTGAGGTGCCGGGGATCAAACCCAGATCAGACCCGTGTAAGGCCAGCGTCCTGCCCACTGCCCTTTCTCCCCAGCCACTGTCCGTGTTTTTAATTCCTTATTTTTTTCTCCATGAAATCATCAGGAAGCCAAAGGCAACTCGGAAAGGAGAACAGCAGCGGCCGGATCTCTGAACCTCTGGCCCAAACAAGTCATTCCTTTGTCTGCCGGGTGGTTGTCTTGGTGCTTGGGGGCTGTTCTCCCGCTCATCACTCAGGGCTCACTTCAGTGCTGCCCAGGGCTTGTGTGGTCCTACGGCTGAAGCCCAGGGCCCCACACACGACAGCACATGTTCTCTGGCCCATTAAACTGTGTTGGCCCAGAGGGGCGCTTTCCGGTCCCACCACTGTGGATGAAGTGGCCCCCTAGATAGAGTCTCAGGCCTGTAGGTTTTCTAGAAACAGGATCTCCTCCGCCGTCCTCCTTCCAGGGTATTATTGCAAGGATTTCATCTAAGTGTGATCCCATGCGGTCAGGGCAGGTTCGATCCCCGGCATCCCCTAGTGTCCCCCGGTCAGCAGCCCTCGGCTCTAAATCATTAGAGTAACTTGCCACTCCACCAGGACTGCGGGTGCAGTTCCTTTAGTTGGAAAGTCATTCATGAGAATTAGCCAGTGTCTCCTCTTGAACCACCAGGAGGAAGGGTGAAAAATGAAAATGACTGGGGCCAGAGCGATAACACAGTTTGGCACGTGGCCGACTCGGGTTCGATCCCCGGCATCCCAGAGGGTCCCCCGAGCACCACCAGGGGTGATCCCTGAATGCAGAGCCGGGAGGAACCCTTGAGCATTGCCTGGTGTGACGAAGGAAGGGAGGGAGGGAGGGAGGAGAAAGAAAAGAGAGAGAGGAAAGAAAGAAAGAAAGAAAGAAAGAAAGAAAGAAAGAAAGAAAGAAAGAAAGAAAGAAAGAGGGGCTGGAGCGATAGCACAGCAGGTAGGGCGTTTGCCTTGCACGCAGCCAACATGGCCGACCCAGGTTCAATTCCCAGCATCCCATATGGTCCCCCGAGCACCGCCAGGAGTAATTCCTGAGTGCATGAGCCAGGAGTAACCCCTGAGCATCGCCGGGTGTGACCCAAAAAGCAAAAAAAAAAAAGAAAGAAAGAGAAGGAAGGAAGGAAGGAAGGAAGGAGAAAGGAAAGAAAGAAGGAAAGAAAGGAAGGAAGGAGGGAGGGAGGGAAGGAAGGAAGGAAGAAGAAAGAAAAGAGAGAGATAAAGAAGGAAAGAAAGAAAAAAAGAAAGAAAGAAAGATGGGCTGAAGTGATAGCACAGCAGGGAGGGCGTTTGCCTGGCACACGGCCGATCCGGGTTCGATCCCCGGCATCCCATAGGGTCCCCCAAGCACCGCCAGGAGTGATTCCTGAGTGCAGAGCCAGGAGGAACCCTTGAGCATTGCCTGGTGTGACAAAGGAAGGGAGGGACGGAGGGAGGGAGGGAGGAGAAAGAAAAGAGAGAGAGAAAAGAAAGAAAGAAAGAAAGAAAGAAAGAAAGAAAGAGAGAGAGAGAGAGAGGAAGGAAGGAAGGAAGGAAGGAAGGAAGGAAGGAAGGAAGGAGGAGAAAGGAAAGAAAGAAGGAAAGAAAGAGGGAGAAAGGAAGGAAGGAGGGAAGGAAGGAGGGAAGAAAGGAAGGAAGAAGAAAGAAAAGAGAGATAAGGAAGGAAGGAAGGAAAGAAAGAAAGAAAGAAAAAGAAAGAAAGAAAGAAAGAAAGATGGGCTGAAGTGATAGCACAGCGGGGAGGGCGTTTGCCTGGCACGCGGCCGATCCGGGTTCGATCCCCAGCATCCCATAGGGTCCCCCGAGCACCGCCAGGAGCGATTCCTGAGTGCAGAGCCAGGAGTCAGCCCTGAGCATCGCCGGGTGGGGCCCAAAAACAGAAAGAAACGTGAATGTGCCCGCGCTGACCTGCTGACCGGGTCACGCCCGTGCGGGTCGCCCACTCGGCGCCTCTCTGACGGATCTTTCCTCTCTGCCCCAAAGTTCCTCCGAGTGTTGCGGGTGCGGAAACGCCCAGTGAAGTCGGGGTCCTGCTGGGAGAGAATGTGGAGCTCGTCTGCCAGGCCAGCGGCTTCCCTGCCCCCAACCTTCGATGGCTGAGGGACGGGAAACTCCTGCAGGTCCGCGAGGCGGAACGAGCCCGGTACGGTCTTTCTATTTGATTTCATCCAAGTGTCTCATGCAGAACGCGATTCCTTGATTTATTTGGCACCACCCGTGGTGGTGGTGGTTCAGTGCTGGTTCAGTGCTCAGGGCTGACTCCGGCTCTGCTTGGGGCTCACTCCTGGCTCTGTGCTGACTCCTGGCGGGGCTCAGGACCCCAGAGGCAATGCCCAGGGTCCAACCAGGTGGGCTGCATCCCAGGCAAGCATCTGAACCTGTACTTGCCTCCAAGGCCTGACGATGTCTCCGTCTTTCTTCTTCACCTGGCATTTGGGTCACACCCGGCAGAGCTCAAGGATGAAGCCCGGCTCTGTGCTCAGGGGTCACTCTTGGGAGTGTTCCGGGGGGACCGAGTGACTCTGGGCATGGACCCAGGTCCCCTGTAGCAGGACCTTGGCAAAATTGAGCCACAGTTCTGGTTTTCTTAAAGACGGGCTCAAGAGAGAGTCAGTCGAGCCAGGAGGGCACAGGCCCTGCACGCGGAGACACAGTTCCGTCCCTGGCACCCCACGGGGTCCCCTGAGCACCGCCAGGCAGTGTCGTCAGCCCTGAGCACCGCCAGCTGTCCTGAAAACAACAGAACCGAGAGAGAACCCGCGAGGCGAGGGCCGTCTCGGAGCCCACGGCTCGGGAGTGACCTTCAGGGCCCCTCCATGACCTTGTCCCCAGGGTGACGGTCGAAGGCAGCACCTTGAGCATCCTCGGGGCGCGCGCCTCAGACTCGGGGAAGTACACGTGCGTGGCCACCAACGCCGCGGGGGAGGAGGACAGAGTCTTCAACGTGAACGTCTACGGTGAGCAGGCAACGGGCGGGGGGGGGGGCGGCCAAGGGACCTGAGGTGGTGACGGGCACCCCCGCCTGCTCCCGCCCTCCCCCTCGCCCCCTCTCACTCTCTCTGTCTCTCTGTCTCTCTCTCTCTCTCTGTCTCTCTCTCTCTCCTTCTCCCTCTCCCTCTCCTTCTCCCTCGCGCTCTCTCTGCCCCCGCGGCCCAGCCCCCCCTGCCATTAGGGGGAACCGAGAAGAGGCGGAGAAGCTCGTGGCGCTCGTGGACACCTCCATCCACATTGAATGCAGAGCCACGGGGACTCCCGCCCCGCAGATCAGCTGGCTGAAGAACGGGCTCCCCCTGCCCCTGTCCTCCCACCTCCGGCTGCTGTCCGGAGGGCAGGTCATCAGGTCAGCTCTGCTGCAGGGACCCCGGGGCGAGGTGGGCTCCCAGTCCTCACCCAAGGTCCTGCCCTCCAGCAGCGTTTCCCGCTCTGGGCCGGAGCGCCCCCTGGAGGCGAGAGTAGCGGGGTGGGGGGGGGGGGTCCCCAGAGTGCTTCTCCTTCGCCCAGTAAGCAGGAGAGCCTCTGAGTGGACGTTATATCTCCACGGAGCCTGGACGAGAGATGTTGTTCCTCGGAGCATCTTTTAGGAAAACGGATAACATGTCAACAATCGAAATGGCGACTATTCGTCACACGCATTGAACAAATTCTTGAACAAAGATGGGGCTGGAGTGACAGCACAGCGGGGAGGGTGTTGACCTGGCCCGCGGCCAACCCGGGTTCGATCCCCGGCATCCCCTAGGGTCCCCCTAGCACCGCCAGGAGTGATCCCTGAGAGCAGAGCCGAGAGTCAGCCTTGAGCATCGCCGGGTGGGACCCAAAAAGAGAAAGAAAGAAAGAAAGAAAGAAAGAAAGAAAGAAAGAAAGAAAGAAAGAAAGGAAAAGAAAAGAAGAAAGGCTAGAGTGATAGCACAGCAGGGAAGGCATTTGTCTTGCACACGGCCGACCCAGGTTCAATCTCCGGCATCCCATAGGGTCCCCCGAGCACCGCCAGGAGTGATTCCTGAGTGCAGAGCCAGGAGTCAGCCCTGAGCATCACCAGTTTGGACCCAAAAAGCAAAAGAAAGATAGAAAGAAAGAGAGAGAGAGAAAGAAAGAAAGAAAGAAAGAGAGAGAGAGAGAGAAGGAGGGAGGGAGGGGAGAAAGAAAGAAAGAAAGGAAGGAAGGAAGGAAAAAAGAAAGGAAGGAGGGAAGGAAGGAAGGCAGGCAGGCAGGCAGGCAGGCTGGAACGATAGTACAGTGGGTAGGGAATTTGCCTTGCACGCGGCCGACCCGGGTTCAATCCCCGGCAACCCCTAGGGTCCCCCAAGCACTGCCAGGAGTGATTCCTGAGTGCAGAGCTGGAGTCAGTCCTGACCATCGCCAGGTATGACTAAAAAAAAAAATTAAAAAAATTCCTGAACCAATTTATGTATGCCAGATGTACGTATTAAACACAAGGCAAGTGGTCCTGTTCTAGTGGGTCCGAATGTCCGTCCACAGACGTACCTAGCTCTAACTCTTGCCAACAGCTGCCAGTCGGACTAAAAGTTTAGTGGGTCAGAAATGGCCGGCAGGGGCCAACTCTGACACAAGCGTCGTCCAGATCAGCGTTGTCATCTGCGAGTGTGTCGGGGAACCCTCTCGGGGAGCCAGCTCGTGGCTTTCCTGGGGTTTTCCTGCTGGGGCCCCGTCCACTCTGTGGGCCGAGCTGCGTCTGAGGCCTTCGAGTTTCTCAGGGTGGGTTCTCGAGCTTCATAGCCAGCGTCTCTCCTCCTCGGTCACCTTCCAGCCTCGGGGCGGGGGGTGCTGTGTGGTATGAGGCTGAGTTGCCTCCCGTGACCCATGTGTGGGGTCGGGTGGGCTTCCCCGGCCGAGGTGTGGGGACCGGGTTCTCATCGGCTGGCCGGGGATGTCTTCCAGGATCGTGAGAGCGGAGGTGTCGGACGGAGCCACATACACCTGCGTGGCCTCCAACAGAGCCGGGGTGGATAATAAACACTACAGCCTGCGGGTGCTCGGTATGTCCTGGGGCAAGTCCGGTGCTCCCGCCCAGGGTTTAGAGTGTTTTTTTTTTAATTAGTTAAACACCATGAGGTCCAGTTGTAGACTTACAAATTTTTGTGCTTGGGTTTCAATTCTACAATGATCAAATGCCCATCCCTCCACCAGTGCCCATTTTAGAGATTAATGGGCTGACTGGATCTTGCAAATGAGGGACAAATGTACTTGGTCCTGGAGGGCCCCCTGCCTGTTGGACGTACTTGTGGTCAGAGAATACTGAAACGAAATGTTACACTAAAACCTCATGCTTGAAAGTAGCATTGGTGGGGCTGGAGTGACAGCACAGCAGGGAGGACGTTGGCCTGGCAGGCAGCCGACCCGGGTTCGATCTCCGGCATCCCCTAGGGTCCCCCGAGCACCGCCAGGAGTGATTCCTGAGTGCAGAGCCAGGAGTCAGCCCTGAGCTTCGCCGGGTGGAACCCAAAAAGGAAAAAAAAAGGAAGGAAAAGAAAGGAAGGAAGGAGGGAGGGAGGGAGGGAGAGAAGGAAGGAAGGAAGGAAGGAAGGAAGGAAGGAAGGAAGGAAGGAAGGAAGGAAGGAGCCATAGGCCAGCCTGGAGGGTGTCTGCCTTGCACACACCAAACTGGGATCGATCCCCGGCATCCCCTAGGGTCCCCCGAGCCTGCCAGGAGTGATTCCTGAGTGCAGAGCCGGGAGTCAGCCCTGAGCATCGCTGGGTGGGACCCAAAGAGAAAAATAGCATCGGAATGGAAATCTAATACTAACCTCCTCCTTAGGCAAAGAAAAAGTTTGATATTCTCAAAGACAATGAGAAGCCCGTGCAGAATTTTTTTTTAATGTAGGAGTACTGCTATTTGTTCAGCCACTGATTAGCTGATTGGATTGAGCATGAACTCCACCTCACTTTTTTTTTTCATTTTTTATAATTTTATTTATTGAATCACCGTGAGAGCAGTTACAAAGCTTTTGGGTCTAAGTCTCGGTCATACAAAGAAACACCCGTACTAGTGCCCATTCTCCACCCCCAACGACCCCAGTATACCCCCATCCCATACCCTCCCCCTACCTGTGGGGCAGATGATTTCCACATTCCTCTCTCTCTACTTTGATCACATTCAATATTTTGACACCAGACCCACCATTATTATTTGGGATCCGTGCAGAATTTTTAAAATATGAACGGGCACCTGGGGATATGTACTTCTCCAGACAGACAGGTAACTCAGAACATCTCACTTCTGGAATATTAAGGTTTGCTGGGCCAGATTTCCCGGTTCCTCAGACTGTCTCACGATAGTTCAGAGCCTGTTTTTGCGAGCATAGGCATGACTTCGGTTGGAGCATGTGAAATGACTCAAGAAGTTGCTATTTTATTGATTCCTTACAAGTAGCCGAAAATCTATGATTGGAATTGTAGAATGCAGTCAACTGCGGGGAGGGCGTTGGCCTGGCACGTGGCCAACCCAGGTTCGATCCCCAAGAAGTGAAAAGCTCCCATCACAGGTAGTATCTGAGCAGGCAACGCAACAGGAATGGCGTCCAGCAAGAAGAAATCCTACCACAGCACTGAGGTTGCCCAGCAGAGAGAGAGGAAGGGGTGGTCTTACAGACCCTGGTGGACAGCTTATGTCTGATCACCTCTCAGTGCATGTTGCAAACCATAATGTCCAGAAGGAGATCAAGAAAGAGAGAGAGAGAGAGAGGGAGAGAGAGAGAGAGATCCATAACTTTTGCCCGTCTCACTTTGGATTCTAGTGCCCCCGAGCATGGACCAGGCCACGGGGACGGAGGACATCACTGTGCTCCAGGGCAGCTCTGCCTCCATGACGTGCTTCGCGGATGGAACCCCGGCCCCCAGTGTGTCATGGCTGAGAGACAACCGGCCCCTGCGCCCGGATGCCCGCGTGACCATCAGCTCTCAGGGGATGGCCCTGCAGCTCCTCGCAGCAGGCATCGAAGATTCCGGAAGATACACCTGCGTCGCCGCCAATGAGGCGGGAGAAGTCAGCAGACACTTCCAACTGAAGGTGCTGGGTATGTCCACCCGAGGGCTGGGGACAGCGGAAGCATGAGCCCAGCCAACAGGAGGGCAGAGGTAGGGGCGGGAGGAAACGTCAGGTCAGCATGAGGGAGAGGAACCATGGTCAGGAAGCGTCGATCAACATGAGGGAGAGGAACCGTGGAGAGGAAGTGTGTCAGCGTGAGGGAGAGGAACCGTGGTGAGGAAGTGTGTCAGGGTGAGGGAAAGGAACCGTGGTCAGGAAGTGTGTCGGGGTGAGGGAGAGGAACCGTGATGAGGAAGCGTGTCAGCGTGAGGGAGAGGAACCGTGATCAGGAAGTGTGTCAGCGTGAGGGAGAGGAACCATGGTGAAGTGTGTCAGGGTGAGGGAAAGGAACCGTGGTGAGGAAGTGTGTCAGCGTGAGGGAGAGGAACCATGGTGAAGTGTGTCAGGGTGAGGGAAAGGAACCGTGGTCAGGAAATGTGTCAGCGTGAGGGAAAGGAACCGTGGTCAGGAAGTGTGTCACCGTGAAGAAGAGGAACCATGGTCAGGAAGCGTTGATCAGCGTGAGGGAGAGGAACCGTGGTCAGGAAGTGTGTCAGCATGAGGGAGAGGAACCGTGGTCAGAAAGTATGTCAAAGTGAGGGAGAGGAACCTTGGTCAGGAAGCATCGATCAGTGTGAGGGAGAGGAACAGTGGTGAGAAAGCGTGTCAGCGTGAGGGAGAGGAACCTTGGTGAGGAAGCGTGTCAGCATGAGGGAGAGGAACCATGGTGAAGTGTGTCAGGGTGAGGGAAAGGAACCGTGGTGAGGAAGTGTGTCAGCGTGAGGGAGAGGAACCATGGTGAGGAAGTGTGTCGGGGTGAGGGAGAGGAACCGTGGTGAGGAAGTGTGTCAGGGTGAGGGAAAGGAAACATGGTCAGGAAGTGTGTCGGGGTGAGGGAGAGGAACCGTGGTGAAGTGTGTCAGGGTGAGGGAAAGGAACCGTGGTCAGGAAGTGTGTCAGCGTGAGGGAGAGGAACCATGGTGAGGAAGTGTGTCGGGGTGAGGGAGAGGAACCGTGGTGAGGAAGTGTGTCAGGGTGAGGGAAAGGAAACATGGTCAGGAAGTGTGTCGGGGTGAGGGAGAGGAACCGTGGTGAGGAAGTGTGTCAGGGTGAGGGAAAGGAACCATGGTGAGGAAGTGTGTCAGCGTGAGGGAGAGGAACCATGGTGAGGAAGTGTGTCGGGGTGAGGGAGAGGAACCGTGGTGAGGAAGTGTGTCAGGGTGAGGGAAAGGAAACATGGTCAGGAAGTGTGTCGGGGTGAGGGAGAGGAACCGTGGTGAAGTGTGTCAGGGTGAGGGAAAGGAACCGTGGTCAGGAAGTGTGTCAGCGTGAGGGAGAGGAACCATGGTGAGGAAGTGTGTCGGGGTGAGGGAGAGGAACCGTGGTGAGGAAGTGTGTCGGGGTGAGGGAGAGGAACCGTGGTGAGGAAGCGTGTCAGCGTGAGGGAGAGGAACCATGGTGAGGAAGTGTGTCAGGGTGAGGGAAAGGAAACATGGTCAGGAAGTGTGTCGGGGTGAGGGAGAGGAACCGTGGTGAAGTGTGTCAGGGTGAGGGAAAGGAACCGTGGTCAGGAAATGTGTCAGCGTGAGGGAGAGGAACCGTGGTGAGGAAGTGTGTCAGCGTGACTGAGAGGAACCGTGATCAGGAAGTGTGTCAGCGTGAGGGAGAGGAACCGTGGTGAAGTGTGTCAGGGTGAGGGAAAGGAACCGTGGTCAGGAAATGTGTCAGCGTGAGGGAGAGGAACCATGGTGAAGTGTGTCAGGGTGAGGGAAAGGAACCGTGGTCAGGAAGTGTAGTGTGTCACCATGAGGAAGAGGAACCATGGTCAGGAAGCGTTGATCAGCGTGAGGGAGAGGAACCGTGGTCAGGAAGCGTTGATCAGCGTGAGGGAGAGGAACTGTGGTCAGGAAGTGTGTCAGCATGATGGAGAGGAACCATGGTCAGAAAGTATGTCAAAGTGAGGGAGAGGAACCTTGGTCAGGAAGCATTGGGTCAGCGTGAGGAAGAACTGTGGTCAGGAAGCATCGATCAGCGTGAGGGAGAGGAACCGTGGTGAGAAAGCGTGTCAGCGTGAGAGAGGAATTGTGATCAGGAAGTGTGTCAGCATGAGGGAGAGGAACCGTGGTGAGGAAGTGTGTCAGCGTGAGGGAGAGGAACTTTGGTGAGGAAGTGTGTCAGCGTGAGGGAGAGGAACTTTGGTGAGGAAGTGTGTCAGCATGAGGGAGAGGAACCATGGTGAGGAAGTGTGTCAGCATGAGGGAGAGGAACCGTGGTGAGAAAGTGTGTCAGCGTGAGGGAGAGGAACCGTGGTGAGGAAGTGTGTCAGCGTGAGGGAGAGGAACTTTGGTGAGGAAGTGTGTCAGCGTGAGGGAGAGGAACTTTGGTGAGGAAGTGTGTCAGCATGAGGGAGAGGAACCATGGTGAGGAAGTGTGTCAGCATGAGGGAGAGGAACCGTGGTGAGAAAGTGTGTCAGCGTGAGGGAGAGGAACCGTGGTGAGGAAGTGTGTCAGCGTGAGGGAGAGGAACCTTGGTGAGGAAGTGTGTCAGCGTGAGGTAGAAGAACCATGATCAGGAAGCGTCGGTCAGTGTGAGTGTAGGTCTCTGATAACAGGGAGGAGGTTTCTGTCAGCAGGACAGCAGATGTTCCACAGTGAGGAAGTCGCCTGTTGATAGGAGGGCGAATGTCCGATAATGAGGACGGCGTAAGTCAGCATGAGGGTAGATTTATGCCAACGAAGCAGCCTCATGTCAGCAGGAGGGCAGCTGTGAGGAAGGGTTACGTCAGCATTAGGACGTAGCACTGTCGCACTGTCCTCCCGTTGTTCATCGATTTGCTCCAGCGGGCACCAGTAACGTCTCACAACAAATCGTGAGACTCGTCGTTAGGATAAAGGCACAATAGTGAGGAAGGAAGTGGATTTTTGTTGTTTCGCGGCCACAGCCAGTGGTGCTCAGAGCTTTTTCCCGGCGCTGTCCTCAGGGATCACTCCTGCATGGCAGTGCCAGGGGCCAGTCTGGGTCACTGGGATGTAAGGAAAGAGCCTCAACCCCTGTCCTGTCTCTCTGGTCTGGTATCATTCTCTTGGAGCCAAGATACTGTGAACACTTCCTCGTTCTTCATATTTCTCTTTAAGTCTGTATCAGTGGACTCTTGAGCCTGCTCCTATAAATTGCAGTTCATATTCGTCTCAAGGGAAGAGTAAAACTTCTACTTGCAAGCCATCATTCATCGAAAAAAAAAAGTCACAAAACCAGTTGCTCTGTGACTTTGCCCACGAACCAGAAATACTTTTCCTTATGGCCGTTGAATGGAAACGCAGAACTTTTGTGCCATTCTCTGCTCCTCCAAACAGCCCTTCAGCGATTCTGTCTGTAAATCCTCGTGGGAACAATCAGTTCAAAGAGCCTCATTTTATCCCCTTCAGCGCATGTTACAGTAAATATTTCAAACGCAGATCCCACTTTTCCACATGTGAACACAGTCGACAAGGGAGTCCCGTTTCCCCCCTCAGAGTCAAAAAGTTTGACTCTGGAAGCGCGTTGGAGATGAATGGGAAATCCACGGCGGGCCCACACAGCTAGGACGAAGAGACCCCCGTGCCAGGGCGGCCTCCCAAACCCTGGTGACCACGAGCCGAGATGCAGTTTGGAAAGACCCTTCACGGCCACTCGGAGTGAGGCCACCGAGATTCAGGGAGACCCGGGTGTTTGCTGGAGCAAACTGGCCATGCCGGACGCCTACTCAGAGACCTTGTGTTTCTCTCCTGGGACATGGGGTGGCCGACGGTTCCACGTCCACTCACTCAGCAGCAGAGAGCCGGTGGCACCTTGCCAGGACTCACCGAGACCCACCCGCTCACCTCTACTCACCAGCAACAATGGGGCCAGGAACCGAGCAAGGGAGAAGAAGTGACTCCCGGGCTTGGAGCGACATAGCACAGCGAGGAGGGCATTGGCCTGGCACGCGGCCGACCTGGGTTCGATTCCCAGCATCCCCTAGGGTCCCCCAAGCCCCGCCAGGAGTAATTCCTGAGTGCATGAGCCAGGAGTCAGCCCTGAGCATCGCTGGGTGGGACCCAAAAAGCCAAATAATAATAATAATAACAAAATAATAAAGAGGGAAGGGGTCCAGAGCAATAGCACAGCGGGGAGGGTGTTTGCCTTGCACGCGGCCGACCTGGGTTCAATTCCCAGCATCCCATATGGTCCCCTGAGCACTGCCAGGAGTGATTCCTGAGTGCAGAGCCAAGAGGAACCCCTGTGCATCGCCAGGTGTGACCCTAAAAGTAGAAATAATAATAATAATAATAATAATAATAATAATGTCATGGGACTGGACAGATAGTCCAACAGAGAGGATATTTGCCTGGCACGTGGCCAACCTGGGTTTGATCCCCGGCATCCCATAGGGTCCCCCGAGCACCACCAGGAGTGATCCCTGAGTGAAAATTCCAGGAGTCACCCTGAGCACCGCTGGGTGTGACCCAAAAAAGCAAAGAAAGAATTGGCTGTAGTCCAAGAGTCACCATCAGCAGGGACAGAAATGGGACCGGAGAGACTAAGGAAAAATGTGTAGTTTGTACGAATCACTCCGAGGTGTGGCTTGAAGAAGAGGACTTGAGCTCGAGAGGGATGTTGCAGGAAAACGGACGGAAGGCAGGAAGAGACGAGATCGGCCGAGGCAGGGAACTGCTCCGGCCAGAAGTGGAATCCGTGTGTATTCACAGTGGCCGTGTTAGAACAGGTAGACTGAGGCCAGGTGGTGGGAGACCAGAAGCCACGGAAGAGGAGTCTGAGAATTCTGGAGGTAGCAGGGGACCCCTGAGCCCTTCCAGGCAGACAGTAGCGGAGCCAGATCCAATGGCTTGTTTGGACAACAAAATGCAAGACGGATGTAAAAAAGAGATCGAGCGACAGCCCAGCAGGGAGGGCGTTGGCCTAGCACACGGCCAACCCGGGGTCAGTCCCCGGCATCCCCTAGGGTCACCCCGAGCACTGCCAGGAGTGACCCCTGAATTCCAGGAGTCACCCTGAGCACCGCCCCCAGTAAAAGAAAAGAAGAAGCTGACCCAGAAGGGCAGGCGGGATAGATCATCTCCCCAGGAAGGAAAACGAGAAGCAGCCGTGGGGCTTTCTAGAAAGCAGCTTTTTCTCATTACGCCCCCATCTGCTGCAGAGTGGGGGTAGCCATAACTATTTTTTTAAAGTCCGTCGTCCTAAAAGTAGACTCAGAAATGCATAAGAACTGTGTCGTGGATAGACAATCTCTTGGTGCCTCCCAAATGCATCCCAGCCCCCCGAGTAAGATGCTTTTAGCCCTTCCCGAGACTTTTGTTCAAAGCCGCTCACCTCGGCGTCCAGGGGGCCAGGGTGTGTGTGTCGGGGGCGGGGATTCCCTCTTTGGCTGCTAAGCCCAATCCTAACCCAAGCACCGAATCAGGAAGAAGAACCCCGCCAGCAGCGGCCCCCAGCTCCAAGGCTGGAAACGTTCATCGAAAACTCAAACGGCACCAGGGTGGTTTGGTTTCAAGACCATCTGCAACTTGGCAGAGGTCGTGAAACGAAGAAGCAATGTTTCTCCTGAGTGTCCAGGCCTGCTCCATCCCCCGGAGGAAAGTGACTGAAAAGTGCAAATAGCAAAAGAAAAAAAATATTAAAAGAAGAAATTTCTCCTGCCGAGATGTAGCAAGTGTTCACTGCACATAGAAATGCGTTTCCTTTTGCTCCGTCAGAGTTCCTGCTTCGCGTTCTGCTTGGAATAGAGGCCAGAAGAATTCTCCAGAAGAAGCCAGAACCTTGTTTTGTGGTTTGTTTTTGGTTTTGTTTTTTGCTTTTTGGGTCCCACCCGGCGATGCTCAGGGCTGACTTCTGACTCATGCACTCAGGAATCGCTCCCGGCGGTGCTCGGGGGACCCTATGGGATGCTGGGGATCGAACCCGGGTTGGCCATGTGCAAGGCACACCCCCTCCCCACCACTGTGCTATCGCTCCAGCCCCAAAGCTGTAACATTTTTAAGAGGCATGAACACACACACACACACACACACACACACAGACACACACGTGCTTTGCCCCCAGTCTTCACCGTTCACTGAGACCAGCACACCAGTTAGTTAGATGTCCTTGTGCTAATCGGGTTATGTCTCGGAATGAGTTTGAAGTGACTTTTCTCTCTGGGTTGTTTTTTTTTTGCCTCCCAAGCTCAGTGCTCAGAAGGCCCCGAGGAGCCCCTGGGGGCTTGGGGGTCCCCTGAGTCCCCCCTCCCACCGTGGCTGTGGTACCCCAGGGCTGCACCTGGTAGTGTTGGGAGTGTGTGTGGGGGTATTATTACCACAGCGGGATTGACCCCCGGGAAGCTCCACGTCCTAACCGCCGCCCTGCCTGCTGCCTCCAGTTCTCCCTGACCGGGGCTGAGTGCTCACGGCTCCCCCGACCCCTTCCCGCAGAGCCGCCGCGTATCAACGGCTCGGAAGACACCCGGGAGATCTCCGTGGTGGTCACCAACCCTCTGGAGCTGACCTGCGTGGCGTCCGGCATCCCGCCACCGAAAATCAGCTGGATGAAAGACGGGCGGCCCCTGCCCCCGAGGGAGCGGCTGCAGGTGTTCGAGGAAGGCCGCGTGCTCCGGATCGGGAGTGCTCAGGTGAGGACGGGCGGGACCCACGGAGCTGCTCCCTCGTGGGTGCGTGAGGGACCGGGGAGACTCAGTGAGGTTCTTGGTGTCTGAGTATATCACCCATCTCTCTCTGGCGGACACACGGGGCTCTGCTGGGCGCACCCAGATAGATGCAGGGTGACAAGACCCCTCCGAAGAGAGAAGGGGAGGAGTGACACCCAGCCTGGAATCAGAGAGACCGTACAGCTGTAGGGCACTGGCCTCGCATGCAGCTGGCTGGGTTCGGTTCCTGAGCACAGAGCCAGGAGTCAGCCCTGAGCACAGAGCCGGGAGTGAGCCCCGAGCACTGAGCCGGGAGTCATCCCTGAGCACAGAGCTGGGACTCATCCCTGAGCATAGAGCCGGGAGTCTTCCCTAAGCACAGAGCCGGGAGTGAGCCCCGAGCACAGATCAGGAGTCAGCCCTGAGCACTGAGCCAAGAGTGAGCCCTGAGCACAGAGCCGAGAGTGAGCCCTGAGCACAGAGCCGGGAGTCAGTCCTGAGCACAGAGCTGGGAGTGAGCTCTGAGCATAGAGCCTGGAATGAGCCCTGAGCACAGAGCCGGGAGTCAGCCCTGAGCACAGAGTTGGGAGTCATCCCTGAGCACTGATCCAGGAGTCAGCTCTGAACACAGAGCCAGGAGTCAGCTCTGAGCACAGAGTCAGGAGGCAGCCCTGAGCACTGAGCTGGGAGTCAGCCCTGAGCACAGAGCCGGGAGTCAGCCCCGAGCACAGAGCCGGGAGTCAGCCCCAAGCACAGAACAAGGAGTCAGCCCTGAGCATTGCCGGGTGTGGCCCCCAAACCAAAACAAACATGTAGCGAAGGACACCCAGCCATGCCCCATAGCAGAGCACTGACCTGGAGCACTGAAGCGGGCGTGGCACTGAGTGCTGGTTCTGTCTGGATCGGGCTGTGGCTGGCACTCGGCGGGGCACCAACGTCCCCACCTGTCCCCGCTCCGGCCCCTCGTGCCACTCACGCGTGCGCTTGGCCCTTGCAGGTGGAGGACACGGGAAGATACACGTGCCTGGCGTCCAGTCCTGCCGGAGATGACGACCAGGAGTACTTAGTCCGAGTGCACGGTACCTTTGGCCAGGGTCCCCGGAGCCCCGGAGCCTGCTGGGGTTCCCCGGGGGGTGAGGGACCTCAGCTTGCCAGACTGGCTGCGTCGGGGGCTCTCGGGGGTCCCGTGGGGTGGCCGGCTCTGGTCCTGCGCAGGGGACCCCGGATTGTTGATGCTACATTGCGGCGTGTGGACTTGGTGGCGATGTCGCTCCGTGTTGCTCAGGGTCTGGCCGCACACACAACCCCGTTTTGAACACAGGCTTTTGTCGCTGGGATGCCGGGATCGATCCGTTTCTTTGAGCCGCGCTTCACGGCACAGCACACCTGGGGGTCTTGCGTCCCTGTTGCGTCCACAGCCAGCCGTGCTCAGGGCTGACTCCCGACTGTGTGGGAATCGCTCCTGGTCGTGCTCAGGGAATATCAGGCGTGGGGCCGTGAACCAGAGTCGGCCACGTGCAGGGCTGGTGCCGTCCCTCTTTCCAGCCCCGGGGAGGTTTCTGTGATACTATTTTGGGGGGATTGTCTAGCAGAGCTCTGACATCATTTGTCCTGGACTTTTTTTTTTTTTTTAATATTTAGACTATTTCCAGGGCTGGAGTGATACCACAGCGGGTAGGGCATTTGCCTTGCATGCGGCCATCCGGGGTTCGATTCCCAGCATCCCATATGGTCCCCTGAGCACTGCCAGGAGTGATTCCTGAGTGCAAAGCCAAGAGTAACCCCTGGGCATCACCAGGTGTGACCCAAAAAGCAATAATAATAATAATAGATAATCTGGGGGCCGGAGTGATAGCCCAGCGGGGAGGGCGCTGGCCTGGCACGCGGCCGACCTGGGTTCGATCTCTGGCATCCCCTAGGGTCCCCCGAGTGCCGCCAGGAGTGCAGAGCCAGGAGTCAGCCCTGAGCATCACTGGGTGGGACCCAAAAAGCAAAAACAAACAAAAATATTTAGACTATTTCTATGTTTCCAGAAATACGGACAGTTCTGATATACATAGCTCTGTGCAGTATGTTAGCCTGTTCCCTTCTTTTGTGGAAGTGCACCGGTTTGCTCAAACTCTCTCTCTCTCTCACACACACACACACACACACACACACACTCAGACACACAAACCTCTGTCCCTCACACATCGTTCACACAAATTCACATCTCACACACATCACACACACACACCTCTCTCTCACACACACACATACACCCACATCTCATACTCACACACCCATGTCTCACACAAACACAAATATCTCACACACACACTCACATCTCTCACACAAACACAAACATCTCACACATTCACACACGTTCACATCTCTCTCGCACGTCTCTCATATACATACACACTCACATCTCCCCCCTCTCTACACACACAGACACACACACTCACGCATCTCTCACACGCACACACTCAGACACACACAGACACAAACATCTGTCCCTCAAACACTTCTCTCACACAGATTCACCTCACACACATCACACACACACACATTCACATTTCTCACACACACACCTCTCCCTCTCACACACATCTCTCACACAAACACAAACATCTCATTCACACACACATTCACACCTCTCACACACTCAAATCTCTCACACATACACAACTCACCTCTCTCTCTCTCTCTCTCTCTCTCTCTCTCTCTCTCTCTCTCTGATTCCAGGTTTCTCGCAATACCTGACACGTCCCTTCTGGAAGAGCTGAGTCAGGCCGACTGGGGGACACTGGCCTTTTGCCTCCCATCTCCCGGGGCGTCCCTGGGGCTGGTGGGGTCAGGTCCCCGCCTGAGACTGGGGGAGTCCTGAGTGCGGGCGACGTCCCGACCCCTTGGTCACCCGGCCCCTGTGGCGCGTCTGTCCCCAGTGCCTCCCAACATTGCTGGTGCGGAGGACTCCCCGGCGTCCACGGTGCTGAGGAACAGGCAGGCCACCCTGGAGTGCCGCTCGGACGCTGCGCCCCCGCCCGTGGTCACCTGGCTGAAGAACGGGGAGCGCTTGCAGGTGAGCCCACTCAGAGGAGACAGCTGGCCTCGGGGGGCTTTGCCTGGCAGACACACCCCAGCCGTGTCAGCCGGTCGTTAGACATTGGATCCAGGTCGGGTTGCCTTCGTTTTTGTTTTTGCTAAATTTGTCCAAGGCTGTGTCTTCCCACGTCGTGGGGTGCAATTATGTTTAAAACACTCAGCTATGGGGCTGGAGAGAGAGCCCAGCGGGGGAGGGCGTTGGCCTGGCACATGGCCGACCCGGGTTCGATCCCCAGCATCCCATAAGGTCCCCGGAGCATCGCCAGGAAGGAGTGATTCCTGAGTGCAGAGCCAGGAGTCAGCCCTGAGCATCGCCGGATGGGACCCAAAAAGCCAAATAATAATATTAATAATGACAATAATAACAATAATAAAGAGGGAAGGGGGTTGGAGCCATAGCCTAGCGGGGAGGGCGTTGGCCTGGCACACGGCCAACCCGGGTTCGATCCCCGGCATCCCCTAGGGTCCCCCAAGCACTGCCAGGAGTGATCCCTGAGTGCAGAGCCAGGAGTCGGCCCTGAGCATCGCTGGGCGTGACAAAGGAAGGAAGGAAGGAAGGAAGGAAGGAAGGAAGGAAGGAAGGAAGGAGGCTGGAGCAATAGTCCAGCAGGTAGGGTGTTGGTCTGGCACACAGCCAACCCGGGTTCGATTCCCGGCATCCCATAGGGTCCCCGGAGCACCGACAGGAGTGATTCCTGAGTGCAGAGCCGGGAGTCAGCTCTGAGCACTGCCAGGTGTGTCCACCCCCCCAAAAAATCCGGATTAGCTAAAACTCTACCTTGACTAAAGTTAGGATGTAAAGAGTATTAGTGTGTATGTTTAAGGAATCACTTATTTATCAGAGGGGAACAGAATTTTAGCACTAGAATCCCCTATGGCAATAGAAGGCCAAATATATGTAGAAAATATATGGGCATTTCAAATAAATGATTTTGGCCCACATTTTTTTTTCCGGACGATGCTCAGGGCTGACTCCCGGCTCTGCACTCAGGGATCACTCCTGGCGGTGCTCGGGGGACCCTATGGCATGCCGGGGATCGAACCCGGGTTGGCTGCGTGCCAGGCCAACACCCTCCCTGCTGTGCTATCAGCCCCTTGGCCCACATGTTTTAGTGTGAAGAATTTTTTTTTTGTTCAAACGTGTGTGAGTGTGTATGTGTGTGTGTGTAATCTTACTTGAGTTATTCCTCAGATATTTCCAGCTTGAAACAACCAGTGGATACCAGCCTTTGGTACTACCTGGCATACTCTATTATTTGTGGACATCACAGTTTTAATTTATAGAAAATAAATTATAGAAAATACTTGCCATTTCCCCCATTATGCTTAATACCAGAGATTGAGTTCCATTGTCCCTATATTTTCCTAATTCTTGGGCCCATGTCTTTTTTTTTTGACATGGGGAGGGGGTTGTCTTTTTGGGGGGGGTCCCACCCAGCGATGTGCAGGGCTGACTCCCAGCTCTGCACTCAGGAATCGCTCCCGGCGGTGCTTGGGGGCCTATGGGATGCCGGGGATCTGCCTGCCAGGCAAACACCCTCCCTGCTGTGCTATGGCTCCAAGCCCCACTCATTTATTTTTTGTTTGTGTTTTTGTTTTGTTTTGGGGTCCCACCTGGCCATGCTCAGGGCTGACTCCCGGCTCTGCACTCAGGGATCACTCCTGGTGGTGCTCGGGATGACCCTATGGGATGCCGGGAATCGAACCCGGGTCGGCCGCGTGCAAGGCAAGCGCCCTCCCCGCTAGGCTATCGCTCCAGCCCCTTGGGCCATGTCTGGATGCAAAATAAAGGCTTAACAAATATTTGTGGGTGACTGTTACTTACCTCAGAGTAGGTCGTGTTCCTTAAACTTTTAAAGAATTGTTCTCCCGAGTCAACCGAGTCAGGTTTACTCACCCAAAAGCTGTCGGTTCTCAGTACCGATTCCTTCTTCAACCGGCTGATCTGGTCCCATGTGGTTATTCCGGCGATTGGGGTAACTTAGATTTGGGCCATTCCCAGAACCTGTGGTGCCCAAGTGTCTGGTCCAAAGCTCAGCTCTTGGGGACAGGCCGTCCCCTGCTGGCCATGGGGTGAACTGCGTCCAACTGGGGCCACCTGCCGTCCCTGTGGCCACTCCCTGATCCAGTTCTCAAGAGTCTCTGACACCAAGATAGTGAGGGGCTGGGGGCAGCCCGAGTGCCCATTGGGGACGCCTCTTTGACACTTCGGACTAATTTTTCCATTCCCCCTCCTGCCCAAACCTCCCCCCGCGGAACCCAGGCCACCCCCCGAGTACGCATCCTGTCCGGAGGCCGGTACCTGCAAATCAATAACGCGGACCTGGGCGATGCCGCCAACTACACCTGCGTGGCCGCCAACGTGGCCGGGGAGACCAGGAGGGAGTTTGTCCTCACCGTCCACGGTAAGGGGGAGGGTCCCGCCTTTGTCCGTCCGGAGTGTCGCTTCAGGAATCCGGGAAAGGGAGCCCTGGGATTCTCTTACTGCCCTTGAAGGACACGCGGAGTCTTCGCCCCAGAGCTGCATTCCCAAGAACTCGATTCAGAAATTAAAAATTAAAATTTACGTTCCAGGGGCGGCTGGAGCGATAGCACAGTGGGGACGGTGTTGGCCTAGCACACGGCCGACCCGGGTTTGATCCCCGGCATCCCATAGGGCCCCCCTGAGCACTGCCAGGAGTGATTCCTGAGCTCAGAGCCGGGAGTCAGCCCTGAGTATCGCCAGGTGGGACCGAAAAAGAAAAAAAAATTAAAAGTAAAATAAAATTTACGTTCCAGGGCTCGAGCGAGAATGCAGCAGGGAGGGCGCTTGCCTTGCATGTCGCTGGCCCATGTTAGATCCCTGACACCCTACAAGGGTTCCCCGAGTCCCCCCCCCTCAGGAGGGATCCCTGAGCTCCGCCAGGGCTGGCCCGAACCCCAGAATGGTGGTTTGTCATCTGTTCCATTACCGAATGGTAATACTCCACATCGTTGCGCCAGCATGTCGTGACGAACTGTGTCTTTGTCTCAGAACTAATTGCTTGTCTTAGAATGACAGGCAGTTCGTGATTCGACTCACACTGAGTTGGGAGTTTGAGACTCGACGGGCTAGACAGGCACTTACAACAGTCGTTGTCTTTCCGATCCAATTGAACTATTAACATTTACCAAAGTCTCAGCATCTGAAACAGACTTTACCCCCAAAATAGAGTCTTTGGGCTTTTTTTTTTTAACACTGAGATCCGAAGCCATCCATGGTTGGGTTCCAGTCATGGGATGCTCCAACCCCCGTCCCTCCACCAGGGCACATTTCCCAGCATCGGGGTCCCCAAGGTCCCTCCCACCACCCCCCACCTCCCTCCTCCCGACCTCTATGACAAGCCGCCGCCGCTGCCTCCTCCTCCTCCTCCTCCTCCTCCTCCTCCCCCTCCTCTTCCTCCTCTTCCTCTCCCTCCTCCTCCTCCTATTTCTCCTTCTTCTCCTTCTTCTGTCCTCCTCTTCTTCTCCTCCTCCACCTCCCTCTCCCTCTCCTTCTTCTTCTTCTTCTTCTTCTTCTTCTTCTTCTTCTTCTTCTTCTTCTTCTTCTTCTTCTTCTTCTTCTTCTTCTTCTTCTTCTTCCCCTTCCCCTTCCCCTTCCCCTTCCCCTTCCCCTTCCCCTTCTCCTCCTCCTCCTCCTCCTCCTCTCCCTCCTCCTCCTTCTATTCCTCCTTCTCCTCCTTCACCTTCTCTTTTCTTCTCCTCCTCCTCTTCTCCTCCACCTCTTCCTCCCCTCCTCCTCCTCCTCCCCCCCCGCCCCCCTTCTGGGCATCATGGTTTGCAGCACAGATACCGAGAGGCTACCATGTCTATCCCTTTAACCTTTCGGCACTGAGATCTTGTCCAGAGTGATCGTTGATAACAGCTACTGTTGGCGTGGTCCCCTCCCGATCCTAAGGCTCTTCAGTGTTTAACCTGGGGCACTTTGTGGGCTCTTCCCGGGACACGGGACTCACATCTCCCGTGCTAAAACGAAAGTTCAAGTTCCCACGTGAGCTGGAAGACCAGTAAACAACGCGGTCGGGGCGGGCGGTCTGGGTCTCTGTGCCCTGCATTCGCGCATTCCGCCCCCTGTTCTTTCTTTAAAGGGCAGCCGCCCCGTGTCCATTTTCTCTGACCGTGATCTGGCCCCAGAGCAATAAAAAGAATCACTTTTCCCTTGTCTCAGACCAGACTCGGAGGAAGCTACCTTTCCCACACACACCGTCTTGGGACAGTGACTTCCTCCTCCCCGCTCGACTCGCCTCTCGTCGACAGTTTCCCTGAGACCCGGGCCTCGGTCCCTGGTTCTCCTGACGCAGCCTCAGTGAGCTGCCGGGACTCGGGCGGCGTGGGCAGCGTCCACGGGCCTCTCACCTGCGTCTCTCCCGCAGTTCCCCCCAGCATCCGCGCCGGCCCCCAGAGCCTGGTGGCCCACGTGAACAAGTCGGCTTCCTTGGAGTGCTCTGCCGAAGGGGTACCGAGCCCCCGGGTCACCTGGCGGAAAGATGGCGCTGTTCTCTCTGGGACCCACGCAAGGTAAGGGCTGTGCACGCGCGGGAAGACAGTGTGGAGGCCCCCCACCTGTCTCCTTCTCGCGTGATGCATCCTTTGGGTCCGAGATTCCTTCTCCTGGGAGAGTCCACCAGGGCTGGCTGGGAAACAGCATTCGCCACACGTGCCCTCTGGGGGGTCCCATCCTGTCGTTCCTGCTGGGGAGAGTCCGGGTCATCCTCCGAGACTGCAGACGGCCCCGGGCAGGGAGGGCTGGAGGCTCTGAGGCTGTCGGACAGACCCCAGGGGCCTGTGAGGGTCTGTGCTCCTCCTGCAGATACTCCATCCTGGCCGATGGTGTTCTACACATCCCTGCGGTGCAGGTGACGGACACGGGGCGTTTCCTCTGCATGGCCACCAACGCTGCGGGCACGGACCGGCGGAGAATAGACCTGCAGGTCCACGGTATGTGTCTGCCCCCAAGGCACGGCCTGGGATTGGCCGATCCAGGCCTGCGTACCCCAGGATCACAGGACACCATGACAGAGAGGATTGTGTGTGTGTGTGTGTGCGTGTGTGTGCGCGCACGCACACACAATACCTTTTTTTTATTTATTAATTTTTATTAGTGAAACACCATGAGGTACAGTTGTAGACTTAAAAACTTTTGTGCTTGAGTTTCAGTTATACATTGATTCAGTACCCATCCCTCCACTAGTGCCCATTCTCCATCGTTTACATTTTTTAAAAAATTTTTGTTAGTGAAACACCACGAGGTACAGTTGTAGATTTACACATTTTTGTGCTTGGGTTTCAATTATACTGTGTGTAACTGTCACTGTCCTCCCATTGTTCATCGATTTGCTCGAGTGGGCCCAGTAACGTCTCCATTGGAGATTTTGTTGTTACTGTGTCTGGCATATCGAATACGTCACGGGGAGCTTGCCGGGCTCTGCCGTGCGGGCGAGATACTCTCGGTAGCTTGCTGGGCTCTCGGAGAGGGGCGGAGGAATCGAACTCGGGTCGGCCATATTGACTGTGTGCAAGGCAAACGCCCTACCACTGTGCTATCGCTCCAGCCCCTTTAATTATACAATGATCAAACACCCATCCCTCCACCAGTGCCCATTTCCCACCACCACGGGTCCCAGTATCCCTCCCACCCCCCTTCCCCCCCCCCGTCCCACCCTGCCTCTGTGTATTCCCTTTTGTTCTCTCTCCTTTTGGGTGTGCACACAATATCTTGAAACACATACATTCAGACTACAGCATGACATACTATGCACCTGGAGAATTGCATATGTCGTGTACGTGGAGAATCGTATCGTGACTTGACGTCATTTATTGCATAGACTCATATCATGGCCTGGGGCCCGAGCGATAGGACAGCGTGTCCCGTGGCGTTGTGTTTGCAACTGTGAGGCCGAGCTGGGCAGACCCTTCCAGGGTGGGTGGTCGGTGACGCGCGCCCCTCTAACCCGGGACTCTGCCTTAGTGCCTCCGGCCATCGCTCCGGGCCCGGCCAACGTCACCGCCCCCGTGAACTTGCAGACGACGCTGGCGTGCGAGGTCTCGGGCTTACCCAAACCCTCGGTCGTCTGGAGGAAGAATGGGCAGCCGCTCAGCGTGGATCAGAACCAGAACTCGTACAGGTATCATGGGGTCGACTCCCTGAGAAGTCCAGTCTGCCCACCAAGACGGTCGCCCTCAGTGGGGGCAGAAAAATGTTGAAAAGAGAATCAAGAAATGTCCGAGGCTCTTTGAATTATGTGTGTATTTACTGAAGCACCTCAACGTTTTCAAGGGAATCAGAAGGCTGTAGCTTTGCGTTAGATGCAAGTGAAGACAAAGGCTTTGGTAGACGCACCCCAGGCGGGACAGACCTAGGGACTCTCACCCTACCAGGGACAGACCTACAGACATTCACCGCCAGGGACAGACCTAGCAGCACTTGCTCTGTCCAGGAAACCCTGCACCACCAGCCTTCGGGGTCACTTCACTCCGTGGGCACATTCCTTGCTACCCCAGGGGAGTCCCCGTGTGGCTGGCGGCTAGTGGGCCCCTGCGACCTCAGGGTTCTCCCTGCATCTCCTCCGGGCGGGGACCCCAGGGGGATGTGCTCAGGACCCAGAACCGTGGATGACCCCCCCTGGGACCACCCCCTACTCAGCTGTCTCGGGTCCAGGCCAAGGCAGGGGCGGGGGCCGTCCTCTGCTCTGTGACCTTTGGGCCCAGATGCCGGATGGTGTCTGAGGAACGAACAAGGAACTGCAGTCACCTGAGAGCCGAACGGTGTCTGAGGAACGAACAAGGAACCGCGGTCACCTGGGATCCGAGTTTCAGCTCGAAGCTGACCCCCTGCCCGGCCTTCCCTGCAGGCTTCTCTCCTCCGGCTCCCTGGTCATCATCTCCCCGTCTGTGGACGACACAGCCACGTACGAGTGCGTCGCAGCCAACGAGGCCGGGGAGGAGCGGAGGACCACGGCTCTCACCGTCCAAGGTAGCTGGGCCTCGCCGGGCTAACAGGCGCGCTCTGAGGCCCCGCGGGCGCAGGCGCCAGAAGGTTCCAGGCCAACACCTTGTTTCCGCAGTTCCCCCGTCGCTGGCCGATGAGCCCACGGACCTGCTGGTCACCCGCGGGGCCCCCGCCGTGCTCCCCTGCTCGGCTGCGGGTGTCCCGCCACCCACCGTGACCTGGATGAAGAATGGCGGCAGGCTGCTGCCCAGGGCGCCCGGCTCCAGGCTGCTGGCCTCGGGTGAGCCCCGCGGTTCTCAGGGACGGGAGACACGAGCAGCTGTGCCTCTGCCTTTAGACACTGGGGGGGGGGGGGTCGCTTCGAGGGAGTGAGGGGGAGGGAAAGAAAGAAAAGGAAGGGAGAGAGAGGAAGGAAGGAGGGAGGAAGGAGGGAGGGAGAGGAAGGAAGGAAGGAAGGAAGGAAGGAAGGAAGGAAGGAAGGAAGGAGAAAAGGAAGGAAAGAGGGAGGGAAGAATGGAAGGAAGGAAGGAAGGAAGGAAGGAAGGAAGGAGAAGGAAGGAAGGAAGGAAGGAAGGAGAAAAGGAAGGAAAGAGGGAGGGAAGAATGGAAGGAAGGAAGGAAGGAAGGAAGGAAGGAAGGAAGGAAGGAGAAGGAAGGAAGGAAGGAAGGAAGGAGAAAAGGAAGGAAAGAGGGAGGGAAGAATGGAAGGAAGGAAGGAAGGAAGGAAGGAAGGAAGGAAGGAGAGAAGGAAGGAAAGAGGGAGGGAAGAAAGGAAGAATGGAAGGAAGGAAGGAAGTTGGGAGGAAGGAAGAAAAGAAGGAAGAAAGGAAGGAAGGAGAGAGGAAGGAAGGAAGGAGAGAAGGAAGGAAAGAGGGAGGGAAGAAAGGAAGAACGGAAGGAAGGAAGGAAGGAAGGAAGGAAGGAAGGAGAGAAGGAAGGAAAGAGGGAGGGAAGAAAGGAAGAATGGAAGGAAGGAAGGAAGTTGGGAGGAAGGAAGAAAAGAAGGAAGAAAGGAAGGAAGGAGAGAGGGAGGGAGGAAAGAAGGAAGGAGGGAGGGAGGAAGGAAGGAAGGAGGGAGGGAAGAATGGAAGGAAGAAAGGAAGGAAGGAGAGAAGGAAGGAAAGAGGGAGGAAAGAAAGGAAGGAAGGAAGGAAGTTGGGAGGAAGGAAGGAAAGAAGGAAGAAAAGAAGGAAGGAGAGAGGAAGGAAGGAAGGAGAGAAGGAAGGAAAGAGGGAGGGAAGAAAGGAAGAACGGAAGGAAGGAAGGAAGGAAGGAAGTTGGGAGGAAGGAAGGAAAGAAGGAAGAAAGGAAGGAAGGAGAGAGGGAGGGAGGAAAGAAGGAAGGAGGGAGGGAGAGGGAGGGAGGAAGGAAGGAAGGAAGGAAGGAAGGAAGGAAGGAAGGAAGGAAGGAAAAAGGAGCACAGACCCTCCTCCAGTTCTCTCCCGGAGGCACTGGGCAATGCGCCCCTGGATTTGGAAGGGGTCCCCACGCGAGTGTCCCCCCCAGCACCAGGCCCACGGGTGTCCCTCTCTCCCAACCTCCACAGCCCACTCTCTGCTCCTCTCACAGCCGGGGCCAGGCGAGAAGTGGGGTGAGTGGCCAAGAGGAATTCCGTGGGTTCTCCCTCTGCAGGAAGTGAAAGGAGGAACTGCAAACGGTTCTCTGCGGTTCTTGAGTGTCTCAGCTGCCCCCATCCCCCACGTGGACCTGCCAGGCAGTCACCGTCCAGGGCTTCACCATCTCTCCCCCTCTGCCAATGAGCCACCAGCAGCTGGGGCAGGAGAAAATTCTGTTGTGTTTTTGGTTTTTTGTTTCCTCCCCCTCTTCACACAGTCCTAAGTCTGTATTTCAAGGCATAAAATTTGACTTTTATTATATTTTTGTAAGCCTGTAGGTCATTTTACGGGACAGTTTTTCCTTTATACCAAATGGTATTCGCATCCCTTTTCTTTCAAAGTGGGGCCATCGGGACAGGGGTCATCGCACGGCGGGGAGGGTCCCCTCGCCAACACCCCAAGCCTTGTAGCACTGTGGGTGACATGGAAGCAAAGCAAAAGAAAAGAGGGGCTGGAGCGATTCTGGCTCTTGTGAGCAGTGCTGCAGTGACCGCGCAGGTGCAGACATCATTTCTCCTGTGCTGTTTTGCACCCCTGGGATCTATGCCCAGAAGTGGTATCGCGGGGTGCCGGACCAGCCGACAGTTGAACGGGTCGAGAGGATCAAAGAAACGATCGACAGGCGGTTGAGAGGGCTGAGTTCTCGCGGAACAGCAGCACTGTCACTGTCACTGTCCTCCCGTTGTTCATCGATTTGCTCGAGCGGGCCCAGTAACGTCTCCATTGCGAGACTTGTTGTGACTGTGTTTGGCATCTCGAAGACGTCACGGGGAGCTTGCCAGGCTCTGCCGTGCGGGAGAGATACTCTCGGTAGCTTGCCGGGCTCTCCGAGAGGGGCGGAGGAATCGAACCCGGGTCGGCCAGGCCAGCAGCGTGCAAGGCAAATGCCCTACCTCTGTGCTATCACTCCAGCAGCATTGATCTTTAATAGCACAGCGGTAGGGCTTCTGCCTTGCACGCAGCCAACATGGCCGACCCGAGTTCGATTCCTCCGCCCCTCTCGGAGAGCCCTGCAAGCTGCCGAGAGTATCTCGCCCGCACGGCAGAGCCTGGCAAGCTCCCCGTGACGTCTTCGATATGCCAGACACAGTAACAACAAGTCTCATGATGGAGACGTCACTGGGCCCGCTTGAGCAAATTGATGAACAACGGGAGGACCGTGACCGTGAGCCTCTTACACATCTTTATCAGGAACCTGGCAGGTAAAATCATCCATTGTCATCGCAAAAAAAAAAAAAAACATATTCCCAAGATCATACGTTTCCTTGATCATAACAAACATGGGAAGCGTAATATCATGAAAACAATGTCACTCAGCTCAGTAACGGGAACTAAGAACAAGGGAGAAATAATAGCAAAACATACTGAAGAACTCTCTGACCCTTCCCGTGTACTTTTCACGATTTACCAAGGTGTAGTTTACTGAGCGTTACAAACAGGTAGGGCGTTTGCCTTGCGCGCAGCCAGCCCAACCGAGCCGGGTTCGATTCCTCCGCCCCTCTCAGAGAGCCCGGCAAGCTACCGAGAGGATCTCGCCCGCACGGCAAAGCCTGGCAAGCTCCCCGTGGCGTATTCGAGATGCCAAACACAGTAACAACAAAGTCTCCAATGGAGACGTTACTGGGCCCGCTCGAGCAAATCGATGAACAACGAACGGGAGGACAGTGACGGTGACAATTTCCTGCATATGCCACGAAATCCCAACGCATTCACTTGCAAACTGAGGATGATGATGTATTAACTTCTCCATAGGCTTGAGCTAGCGACACAGTGACTATTCCACGTATTCGAGGTGGCGGGACGGAGAACTGTGTCAAATACGCTTGGCCCTCTGAGTGAGGCAACTCCCAGAGCTGGGTCCACGAAAGGACCCTGCATAAGCAGGCAGCTCCCTTCAGCGGGGTCACAGGGGTGAGGGATGGGGCAGCCTTGACTCGCGCCCACGGGGCACTCAAACTCCCTCCCACGTGATGCCCCATCTGGGAGGCGACTGCATGGTGGGCGGACGGGCTGTGTGAACCACATTCTCCCTGCAGGAGCGATCGAGATCCCCGCCACAGAGCTGCACCACGCCGGAAGGTACACGTGTGTGGCCCGAAACGCGGCCGGGGCTGCCCACCGCCACGTGACTCTGCGCGTCCAGGGTACGGGACTCTCGGCTCACGAAAAGTGCTCGCGGTTGCCTGGCGGTTGGAGCAAGAGGGTGCCGTCCATCTCTGGGAGGGGAGGGTTCGCCCGAGACTTCGCCAATTCCTGCATTCCAGGGACCACACTCCCTCCGCAGACACGCTGGCTGGGTGTCAGGAACTGGGGCGGGGGTTCTAGCGGCTGGCTTCTCAGCCACCCACGGGAGTCACTGCACTTCTGTTCTCCGTTCCCCCCAGAGCCTCCCACCATCCGGCCGCAGCCCAGTGAGCTGGACGTCATCCTCAACAACCCCGTCCTCCTACCCTGCGAAGCCACGGGGGTCCCCAGCCCCTCCGTCACCTGGCAGAAAGAAGGCATCAGCGTGCTCACCTCAGGTACCTTCCACGGGGCCGGAGAAGCCCCGGGCTCGGTGCTCTGTGATCGGGGAAGTCACGCGCCGCGACGGCTTCCTCCCCCCACCCCGCCCAGTGAAAGTGAGCCGCCTCTTCTCTGCTGTCACCACCGTGCAGGCAAAAGCCACGTGGTCCTTCCCACGGGCGCCCTGCAGATCCCCAGGGCCGAGAGAGAGGACGCCGGCCTGTACATGTGTGTGGCTCAGAACGCCGCTGGCACGGCCTTGGGAAAGATCAAGCTGAACGTCCGAGGTACCTCCCTGACCCGTCCCTGCTCCTCGGTCGCCAAGGAGCTCCCAGTTCAGGCCAGCGCCTGCTGATCTGAGCTAAGAGCCTTCGTCTCTCGCGTCCTCCTTGTTCTGCTCCTATGCTGGTCACTCTCACTGTCCCTGTCCTCCCATTGTTCATCGATTTGCTCGAGCGGGCCCAGTAACGTCTCCATCGTGAGACTTGTTGTTACTGTGTTTGGCATCTCGAATACGTCACGGGGAGCTTGCCGTGCGGGCGAGATACTCGGTAGCTTGCCGGGCTCTCCGAGAGGGGCAGAGAAATCGAACCCAAGCTCGGCCAGGTCAGCCGAGTGCAAGGCAAACGCCCTACCTGCTGTGCTATCTATCACTCCTGTGCTGGTAGGGAAGAAAACTCGCCCAGCGTTTTTCCAAATCCCGTTTTCCGTGAAGTGGCTGTGCTGGGTAACAGGATCGTGACCTCCTCGGGTGGGCACCGAGATCATTAATCACTTCTGGGCTGGGAAGTTCTTCACTGTTTCCAGTTCCCCTGACGTCCTGCCCCACACAGTTCCCTCTTTCCTCTCCCTCCCTCCCCGTCTGGCTGCAGCTCAGGAGTCGATAAACTTGCTTTTGCTCTAGTTGGTTCTTTTTCTTTCGGTCATTACCCCGTACCAGGAGGGGGATTGTGGGGTTCGGGTTGGGGGTTGGGGGTTTTGGGAGGGGTGTTGGGGCTTGGGAGGGGGGTTGGGGGTTCAGGAGGGGGGTTTGGGTTGGGAGTTCGGGAGGGGGATAGAGGGGTCCAGGGGATTGTGGGGTTTGGGAAGGGGGTTGGGGGTTCAAGAGAGGGATTGGGGGTTCGGTGGGGGTTGGGGGCTCGGAGGGGATTGTTGGGGTTCAGGAGGGGGTTCGGGTTGGGAGTTCAGGAGGGGGATTGTGGGGCCCAGGGGACTGTGGGGTTCGAGAGGGGGACTGTGGGGCCCGGGGTGGGGTGTGGGGTTCAGGAGGGGAGGGCAGGGCCAGCTCTGAGCTCCGAGGCTGGGCTGGGCCCACGTGCGGCCGCAGGGCAGAGGAAGCATTTTCCCTGTAACTACAGGAGGGACAGGAGAAATTCTCGGGGTCTGGAGACCCTCGAGTAGCACCAACCCGGTCGTGCCGGGCAGCCACCACGCCCAGCCCAGACACTGCCAGGACCCGAGTGCAGGAAGTCATGCAGGGGGAATTGAGAAACGTCCCTCTGTCCATCTGTCTCCCCTCGGCTCTATCGCCTCAAGCCCCTTCTGGGCTGTTGCATGGCAGGGACTCACCTTTTTACAGCCGAGTAGTATTCCCTTTGTGCACAGACCACACCTCTTGTTTGGGTTTTGCCTTTGTCTTTGTTGACAGCAGAGCCCTAAGGCAATCCATCCTCTTGACTTTTGTGATAGAGTCTTTTGTATTTTGCAATGCAATCAACAAAAATCACAAAAACTATTGTAGCACATAATGTAGAATTTTTTTTTTTTTGCTTCCTGGGTCGGCGATGCACAGGGGTTACTCCTGGCGGTGCTCAGGGAACCATATGGGATGCTGGGAATTGAACTCGGGTTGGCCTCGTGCAAGGCAAATGTCCTACCCGCTGTGCTATCTCTCCAGCCCCTGTAGAATGATTTTTAAGAATCATTCTCTCCTACAGTCTTCGAGTCTCTGAATAACTTGCAGATCCTGAATGGATTTCTGAAAGTGAAAATGGCCGGAGGGAGGGCCTGAGTGAGAGTACAGTTGGGAGGACCGGATGGCCCGGTTCAATCCCCGGCCTCCCATATGACTCCCTGTGCCCCACCAGGATTAATCCTGAGTGCAGAGTCAGGAGCAACCCCTGAGCATCTCCAGGTGTGACCCAAAAAGCCAAAAAAAAAAAAAAAAGCTAGAGGGATCACTGTCACTGTCACTGTCCTCCCGTTGTTCATCAATTTGCTCGAGCGGGCCCAGTAACGTCTCCGTTGGAGACTTTGTTGTTACTGTGTCTGGCATATCGAATACTCTCGGTAGCTTGCCGGGCTCTCCGAGAGGGGCGGAGGAATCGAACTCGGGTCAGCCATGTTGGCTGCATGCAAGGCAAACGCCCTGCTGCTGTGCTATCGCTCTAGCCCAGAGGATCACACAACACAGATAACAAATAACAAAAAATGGGGGGGAGAGTAATAGCAGATCGGGGAGGGCTTTTGCCCTGCATGCAGCCGATCCAAGTTCGATCCCCGGCATCCCATAAACTCCCCTGAGCCTGCCAGGAGTGAGTCTTGAGCACAGAGCCAGGAGTAACCCCTGAGCATCGCCAGGTATGACCCAAAACCAAAAAGAATTAAAAAAAAATTTTTTAAATAAGAAATAGCAAACAACAAAATGGGGGGGGGGGGGCTGGAGAGATAGCACAGCGGGTAGGGTGTTTGCCTTGCACGTGGCTGACCTGGGTTTAATTCCTAGCATCCTATATGGTCCCCTGAGCACTGCCAGGAGTAACTCCTGAGTGCAGAGCCAGGAGTAAGCCCTGTGCATGGCCGGGTGGGACCCAAAATGCAAAATTTGCTTTTTTTTCATTTGCCATAGACGTCACACGGCAGAGTCTGGCAAACTCCCCGTGGTGTACGCAATATGCCAAATACCAGTAACAAGGATGGGTCTCATTCTCCCAACCCTGAAAGAGCCTTGAAATGGCTCTTTTAAAATCTCAGGGCTAGGGCGAAGGAGACGTTACTGGGGCCTGCTCGAGGCAATCGACGAATAACAGGATGGTCGTGATTGTGATTGTGATTGTGAATAAATACAGCCTGACTCTTACAGACCTGAGTCCCTCATTCCTGTTTGTCGTCTTATTGAAAGTGATTTATTACGTGGCTGTGTTAAAAGTCATAGAGAAGCGTTTTCTGAAATGGGCACAAGAAATTTTGTTTTTCCATGAAAACGAGCTGTGTTGGTTTCCTGGCGGCAGCCTGGGGTTCTTCCTCCCTGGGATCTTGTCACGGGTCAGTGCCGGGTCAGTTCCCGCACGAAGCTCACAGGCGGTGACGATTTCGACTCCGTGTCTCTCAGTTCCCCCGGCCATCGGCGCCCCCGCTGAGGAACACCTCACCGCCGTGGACAAGCCCATCTCCCTGCCTTGCGAGGCAGACGGCCACCCGCCACCCCACATCTCCTGGCACAAAGATGGGCGTGCTGTCCCCGAGTCCCTCCGCCTGCGCGTCCTCAGCTCGGGGGCCCTACAGATCGCGTTTGCCCAGCCAGAAGACGCTGGTCAGTACACGTGCCTGGCCACCAACGTGGCAGGATCGGCCAGCGTGAGCACCACGCTCATAGTCCACGGTAGGTGATCCATGGTAGGTGGGCCACGGTAAGTGGGCGACACAGTACACAGTAGGTGGGCCATGGTAGGAGGGCCATGCTCACAGCCCATGGTACGTGGTCCACGGTAGATGGACGACACTCACAGTATATAGGAGTGGGCCACGGCAGGTGGGTGACACTCATGGTCTGCAGTAGGTGATCCACAGTAGGTGGGCGACACTCACAGTACAGTAGTAGCTGGGCAAGACAGGTGGATGACACTCATAGTCCATGGTAGGTGGGCCACAGTCGGTGGATCACACAGTCCACGGTAGGTGGACGACACTAACAGTACACAGGAGGTGGGCCACGGCAAGTGAGTGACACTCATGGTCCATGGTAGGTGGGCCACAGTAAGTGAGTGATACAGTACACAGTAGGTGGGCCACGGTAGGAGGGCCATGCTCACAGCCCACGGTAGGTGGTCCACAGTAGGTGGGCGACACTCACAGTATAGCAGTAGCTGGGCCAAGGCAGGTGGGTGACACTCATAGTCCACGGTAGGTGGGCCACAGTAGGTGGATCACACAGTCCACGGTAGGTGGTCCATGGTAGGTGGTCCACAGTAGGTGGGCAACACTCATAGTCCATAGTAGGTGATGCACAGTAGGTGGTTCATGGTAAGTGGGCCATGGTAAGTGGGCGACACTCACGGTACACAGTAGGTGGGCCACGGTAGGAGGGCCATGCTCACAGCCCATGGTAGGTGGTCCACAGTAGGTGGACGACATTCACAGTACGCAGGAGGTGGGCCACGGCAGGTGGGTGACACTCATAGTCCACAGTAGGTGATCTGCAGTCGGTGATCCATGGTAGGTGGGTCACAGTAGGTGATCCTTGGTAGGTGGGTGACACAGTCCATGGTCGGTGTTCCCTGGTAAGTGGACACACTCATAGTCCATGGCAGGTGATCCACGGTAGGTGGGCAACACTCACAGTACACAGTAGGTGGACCACGGTAGGTGGGCAACACTCACAGTCCATGGTAGGTGGCCCATAGCAGGTGGCCTTTGGTGAATGGACCAAGTGGGGACCTGACCTCCATTTCCCCCGGTGCACGACCACACAAACACAAAGACCCTATTCTGTGCTTTGTGTTCCTCTCTGTGTGCCCAACCGCCTGGGAGAGAAAGAGAAACAGAGTTCTGTCGCTCGTGTCCTGACGCGCCACTCATTTTCCCTCCCGCCGTGAGGGCTGGGTTCTGCGCTTTGGCTCAGGAAGAGTCCGTTTTCACTTTCCGAGCTGCGCTCCAGGCCGTCCGTTCAGCTGATTGATTGAAGGTGGCAGAGGATTCGTGTGCATATGTTAGGAACAAAGTTACACTCTGATCCTTTGAGTTCAGACAACTCACAAAAATAGCTAAATATCAGCTGAACGATTTCGGTTGTTGGTGTGTCTTTCAAGATGACGATTTCATCATTTTTCATGTCGGTCCGAGAAAAGGACAAGCAAATCCAGCTGATTTCAGCACTATTCTTCGTGCTAGTAATTAAAATATGTATAATACTGCTATCACCAGTCTTGATATTTTAGGATATCAAGTACTTTATGATCATTTCTGATATATATATATATATATATATATACATATTTTGGCTTTTTGGGTCACACCCTGCGATGCTCAGGGGTTGCTTCTGGCTCTGCACTCAGGAATACCCCTGGCAGTGCTCAAGAGACCGTATGGGATGCCGGGGATTGAACCCAGTTCAGCTTCATGCACGACAAACGCCCTCCCTGCTGGACTATTACTTCAGCCCCCTGATAACTTTTCAAAATTTAATGAGAATTTTTTATTCTTCAGGAGCTCTTGAATTCTTTTAACTTCTTTGTTACAGGACCGGCGCGATATAGCACGGTGGGTAGGGCACTCCCCAGTACCCCACATGACCCCCCCAGGCCCTGACAGAAATGACCCTTGATTGCAGAGCTAGGAGTGAGCCCTGAGCACTGCTGAATGTGGCCCCCAAATCCTAACTCCATTTCAGTGAAGTTATTATTAAAATTATGTGATTTAGTCAAAATTAAAAAGACATTTATGGCTTTCTCTAAATTTCTTCCTCGAAGTTTATAACTACTTTCAGTTACATGCAATTTAGTCTCTTTGCTTGGAATAATTAATAGTCCTCTACAGGTACTTGTAGAAAATTTGCAATAATTAACTATGCTAAACAGAAAATCACTATCTGTCACTGTCCTCCCGTTGTTCATTGATTTGCTCGAGTAGGGCCCAGTAACGTCTCCATTGGAGACTTTGTTGTTACTGTGTCTGGCATATCGAATACGTCACGGGTAGCTTGCCAGGCTCTACCGTGCGGGCGAGATACTCTCTGCAGCTTGCCGGGCTCTCCGAGAGGGCCGGAGGAATCGAACTCAGGTCGGCCATGTTGGCTGCGTGCAAGGCAAACGCCCTGCCACTGTGCTGTCACTCCAGCCCATTGATAAAAATTTTAAAATATGATCACACATATCTAGGAGTAAGCCCTGAGTACTGATTAGGTGTGGCCCCAAAATAAAAAAGACAATACAGAAGAGAGATCGTACAGCAAGTGAGTCACTTGCTTTGCATGTACCTGACCCGGGTTCAATCCCTGGCACCGCAAATGACCTCCCATCAGGAGTGATCCTTGAATTCAGAGAGCCAAAAGTAAGCCCTGAACATCACTTGGTGTGGCAAAACAAATAGCTTTATTTATTTATTTATTTATTTATTGTTAATTTTTTTCTTTTTGGGTCCCACCCGGCGATGCTCAGGGCTGACTCCCAGCTCTGCACTCAGGGATCACTCCTGGCGGTGCTCGGGGGACCCTAGGGGATGCCGGGGATCGAACCTGGGTCAACGCCCTCGCCGCTGTGCTATCGCTCCAGCCCCATCCCGAGGTGTCTTCTGTGTGTTCGTTTGCAATGTGCATGAAGCGACCACTGAACGCAGCGTCTGAGTGATCGTCTTTAAACTCTTCCAGTCCCTCCTCGGATCCACATCCCAGAGGAGCACTACACAGCCAACGAGAATTCCCGAGCCGTCCTCCCATGCACGGCTGATGGGGTCCCCACGCCCACAGTCCACTGGAAGAAGGACAACGTGCCTTTAGCCAACTCACTAGGGAAATACACTGTGGAGCCCTACGGAGAACTCGTTCTGGAGAACGTTCTGGTAAGTTCTGCATCCGGGAAGGCCGACGGTGAATTCCCCCTTGAACTCTGAGTCACTTGGGGGAATAATGATATTTGATGATGATGTATGTGACGTGGGCTGGAGCGATAGCACAGCGGTAGGGCTTTTGCCTTACACGCGGCCAACATGGCCGACCCGAGTTCGATTCCTCCGCCCTCTCGGAGAGCCCGGCAAGCTACCGAGTATTCGATATGCCAGACACAGTAACAACAAAGTCTCCAATGGAGACGTTACTGGGCCCGCTCGAGCAAATCGACGATCAACGGGAGGACAGTGCTACAGGGCTACAGCTAAACATGCAAGTGTCCGAGAGAGATGGACAGTGGGAAGGGGCTCGCCTTGCCTGCAGCCGACCTGGGTTCCATCCCCGGCTCTGCCTCCGTTCCCCTGGGCCCTGCCAGAAGGGGCTCCCGAGTGCAGAATCAGGAAAGAGTCCTGAGCACAGCCGGGTGTGGCCCCAAATTAAAAATAAAACACAAACCAGACAAGATGATCATTTTCTAAGCTGCAGCCTCTTTCCTAAGATGCTAAAAGTTTTTTTTTTTAATGTGATTCTTGGGGGGGCTGGAGCGAGAGCACAGAGGGGAGGGGGTTAGCCTTGCACACGGCTGACCCGGGTTCAATTCCCAGCAACCCGCAGGGTCCCCTGAGCCCCGCCAGGAGTGATCCCTGAATGCATGAGTCAGGAGGAACCCTTGAGCATCACCGGTGTGCCCCAAAAAGCAAAAAAAAAAAAATGTGATTCTTGGAATTGATCAAGGATAGTTTTGTTTCAACTAGTTAAAAATTCATCTGCATGGGGCTGGAGCAATAGCACAGCGGGTAGGGCATTTGCCTTGCACATGGCTGACCCGGGTTCAATTCCCAGCATCCCATATGGTCCCCTGAGCATCGCCAGGAGTAACTCCTGAGTGCAGAGCCAGGAGTAACTCCTGCGCATCGCCGGTTGTGACCCAAAAAGAAAAAAAAAATTTCATCTGCAACCAACCAAGTAGAGATTGTATCTATAACAAATGATTGTAATTTCATGCTACATTTTAGATCAGTAACAACAAAGTCTCCAATGGAGACGTTACTGGGCCCGCTCGAGCAAATCGACGATCAACGGGAGGGCCTTTACCTTTACCTTTTATTTTAGATCAACTATTTGAGGTGCTTCCCCATACCATACGCTGGAGCGATAGCACAGCGGTAGGGCATTTGCCTTACAAGCGGCCAACATGGCCGACCCGAGTTCGATTCCTCCGCCCCTCTCGGAGAGCCCGGCAAGCTACCGAGAGGATCTCGCCCGCACGGCAGAGCCTGGCAAGCCACCCATGATGTATTCGATATGCCAAACACAGTAACAACAAAATCTCCAATGGAGATGTTACTGGGCCCACTCGAGCAAAATCGATGAACAACGGGAGGGCCTTCTTCTTCATACCAAAAAAAAAAAAAGAAAAGAAAAGAAATTGGTCTTGCAGCTCTGGGCCTTGACTTGGAAGCATCAAATCACCAATGGCTCAAGTGTTCCTGGAGTGACTTTCTTGGGGTCCGCACGAGGGAGGGGCTCAGTGAATCCGGGGAGAGAAGACTCAGGGGGCCCTTCCTAGAGCAGCTGGCGTCCCGTGGGCTTGAGAAAGATGGAGGACAGGCAGGCAGGCACCATCCCCGGCCGCAGACCCCACACTGGTTGACGTCACCTTGCAGCCGAGTGCAGGAAGTGGAGGAACGAGGACCCAGCCCTGAGCCGGCCCCCACGCCAACTCTGGGACTTGGTTGAGGGGGAACCTGCAGAAGGGGGCATTGGCATAGCGGAAGGGAGGTTGGCGGGAGACAGATAAGTGGTCGTGGAAGCCAAGAGGAGTCCTGGTTTCGACAAGAACAGGACCATAAGCCTTTCAGAACCACCCTTCCTCAGCCTCCTGGGTGCCATATCACCCTGTGCACCCACGGCCCGGCCCAGGCTCTATTGGCCTTCGATATCTTCATTCTTCCTTTGTGTCTTGAAAAAATCATAACCCATGTCCCTAAACGCACAGATTTAACGCTTTCTTGCTTTCTTTTTTCCCCTTGTTTTTTGGGTCCCACCCGGCAATACACAGGGGTTACTCCTGGCTCTGCACTCCTGGCGGTGCTCAGGGGACCGAACCGGGGTCAGCTGCGTGCAAGGCAAATGCCCTCCCCGCTGTGCTATCACCTCTGCCCTGATCTCTTGCTTTCTGAAGTCAGATCACTGCTGTGTTGAAGCCGAGGCCTGCGTTTGAACCTTAACTAGTGTTCTGGAAAGGCTGGTCTGGGGGGCTGGATCGACAACACAGTGGGGAGGGCGTTGGCCTGGCACGCGGCCCACCCAGGTTCGATCTCCAGCATCCCCTAGGGTCCCCCGAGCACCACCAGGAGTGATCACTGAGTGCAGAGCCAGGAGTCAGCCCTGAGCACCACCAGGTGGGACCAAATCAGAAAGAGAGAAAGAAAAGGGTGGGGGGGGGGGGGAGAAGGAAGGAAGGAAGGAAGGAAGGAAGGAAGGAAGGAAGATGGGCTGGAGCAATAGCACAGCGGGGAGGGTGTTTGCCCAGCAAACAGCCGACCCAGGTTTGATTCCCAGCATCCCCTAGGGTCCCCCGAGCACCACCAGGAGTGATCCCTGAGTGCAGAGCCAGGAGTCAGCCCTGAGCATCGCCGGGTGGGACCCAGAGTAGGACTCGGGTTTCTGGGGGAACCCCTGGGTGTTGCTGTCTTAAGCGTTCTGATTGTTTTCCAAGCCGGAGGACGCGGGCGCCTACACCTGCGTCGCTGCCAACGCCGCAGGCGAGGACACCCGCACGGTGACCCTCACGGTGCACGTGCTCCCCACCTTCACCGAGCTCCCCGGGGACGTGGCGCTGAACAAGGGCGACCGGCTGCGCCTGAGCTGCAGAGCCACAGGCCTCCCGCTGCCCCGGCTCACGTGGACCTTCAACAACAACATCCTCCCAGGTGGGTCGCTCTCTGGAGAACGGGCCAGTGGGCGGCGCCTCCGGGCGGTGACGGGGAGGGGTGAATAGTGCCATGAAGAATTGATTGGAGTTCTCTGCTTTCATTTCCTTTCCCCCCTTCATCCTTTTATTTTTTTCATCCTTTTTTTTAATTGCTATCGAGTCCTCCGCCCCTCTCGGAGAGCCCGGCAAGCTACCGAGAGTATTCGAGATGCCAGACACAGTAACAACAAAGTCTCCAATGGAGACGTTACTGGGCCCGCTCGAGCAAATCGACGATCAACGGGAGGGCCTTTACTTACTTTACTTACTTTTTTTAATTGATTTTTGGGTCCCACCCGGCGATGCTCAGGGCTGACTCCCGGCTCTGCACTCAGGAATCACTCCTGGCGGTGCCCGAGGGACCGTCTGGGATGCCGGGGATTGAACCCGGGTCGACTGCGTGCAAGGCAAACGCTTACCTGCTGTGCTATTGCCCCAGTCCCTGGTTCATCACTCTTTATTGATCGATTGATTGATTGATTTTTGGGTCCCACCCGGCGATGCTCAGGGCTGACTCCTGGCTCTGCACTCAAGAATCGCTCCTGGGACCCTAGGGGATGCTGGGGATTGAACCCGGGTGGCCATGTGCAAAGCAAACGCACTCCCCGCTGTGCTATCACTCCAGCCCTGCCCCACCCCTCAAACTTTTGAGGATGGATTGATCCAATAGGATCTGCACTTAGGATCCATCCTAAGTCGATTGTTTTTTGTCACCGAGAAATGATCCCCTTCACACTAAAGTTTTGGTGGAGACTCACCCTCGGGGGCCACCAGCATCCTTGATCAGTGAGTTAACCTGGCTAATGTTGGAGTCTTAAGAGTTCAATACCTGGCACCCCGTATGGTCTCCCCCACCCCGCCACACCCACCCCCAAACCCTGCCAGGAGTGATCCCTGAGCACCTCTCGGTGTGGCCCACGAACAAAAAAAATCAAGAGTTGTTGACTTCCGCAGAGGTGAACTCTTGTGTTGAGTGTATGAATTAGCCTCTGTTAACCGCTTGGGACAGTTGGGCATCAGCCTTCTCCTCGGGGTCTGGAGAGATGGTACAGTGGGCAAGGTGATTCCTTTGTGTGCGGCCAACTCAGGTTCGATCCCCGGCATGGCCAAAGGTCCCCCAAGCCCCTCTAGAAAAGATCCTTGAGCACAGAGCCAGGAGGAAGCCCAAGACACTGCCAGGTGTGGCCAAACCTCCCTCCCTCGAAAACATTTTAATAAAATCTATCTTAAACTTGAGAGTCCTGGAACCACTGGGAGTCAGGGGAGCACTTGGAGTCAAGGGAGCACTGGGAGTCAAGGGTTTGAGTTCACAAGCCCCAGAACAAGAGTCTCCTTCAGGGTCAGCCTTTGCTGTCAGCGTACAGATGTGATCAGAAATAAGAAGTTGTTATATTTTTACCTTTGGATAAATGGTTTCCTAGAAAAGTATAATAAACACGTGTTTTCTCCTTTTTTATCGATGTGAGTCGCTGGCATTTATCAACCTTATTACCTTAGTAATAAAATTATTTAATAGCAAGATACCAGGACTTTCCTCACCATGGGAGGAGGAAAAAAAAATAAACAAGCACCAAAATATCTAAATCAGTCATGCTTTCCCAGAGGCTTCATGCTTTTCCAGATATTTAATATTTTTAAAGCTCGGGGAAAGATCGAAAAGAAAACTTGGGAGCTTCATTTTCTGCCTCTCTTCTAGTCTGTGTGGAATCTTCAGAGCCCGTCTGCATGAGGGCAGGCCAGTGGGGGGCGAACGTTCTGGAAGCAGGACTCTGGCTGGCGTGCTCCCGAATCGTCCTTAAGTTGTTTGTTGTGTTCGGATTAACGTATTTCCCTCATGCCCGTTCCAAGTACCACCCCTCCCTGTGCAAATATTTACATGCCCATGATTGTAGAGTGTAACTGGTCACAGATGTGCCGTGTCCTACGGCGTTACCTGACGGCCCGTGTTCTCGGGATTTTTCCCTCTTGGCCGGCCAAGTCAGTGGAGGAGTGAGAACTGAAAAGGGGTTTTCATGGTTTCGATGTCGGGGCGGAATGAGATAAAGGAAATGGAAAATGTGCCGTTTCTTCGGCAAAGATGTTTGAACCCCAGAGGGGATCGTGGGCCAGCTGGATGTCACACTGTGGAGGGGAAGGTGGCCCTCCGCTCGAAACTCATTTTCGAGGTGTTTGTTTTCCTTCTCTCTTCCTGTCTCTTCTTGCTGTTGGTCATTCTTCAAACAAGCGTCTCCAGACCCAGCGACTTGCCGGGAGGCAACTGAAAAAGTCCCTTTTCCCGAGGCTCAACCGCCCGGGGCCCGGGGGGGCTGATTCAGCTCATAAATCCCGTCTGCCTGCTGCCTAGTGCATGGCGACCTTCCCGGGGGACTGAGAGAGGTCTGTGTTGTCCCTGCAGCCCACTTCGACAGTGTCAAGGGACACAGTGAGCTTGTTATTGAGCGCGTGGCCAAGGGGGACGCCGGCACGTACGTCTGCACAGCCGAGAACAGCGTGGGCTTTGTGAAGGCCATCGGATTTGTTTACGTGAAAGGTGGGTGAACGTGCTGGTGTGTGGCCCGATGCGCGCGTGTCCCCCGAGGGCTCCTCCTTGGCTTCCTGGTTAGGAAGGGATTCAGCGGAAATTCAGGTCAGTGATGGGCAGACGGGAGAGAAGAGGTGGGCACGTTCGCCCACAAAGCAGAAAGTCACGAACGGGAGTTTGGCACAAGGAGAATCTTCCATTTAGATGGTTGAAACAAGGCTGAAAGATGGCGCCATGGCTTAAACCCTTACTAGCAAGCGCGCCCAGTCCTGGGTTCGAACCCCGGGGCCGCCACATGTGCCGAGGTGATCCGATCAGCCTTGCTGTTTGTGATTTCCCCAGTGAGATGATTCTAGAAGTTGAGTCAGGATGTAGATAGGGCACCACTTAACCATGAGACCCTGAGCCTCATGTCTGGAACTGGCAAAAGCAATCCCAAACACAGCCCCTGGTCTGGGGAACTGAGTGAGGGGGAAAAAAAATATGGTTGAAGCCGCCACAATTTCCAGTCAACTCTGGATCATTCACGGGATTTGAAAGCAGCTTTTCTCCCCACTCCATCCACTAAGAACTTCTCTAAACTCGGTCCGTCCGGTCACCAGTAGGTGGTCAGAACGTTCGCCGGACTTGTCTTTCGCTTCCCAGAACCTCCGGTCTTCAAGGGCGATTACCCTTCCAACTGGATCGAGCCCCTGGGGGGCAACGCCATCCTGGACTGTGAGGTGAAGGGGGACCCCGCCCCGACCATCCAGTGGAGCCGGAAGGGGGTGGACGTTGAAATCAACCACCGCATCCAGCAGCTTAGCAACGGCTCCCTGGCCATCTACGGCACCGTGGTAAGTCGGACTGCTGGCCAGTGGCCACCCTGTCCATGTCTCCCGCCTCCCCAGGCCGGGAGCTTGGAACCAAAGCTTAAACCTTCTGAAAGTCACTAGTCGTCGAGTTTCCGAAATCGACGGGAAATCTTTGATGCCTTTTCAAAGAAGTCCGAGCAGTCGGAGAATTCTGCGTTCTCGGGCCTCCCGGCCTCGAGTCGCTTTCACGCAGGCAGAGAGAGTCCAGTTACGAACTGGGTCGGGGGTAGAGCTCTACCACCACGCCACAGCTATCGCGGGGCTTTCCAGAAGTTTCCGTATCTCAGAAAATGAACCCTGCTTCTAAGTTTTCTGACTCGTGAGCACGGGGATGAGACAGTTTATTTGACCTCAAAATGTCTCAGTTGGAGCTGGAGCTATAGCACGGCTGGTAGGGTGTTTGCCTTGCACGCGGCCAACCCGGGTTCTATTCTCGGCATCCCATATGATCCCCTGAGCACCACCAGGAGTAATTCCTGATTACCAGAAGTCAGCCCTGAGCATCGCTGGGTGTGACCCAAAAAGCAAACAAACAAACAAGTGTCTCAGCTGGGTCACATCTGGCTGTTGGGTTGCGGCTTGCTGCGAATTGGGTGAAATGATCATTAAATAGGCTCCCCCGTTCCGGTGGGTCATGCCCAGTCTTCTTGATTTTGTTTATTTCAGCACGAGGTAGAGTTGGTTGTGGCTTCATTTCTTTGGGTTTTATCTTTTTTCAGGGTGTTGTTTGGGGGCCACACCCAGCAGTGCTCAGGGCTGAGTCTTAGCTCCACGCTCAGGGATCACTCCTGGTGGTGCTCGGGGATCGGACCCAGCTAGCCCTCTGCAAGGCAGACACCCTCCCCTCTGGCTGCAGTTTTGAGATCGTTTCTATCTTTAGCTCCTGGAACTTGAATCGACCTTACTCAGCATCAATCACCCCACTTTCCTCTTCACAAATGCGACTGTTTCCGAAGACGTTTGTGATACCAGGGATGACAGGCAAACTAAATTCCTCACCAGTTCCAGATTCCCAAACACAAGTCTCCCACCCTGAAATTTTTGCAAGTTCCAACAAGTTTCCTGCTAGAATGTTCTATTTGTATGCCCCTCTCGGAGAGCCCGGCAAGCTACCGAGAGTATCTCGCCCGCACAGCAGAGCCTGGCAAGCTCCCTGTGACGTATTCGATATGCCAAGCACAGTCACAGCAAGTCTCACGATGGAGACGTTACTGGGCCCGCTCGAGCAAATCAGGGAACAACGGTGACAGTGACAGTGATTGACATGCCCAAGTTAACGCCTAAATTCACTTCCCTAAATCGAAGTCTCTCTGACCCCTCCAGCCCTCCTCTGCTTCCTGAAACTCAGCCCCTCCCACTCATTCACACTCTCTTCAGAGTTCTGTTCACAAGTTCTTTTCTGTTGGTCTTGTTTTTGTTTTGGGAGGTCACACCTGGCAGTTCTCAGGGCTTACTCTTGGCTTTGTGCTCAGGGATCGCTCCTGTTTGGGGGAACCCTGTGGGGTGCCGGGGATTGAGCCCAGGCTGGCTGCAGGCAAGACCAGTGTCCTCACCCTCGTGCTGTCTCTCTCTAGTGAAGTCTTACTAGTCACCAAATCTCATCTCATTTAGGACTGGCTTGTATGTCACCTGCATCTCTTTGGGGTCTACATTCTTGATTCATTATTGCCCCTTCCCTTTTCTCTCTCTCGGCAGAATTTCACGTTCTCGTAATAGAGCCCGTGCTCACTAGTCTCTGGGTAATAGTGAGATTACCCAGATAATAATTCCCTAGAACCCGTCGGAGTGTCTGTGTATTCTGAGGGTTTCATACTTGTTAAGGCATGTGTAAGAACAGCATTAACATCTTCATTTAGGAGGACAACTTCAGATCTCAGACTATAAAAAGATTTCATTTAGTCGCGTTTCCTACCAGTTGTTATTCTTGAGCCCACTTTGAAAATACTTAAGGGATTTCTGTTTTTTTCATTCTAATTATGAGCGTATATATACACATGCCGTTTTCTCTAACTCTTAAATTGCCTTCTCAGGAGTGAGCTTGAGAAGGATTTCTTCCCGGGCACTGTTTCTGGCCCCACAAGTCCTGCCAGGAGTTATCCTGAATGCAGAGCCAGGAGCGAGCTGTAAAGTACCAGCTGACTGTGGGTCCAAACAGAAAACCAAGTTTTGTTTTGTTTTATTTTGTTTTTAAATAATAAGATGCCTACCAACCGTAGAGGGAAATATTATGTTACTTCAGTTCTGCTTTGGGACAGGGATTGGAGTTCGGAATGGAAACACCCAAAATATGGTGGTGGGATTGGTGTTTCAACGTTAAATGTAATCAAATATTGTGAACTACTTTATAACATTTAAAAAATTAATAATAATAATAATAATATGCCTGGGCCGGAGGCAGAGCAGAGGGGGTGAGACTCTTGTCTTGCACGCAGCCGACCTGGATTCAAATAGGGTCCCCCAAGCACCCCCAGGAGTGACCCCTGAGCACAGAGGCAGGAGTAAGTCCTGAGCACAGCTGCTGGGTGTGGCCCAGACATTCTGTGTCAGTGTGAGATGTCATCTAAGGCGGGTGGCAGCGACGGTCAGCTGCCTTCGTGTCCTAAGTCCCCGTTTGTTTGCAGAACGAGGACTCGGGCGACTACACCTGCGTGGCAGCCAATGACGCGGGGGTGGTGGAGCGGAGCCTGAGCCTGACCCTGCAGAGTAAGTGCTCCCGGGTGAGGGGACGCCCCCGCGGCCCTTGCCTCAGAGACGCTCTCGAGGGTGGCCGTCTTGGCTCCCAGTCGCAGCGGGGTGGCTGATGTCCTGGGTCAGGGTGGATCAGCGTCGTCACGTTCTTTTCTCTGTCTGATCAGCACGGGCAGCTCAAGGTGGTGACTCCCTGGGCCAGAGCTTCGCAACTCAACCTCCTCGCCCCCAAAACCAAATGAACACGCACACACACTCACACGCGCACGCACACGCATGCGCACATATACACATACACACGCACGCACACACACACACACACACCCGTGTTCTCTCCATTCATTCATCTGCTAACACTGACTTGGATCAAGGACATTCCTGATCCCTTAATGGGACGTTTTGAGGGAAAAACGGATTCATTATTAGATCTGTCACATGGACCCAACTGTCCCTTCTCTTGTGGCCAGACGAAAAGCGCCCGAGCTCGGCCAGGTCTTGCTCAGCTGCGCTGTTCCTTCACTCTAGATCCTTCCAGAAGTCGGTAGGCGGATGAGAGCGATAACTCAGCAGACGGGAGAGAAACCCCTTTCCCAAGTCAGGGTGTTTCAGTGAACGCTCCCTGTCGGGGGGAGCAGAGGGAGATGAGCACGTGATCTGCGTGGGGGGTTCCTTGACCTGGTTTGAGAAAGACTGATGGGTTGAGTAGATCAGCTCATCTAAACGACGGATCGTTTGTTTCAGCAAGTAGCATGAAAAGCCAGCAGTCTGGCTGGTCTGGAATTAAGAGTAAAGTACCAGAAGCAATTTCAGGGTGTGTGTGTGTGTGTGTGTGTGGTGGGGGACAAGTTTGAACCCAGTTTCTCGTACATGCAAGGCATACCCTTGGCCAGTAGCCCCCAGAAGCAACGTTTACATGGAGATAAGATGTTCAGTTGAACGACTCATTATGTGAAGAGTTGAGCCCTGAGAGAAGGGTGGATGGAATTTTATCTAAGTCCATTTCTAGCCCGTGCCACTGGAGAGAGTGCAGTGGGGAACCCAGCCTACCCAGTTTTGATCCTTGATACCACATAGGGTCCCCCCGAGTCCTGCCAGGAGTGATTCCTGAGCACAGAGCCAGGAGTAACCCCGAGCGCTCCCGGTGGCTGGTCTGATGCTGTGTACTGGGAGCTCTTCGAGACCAGATGATATCTGAGATCGTTCAAGTTTGTTATGAAGCTCTAGTGGTATTAAACGCTGCACCCTTTACCTACCTAAATCTAACTTTTTTCAGTTCACGATCACGATCATCTTGTTGTTCATCGATTGCCTCGAGCAGGCCCCAGTAACGTCTCCTTCTTCCTAGCCCTGAGATTTTAAAAGAGCCATTTCAAGGCTCTTTCAGGGTTGGGAGAATGAGACCCATCATTGTTACTGGGATTTGGCATATTGAGTACGCCACAAGGAGTTTGCCAGACTCTGCCGTGCGGGCAGGTTACATTCGGTAGCCTGCCAGGTTTTAACTTTTTTCAGTTACCTTTTAAAAAATGGAATTACAGAATTTTCCCTCACAAAACTATTTTGTGGAATTTAGCAATAGGTATAATCACATAGAAATGACCTCACGGGGGCAGGGGGCAGATGGGATCCTCTTGGGACCAGTCACTGGCTTCAGAAAGGGGTGGCTGGAGACGAAACCCCTCGGGTTTGGGAAGAAAGAGGTAACAGATGACTAATCCATTGTGTAAACGACGACAGGTGGGTGAAATAAACCCAAAGGCAAAATATTGCGAATTTAGAGTCCTATTTGAGAGAGATTCTGCCCTTAGCACAGCCAGTTCAACTCCCAGCCCACACTGTTGGACTGTGTGAGTGTGACATTCCGTCTGTAGTGGTTCTTTGCCCCCAGAATGAGGGAAGACGACCAGCCAGCACGATACATAGCATGAGAGGCATCTGCCTTGCGTGCGGCTGATCTGAGTTTAATTCCTGATATCCCTGAGCCCTGCCAGGACTGATCCCAGAACACAGAGCCAGGAGCACGGGTGGCCCCAACCCCTGCAAAGAGCCACACACTGTCATACCGCATGCTCACACCATCTTGGGGGCGTCTGCAAGAGCCCAGTGGGGGTGGGGGGCACCATTTTTTTCTTTTTAAATTTTTGTTAGTGAGACACCATGAGGCACAGTTGTCGACTTACAAATTTTTGAGCTTGGGTTTCAATTATACAATGATCAAATACCCATCCCTCCACCAGTGCCCATTTCCCACCACCACGGATCCCAGAATTTCTCCCCCTCCAACCCCTCCATCCCTCCCTGCCTCTGTGGCAGGGCATTCCCTTTTGTTCTCTCTCTCCTTTTGGGTGCTGTGGTTTGCAAAAGCGGCATTGAGTGGCAATCATGTTCAGTCTAGAGTCTACTTTCAGCATGCTTCTCCCATCCTGGGGGGATCCTCCCAGCACCCTTTACTTGGTGCTCCCTTCTCTATCTGAGCTCCCTTTTCCCCCAGCGTGTGCGGCTGGCCTCCAAGCCATGGAGCAAACCTCCTGGTACTAATCTCAGCCACTCTTGGGTGTTAGTCTCCTATTTTGTTTCTTTGTGTTCCCCAGATGAATGCAGTCTTTCTGGTCTATCCCTCTCTTTCTGACTCATTTCGCTTAGCATGATACTTTCCATGTAGTAGCACTTGTATGTAAATTTCGTGGCTTCGTCTTCTCTAACAGCTACCATTTTTAAGGACCCCAAGGTTCAGAGATGCAGCCAGAGGTGGGGTTGGGGTTTGAATCCAGAAGCAACCCTGGGTGAATGCTCCGGGCTAGTCTGGAGTAAACACGGCGGTTCCCGGGCCGAGCCCTGCGTCCGTCCCAAGACGTTGGTGCTCTCCTCTTGAGCCCCTCCCCCCCCCCACCGAAGGGTTCCCTAGATGGATGTCACCTTCACCGCATGGGATCAAAGGCTTCCGGAACCCCCAGTGAAGCTGGGACCCCCGCTGTGCTCTGCATGCCCTCCCCTAGGTGCGCCCACCATCGTGCTGGAGCCGGAAGACACCGTCGTGGAGGCTGGCGGCAAAGTCCTCCTGAACTGCCAGGCCGAGGGCGAGCCCACGCCCGCCCTCTCGTGGTCCCGGCAGGGCCTGGCCATCCCCTGGGACGCGAGGCTCCGCATGCTGCCCAATGGCTCCCTGTCTATCGCCCCTGCCCGGAGGGACGACACGGCTGAGTACGAGTGCGTGGCCCGGAACGTGATGGGCTCCGTGCTCATCAGGGTCCAGGTCACTGTCCAGGGTGAGTGGCCACCACCCGCGGGTGCCCCCGGCTGACGGCGCTCAGCCAACAGCCACCTCACAGGTCCCAGATGACGGTCTGGTCTTGGCGGGCTCAGCTTGAGCTCGTGGTTCTCCACAGCTGCCCGATCTGGCCAGCTAATCCCGCCAACCCCGCTCAGCGTCTGTCCTGGCCCTGGTAAATCTTAGCAGACGGGCCGGATAGACAGTACAGTGGGGACAGCACTCACCTTGCATGCCGCTGGCCTGGGTTTGGTCCCCGGCACCATACAGTGTCCCTCAAGCACTGCCAGGAGTGATCTCTGAGCACAGAACCAGGGTAAGCCCGGAACACAGCAGGGTACGGCCCCAAACTAAAATCAAACCAGGCAAAGCAGCTCGCTGCATGGGTGATGTAGCTATTTCCTGAAGAGAGAAATGAAGTAAATCATAGCAGCTGAGTCCCTAAAAGCCACATAAATGATGTCCTGGCTAAGGTGCGCGTATCACTACTGGTTAAAGAATCTAGTCCCAAGGCTGGAGCGATAGCACAGCCGGAGGGCGTTTGCCTTGCACGTGGCCAACCTGGATTCGATCCCCGGCATCCCATAGGGTCCCCAAGCACCACCTGGAGTAATTCCTAACTGCAGAGCTAGGAGTAACCCCTGTGCATTGCTGGGTGTGACCAAAAAGAAACAAAAACAAACAAAAAAGAATCTAGTCCCCCGCCAGGGTTGGGACAAGGGCTCAGAGAGCTCATATGCTGGGTCCAGAGTGACAGGAGAGTAGGGAAGACACTCGCCTTGCATATGTGGCCAAACCAGGGTTGATCTCCGGCATCCCAGGTGGTCCTCCAAGCCCACCAGGAGTGATCCCTGCGCAAATACAGGAGTAATTCCCGAGCATCTCAAGTGCAGGCTTGGATTGCTGGAGGCTGGGTTTAACACCGCACGCCCCTGAGCCCCTAAGCACTATCGTATGGCCTCTCCACCCTAAAATGGGACCTAGCTCCGAGGCTGTGTGAGCTTCAGAGCTCTCTGGCAGTTAACGAGAACCTCCCCTTCCAAACCCAGGCACAATTTATGGATTCTCTCACCTGACACAATCTTAAGACGTCCCAGAATTTTCTCTTAGTAACACTGTGGCAAGTGAAGACCAAAACGAATTCTCCTGCTGTAGAATGCCAAGACAATGAACCAGCTTCCCAGACTGAACTCGGTTCAGAATCTGGGTGATTTGCTGTTCAGAAGCCCGGTTTGGCTTGCAGGGTGATTTAGATGCAAAAGGCCTTTGGCTGGGGCTGGAGCGATAGCACAGCAGGGAGGGCGCTTGTCCTGCACACAGCCAACCCGGGTTCAATCCCCAGCATCCCACGGGGCCTCAAGCACCGCCAGGAGTGATTCCTGAGTGCAGAGGCCGGAGTCAGCCCTGAGCATCGCCAGGTGTGACAGAAACAGAGGGGTAAACTGGGACCAGCAACACCCACACACGCTGGGATTGTAACGGAAGGATCTGCGTCTTGGCAGTTCCCTCCTGCTCAGACTTAGTTCCTCCTGATGGAGAACTTGGACACGTCTCTTCTCAGCGCTGGACCCAGTGTGTTTCCCAGGAAGCCCCACTGGGTCTCCTCTATGTTGCAGGACAAATGACACTCCTGTCTCCTTTGCAGTTCACGGGGGCTTTTCGCCGTGGTCCGCCTGGAGACCCTGCAGCGTCAGCTGTGGGAAAGGGCTGCAGAGAAGGAGCCGGTCGTGTGACAGCCCCTCCCCGGCCAATGGCGGGAGCCCATGTGCAGGAGCGGACTCCGAGACTCGCCCCTGCCAGCCCAGACCGTGCCCAGGTACGCCGCTTCCTTCCGAGCCTGCTATGCTCTGTCCTGGCCGGGACCCTGGGCACAGCCACCCTGTGACTGAGATGTCCCCGCCGGTGTCCCGTTTGGTCTTGGAGCAGTGGCTGGAGGCTGGTCGGCGTGGAGCCCATGGGGGGAATGCACGCAGAGCTGTGGGCGTGGCAACCAGACCCGGGTGAGGACGTGCAGCAACCCGCCCGCCCAGCACGGGGGCCGGCTGTGTGAGGGCAGCGCCGTGGAGGTCATCATGTGCAACATCCGGCCCTGCCCAGGTGAGAGCCCAGGTCGGCCGGGCCAGCTGCTGCCGGGAGCTCGGTCTGGTCTCTGCGTGTGTGCTGGCTCGGGGACTGGCGGTGGGGTCTGGCAAGCAGGGGAAAGGCTGGCCAGAGAGAAAACGGTTGGTGTTTGCAGAGGGGACGAAGATCCCAGTAGAGTTCTGGCGGGAGAAGGAGGAGGGTCTAGTGACAAGCCGGTGGTCGCAAATATGACCTGCACGGAGAGAGAGTAGCTGGTGTGTTCACAGTCGTAGCTGGTGCAGACACTCATTTGCGGGTGAGAAAACTGAACCCAGAGAGGTAAAGGCCTGCCGAGAAACACTCCACCGTGAGGCCGCACCACCACCGAGTATGCACCCCTTTCTAAACACCCGTCATCAAAACCCACCACTGAACACCCAACACCACCATTAAACACCCAAAATTTACTTTTGAACACCCAACATCACCACTAAACACTCAACAACACCCTAAATATTCAACACCCTCCACTGCTCAACACCCCAGTACCATTAAACACCCCAAAACCACCCACACCCACTACCACCACGGAACACCCTGCACCCACCACTAAATACCCAACACCATCTCTAAACACCCATTCTCCACCACTCAACACCTGACAACCCCCTCTGGCGCCCAACCCCTAAATACCCGACACGCACCACTGAACACCTTTCCCTCGGCGTTCCTCTCTAAACACCCATCCTTCAGCAGGCATCCCTCACCACCAATTACTGAACACTCATCCCTCAACGTCTGTCTCTAAACGCCCATGACTAAATACCCATTACTCAGCACCCATCACTCACCACCTCGCAGAACTATGCCAGGTGCTTTGCGTAGAAGCTCCAGATGTTTCCAGGCGCTTTCAGATGGAAGAACCTGAAGCCAGGCTTAAATATGCTGGGCCAGGAAGCGCCGCTTTCAGGTCTGACCGAACAAGGGCTGGGCCTGTGTGTTTTGAGCATTTTCCACACCTCGTGTCTGGTGTCCCTCGCGTTGACTTTCACCTCCAGTAAACTTTCTCCATGGCTGTATGGCAGAGAAACTGATGGCTGGTAGCTCTTGGTTCACAGAGCCCTTGTCACCTAAGGCCAAGAGCACACCCTCCCCTCCTTGGAATTCCTGTGTGCCCGAGGGGCCGAGTTTGAACGTGTATGTCCCCTGCTCCTGTGAATATCCTTCTTGGTTCTTCCCTATTTCAGAATCCATCTGGGGACCACCCTTTTCTTTATTGCCTTGTCCTTTCGGTCCATTTTTTTTAACGTAGGAGTACTGCTATTTGTTCAGCCACTGATTAGCTGATTGAACTGTGCATGAACTCTATTTTACTTTTTTTTCATTTTTTATAATTTTATTTATTGAATCACCGTGAGAGCAGGTACAAAGCTTTCGGGTCTAAGTCTCAGTCATACAAAGAAACACCCGTACCTTCACCAGTGCCCATTCTCCACCCCCAACAACCCCAGTATCCCCCCATCCCACACCCTCCCCCTACCTGTGGGGCAGATGATCTCCACATTCCTCTCTCTCTACTTTGATCACATTCAATATTTCGACACCAGACCCACCATTATTATTTGAGATTTTACCTCAACACGCAGATCTGCTGAAAAGGCAACAGTAGACAATTTATGTTCTATTGCTGGTTATGAATAACATATGATGTCACGTGGCTGCAGTTGGGCCACGTGATTTTGAAATTCTGAAATTTTAACACTTAAATCTGGAGGAATTTCTGCCAAAAGCCACTGGGTTTCGAGATTTGCTCCTGAGTCTCTGGGATCATGGCCATTGAGCAGCTTGATCAGGGGCCAGAGAGGTCATTCGTGGGCAATGACTTGGGGTTTCATTGGGGTGGGGAGGACAGGCCCGGCTCCACCCCCATCCCGTGAGGCCCAACAAGTTTCATCACTGCGGGCCCAGACCTGACTGTCCAATGGCCTCTGGAGGATGACGGCCCGGTCCCTTTTCATTGGAACAAAATCTCTGTCTTACCTAAGCCTGATATTTCTCAAGAGCACATTTTGAGAGAGTTTTCCGTGTGGATTTGCCTGCTCTTTCTTCCTAATCGGATTCAGCTTGGGCATTTGGGCAGCAGATTCTCAGGCCGAGATCCTGAGCCCTCTCGGGACTTCGTGAGCTCCGTTTGCCTGCACCCTGGGGGTGTTCCCGACAGTCAGTGTGGGGTCTGCCACTGGCATCCATCCTGGTCTTGCTTTTGTCCCTAACGTGCATTTTGTAGACAAGTGCTGAGCCTACACTTTCTTTTTCATCCATTGTGCACTCATTTTCACATCCACTTATGATCTTGCTTGACAACCCCCTCTAGCGCCCAACCCCTAAATACCCAACACGCACCACTGAACACCTTTCCCTATAAACTTTACGGAAATTATGGTCTCTTCCTGATGTTGAGGAGAACTTCCCCTTTCTCTGTTGTCTTGACTTCCGTTAGCAGGTGTGATTTACTACCGTGGTTTATAATCACTATTTACTTGATCACTTGATCACTTTACTTCCCGTTAATCGTCGATTTGCTCAAGTGGGCACCAGTAACGTCTCCATTTGTCCCTGTGGCGTGCTAGTGCAGCCCAATGGCGTCTGTTCGCTCTAGGAACACTATTTACTGTGATACTTAAATCGCCGTAGATTGGGTTAGTGGGGGTCTCTTTGGACTAGCATCTGTCCTTCTGACAGGATCCCTTCCTCAGATTCCTTAACTCTTCCGGGCTGACATCACACTTTCCGTGCTTTGGTTTCAAGAGTGTTTTGTCTTTGTTTGATTTGGTTTTTCGCTTGTTGGGTCACACCCAGCAATGCACAGGGGTTCCTCCTGGCTCTGCACTCCTGGAGGTGCTCGGGGGACCCTATGGGATGCTGGGAATCAAACCTGGGTTGGCTGTGTGCAAGGCATATGCCCCACCTGCTGTACTATTGCTCTCGCCCCTCAAGAGTGTTTTGACTTGACTAAAAGACTTGATATCTTCTGGGGTGGTACATCCCTCCTCCACTTGAGAGTGATTGTCATACATACAGACATACAGAACTTAGTGAATTCAGGTGTGAAAGCAGCCCTTGATGAGATAGCCCATCACAGCATCAGCAGGGTTTCAGGTGTGCCCTATTGTGAACCAGCGTCTGTTAAGTTCGTTCCTCAAAGACCAATTCAATCCAGATTGTGCCTTCCATTCTCAAAGCTTATTTTGATTGTACCCAGCAGGTCCGTTTGCTTGGTTTCTCTCTGTATGACACGAGTGACATCAGATGGAGCTCGTCTTTCCCGGCCTGACTGCTCCAGCAGCCTCATTGGCTCTTGTCTCCGTTAAACTCCTTCCGTGTGATGGGAAAAAAATGACAATTGACGGGGCTGGAGCAATAGCACAGCGGGTAGGGCGTTTGCCTTGCACGCAGCTGACCTGGGTTCGATTCCTAGCATCCCATACGGTCCCCTGAGCACCGCCAGGAGTAACTCCTGAGTGCATGAACCAGGAGTAACTCCTGTGCATCGCTGGGTGTGACCCAAAAAGAAAAAATAATGACAACAGACAGTGACCGATATACAGGGACTCTGGAACATAAGGCCTCGAATGAAAGAGTTCCCCTCTTGGGCCCAGGTCGGTATATGTGGTACAGGTGGAAGGATCCCCTCATTAATAGCAGAGCAGTGCCCTGTTATATTTACATCTCCTTTATCCAGTTCCTTGTTGATGGACGCTGATGTGCTGTTTCCTGCTGGAGTAGTGCAAATAATACCACAACAAAGGGGCTGCAGATAATTCTTCCAACTAGAGCATTCTGATTCTTGAATCGGTGCCCAGATGTTAGCCATCGGTGTCTGCGCCAGTTCTCATTTGAATGTTCTGAACTCCTCCATATACACAGTAGCATCTGAGGATGCAGTTCCCCTTTGGACCACAGCCGTCTGCTTTCTGGAATGATAGCCGTCCTCCAAGGTGGGATGGCTCATGGCTGTCTGGGGTGCTGTCTTCTCGCACCCCCAGCCACAGGACCTACTGATGTCTTGCTCTGTTCCATCTCATTCCTCTACCGGGAGGAAAGTTCTTTCGTTCTTTCCTCATATACGGAAATGGGGCATTCTTACGCTCGGGGGTTCTGCCGCTGTCCCCAAATCCTAGTCCCATGTCTCTCATCCTTCCAGAATCAGAAGCGCAATGTGGGCCAACAACCACCTCATTGCTCTGTTCCACGGGTCCGTGTCCGCTGTGGCTTTCGAGTGGTTCTTTCATGTTCCCAAGATCCGTGTGTTTCATGCCCACTCGACTGGTTCTTTCCTCAAGCTGCACGTCAACTCTGTTGTGACACTGTGGAACTCAGTGCTGGTTTGCAGTTTTCTGGGTTGCTGAACAAATCAGAAAAGGTCTTTAGTGAAAGGCCTCTGTCTGCAGGTGGCAGAAACTATACAGATAATAAATGCATCCATGTCAGCCAATTATAACCCCCCAATAAGAAATGAATCTTTGGGGGTCCCGAGCAATAGTATAGCGGGTAGGACACGTGCTTGCATGACCCCGTTTGATTCCGGCGTCCCACCAGCACCACCAGGAGTGGTCCCTGAGCACAGTTAGGAGTGAGCACATTGCAGATGTGGCCTGAAAACAGAAACTAAAAAAGTGAATTTTTGTATGTGACTTGACATTGTCAGAGGTGTGGGCTTTTGCTGACCAACACTTGGAAAAAAAATACATGTATATTATATATTAAACTAGTTAAAATGGTAGAATTTTTAACAGCACATCCATAGGCATTAAGGCATTAAGCATTAGCCATCTGAGAACTTTGGATAAACACCTGCCATAGAGCTAAAACTCTGAATTTAGTCAAGATATTTTTAGTGGGCTGGGGCTATAGCACAGCAGGTAGGGCGTTTGCCTTACACTCAGTCAACCCAGCTGACCCGGGTTCGATTCCTCCGCCCCTCTCGGAGGGCCCAGCAAGCTACCAAGAGTATCTCGCCCGCACGGCAGAGCCTGGCAAGCTCCCCGTGACATATTCGATATGCCAAACACAGTAACAGCAAGTCTCACAATGGAATTGTTACTGGGCCCGCTTGAGCAAATCGATGAATAACTGGAGGACAGTGCTACAGGGTTAAATTCTTACCAGCTAAAGTAGATGTGTGCCTGTATTTGCCTGTCCACAGCATTCAAAGATTTTTAGTCAATTCAATTAGAAAATTTTTGATTAAAAGAAAATGCAAAATGATTTGAAACATTTTTTCGAAACTTAAAAAAATTAAAAATAGCCACAAACAGTCCCTGAGCACTTCTGCGTGTGGACCCAAAACCTCCCAAAAAAAACAAAGAAGTGTGGCAAAAACAACCAACACAACAAAAAATGTAGTCATCTTGCTATATGGTGTTCGGGGTATTTTGGTAACTTTGGTATTTTTCTGGGGACTCACACCTGGCGGTGCTCAGGGCTGACTCCTGGCTCTGCACTCAGGGATCACTCCTGGTGGTGCTCAGGAGATTGAATGGGATGCCAGGGATCAAACCGGAGGTAGGCAAGTCTCCTACCCACTGAACTATCTCTCCTGCCTCAATCTCTTGATATCTTGATGACTTCATATTACAAGGCTAGGTAAAAGGTAAAGGTAAAGGCCCTCCCGTTGATCGTCGATTTGCTCGAGCGGGCCCAGTAACGTCTCCATTGGAGACTTTGTTGTTACTGTGTCTGGCATATCGAATACTCTCGGTAGCTTGCCGGGCTCTCCGAGAGGGGCGGAGGAATCGAACTCGGGTCGGCCATGTTGGCCGCTTGTAAGGCGAACGCCCTACCACTGTGCTATCGCTCCAGCCCAGGAGCTAATTAGACTAATTAAAGGCTAATTAGACTTTAAGATCCTATTGTTTTAGACCTTGGTTAAACCCAACGACCAAAACACGCTCCTAACTAGAACGTTCCCGTGCAGTCAGTATAAGCCCTGACTCTGGCTCTGACATGAGCTAAGCCAGAGTCTCAGGCAGAAAGTGTCAGTGGTCAGAGGGCGCCGAGTGTTGGTCACCACCAGAGGTCGGAATCTCATTCGCGGGAACTGCCGTAAGCCCGTGCTGTGGCTCTGGAAGCGGGCGTGTGTTACTGAGAACTCTTCGACCGCGAACATCATGTCATGGAGAAACCGTCATGGGGTCAGAACAGTGAACATCATTATGACACTGGAGGGGCCGCAGACATTCGTAAACACGAACCTGCATCCAGCTGAAAGCCGGCATCAGCAGCCTGGGGTCCAGGTGGTCACGGTGGAAAAACACGGCATCGTCTGTGAGCACAGCTAGAGTATGGGCACAGAGAAGTATTTAACTCGGGCTTCAGAGTGCCCGCCGAGCTGACACAGGGCAGTTGGATCAAATGTAGCCGTAATAAAAGAGCCCCTTTGGACACTCTTCGGCCTTGCTTTTGGCCCCAAGTGGCCTTCTGGATCTCGCTAAGACACTAATTTCCATGAAAATCTACCAAGGCGGCCAGAGGAAGGACATCATTTGTTATGTTTCCTTTGGGTCCCTTTCCGTGGTTTCAGATTCTGGCTCGCCCAGCTCATTACGGTGTTAATTTATTGGCCTGATTTTGTATTTTTGAGCCAACGTGGTCCTGACTTGACTTCTGTCTCCTGGGGTACCCGCAGTTCACGGAGGCTGGAGCCCGTGGCAGCCGTGGGGCACGTGCAGCCAGACCTGTGGCAAAGGGGCCCAGACTCGAACGAGAGCGTGCAGTAGCCCTCCCCCATCCGCTGGGGGGTCCTACTGCGACGGCGCGGGGCTCCAGACACAGAGCTGCAATGAGAGACACTGCCCAGGTAAGGGGAGCTCCGGATTCACTGGGTCTTTCGACCGCCACGGAGCACCAATGGCAGAGGACTGGAGAAATAAGACGACCGGGCATAAAGTGCTTGCCTTGTTCGCGCAGACCCCGGTTCAACCCCGGCACTGCACAGGGTCTCCTGAGAACCACCAGGACTGATCCCTGAAGGCAGAGCCAGGAGTAAGCCACCCCTTCCTCAGAGGTGGCAGGTCTGGCTAGCCGCAGTGGCCATGGTCGTTTCTGTAGCTTGTCCTGGACTGCGGTCCTAGGTGTGGCCTTTGACTTACGTGGACAGGACAGGGTCCTTCACTGGCTCTCCAGTTCTGGGCGTGGGGGGGTGATCCTTTCCCAGAGGAGGGGCCGGTCTAGCCGTCCACAGTGGCCACGGTCGTTTTTGTAGCTTGTCCTGGACCGTGGTCCTGGCTGTGGCCTTTGACTTACAGTGACAGGGGTTGGGCCCTTCACTGGCCCTGCACAGGATCAGCCACAGCCCCAAGGGCCAGTTTCGGGTATGGGTGGTCCCTTTCCCAGAGCACCACTGGGTGTGACAACCCCTTCCTCACCCCTCGGCCAAACCGAAACCCACCGAGAAAAAAGGATTGCTGTCCATATTCCCACCCTCACGTCCCAGTTCCTCTGGTCCCAGGGAGTCAGAACCCCGCATGTGTTTGTCCTCCATCCAGTTCACGGCAGCTGGACCAGCTGGGGCCCCTGGGGTGCCTGCTCTGTGTCCTGCGGCGGGGGCGCCAGACAGCGGACCCGGGACTGCTCCGATCCTGCACCCCAGCACGGAGGAAGCACCTGCGCAGGGAGTGATGCCCAGAGCGACTTCTGCGGCACCGACCCGTGTCCAGGTGAGTGTGAGGCAGCGAGTGGGCGGGAGCCCGGAGAGGGTCTCACTGTGGACAGAGGCCCTCAAAGTCGCTTTGCTCTGGCCAAGCACATCGAGATGCTGCATGGCCTCGGTGGTTTCTGTGTTTCTGTGGCCTCTGACTTAAGTGGGCAGGGGTTGGACTCTTCATTGGTCCTGCACAAGACTGGCCACAGCCCCAAGGGCTAGTTCCAGGTGTGGGTGACCCTTTCCCAGAGGAGGGGGAAGGTCTGGCCGTCCACCGTGGCCCCCGCCGTTTCTGTAGCTTGTCCTGGACTGTGGTCCCGGGCGTGGCCTCTGTCCCGCGTGGACAAGGTGGGGCCCTTTGCCCTGCCCGGGGCCAGTTCCGGGCGTGGGTGACCCCTTCCACAGAGGAGGGGGCAGCTCTCGGTAGTCCTGGGCGCGGCTGGTCCCGGGCGTGACCTCTGTCCTGTGTGGACAGGGCCGGGCGCCCTGGTCCCGGGCGCGGGTGGGGTCTGTCCGTCCCGGGGTGTCTGTCCCCGCTCTATCTCCCGCTCGTCCCGCTGACCGTCGCTCCCGCCGCAGTGCCCGGCCACTGGGGCCCCTGGAGCAGCTGGGGCCTGTGCAGCCGCACGTGCGGCGGGGGCCAGGCGCGCCGGTACCGCGCGTGCGACAGCCCCAGGCCCGCGCTCGGCGGCGCCGCCTGCCCCGGACCCGACGCCCAGACGCGGCGCTGCGGAGACGACGCCTGCCCGGGTGAGCCAAGCGCGCGCGCGGGGCAGGGAGGCCGCGCCCGCCTGGTCCCGCGAGAGCCCCTGACGCCTGTCCCCCGCCCTCCCCCCTGGCGCAGTGCACGGCGGCTGGGCCGGCTGGCAGGGCTGGAGCCGCTGCTCAGCGACCTGCGGCGGCAGCGGCGAGAGGACCCGGCGGCGCCTCTGCGACAGCCCCGCGCCCTCCCGGGGCGGCCGCCCCTGCGCCGGCGACGCCACGCAGATCTCCAGGTGCGGCGCGCAGCCCTGCCCAGGTGAGCACTGAGCGGTGAGCAGCCCCGCCCGGGGGAGCACTGAGCAGACTGTCTGCCCGGGTGAGCAGAGTTGTCCAGGTAGAGGTACCTGTCCAGGTGAGCAGAACTGCCCAGGTGAGCACTGAGCGGTGAGCAGCCCTGCCCGGGTGAGCAGAGCTGCCCAGGTGCGACCCCCAGCCCCGCCCAGGTGAGCACTGAGCAATGAGCAGAGCTGCCCAGGTGAGCAGAACTGAACAGGTGGACATACCTGCCCAAGGGAGCAGTGAGCAGCCCTGCCCAGGTGAGCACTGAGCAGTGAGCAGCCCCGCTCGGGGGAGCACTGAGCAGACTCTCCGGGTGAGCAGAGTTATCCAGGTAGAGGTACCTGTCCAGGTGAGCAGAACTGCACAGGTGAGCACTGAGTGGTGAACAGTCCTGCCTGGGGGGAGCAGAGCTGCCCAGGTGGGACCCCCAGCCCCGCCCTGGTGAGCACTGAGCAATGAGCAGAACTGCCCAGGTGAGCAGAACTGCCCAGGTGGGGCCTGCAGACCTGACTAGGTGAGCACTGAGCAGTGAGCAGAGTTGCCCAGGTGAGCAGAACTGCCCAGGTGGACGTACCTGTCCAGGTGAGCAGTGAGCAGACCTGCTTGGGTGAGCAGAGCTGCCCGTGTGAGCAGAGTTGTCCAGGTGGACATACTTGCCCAGGTGAGCAGACTGCCCAGGTGAGCAGAACTGCCCAGGTAAGCACTGAGCAGTGAGCAGCCCTGCCCAGGTGAGCACTGAGCAGAGAGCAGAGCTGCCCGGGTGAGCACTGAGCAGAGAGCAGAGCTGCCCGGGTGAGCAGTGTTGTTCAGGTGGACGTATCTGCCCTGGTCAGCAGAACTGCACGGGTGAATAGTGAGCAGAGCTGCCCGGGCGAGCAGAGGTGTCCAAGTGGATATACCTGCCCAGGTGAGCAGGGCTGCCCAGGTGGGAGCTGCCCAGGTGGGGCACTCAGACTTGTCCAGATGATCAGACCTGACCAGGTGAGCGGCTGCTGGCTCTGGGCCCCTCCTGTCCCCTCAATGCACCTGCTCCGAGAGTCTCCCTCCAGCACAGAACCGGGAGCCACACCTGAGCCCCGCGGGTAGGACCCCACGCAGGCCGGGTTGGTGGGCTGAGCGCAGGCCTTGCGTGTCAGAGGCCGCAGGTGTGAACCCCGGCACCACACGGTCCCTCGGGCACTGCCAGGAGCAGCCGTTGGGCAGAGCTGGACAGGCGACCCCCCCCCAAAAAATAGGATGAACGCCTAGGTGTCACTCTGGGTCACAAGGTGTCAGATGCACGGAGTCTGGGAGGGGGGCTTAGTTGCGCTGGTCAGTTGCAGGTCACCCCCCCCCCCCAGGCTCTTGAAGGCCCAGAGCGGGGAGGGCGCTGGGCACTCGGCTGGGGCGTCCAGGCCGAGGAACAGAAGCCATGCAGCTCTCTCCAATGGACGCTGCCCGCTTCGAGGTGCAAATGGCACAAACATACGAGTGGACGGTGCCCTGGTGACCAGTCTCAGGCCAGGGGAGGTTGAATCACGGCTTCTTGGGGCCCGGACGGATGCTACACAGCATGAGAGAGTTCTAGAAGTCCTGAAGTTGTGTATGTGCTTCACTTCAGCACTGCGGTTTACAAAGTTGTTAATAATTCAGGTGTTTCAGCCCCAGTCCCATGACCAAGTGACCCTCCCTCCACCATGGCCCCCATTTTTTCCTCTTTGGGTCCCACCCAGCGATGCTCAGGGTTGACTCCCGGCTCCGCACTCAGGGATCACTCCTGGCGGAGCTCGGGGGACCCTGTGGTATGCCGGGAATCGAACCCAAGTCAGCAGCGTGCCAGGCCAACGTCCTCCCCGCTGTGCTGTCACTCCAGCGATAATTTGCTTTCTATAGATCGCTATCACCGAAGGGCTAGAGTTATTAGAGGTAGTTCGGTAAGAGAAAATTTGCGAAAATTTGTGAAAACCTTATCTCGCCGCACGGTTGGTTGCTAAGTCCTCGCTTGAGGGTTTGTACTGAGCTCTCGGCTGCTGGATGAGCCTCCCGTGTTGCTGTGGTGTTCGTTGAGCTCAGTCGGCTTCCCTGTTACTCTCCCGTCTGGTTTGGTGCGCGCCTGCTGGAATCTGGTGGTGTCACGTGGCCACATACCTGGCCACGCAATCCACGAACTTCAGGGTCTGTAGAACTGGGGCGCGCGCAGGGACTCCCAGTGAGGCTGTGGGTTGGGTCTCCGATGGGGGTGCATCCGTGGGGGGTTGCGGGGGTTCGAGCAGGGCGGGGACTCAGCCCGCCCCTTCCCGGAGGCGCCCGGAGTTTTCAGCCGAGAGACCCGCGTGTCCGTGAACTTCAGCGTGTGTCTCCTCCAAGATTCAGTTCGTGAGTCTGGGGAGCTGGGCTGGAGGGGGCGCGTCGGCCTGGTGGCAGCTCCATGTCTGGAGACGTCTAGGTTCTTCTAGAACTTCGGCAGTTTCCAGAGACTTCTAGAATTCTCAAATCTCCTGACTCGTGCCGCAGGCCGGGGGCCCCCCCGGAGGTGACGGCTTGCTTTGAGGAGTCAGAGACCCGGCCCCCCTCGTTCAGATGATGAGGCACCTGGTGGGCTTTCGAAGTTCCGTAGAGATAGAACGTCCCAAGAAAAGTCAGTTGCCGTGTGGGCGAGGAGGAGGCGGTGTCTCAGAGAGATCTGTGGGGTCCGAGAGCAGCCCACTGGCGAGCGTTTTGGCCGGACGGGCGGCGCCCCCAGCCCCCACCCACCGTGATGGCAAGTTGCAGGCGGGGCTGAGCCCCTCTGGGCTGACGACGGCCCCATCTGCTATGCCTCCCCGGCAGGAGAGTCCCGGGAGGCCTCCGAGAGCGAGTGTCAGGGGTCCGGGAACCAGAGAAGGCACCTTCCGAGCCCCGAGATGCACCTTCGTGCCCACGGGAGACCCGGGTCCCGGCCTGAGCTGCGCTGCCATGCACTCCTCCAGGGCTGGACAGGCCCAGAGTGGCTGCTCAGGCCTCCAGCAGGTCCTGGCTAAGGAGACGGAGGACCAAGGGCCGCCCGGCTGCACCTCTGGGCCTCCGCATCCTTCCCTCCGCAGCCCTCCTCCCGCGGTTGCAACGCTCGGCCTCTCAGTCCCTGCCTGCCTGTCTGTCCTTCCCACCCATCCCTCTGTCCGAGAAGCAGCTGCTCCCGCCCAGATGCCCACCGGTCATTGCTTGGTGCTGCTAAGCTTGCACTGGCCCGTGGGAAGAAGTCGTGCCGTTCCTGCCGTTATTAGAGGCCCTTTAAGGCATGCCACGCCTGGTGGTGCTCGCGGCTGACACCCTGCTCCAGGCTCGGGGCTGACTCCCAGCTCTGTGCTTGGGGCTGACGCCCGGCTCTGTGCTTGGGGCTGACTCCCTGCTCTGTGCTCACTCCCAGCTCTGTGTTCAGAGATGACTCCCGGCTCAGTGCTCAGGGCTCACTCCTGGCAGGCTTGAGGGACGGTGCGAGGTGCTGGGGTCGGCTGCATGCAAGGCAAGTGCCCTGCCTGCTGTCCTGGTTCTCTGGCCCCAAGTCCGTCGTTTTTGAGCCTGGCTGTCTGGTCTGAAACTCACAGCCGTTTCCCAAGGGCACCTTCTCCCTGTGTCCTTGGTGCCCATAACTCGGCACACCCTGCACAGCACCCTTGGGGTTAACCGGCTCCCGAGGTGGGCCCAGGGGTCACGTGCCCCTCCCTCATCCCACCTCCCCTCCATCGTGACGACAACCTTCTAGAACCGGCTGCAGACTGAGGCTGTGGGGGTCCCTGCAGGCTGGTTGGGGGGACAGTGAGCCAGCACTGAAGTCCGTGAACTCGCCGTGACCGTCCCCAGAACAAACACGCGCTTCCCTGCCCCCCCCCAGGGCTGTGTTCTTTGGGCCGGGCAATAAAACACTGGTGTGTGTTCGTTGGCAGGACCCTCGGTTGATGGGGGGGTTTGATTGAGCCGGGGGCTCCCCGCGTGTTCTGGAAACCTCTTCAGTCCCGCTGTCAGGCGAGGCGCTGAAACGCTTGGGGAGATTCACGGCGCCTCTCGGCCGCTGCCCAGGATGTTTCTTTTTCTCTTCCCCCCTCCCAGGTGGGCCCCAGCACGCCCGCGGGAGTGTTATTGGAAACATTAACGATGTGGAGTTTGGACTCGCTTTCCTCAACGCCACGATCACGGACAGCCCGACCTCTAACGCCAGACTGGTGCACGCCAGGATCTCCAACGTGCCCCGAAGCATCGGCGAGTGCCGCTAATAAATCCTTTCTTCTGTTTTTCACTGGGGGATGGGAGGGGGGTCTGCCACTAGCCACTGTTGGCCAGCCAGCTCCACAGATCGTGCCAGGGTCCGAGGGTGTGGTGCTGCTTTGATCTGGAGGTGCCAAGGTTTGCCTGGCCCCCGCTGTGCTGGGGGGCCTCCACGGCCGCACCAGGTATTGCTCAGGGGTCCCACGGAGGCAGGGATTGAATTCAGCGCTGCAGTCTAGCGCCCCTTACTAAGCCGCGTATACTAAACACAGACGTTGTTCTTTACCTGATTTCCTCAGGAAACTTCTAGAAGCTGCCGCTTCTAAATGACTAGCTCTAAAGGTCCTTTGTTTGATTTCGAACCTGGGCTCTGGCCTTTATTTTATGGTGATTCACCGTTGTTTGGAAGCCGCCGTCCCATCGGGCATTCACTGCTGGTTTTGTTACTTAATCACGATGATTTTTATTTTGGGCTGGAGCAATAGCACAGCTGTAGGGCGTTTGCCTTGCACGCAGCCATCACGGCCGACCCGAGTTTGATTCCTCCGCCCCTCTCGGAGAGCCCGGCAAGCTACCGAGAGCATCTCGCCCACACGGCAGAGCCTGGCAAGCTCCCCGTGACGTATTCGATATGCCAAAACAGTAACAAGTCTCACCGTGGAGACGTTACTGGGCCCACTCGAGAAAATCGATGAACAACGGGAAGACAGTGACAGATTTTTATTTCATTCATTTTTTTTTTTTGCTTCTGCTTAGGCCCGGCCATGAGAAAGATCGTCTCCATCCTAAACCCCATTTATTGGACCACCGCGAAGGAAATCGGGGAGGCCGTGAACGGCTTCACCCTCACCAACGCCGTCTTCAAGCGGGAGACCCAGGTCGAGTTTGCCACAGGTCAGAGAGGCCGAGTGCCGTGTCGTCGGCTTCTAGACGGGCGCCCGGGAGTGGGTGGCAGTCAGAGAGCAGGCTGCCCCCCCCCGGGAATATTCGCGGGTTTGATCCCAGCGTGGTGCCCGGTGGGGAGACCGCAGGCGCGGCTCGTGGGAGGCTCAGATTGGCTCCCCGCACCACAACGGCACCAGGAGCGAGTGCCAAGAACCAAGCAGGGAGTATCCACCCAAGTCCCCAAAACCAGTGACTAAGTCTGCTCTGCAGAACTCGGATCTGACAAGGGTCCCGGGCAGGGCGTCTCTCCAGATAATTCAGACACTCTCAGGCCCCCACGGTTTCTCTTCCCTTCTTTGTCATCGTTTCTCTGTAAACCCTCAGGTGGGGTTTTAAAGGCCCCCCGCTAGAGGGGCTGGAGCAATAGCACAGCGGGGAGGGCGTTGGCCTGGCACGTGGCCGACCCAGGTTCGATCCCCAGCATCCCCTAGGGTCCCCCGAGCACCACCAGGAGTGATTCCTGAGTGCATGAGCCAGGAGTAACTCCTGTGCATCGCTGGGTGTGACAAAAAAAAAAATTAAAGCAAATAAAATAAAGTCCCCGCTAGAGCAGAAAGGGGCGTCCTGGCTGCCGCTGGAAGGCTCTGCTCTGGGGTTGAGGGAACCCGCTCACTGCTGTCACTAAACCCGCAAAGTGATGGCCATAGCCTTGCATACGGCCGACCCGGGTTCGATCCCCGGCATCCCCTAGGGTCCCCCAAGCACCACCAGGAGTGATCCCTGAGTGCAGAGCTGGGAGTCAGCCCTGAGCATCGCCGGGTGTGGCCCCAAAAGAAAAAATAATCATAATAAGGCCATGGCCTTGTTCGTTCTCTGTCCCCGTGGTGAGGCGCTGAGCTGTCTCCAAGTGGGGAGGGACTTTGGGAACCCCTAACCTACCTCACTTCACTCACTTAGCACCTACCCCTCTCCTGAACCCCTCAACCACACCCCTGACCCCAGAACCCTAACCGGAAATCCTGGACCCTGGCCCTGAGCCCAAACCCTGACTGTAACCCCAGCCTTGGCCGTGGCCCCAATCCTGACCCTAAACCCTGTCTGTGACCTTGACCTCAGGGTCCCTGATCTTGACCCCAGAAAGGCTGACCGGTTAGTCCGACCATGACCCCCACTGTCCAGATGCCCTTGGGCGTCCCAGGGCTCTTGGGGCCCCTGGGGCGTCCTGGGGCCCCTGGGTACTCCCATGGGGGTGCTCACGGGTGGAGCCCGTCCCACACGACCCTCCCCATTTACCCCCGGAGGAACTCTGGGCGCCAGCCGCTCCCTGGCTGCTCTGACCAGCCCTGTGCCCACCTGCCTCCAGGAGAGATCCTGCGGATGACGCACACGGCCCGCGGCCTGGACTCGGACGGCGCCCTGCTCCTGGACGTCGTGCTCAGTGGCCGCATCCTGCAGCTCCCGGGCCCGGCCCCCGTCACCTTAAAGGTGAGGCCAGCCCAGAGCGTCCGCGGGCCAGCGCCCCCCCCACCACGCACCCCAAGAACAAGCCCTGCGGGGAGCCAAGGGCAGAGTCGCTGCCATGGGAAGGGAGGGGCCGGAGCGACAGCACAGCGGGGAGGACGCTGGCTTGGCACGCGGCGACCCGGGTTCGATTCCCAGCATCCCCTAGGGTCCCCCGAGCACCGCCAGGAGTGATCCCTGAGTGCAGAGCCGGGAGTCAGCCCTGAGCATCGCCGGGTGGGACCAAAAATGCCAAGAAAAAAAAAAGAGGTCAGGCAGCCCTCCCGGGTTCAATCCTCAGCACCCCATAGGGTCCCCCGACCCTCCTCCAAAACGACCTTTGGGCCCACGTGGACCTTTGCTGTTTCCCGTGGGGTCTCTGCTGAGGATCGGGACTGACAGGTCTCGGGACTGGCGTTCCGTCTCTCACCTTGGCGCTTCCTGCCCTTGACTTCAGAAGGTGCATTTCCAGGGCTCATTTGGGTCTTTTGGCGTTTGGGGGTTTTGAGGGGGGCGGGGGGGTTGTTTACCTGGCGGGAGCGAGAGCCCAGCGGGGAGGGCGTTTGCCTTGCACGCGGCCGACCCGGTCGGCCCAGGTTCGATTCCTCCACCCCTCTCGGAGAGCCCGAGAGTATCCCGCCCGCGTGGCAGAGCCTGGCAAGCTCCCCGTGGCGTCTTCGAGATGCCAAACACAGTCACAAGTCTCATGATGGAGACGTTACTAGGCCTGCTCGAGCAAATCGATGAACACCGGGAGGACAGTGCTACAGTTTTCCTGGCAAAGAGGCAGTGGGCCAGACGGGTCAGTCGTGTCTGTTTTTCCACAGAGATAACAGTGACTGTGTGTCTCTCTGTGCCCAGGAACTGGGGTTCAGGGCTGGGGCCGGCAGGCACTGAGCCAGGTCTGGCCCCCAGCCCCACACAGGGCCACGCTCCCTGTCCTTGGGGGCCTGTCCACCCCCTGGGCCCAGCCACGGTAGCCGCTGGGACCCCTCCAAAAAATGTATTACTTTTGCATCACCCCTGGAAGTGCTCGGGGCTTACTTCAGCCTCTGCAGTCAGCGATTGCCCCTGGCAGGACTTGCCCCCCTTGGGGCCGGAGACAGGGGGCCGAGGGGGAGCGTGCAGCCGGCCCAGAAGTGGCCCTCGAGCCCTGAGCAAGGAGCATCCCCAAAGAGCCCCCACGCAGAAACCAGCGTGGGGCCGGCACCGTTTCCCTGTCTCTCTGGGCCGACACTGTGGGCTCCCTCCTGAGCTGGGGGTCCACTGAGCCCCGTGGTGGCGTTGGGTCCTAAGGCTGAGCCCGCTGGCCCAGGCCTGAGCTGTGCATGGGTGTGTCTGCTCTGCGCCCGACTTTGAGCCCACAAGTGGACACGCGCACCCACTGCCTGCCCGCAGGACTACAGCGAGGACTACGTCCAGACGGGCCCCGGCCAGCTGTGGGCGCGCTCCACGCGGCTGTTCTCCGAGGGCGGCGTGCGCGTCCCCTACACCTGGAACCACACGGTGCTCTACGACCCGGCCCGCGGCCGCATGCCCTTCCTGGTGGAGACGCTGCAGGCCTCCGCCCTGGAGGCCGACTACAACCCCCTGGACGAGAGCCTGGCCTTCCGGGTCCACGCGGCCATCTCCAAAGGTAACTGGGGCCGTAGTGACAGCACAGCGGGGAGGGCACTGGACTGGCACATGGCCGACCAGGGTTTGATCGCCAGCATCCCCTAGGGTCCCCCAAGCACCGCCAGGGGTGATTCCCAAGTGCAGAGCCAGGAGGAACCCCTGAGCATTGCCGGGTAGAATCCAAAGAGCAAAAAAAAGACCCCAAAACCCAAAGGTAGTTTGGGTCGCAGGCGCCCTGCGCCATCCGACCCATTCGGGAGCCAAGGCCACACGCCATCCCCCCTACCCCCCCACTAGCTTCCTGCCTGAGGCACGGCGGCATCGGTCCTGTCTGCGGGTCACTGTGGCATCTCCCAGACACACCAGGAGTCGGACAGACGCTGTCAGACCGTTTCTCTTGGGGCCGCCAAGTCCATTCGCTCTCGGGGGTCTCTCGCGCTCGGGGTATCGGGGTTCCTGAGCAGGCTGTGCAGGTGTGCCCTGAGCTAAGCTACCTGCCCCTTCCTTGACCCCCCAGGGAAAGTCTCTACGGGTCAAAAACGCTTTGGTTGGGGGAGTCCCACCCGGCGATGCCCAGGGCTGACTCCCGGCTCTGTACTCAGGGGTCACTCCTGGCGGTGCTTGGAGGACCCTAGGGGATGCTGGGGATCGAACCCGGGTCGGCCTCACGCAAGGCAAGTACCCTACCCACTGTGCTATCTCTCTGGCCCCCAAAGCCATTAAAAAAATGATATTTTCAAGGGACACAATGTAATTCTCCTATTATACTGATAATATATTGAAATATGTGATCACAACATTTTATTACTACAATATATTAATAACTCATAATATCACTTTTTTTTTTTTTGCTTTTTTGGGTCACACCCAGCGATGCTTAGGGCTGACTCCTGGCTCTGCACTCAGGGGTCACTCCTGGAGGTGCTCCCTCCCTCCCTCCCTCCCTCCCTCCCTCCCTCCCTCCCCTCCCTCCCTCCCCTCCCTCCCTCTCCTCCCATCCCCGCCTCAGTCCTTCACGTGGCCTGTGTTCCTCAAACCCTGTCAGCAGCTGCGTGAGGGGAGGACCCCCATCCTTGCATCCCCAGGGGCAGTCGGGGCCGGGCCCCACCCCTGTCGCCCTGGGTTCCTTCCCAGCCAGACCCAACGGTGAGACTGTGTCACAGTTGACTCGCGGTCCCTGAAGGTCACGCAAGCTGAGACTTTGGTTCCTGGAGAGGTTAGGGCGTCCGGGACCCGAGAGTGGGAATAGCCCTTGCAGGACCGTTCACGTGTTCTCCCTGGCACGGAAATCCTCTTCGGCCAGCACCTCTCAGGGCGGGTGGTGAGGGCCAAGCTGGGGATCGTGTCCATGCAGGGAAGCCCAGCGGGGCCGCTGGACCCTCTTGCGGCCCTCAGCTAGCCACCAGGGCTCTGGACCTGTGGTTTGCACGACTGGCCAGCAGGGGGCAGGCTTGCACCCTCGGCTTCCGCTGCGTCTTCTCCTGTTACCCTTGGGTCTGGGCGGCAACTGGTTCGGTCCAGGTGCGATTCTTCGGGCTCCGAACATGGGAAGCCGTGTTTACGCGGCCGCCTTATCCCGACATCCCAGAGCCCGAGGAAACGCCACTGCTGTCTGGAAGCCATCCAGAATGCGTTCCTGAGCGTCCCCAGGGGAGCCCCGGGTCCCCACAGCGGCCACAGAAGCCCGGGCTGCGTCGGAAGTTTGAAAGTTGAAGTTTGTCGATGGAATAAAACACACACACACACACACACACACACACACACACACACACACACACACTCAGAGACCTACTTGGCCAAAAATATTTGGAAAGTTTCTTTCCTGAGCTGCATCCACCAACCAGTGAGGACGGAGTCGCTCGCCCGGCAGGCTCCTGGCCTCCTCTGCTTGTCCCCGGAGTTCTGTGACCTCCAGCCTCAGAGTTTCATGGAGTCGTGCCGCCCGGGGTCCCTCAGCATCAGGGCTGGCACCCACCCCCGACCATGGCCATGAGCCCCGTTCTGGGGGCCCCGCCAAGGTGCCAGGACCCACCAGGAGGAACTCGAGCACGAGTCCGAGAAGAGAGGCTCACAGGGACAGTGAAGAATCGAGTCCAGGGACAGCCATGGGGAGCAGGAGTGCCGGCACCCTGGGGCGCTCCTGGGGCAGGTGGGGTGGGGTCGCCGTGGCTGTGGTGGCTGGGGGCCTCGTTTGCAGAGTCTCAGACCTGTGGGGGGCAGCCCCAGCTCCCTGTCCTGGCTTTGTGGGGTGTTGCCCAGCTAGAAGACACCAAGTGTCCCACAAGCACCTTCCTGCCCGGACGGGCGCCCTGGGGCTCGGGGACCCGGCGCCTCCCGCGGTGACACCAGGCAGTGGGGGACCCTCGCTCAGCCTCGTCCCCGGGGCCACGGAGCTGGCATCTCTTGCCCTCCCGAGAGCCCCTCCTGGCCCCCGCCCTCCGTCCTGGGCAGCAGGGCCAGCCCCTCTGCTCTCTCACCCACACCCACACGCCCACCCCGTCTCTGCTTGGCGTCCGGGAAGGCTTGTCCCGGCAGAGACCCCAGACCTGACACCCCTCCCCGTGGCCCTTTTTTCTCTCCCGCAGGAGAGCGCAGTAACCAGTGTCCAGCTGGATTCACCCTGGACTCCGTCGGACCCTTCTGCACCGGTGAGTAGGGGAGTGCAGGGCCGGGGCAGTGTCCGAGCCTCCCTGAGGGCCAGGAGATTGACAGTGCCCACCCAGTGGCCCCCGGGCGGCAGTACTGGCTGACCACGGGGCTCCCTGGACGGAGGGCCCAACCGCACGCCTGCTCGCTTGCAGACGAGGACGAGTGTGCGGCCGGCACACCCTGCTCGCACGTCTGCCACAACGCCATGGGCACCTATTCCTGCTCCTGCCCGCCCGGGCTGGCCATCGCTGCCGACGGCAGGACCTGCTCAGGTAGCGCCCACCCGGGGGACCCCAGGGACCCCTCATTCTGCCTGTAGCCGGGGGAAGGAGGGCCGCGAGGGGTCTCAGTGGCCGGGCTGCCCTCTGTGGGGTCCCCAGCCCTGGCCGCCGGCTCTCTGCAGACATCGACGAGTGTGCGCTGGACGGCCACAGCTGCCCCCCGACCCAGGCCTGCGACAACACCATCGGCTCCTACCGCTGCGTCCTGCGCTGTGGCCCCGGGTTCCGGAGGACCCCGGACGGGCTCAGCTGCCAGGGTAGGTGCGGCCGGCCCGGTGCTGGCCCCACCCTGCCCTCCACTACCAGGGGGGCTTCCCCTGAGGACCCCGAGTCTCTGCCTGGCATGAGACTCCCCCGTGCGCACCCCAGAGAGGCAGGTGTTGTGTGTGTCCCCACCCCCAGCCCCATCGATCACCGCCCAGAGGCAGCTCGGCCACACTAGGGCTCACCCTGGGGGCAGGGAAGTGGCTGGGGGGCCCCAGAGCACTTTCTATGCTGGAGCCCTGGGTTGGAGCACTGTGGCTGTGACCCAGACAGGACACACGTGTTCCTTGGGGCTCCCCTGGGCACTATGAGGTCTGTCTGTGGCTCTTGGCTGGTGAGCAGAGGCGCAGACCCACCATTCATGGGGTGAAGCCCAGAAGGCTCCCACCTGCCCTGGCTTCTTCCAGAACCACAGAGGCTGGGAGTGTTCCCTGCCCTTCCCTGAATGGTATTCCAGTGTCCAGCTGGGCCACTTACTGATCCGGCCACCCACGGCGTTCTGGCCTAAAACCCACATTTTGGCAGTTAGAAACTGCCCACGGGGCATCTGACAGAGGCAGAACCTCCGGCTTTAAAGCTGACTGGCCATAGGGGCCGGAGTGGCCAACCCGGGTTCGATCCCCGGCATCCCCTAGGGTTCCCCGGGCCCCGCCAGGAGTGATCCCTGAGTGCAGAGCCAGGAGTCAGCCCTGAGCATCGCTGGGTGGGACCCCCCCCCTAAAAAAACAAAGCAGAAGATAATAACGTAGTCTGGGAGGGGCCCATCCTGGTGCCCTCACTAGCCTCTCTGTCCGACAGATGCCAACGAGTGCCAGGAGTCCAGCCCCTGCCAGCAGCGCTGCTTCAACACCGTCGGGAGCTTCCAGTGTGCCTGTGACCCCGGCTACCAGCTTCGGGGCAGGAAGTGCCTGGGTAAGGGGGACACCACCCCCTCCCGTTCCCTCCGCCTGTCTCCTCCTTGGTTGCGTTTTTGGTGGGGTTGGGGGTCCCCAGGGCTCACGCCTGGCCCCGTGTGCAGGGACCGCTCCCGGGGGGGCATCTGGGGTGCCGGGGACCAGGCCCAGGCCAGACGTGTACAGCCCCTCGCTGGCTCCACTGTCGGTCTGGCCCAGTTCTTTTTCCAAGTAAAGCGGAAGTCACTTCAGACTAGCCTTGGTCTGGAAGGGTGGGGCTGGGTGTGACTCGCCATGGAGTGCTCACCTGGCATGTGCAAGGCCCTGGGTTCGAGCCCTGGCACTGCTTAGAAAAATTTTCAAAGAACAGGAAGGGAGGAAGGGAGGAGTAGGTCCCGTCTGCAGGGTCGGGAGGGCCCATCTCCCACCGGGGGTGACTCTCGGCCTCCCGCAGACGTGAACGAGTGTCGGCAGAGCGTGTGCCGGCCTGACCAGCACTGCAGGAACACGCGTGGCGGCTACAAGTGCATCGACCTCTGCCCCAGCGGCATGACCAAGGCCCAGAACGGCAGCTGCGTGGGTGAGTGGCCCCGGGCCCACGGCTCACCTGCCCCTGCACTGCCCTGGGCGGGGCTGAGCTGAGGGAACAGCGAGACATCCATCCGTCCTGGCCCCATCTGCAGAGCCCGTGGTGGTCGCGGGAACCAGACTTGCTGGGGCCGGAAGGGGCGGCAGGAAAGGTACTTGCTTGGCCAGCAGTGGCCCTGGTGCAGTCCCCAGCTCCACACACGGTCTCTGGCGCACCCATGTTCAAAATAAATTTTAAAATAATAATAAGGATACTAGCCCAGCAAGCTACCAAGAGTATCTTGCCCGCATGGCAAAGCCTGGCAAGGTCCCCGTGACGTATTCGATTTGCAAGTCTCACAAGTCTCACAGTGTTACTGGGCCCGCTCGAGCAAATCGATGAACAACAGGAAGACGGTGACAGTGACTTATAATAAGGACTAACAGTGGAGCCTGAGAGATGGCACCGCGGGGAGGGTGTTGGCCTGGCACACAGCCAACCCGGGTTTGATCCCCAGCATCCCCTAGGGTCCCCTGAGCACCGCCAGGAGTGATCCCTGAGCCTGAGTGCAGAGCCGGGAGTCAGCTCTGAGCATCGCTCGGTGGGACCCCCCAAAAAAGGGAAGACACCAACATGCAGCTGGCCCAGGCTCCATCCTCCCACCCCCACCCCCCACCCCCGTTCCCCAAGTACAGCCAGGAGTGACCCCTGAGCACAGAGTCATGAGTCAGTCCGAGCACCACTGGGCATTGGCTGAGAAACAAAAAGCTGAAAGTCTGAGAATAAAAATTCTTCCCCAAGTGGGGAGCAACAAGGGGTGGGAAGGGCGTGTCCGTCAGCAGGAGGCCCGACCCCGAGGCCCGGTCAGGGGGGACCCTGGGAGTCTGCAGTGTGGCCTTGGGGGCCGTGACTTCCTGTCTGAGCCTGTGCTAGCCGTGTCTGCAGGCGTGTGAGCACGGGTGCTGGCCGTATCTATGGGTGTGTCCACATGTGTGCTGTGTCTACAGACACGTGAGCACATGCTTTCTGTGTCCACAGAAGTGTGAGCATGTATTTGCCAGGTCCACAGACATGAGCATGTGTATTTGCTGTGTCCAGGCATGTGAGTGTGTGTATTTGCTGTGTCTAGACGTGTGAGCATGTGTATTTGCCGTGTCCAGGCATGTGAGTGCATGTAGTTGCCATGTCCAGACATGTGAGTATGTATTTTCCGTGTCTAGACTTGTGAACGTGTGTATTTGCCATGTCCAGGCATGTGAGTGCGTGTATTTTCCGTGTCTAGACATGTGAGCGTGTGTATTTGCCATGTCCAGATGTGTGACCATGTATTTGCCATGTCCAGACATGTGAGCGTGTATATTTGCCGTGTCCAGGCATGTGAGTGTGTGTATTTGCCGTGTCCAGGCCTGTGAGCGTGTGTATTTGCTGTCTCCAGAAGTGTGAGCGTGTTATTTGCTGTGTCCACAGACACGAGCATGTGTGTTTGCCGTGTCCAGGTGTGTAAGCGTGTATTTCCGTGCCCCCAGATATCGACGAGTGCAGAGATGGCTCCCACCAGTGTCGCTACAACCAGGTCTGCGAGAACACCAGAGGCAGCTACCACTGTGTGTGTCCCCGGGGGTACCGGGCCCAAGGACTGGGAAGACCCTGCGTGGGTAAGTGGACGGGCTCCGGCGAGCGCTTGCCCTGCGTGTCCCCATGAGACGGGTGGCCGCGAGTATGTCCTTACTGCACTGGGGACGGACGCCCCAGGGTGGTCCCTGTGACCACACCAGGCTCGCCCCCCCCCCCCCCGCCCAAGGCTCAGTTACGAAGCTTCGATTGTGGTTCTTCTCTCCGTGCATGTGACACTAATCTCTGCATGGACATAATCTCTGCATGGACATACCCTCGTTGAGTCAGAAGCAGACCTGAATATAATGTGAGGGTCTGTGTGTGGAAACACCACGCAGAAAGTGACTGTTCATGATGCCGGAGCCAATAGTCCAGCAGGGAGGGCGTTGGCTGGCACACGACCGACCCGGGTTCGATCCCCGGCATCCCCTAGGGTCCCCGAGCACCGCCAGGAGGGATTCCTGAGTGCAGAGCCGGGAGTCAGCCCTCAGCATCGCCGGCTGGGACCCAAAAAGCCAAAAAAAAACCGTTCCCTTATGGCCCTGTGACTCGGGCTTCCTCAAGTGCCCTCCCGGTGCTGAGAATAACCAATGAAATCTCTCCGCTGCGTGTGGGTTTTCATCTTTGTCATAAATAAATGGCTGTTAAACAGGCAGGTGGCAGATAAAATAACCCTGTGCTTTTCAAAACTCAGTGTAGGAGCCAGAGCGATAGCACAGCAGGTGGGGCGTTTGCCTTGCACGCGGCTACCCCGGGTTCGATCCCTGGCATCCCATAGGGTCCCCCGAGCACCGCCAGGAGTGACCCCTGAGCATCACTGGGTGTGACCCAAAAGCAAAAAAAAAAAACTGCAAAACTCAGTGTACTGACCAGTGGAATTCTTCTGTTCCTTGGAAAATCTAAGAGCACCAGGAACACATGTGGGCCTTAAGGAGCGGTTTCTGGTTTGAATGCTGTGGGTTTATCACAAGTCACCTGCGGGCAGTTATCATAACAAATTCTCCCAGAAACACGTCCCTACGTTTTTATGCAGCCCTAGTGTTCTGCTTTGTATGTGCTCCTAATGCCAGGCTAAAACTCGAAAAAGCACTCGAGCAGAAACAACAACTCTTAGACTTCTGATTCAGGGACCGTATCTAGACATAATTTAACATCTGCATCGACCATCCCAGTGATGAGCGGAGTTAAGTTGTGTACAGTAATCTGACCGGCAGCTGGAAGTCAGGTTCTGAGCTAAGGCAGCAGACCCGTGACTAAGGGGCCCCCCGTTGCCTTTAAGACACTCGGAGGTTTGTTCTCGTTTCTGTTCACTCATTGCAAAGCACATTTCATTCATTTTATTCTGCTTGTTGCTGTTGTTTTTCTTGCACGTCGCCATGGTTGCGAGTTGAAAACGGATTTTGGTCTGTGGTTTTCAGTCCGATGGTTCCAGGGTGCAGGAGGAATTTCCATGTACATACTCCGTATCGACCAGAACCACTAATTTTGGGTCTAGATCTTAGTAAAAATGATTCTCGGAGCCTGAGTGAGAGCACAGCGGGGAGGGCATTTGCCTGGCACGCGGCCAACCCGGGTTCAATCCTCGGCATCCTCTAGGGTCTCCCGAGCACCGCCAGGAGTGATTCCTGAGTGCAGAGGCAGGAGTCAGCCCTGAGCATCGCGGGTGGGACCCAAAAAGCAAAATGATAATACTAATAATGATAATGATAATAATAATAATTCGTTGCCTTCTTTTGAACACTTTTTTTTAATGTGTGTGGCTTGACTTTTCAAACTTATCATCGCAAAAATGGAAAGATTCCTTACTGGTTGCTAAGAAAATAAAAATGCTCCTAGTTCTGCCCGCATCCACGTGTGTGGGAGCGGACCCCCCTTGGGGGCATGTGACCCCCGTAGCTCCCAGACTCAGCCGAGGCCGCGTTGCCCCCCGCTGGGATTCCTGGACCCACGTCACCCCCAGCCCCGCACGTTTCTGTGTCCCGTGGGGACAGCGGAGGGTGGGGCTGGCCCCTTCCTCCCAGGTCCCTCCCTCCCCACCCACCCACCCACCCACGACGTCCCGCTCTCCCTGCGACTCTGACTCCCGTCTTCTGTGTGTTTCCGGCCCCGCGCAGACGTCGATGAGTGTGAGCAGGTTCCCCGCCCGTGCGCCATCCTCTGCTCCAACACCCTGGGCAGCTACAGGTGCCTCTGTCCGCCTGGGCAGCTGCTGCTGGCCGATGGGCAGTCCTGTGCCGGGCTGGAGCGGCTGCCGAGGGCCGGGCCCCCGAGCCCGGAGAGGAGCCCCCAGCAGCCCCCACGGCGGTCCAGAGGGTTCTCCTGGCTCTCCAGCTCCTACGCGGAGTCCAGGCGCAGCTGGACGGGCCGCTCCCGGACTAGGAGGACGCCTAGGGGACCCTGCCCCCGCGGCACCGAGGCCGGCCCTGCCTCTTGCGGAGGTAAATGTCCGTCCCCGCTTCATCCCCTCGGGGCGGGCAGCGGTAGGTGGTCGGACCCCCGGAAAGTCTCTCCGATCTCTCCACGTCGATGCTGGCTTGACCTGGTGCCGTTTCTAGCTTTTTTTTTTTCTTTCTTTCTTTTTGGGTCCCACCCGGCGGTGCTCAGGGCTGACTCCCGACTCTGCACTCAGGGATCACTCCTGGTGGTGCTCGGGGGACTCTAGGGGATGCCAGGGATCGAACTCGGGTCGGCCGCGTGCCAGGCAAACTCCCTCCGTGCTGTGCTAATTGTTCCAGCCCCGATTTCATTTTTATTCTTACAGCCGGGTAGTATTTCCTTTGGTGTGTATGTGGGAGGACTAAACCGTTTTTCCCAGTTTTTTCATTCAGTTTTTAAAAATCCAGATCTTGGACTCTCGGGCTGTTTCCCTGTTTTGGCTGCCGTGAGTGGTTCGGCAGTGAATGCAGGAGGGCAGATTTCGGAGTTGTGTTTTTAGGCCCTTGGCATAGATGTGCAGAAGTGAAATGGTGTGTCACAGGGGGTCGGGCTCTGTTCCAAGCCAGCGTTTGGTTCCGCTTTGGACAGCGTGTAAATCTCCCCTCGCGATTGTCTTGGTGTCAGTATGTTGCAGGTTGTTTTAACCATTTTGTTTTTTGCTTTTTTTGGGGGGGGGCAGGGTCACACCCGGTGATGCTCAGGGGTTCCTCCCGGCTCTGCACTCAGGAATGACTCCTCGTGGTACTCAGGGGACCCTGTGGGATGCTGGGGATCGAACCCGGGTCAGCCGCGTGCAAGGCAAACGCCCTCCCCTCTGGGCTATGGCTCCAGCCCCATGTTTTAAGTATTTTGATGGTCCCTCGTAGGTGCGTAAATGTTTAGGACTGTGAGTTCTTCCTAGTGTTCGGATCATTTAGAAATGACCGTCCCCGTCCCTTGTGGAATTCTGTGTTGTCTGAAAATGGCCTCTTGCCATTCCGAGGTGGGTTTGCTTGAAAACGGTGTTTCCTGCCTCTGCCCTTGAGCCCGCCTTTTCCCTGACGCCTTTTCCAAATGCGTCTTGAACATTGGGTTGAATATTGGGTTGTTTTCTGATGCGTCCAGCCACTGTCACTCAACTGGAGCGTTTGGGCCTGGCACAGGGGAGTTCGGTGACGCCTCGGGTCCTGCCCTGCGTGTCTGGGGCCTTTCTCCCAGCCCTGGCCTGTGACTGTGAACGCTCTCACGCCCCTGAGCTGTTTCTTCCCAGGGAGCTGTCTCTGCAGGGCTGGTGGTCTGGCGGGCAGCGCTGAGTGTCTTCTGGGAGGGGCGAAGACCCCAGCGACGAGTGGGGCACCTCACAGAGTGTCTTTAACAACATCCCGCTCCCCATTTCCGTCTGCCCCTTCATCCCTCGGCCCTCCGCGTATCCAGACGGAACACCTGGGACCTTCTGACCACGCTCAGGGAGGGGCCAGGGGCCGGCATGTGGCTGCCCTGGGGCCCTTAGAGCACTGTCTGTGGGCAGGATGTCCATCATCCAACCCTGCTTCCCCCCCACCCGGGGAGGGGCGGGGCCCAGAGCCAGTCTGGGGGTCTGTCAGCAGCTCCCGATGCCCCGGGGGGGGGGGGGGCGGGGAGGATGCGTGGGGCTCAGGCCGGACCCTGGGTCACCCCGTCCCTTGCCCCACGCAGACATCAACGAGTGTGAGAGCAGGGAGGCCTGTCAGCACGAGTGTCGGAACACGTTTGGCAGCTACCAGTGCCTGTGCCCGCCCGGCTACCAGCTGGCACCCAACGGGAAGACGTGCCAAGGTGAGGCCGGGGGCCGACGCCGGGCTCGGGGCTCAGGGCACTCCCCGCACGTGGCACCAGACTGTTCCCCTCTCTCCCCCATGCTGTCGGGGAGCAAACCCAGGGCCCCTAGAGCCAAGCCCACAGCCACACACAGCCGTGAGCCGAGTCCCCTCCCCGACACGAGCGGCTGTCCTGGCCTTGTGATGTCAGACCCCCGGCCTGGCTGAGTGCCGCTGGCGTGGGCCCGAGCATTGCCCGAGCCGTGCTCCTTCCCCAGAACCCACCCTCCTCCTGGGCACACTCCTCCCTCTTCCCGCCCCGGGTTCCAGACTGGTCTGTAAACACCGTCGAGGCAGCGGGGGAAGAAACAGAGAGAGAGAAGGAAGCCCAGGAGAGGAGGCTCGCGGGAAAGCTTGAAGCCAGCGCTCCTGGGAGTAGCCACTGACTCGGGGACCCATCAGGAGGGTGGCCAGGGCGGGGTCCCCGGGATGCCACGGCCCCTCTGCCTCTCTGCATGGTGAGGCCCCCCAGCTCCTGCCCAGGTGTGCAAACGCCCAAAGGATCCACGTTGCCCGACTCCTCCCGCTGAGGCCAGACGCCGAGTCTGGCTCCCACAGACAGGGTGCGGCCGGCGTCCAGGTCAGGGTGCGGCTGGTGCCCAGGGCCCAGTGACTGCCCTGCAGGGGGAGAGCCGAGTTGTCCCCCAGACCCGGGAAGGTGCTGCCACGGGCCGTGGCCGCCAGGCGGTGTCACATACTCATCAGAACCCAGAGCTCCCTGCGGGCTGCGGGCCCCTGACCGCCCCTCCCCCGCAGACGTGGACGAGTGCGCCGACGAAAGCGGGCGCTGCGGCCCGGCTCACACGTGCTTCAACACCCGGGGCAGCTTCCAGTGCATCGACACGCCCTGCCCGCCCGGCTACCAGCGGGACCCGACCTCGGGGTACGTGCACCCCCCAGTCACTGAGGGATCCCCCGGCCCTGCCTGGGGTGGGGAAGTGTGTCCTCTGTGAGCTGGCGCTCAGCTTTTTGGCCTTCCAGAACCTTCTCCCAGGCTGCAGCGGGGGGGGGGGGGGGGGCACGTCATCGTCGTCCTCCTCCTCCTCCCTCCCCCTCCTCCCTTCTTCCTCCTTCCTCCTCCTCTCTCCTCCTTCTTTCTCCTTCTCCTCTTCTCCTTCCTCCTCCTCCCTTCTCCCTCCTCCCCCCTTCCTCCTCCTCCTCCTCTCCTTCTTCTCCTTCTTTCTCCCTCATTCAGCATGATACTCCCTATGTCCATCCATTCAGAGACAAATTTCATGACTTCATCTTTCCTGCGTAGTACTCCATTGCCATCACTTTTTTTTTTTTTTTTTGCTTTTTTGGGTCCCACCCGGCGATGCTCAGGGCTGACTCCCGGCTCTGCACTCAGGAATCACTCCTGGCGGTGCTCGGGGGACCCTAGGGGATGCCGGGGATCGAACCCGGGTTGGCTGCATGCTAGGCAAACGCCCTCCCCATTGTGCTATCACTCCAGCCACCCTTCCTTCCTTCCGTTTTTTTTTTTTTTTTGCTTTCTTTGATCACACCCGGCGATGCTCAGGGCTGACTCCCGGCTCTGCACTCAGGAATTACTCCTGGTGGTGCTCAAGGGACCCTAGGGGATGCCGGGGATCGAACCCGGGTCGGCTGCATGTAAGGCAAACGCCCTCCCCGCTGTGCTATCCCTCCAGCGCTCTGCCATCATCACTCTTTCTATAAAGAACTGGGCTGGGGGCTCGGGCGGCAGGTCCATGCCCACCTCGCACACTCCCGACCTGGGCTGGGTCCCAGAGCAATCGGGGGTGAGCCCAGGCCTGACCTGAGAGAGCCATGGGGGGCCAGGACCCCACTCCCAGGGGCTCCCAGAGACCGAGACCGGGCAGCGACATCAGCCCGGACCCGGCTGCCCCTGACGCCGGCCCCGTCCCCAGGTTCTGCTTCCGGAGCTGCCCGCCCAACGCCGTGGAGTGCGTGCTGAGTCCCTTCGCGCTCGAGTACAAGCTCCTGGCGCTGCCCTCGGGCATCGGCGCCCACCAGGACCTGCTGCGGCTGGCGGCCTACACGCAGGAGGGGGTGCTGCACCCCCGCACCTCCTTCCTCATGGCCGACGCCACCCCGGCCGCCCCCTTCGCCCTGCGGGACGAGAACCTGAAGGGCGTCGTCTACACCACGCGCCCACTGCGCCAGCCCGACACCTTCCGGCTGCGGGTCCGCGCCCTGTCCCACGGCCCCAATGGCACCGTCGAGTACCAGACCACCTTCATCGTGTACATCGCCGTGTCCGCCTACCCCTACTAGGGCCGGCCGGACGGCGGCGCCTCCCTATTTATTACACTGGAGCAGTGACTTCCGCAGCCCCCGGACCCAGCCCCGACGCCGGCTCGGACCCGCGAAGATAAGAAGAGACACACGTGGCGGACACGCGTGGGCCCGTTTTCCAAACGGGCCAACTGATGCCTGCGTGGGCGGGTCGGCGCTTCCTCAGTAACTTATGAAAAACGCTTGTTTTAAACTATTTTGACTATCAAGGACTTTTTTCCAGATGGCGCTCACCTTGATGGAACATGCCAAATAAGTATATATATATATATATATATATATATGTATGTATATATATATTTATATATTTTTTGGTGGGCTGGAGTGATAGCACAGCGGTAGGGCATTTGCCTGGCACGCAGCCCACATGGCCGACCCGAGTTCGATTCCTCCGCCCCTCTCGGAGAGCCCGGCAAGCTACCGAGAGTATCTCGCCCGCACGGCAGAGCCTGGCAAGCTCCCCGTGACGTATTCAACATGCCAGACACAGTAACAACAAGGTCTCCAATGGAGATGTTACTAGGCCCGCTCGAGCAAATCGATGAACAACGGGAGGACCATGACCATTTTTGGGTGTTTTGTGATATCAACGGCACTGACTTAAGATGATAGAAAATAAATCATTCTTGATCAGAAGAGAGTTGCCCGAGGAGGCCTGACATGCTGATGTCACCACCTCCCATGCATTTAGCTCCATGACTTTTATACATTCCAGCATTTTTTTTTTCCGGTATGGTTCCTGTCAGCTGGGAGTTTTGTTTTTTTTTTTCTTTTAAATGCCGCTGGGACAGTTTTTGTTTCTGTTGAAAACGCTTGTGTGCTCAAGTCAGCGTGACCCCCTTTCAACGTCAATACACTGTACGGGGCGGTGGCAGGTTCCGGAAGCAGTTGCCGAGATGTAGTCTATTCTTCCGCGTGTATATACGTTTACCTCCGTGTGCAGTTTCTATCTAATACTTTGATGGACTCTTTTTTTATATAAAATTATTTTATGGTTAAAAAAAAACAACCATGTTGCTGTAAAACCAACCTAAATAAAATTTCACATCCTTTTTCTTAACCCTTTGGAAAATGGAAATTGTGTTTCTGTGTGTGTGTCTGTGTGTTTCTGTGTGTCTGCATCTGTGTCTTGTGTGTGTTTCTGTGTGTGTGTGCTTCTGTGTATCTCTGTGTGTGCTTCTGTGTATCTCTGTGTGTGTCTGCATCTGTGTATCTGTTTGTTGTGTTTCTGTGTGCCTGCATCTTTGTGTGTGTGTGTGTGTGTGTGTGTGTGTGTGTGTGTGTGTATGTGTACAGTCTTGGAGCCAGAAAGAGATTCGACAGACAGGCCTGGACTCAGCCCCCCACGGTCCCCAAGCACAGACCTGCAACACTGCTGAGTGTGCCTCCCGTGGAAAAAAGAACAGTAAATTGTGTTAATGCCCCGAATGTAATTATCTTCCCCTTCCTTCCTCGAACCCCTGAAGCCCACGAAGACTGGTTCTGTGGTCCTGAGCTCCCGCAGGGTTGTTGTGCCTTCCGGGTTCCGTTTGTTGCTCAGATACCACGCTCGAGGGGCCTCAACAGCGGGCACTGGCCTCTCCTCTTGCTGCCTGGTCCCCTGAGCAGCCCTGAGCCTGATGCAGGGAAGCCCCTCCCAAGGCAAAGCTTCCCTGGGAGGAAATAGCCCCGAAGTTGCTGTGAGAGCTGCTGAGACCCTCGGAAGAGAACAGGAAAAAAATCAGGAAATTCGTAAATCTACAACTGAACCTCATGGTGTCTCACTAATAAAAATCTAAATAAAAAAAGATTAGTCAGCACTGTAAAAAAAGAAATCCGGAACTCAGGCCTGAGGAGACCCTCGCCTATCTACAACAACGGACCCCCAGAAGCTCCTGCAGAACAAAAGGCCAGGAAAGGAATTTCTAAGAAGCGCATCCCCACTCCCAGCCCTCCTGGGAACCCCCTTAGCGACTCTGACCTGGGTAGCAGCCCCAAGTGGGGGCAGGTGGGAGAGACCCTATAAAGGCCCCCTTGGACCAAGGAAGGGCAGATGCTGCCTCGGCCCAGGTGCTGCTTGCGCCCACGTGGCCGAGCACTTGTGGTGTCAACCAAGCACACGTGTCTCCCGCATCTCCCCTCTTGAGATGGGAACTTTCCTGCTCTCCTGTCTGATGCTGGGGGGTGTGTAGGGGTCTCCCCGCCCTCGGAGAAGCCCGGGTTCTCTCTTGAGATGTTCCTCTCACTCTCTCCTACTTTCTCTCCTGACACACCTTCAAAACCTCCAAATAAAATCTATTTACTTCACTGCCTGTCTACTCCTGAAATTCCTTCCTGCGAGGCAAGACAAGAACCCAGTAACCCTGGGTCCCGGGAGGCAGAGGCGGATGGGGAGAAAGTGACCGTCTCTTCCTCCCCACTTCACATAAGCCACCCGTGGGGCCCGCCCACATCATGCCCACGCATCCCAGGCGACTCTCCGCGTGGTGGTTTTGCCTACGCCGCACTCTACAGGTCTGTCTCCACAGAGTCCTGGGAATTCTCTGCGTGTGAGAACGTCACACAGTTCCTCAACAACAAGCCCGGAGGCCTGGCTGTGGCCCACTCCCGCGTTCCGTCCTCTCCCATATCGCGTCCACACCCACACCACCCAAGCATCACTCCGAAGCGCTCTAGGATGGACTCTTGGTCCTCAAAACCAAAGATTCCCAAGATCAAAGTCACTGGGGCTCTTTGCTGCTCAGCTCTGCCCGACACTGCCCGTTTCTGTGAGGACAGCGAGTCAGAGGCAGGAACAGACGGAGTCTGGGATGTTCGGTCAGACCAGCAGAAAGATCCTGTGACCAGGGACTGAAGCCATAGCACAGCGGGGAGGGCGTTGGCCTTACTGCGGCCAACCTGGGTTCGATCCCCGGCATCCCATAGGGTCCTCGGAGCACCGCCAGGAGTGATTCCTGAGTGCAGAGCCAGGAGTCAGCCCTGAGCATCACTGGGTGGGACCCAAAAAGAGAAAAAAAAAAAGATCTTGTGACCAGGGGGTGGGGGAAATGGGGGTGGGGGGGGATGCCCGTTGTTTTGATGTCGAGACAAAGCGAGATTAAAGAAACCGAGGCAGCCTGTGAAAACGTTCGGATGGCAAGTGCAAGACCTCGTCTGTCTTCGCAGATGTCCCGGCGACCCACGGCACTGGGAGAGCAGCCAGAATCCTCGGGGTCCCAGCTTCCCCTGGGGGCTCCACCTTACTCCTCCTCAAGCCTCTCAGCTCGGAGCCGGGGAAGTTTGAGCCCCATCACTCCCCTGTCACGAGGGCAGGATGGTGGGGGGCCCAGTCCTGTGGCCCCTCGGAACACAGAAGGTAGGAGGAGGCACAGTGGACACGGATATTGGCCATGAACATCTGCCAGCTCCCCACTGGGGGGACAGAGCTGGGAATTCCTGTCCCCCCAACTTCCGCTACCCACACTCCAGAGTTTCCTCGTCTCTCCATAAGGAAATAGGGTGACAAGAAATGGGACAAATGTGCCAAAGAATTGTCATTGCGGGTGCTGGAGCAATACCACAGCGGGGAGGGTGTTTGCCTGGCACGACCCGGGTTCGATCCCCAGCATTCCCTAGGGTCCCCTGAGCACCGCCAGGAGTGATCCCTGAGTGCAGAGCCAGGAGTCAGCCCTGAGCATCTCCGGGTGGGACCCAAAAAGCAAAAAAAAAAAAAAAAAGGAATTGTTACTGCCCCTTCCCGCCCCCGAGGCTAGGGGATAAGCCTGTGACAGGCCTGTCTGGAGGGACAGATGGTTCACAGACCCATGTTTCATCTGCCTCTTTGAAGACGGGACTTTTATGTGGGATCCGGAAGGTTTGGGATCTGGAACTATTAGGGGCTAGGAAAAGAGGAGAGAGAAAGGGGCTGGGCTGGGGGACAGCAGGTGACCAGGAGTGATTCCTGACTGAGAGCCAGAAGGCCCTGAACAGAGCTGGGAAGAATGCCCCCCCCCCAATTAAATAACAAAACATTCCTTTGGGTCGGAACTAAGATTTAACTGTGATTTAGCTGAGATTTAGCTGATATTTAACTGTGATTTAACTGGGTTAGCTGAGATTTAACTGTGATTTAACTGGCTTACTGTGACTATCTGAAGGCCTAAAAAGCCTGAACTGCACCTGGATTAGAGGACAGAACAGGGCACCTGTGCCAACTGACCAACTGACCTGCAGGGGAGAGACAACCCCCAGCCCCCCACCCCAGAAGGATGGAGGAAGGATGGAGGATGGAGGAAGCAAAGACCTTTATGGTCAGGACTCAGAGGTGAGGGTTTAGGGGTGAGCCTGAAGTCTTTTTTTTTTCTTTCTGGGCCACACCGGGCAATGCTCAGGGCTGACTCCTGGCTCTGCACTCAGGAATCACTCTTGGCAGTGCTCGGGGCACCCTATGGGATGCCGGGGATCGAACCTGGGTCGGCCACGTGCCACACAAACTCCCTCCCTACTGTGCTATCGCTCCAGCCCCAGGGGCACAAGTCCTTTGAAGGAGTTTTGAGTTTACTTCTACAGGGCCAGAAAGAGGGAATATTTCTGCCACGGGCCGCAGCACTGGGAATTAGATGCTTCCCACAGACAGGAGAAGGTTCCAGAGAGGTCAGGGGTGGAGGGTCCCCTGGTTGCCCGAGGCTGATTCACTTTGCAGGAGGCAAAAGTGAAGGCAGGATGTTGGGTGGACACTCAGGTGAGTTCCGGTTTCCTTTGCCTCGTGAAAGATCACAACACAGGACAAGGGGAAAACCGCCCGGCACAGAAAATCGGGGGTCTGGCTACAGAGACGCAGCCCCTCCAAGTACAGATTGTGAGGCCCAAAAGCAGCCACGACAGCCTATAGCCAACATTAAGTCTCAGCTAGGCCTCAGTTTCTCGTTCCCCCGAAGCAGGACTTGCAGTTTCTGGTCAATTCCCAGTTGAGTAATTTGCCGAGATAAGGAACTTTGGGGGCTGGGGCAATAGCACAGTGTGGAGGGCGTTGGCCTGGCACCCGGCCGACCCGGGTTCAATCTCTGGCATCCCATAGGG